AATTCATTTGACTTTGAGGGTTATAACTGTGTTCCGCTCTGCAGCTGACCACCCATAGCCTGCCATTTTCGCTAAAAGTGCCGCTTCTTAAAGGAGACCTCCACTTCTGTGCACGCAATACTCGGTTTAAAAGCAAGGGTTGCTTGACAGTTTGTTTGAACAATAGGTGGGCCGTCATTATCATTGTTGTTGCAAACTGTTGTTTGGTGTCAGTTTTACTATATGGATGTTTAATGCTCACCCTTCCTCTTAGCGTATTTTTACGTAGCTTTACGGGCATTTTAAGTGACAGTTAAAAAACGGTTTTTTGACAGATGTTTATATGACACTATTTTGTTCAGCACAAAAAACTAACTCGGTCAAAGTGTCTGTCAGTTTTTGTAAATAACCGTCTATCTCATTCTAATAAAGGAGAAAGCGCTCTCAAGAGTAATGATCTTCCTATGGAACAGGAGCGCCGTACATTTAATCCTGAAGTACGCCCCCAGGACGATAGACCCTTACTCTGGTCCGGCGTGTGACACAGGAAGTTATTAATTTCGTATTTAGAATTGACGTATACGCTCTATGCAAAAAACAACGAGGCTGGTACTCGGACTTGGGGTTCGAGTGGAGTCCTCCTCGATGGTTTTGGGTCAAGTATCTCTCTGTAGGAGGCTACGAAGGAGACTAGACGCCCGCCTGGAAGTCCCTCACTACATTTTCGTCTGTGTGTTTTTAGCTTATGTGTATTATTATTAGTATATAAATATATATCACAGGACAGTAAGTGGCTATTCTCTGCTAATGAAGAATAGTATATCAACTCGTTATTATTAATATATGATAGAGTATTCTGAGGACTTTTTTTTGACATTAATTTCCATTTGCATATCTATATGGATGTTTTTAGATTAGTTCCTATACGAAAAATTTTGAGAAGAAATATACGTGTTTATGCGATTCATTCTTGTATACACATGGTGTTATACGATCGTTCGTTGCTCATCGTAGAGTACGGCTTCTGTTTCTAGTCTTCAGGCCCACAATCAACTTCCGTACCACCGGCGTTTTGGTCAGCTAAATTTCCGTGGCTCTTATGGATCTGACTTTCGACGGCACATCGCGTCATCTCCGCATGGTCAAGGAGATCATCACACGACCCAGGCCGTGGTGCTTCACCATTGGCCAAGGCTTTATCTTACAAGAAGTGTCCTGAAGCCGGCTTCGATTCCTGCCTTGTTATTGCCTCCAGAGAGGCAGTCCATACAGGGCAATTCGATCAAGTGGCGGCTCACGGCCTGATCCTTCACATCGGCAACATCTTCCACTTGCTCAGTATCCCAGAAGTTACAGAAATCTGAGTCAATATACCCAGCTAATCAGAGACAGAAGAGGAACTTGAGACAAGCTAGTCGAGCACGACGTCCGGAAGGTGAATGTGTGGCCGCGCATAATGGAGACTGTGGCTGTCACCAACGGCAGATTAAAGTCGAGTGTTATTGAGGCACTTAAACAGAAAACTAAACACTGGATGATCAAAGCTCCTCTGGTCAGCAAAGGCTTCTATGTTTCCAACATCTGCCGTAGGCTAGCAATTAGGTATCGTTAGATAGAGAGATAACACTCCTTAAGGCACAGTAACGTCCGCATACAGTATAAAGCACTAAAAAACACACACATGGCCAGTCAATAAATTGCGGTATGCAAGAAATGAAAGCCCAGTCGACCACAGACACGGTGGTGTTCCAACGCAGACAACATGAGGTTGTAGAGGAGTAGGGTTGAGCCCAGGTCAGAAGCAATGGTCTTAATCGAATACCGCCAGATAACAGGTAGCCGCCGCGGTAACAGTCACCTTAAAGCATAGACATATGAGGTTCGATAATGAGATAAGTTTAATAAGAATCTTTATTTTTTAGTTTTTTTAGAATAATATTTCTCATATTCGATAATTATGTCTTCCTTATGGAAATATATCATGAAAATTTTGATAATATACATCTAGTTATATATCAATTCTATAAAGTTTAAAATTCTGATAATTGTGAAAATTAGTGTAGCTTTAATTTATTGACTTCTTTAACTGGCCAAACTACTCTTAGCTTTTGTTGCTTTTATCAAAGTTTAATAATTTGAAACCATACTACTCAATATAAAGTACTGAAAGATGAAGAGATAAAACAAAAAGCCCTGAAGACATATATGGATAGCGATGAGTATAAAAAAGAAGTTGAAGCAACTGTAAAGGCAGAAAAACTTTTACAGCTTGCAAAACCAAACCGTACAGTATGAAAACTTAGCACAAGAAAGTAAAATAACGCGCAGCCAGCAAAAGGCAATGAAAAGCGCAGAGTATATAAAAGCTAACATGACTGGTTAGATGCCCAAGCCAACGCTAAAGCAGCCCAACTCATAGGTCAATAAGGACAAAAAATACAAGCGGATGAAGACAGTTCAAATGAAGCTTTAACAAATGCTGACTTTAAGAACGCCTTCGAAGCTCTTCATAGTAAGGTGAAACAAGTGAACGACTTCTCATCTGGAAAGAAACTGAAGTCTGAAGGTTTCGACAAAGAGTTAAAGAAGTAGCACAAAAATATGACGAAAATAAACAGACGCAGCAACGAGACAGGCAGTTCAAAGTGCCTATGACGCCGTTAGAGCAACTGTTGTGAAAAGTCAAGAAAAAGAGTTACAACAGACCAAAACAGACCTAGTAAATGCTTTTTAAAACGAAAAAGTCAGGTAGGACATTACGCTGCAGATGGAACATATGTGCCAGCTGGTGGAACTTATATACCAGCTGGTGGAACTTGATATACTAGCTAGTGGAACTTATATACCACCAAACCCTCCAAGAGAAGCACCTGCACCAGGACTACTAAAACATTTACATGCGTCACATGGACACAGACACAGGCATGCACAACAACCAACCTCCACAACCAACACAAACAACCAGCCACAACAACCACCTCCACAACCAGCACAACAACCAACAGTTCAAAACCCTGCACAACACACACCACAAACAGAGCAAGGACATAAAAGAAGTAGAGAACAAGGAAACCAAGAATTCTTAAAAATGCTTAAAGAAGAGTGTGGTTTCCCAGATTACTGTTGACTTTAGTGACAGATATAAAGAAGCTATTGGAAAGTTCAAGGATGGAAATACTGACCCGAACCTATTTAGCTTTATGGCTCAGCACCAAAACGGATATAATCTCAAACCTGGAAAATACAAGCTCGCTAAGGATATGATTTAATAGCATATCATCCAAATGACATGGATGAATTTACTCCGAGATATTGATGTCAGAGCTAAATGACAATTCAAACTTTCGTCATGAAACGCCGTAAAAATAGAGACGCGAACGAAAGAACAAAAGCTTATGAATGCGGATGACGTAGATAGGGAAATTGTTAAAAACGGTCTCGGAATATATGAAATGCCAGCAGATGAGGTACAAGAAACTCCACAGGAAGAACTAGTTCAGATACAACCAGACATGGAAGAAATAGTTCAGCAACAACAGCTAGAAGAGCCTGAAGGAAACGAACAAGTCCCTCCTTTGGAAACTAACCTCACAGAACTAGATGAAGATTTGGAACAGCCGAAAATTCTTGACCCTCAAACAAGAGTATGCGGAGAATATGGAATATTTCCAAGAGTCTAAAAAAAATTCGGCTGACATAGTAGAAGAATATCGAAAAATGTTTGCCGACATACAAAAGACTCCAACACCAGATGAAAATATTCAGCATAGAATGGAAGCACTGAAGAAAAATGTACACAAATACAACAACCCTTTTTACTTACGAGCATTTAACGTTTCAACTCTCGGATGAACTCGGTGAAATAAAAGGTTAAATTTCAAGAAAACATATAGAAATGAAACATTGTTTAAAGTTCATTCAGAACCTAACCAAGATGGAAACAAACCTACTTTTGTTTCTGCAGACGATGGAACTACAATGAGATGGGGTCATAAAAGTAACCCGGATAGGTGGTTCATAAACTTACAACCACAATTCCAAGAAGTTTAGACGCAATGGAAGTCAATGGTGAACCAGATATAGCTGGTATTTTAAGCGCGCTTTAATGCCATTGAAAGATATGAAAGATGCAGATATTTTGGACCAGTATGAAATGAACATGGCTGATGGAAATATAACACCTGACGTTCTAGAACATTTATCTCAAAGAACTACACAGAACCATAAAAGATGGTATATTTGGTGAAGAGTTTAGAAAGAAAGTAGGGAGGAGAAGGAAGAGAACCTATTGTACATGACCTTGCAAACGAAAGTTTACAAAATGTCATAAAAACTTACTTTGCAGACAATGAACGCGAGAAGGGATGAATATTTTAAGTAAAACTCAAATGGACAGTACCAAATGAAATGTTAGTATTGAAAAACATGTTCCTTGACAATAACCAAACTACAGAAATAAAACGACGCAAGACTGAAAAGATTGGGTAGAAGCTTTCCCATTCCCAAAAGATATAGTTGGTAAATGGAAAGAAACCAGAATGGCTACAAACAACATATATTTGGAAACGAGCTTATTCCATATGGACAAGCTCTGTTTGAAAGAGCTTGAACCAGAAACTCAGGAAAGAGTCATGCAAACAATACGCAAAGACTCAAATACAGACTATGACAAACTCTTTCTAGGATATAGGTTACCTGAGATGGGCGACCAGAGCCAAAAGGCAAAAAGGACATGGGAAATTTGCAACATACTAGATGAACAATAATGCAAAGATGCAACAACTTCAAAGCAGAGGCAATGAAGGAAAAACAAGATAGAGTTTAAAACAGCTAATTTTTCTCAAAATTCAAAGTAATTAATTCTTCTTACGCATAACTATAGAGGAATAAGTACGAGAGTGAAAGAATTAAAAATGTTTTTGCTTTCAGAAATTCTTAATTTCAAGTAGGATTAGAAGAACTAGTAATAATACAACATATCTTTATTTCTATACAATATCATTAATATTACGTTTGATATTCTATTTTCTATCTTCGCGTTTCTTCTTAATAAACTTCGGCCCTTCAAAACCAGGACGAATCGGATTGAATTTGTTCTTAGGCTTTTGCTTTGGAACGTTTTTATTTTGCTGTTGTGGTTTTGGCTTTTGTGTATTTTCTGTTTTTTCTTGATTGTTTGTTGGATTTGCAGGAGGAACATCCATCTGCGATTCATTTTGAGGAAGATATACCATTAATGCATCATAAAAATCTCGCTCCTTTTCAATTTCTTCGATGGAAGCCATAATAAAGTTTACAATAATCGTCAAAAGTTTGAGAGGAGAATTTTGGAAAAGTGACAAGGACTAAAATTTTGAAACCCTGCTTCATTTCTTGGACAATTTTTACCAATGACTGACGATGATAATAAAGGAAATGATTAAATTGCATGTATGGATAATTATATGAAGGAGAGGTATCTAATAATTTTAAGATTTCAATTTGAAATGTTCTTTGAGAAGATATTTGAGCTCAATTCAATGAAATTATGGTAGTGTAGCCATATGTAAGAACAATACTTCATATTTCATGTGATTTTTCATCGGATAAATCAAAATTGAGAGTATGGGATGATAATAAAAGTGACAAAAATGTCGAATTCGCCAATTTTATTCGAAAAAAGTGATAATTTTCCCAAAGGATATTTAATTTCTGGCTGGTATCATGTATTTTCGATTGATGATTCATTACAGTCGCTATCAATCTTTTCAAAATTTGACCGCAAAGAAATATTAATTCAACAACTCAATTTAAATCAAAATACTGATAAAATTCACTATGTTGATTACATCTTGGACGATGTTCTTTTTATTTATGCAACAAAATCGCAAAAATCGATTGGCTTCTTTTTAAATATAAATCTTAACCAGCAAAATTATATTTTACCACCTTTAGTCGAATTTTCATTAACATCACTTACATTTCATTCAAATATTCTTTCAGCATTCGTTCCACATAAAGGATCTTTTGTTGTTGTTTCCAAGAACGGCATATCATGCCATGATCTATATCTAAACGAATATTTCAGCATCAGATCATTAATAACATCATGCCGTTTTGTTAGAAACTATCTTGTTTATACTGATAATTTATTCCTTCACGCTTGTTCTATTGATTTGAACGATAAAAATAGAGTTTTCTTTAATAAAATCAATTCTAGACAGTTAAATACACTCGGAAATCCTCTTAAACTCCTTGCTCTCTCTCATTGTTTGTTAATTATTTTCGAAACTAGTGAAAAAGCTACAGTAGTTCAAAAAGTCCTTTTACAATCCAAGAAATTCGATAGTATTACAAATATATCCAAGTATTTCTTACAGAACAACGAATTTTCGAATATTTCATTTAATATTTTCGACAACGCCTTATTAATTTATCATCGACCTACACAGAAGTTTACTCTAATAGACATGTACGATGCAGACGATATACAGATTTTCCCTCCTTTCGATTGTGAATTTCCAATTTTGGAAATTTTAGACAGTTCAAAGGCATTTTCAGACGAATTTATGTTAGACACAAGATGCAATTACCAAGTTATTAACGTTACAGACCTTAATATCATTGCTGCTCTGTTTAGAAGGACAAATACCTTAACACACTCGATTTTCTTGCTTTCTAACCTCTTAAAGGGTTCAGTTGATGTTGAAACAATGAATAAAATCATCCAAACTATTGGTCCTTCAGCAAGATCTCCATCTACTCAAATAAGATTTGTCAAAGCGATCCAGTTCTCAGGAATTGTTGATCCTCATCTTATTCTACTTGCATTGTTGAGATATTCCAAGATTTTGGGAGACGATATGATCGATGATGCAAAAATTTCTGTAATTCAAGCGGCTTTCCACCCGTATTGCAGGAATACATTGAAAGATATGTTTTCTCTTTGGAAATTGAAGATGAATGATGTTATTATGAAATATATTGTTACAAAACTCGATGAATCATATTGGTATGGCATAGAAATGTTTGGAGATATATTGAAGTTCGCTAAGATTTGCACAGATGTAGGAAAAAGCGAGATTGCAAGAAAAATGATTATTAAATTTGTTTTGGATGGAGGAGAAAGCAGCGAAAACTTTACGGAAATTCGCCAGAATTATATAAGTAAGTTTGGTGAAGATCCGCTCATTCCTATGTCGCAGAAACAATAAAATTTTATTATTTGTTTGTTGAATAACCTGTAAACATTTTAAGTATATATTCACTAGATGTGGTTTAACAAATACATAAGAATTTTTACCATTTTATTAATAATTCTTAAATTTCAAAGAAATTTCAATTAAAAATTAAGATTATCGGTACTGAAATTGGCATTGTTAGTCCATACTTATATGAAAAAAGTTAAAATTTTCATAAAATACAATTTTACTATGGATAATTGAAGAAAACCTTAGTACGGCTTAGCAATATTTAGATTTTCATTAACATAATCACATGGGTTTTCAAATATCTTAACTATAAAATCAGCAATACTCTTTCTAGAAACAGATGTTCCTCTTTCCGGTTGATCTTTCGGAGTGAGAATATAATCTATTTCATTAGAACTAGTGAACCAATTCAGCCTAAGAATTGTATAATCAAGTCCACTTGATTCAATAATATCTGCTAATCCGCGATATGGAACTAATATTGATGGAACAGGGTCATCATAGATACCAATCGAACTAATTGCAACAACACGCTTAACACCCTGATTCTTCATTGCCTTCACAATAATTTTACCCATTTTTTCTAAATCACCTGCTAAATTGATATATACGACATCCATTCCTTTAACAGCATTTTCTACAGCCGATAAATTAGTTGCATCACCTACAATTATCTTTGCATTTCCAGTATTTCCAAGACGATTTTTGTGTCTAACAAAAAGGGTGATATCTAGATGACGTGACAAAGCAGTACAAGTAACTACTTTTCCAAGACTTCCACTTGCACCAATAATAAGGATCTTATTGAAGACAGCCATTGAGAAAAATGAAAAAATTTTGAATTATTTCAAATTTGAGAATATTGAATAAATCATGAATTCACACATACCTCAATTTGAAAATCACTAAAGGATTATAAATATAGCTAATATAACGTCATGGCTTCATAAATACGATATTGTTTCACCAATAAACCACAAAAGGTGCTGTGAATTCATATCGCTAATTCAATTCATTTATTTTCATAACATCAATTTTTTTGTTAAATTTTATTGATAACATGCTAGTTATGAAGAAAAAAAATTTGCCATGAATTCACATTCAATCTGGTTGAGTTATCTTTAAGGGTGCACCCGTATGTACGTTTATTTGAGAGGAGGAGGATTACCCTCTCAATTTTGAGGGATTCGTTAGTTTATTTTCTCGATGAATATGCAATAAAATTTGATTTTTACCTTATCAATATACTTCATATAATATACACATATTCATGTAAAAACTTTTTTCCAAAATCCTCAGGAATTAAGGGATTTTTGAATTTTAAGAATTTTTTTCGAATTTTTTCGAAAAAAAAATATTTTCAGAACAGCCTTAACGGCTAAGATTTAGGAACAATGTTAAGTATCAAAAAGAAAGGAGGTCTGATATAGACAACATATATCGTTGAAGGTTGAAAAAATCTCTAATATTTGAGCCCAAAATTTCAAATTTTAATTTTTTGAAAAAAGAGGCCACCCGCATGTACGTTTATTTGAGAGGAGGAGGATTATATTTTTGAAAGGGTGAAACATTATGAATATGTTAATTATATAATAATATGTATTATTATAAAAAAGAAAAAATAAAGCACGTTAAAAATTTTCTTTCTTGATTTTTTACAAAATCTACTTAGAATTATGCAAAATATGACTAAATAATTATAAATTTCAAGTTAAATTTTAATTTTGATAAATAATTTAAATTTCAAAATATCAAGTTCAGTTCGACTATGTATGTAGTAATTCCTCAATAAAGTGTCAAAACCCTATTAAAATATATGAACATTTTCAACATTTTAATGTTTTTATTTAAAAATTTGATGGAATATGAGCTTCAAACAATTATTATGTAAAGAAAAATAATTAAATATATGTATTTATTCGTATTACAACCGTAGTAAGTCGATTCTTCCTTTCTTCTACTGAGGTTTGAATTTGATTTCGAATTGTAAAGAGATTCAAAGGGAAAATACTAGCGGATAAAAACTACCTCCATGAAAGGGTCATAATGGAGTCAAGTTGTATTTTTTGATATTTTTTGCTTTTTCGAGCCTAAATAGGTAGCCAAGATAATGCCTAAAAATAAGGTTCTAAGTTCTGAAGTTTACATGATCCTCTCGTGTGCACCCTTAATAATTTTTTGTGAATGCATTCAAAAATATAAAAATCAAAATCTTTGCAGATTACGTAACTACTTTTTTTCAAAGTAAGGTTATAAAACATCAACTCGTGGTATTAAAGTATAATCATTTACCGAAATTCGAAAATCTTACTTTAATTTTAGAATTTTGATAATTTTAACAAATAAATATAAGATAGACCATATTTAGGTAGATTTAACTATTTTAATGGGTATTTTATACTCAATCATATAGTATACATGCTTCCTTATAGGAATATGGAAAAATTTCCATTAATGTTTTGATTATCAAGTATTATTTCTGAAGTATGAGGTCCAACAGACTTTTCCGTTTTAGTTTCCTGTTAATGTTTTACATTTTTAACTCAATATACATCCAATTTATGAGAATAAAAGAAATTTTATATCTTTGTCACTTTTTGTCTGTTATAAAAAATGCGCCCTCAGACGGTGGCCGCAAAAAACACCTCGAGGAGCTTTACTTCAACTGGAGGAACACTACATGACGGATTGCGGCGGCCACCTAAACTCAAATCTCTTGAAGATCCAATAAATTATATTAGAACTTTAACTCAGAAAGCAAATGCATATGCACAAGCATTAACTGCATTAGAACTAGATAGAGAATCGAACTTATCTGTTATGGATTCCATGGAACGTGAAATTCATCAAAATTCTGAACAAATCCTAGCATTATCAAAATTAAACGATCAACCATTCTCCGAAACCAACAATGAAAGTAATCCAACAGAAAAAACAACAAACAACAACTCAAGTAAAAATTCAATTCAAGTTTCGTTCGGATTACCAGAGCGATCAACAGAATCAGCCGATATCATAAACAAACTCAAACAGAATCCTTTATTTATCAAAGCATTCGATACAAAAGCGAATATCGACGAAATTGCAAAATCATTCAAAGAAAACTCAAATCCAACAGGATTTAACTACATAATGCGTCAACTATCACGCATGGCATTGATAAATGATGTCATTACACCACTAGCAAACAAAGTAACAATAGGTGTAAACAAAGATGACTTTACATCACTTTTAGACCAAAGTTTACGTCTTTTATTTCCAAATGCCAGTTCCAGAGTGGTCGATATCGGCTCAGATGTTGAAACAAAAGCAGTTTTAACAGTTGACGGAAATGTAATTTTGGAATGCAAAGAAAAACACATGCCACATCAAGAAACTATGTTAAAATCAACATTAGGGTTCCTTAAACTTCCTTCTCCTCAACCTCCTGATAATTCAGTCAAATCCTTATTTGGAAAACCAACTTTTTTTGATCAAAAAACAGAAAAATTTACTGAAGAAGATAAATTAATTGCAAATCACTTTTCTGACATCGCCAAGCCTATTATAGAGAGATTTCTTAGATACGACAGACTGAATAAGCTGTGTGAGAACAGGAGATTCGCTTACGAGTTTTCCAGAGACATTTTAACAAGAAGAACAATCACTGAATTATTACCTTTTCTTTTAATTTCTGTTGGAACTTATTTGAGTGCAAATGATGTTGAATTGTTTCTTGTTGATAATGAAAACTTCGTCTACTATGATGTACAAGGTCGAGATCTCATCAAGAAGTCATTAAAACAATGTGGAGTTCCTCTTTATGTATTGAAATCCCAAAAAGCTGTTGAAATTTCTTATTTGACAAAAAGTTGCGAATATTTTTCAGAAGAAATTGATTCATGGGCTGAAAATCAACCATTTATTGCTAGTCCTATTATTTCTAATGATATTGTTATAGGTGTTTTGTGTTGTGCAGGTAATATCAAGAGTCTTTCTTTCTCAGATAAAGACATTGAATTACTCAAAGATATGTGTTCTGTTTTAGCAGCTGTTATTCCATTTTTATGCGCAAAAGAACTAGAAAGCGAAGAGAAAATAGATCCAAAACAATCTCTTCTTTTGTACCAAAAGATGAACGAAAATGAAACTGATAATTATTTGATGAATGTCGCAAATTTACTTTCTATTTCAATTAATTGTGAATTTATTGTAATTTTCTGCCAAAATAAGACAAAAATCATCCTGAAAAATGGTGAAGATTTCGGTAGATTGATATTTACAGAAGTATCCATGAAATCTATTAGTGAGAACTCACAAGACAAAGTGTTAATCGCTAATCCTTGCACAAAAATTCCAAATTTTGCTTCTGTTTCTGATGTAAGATGTGAAAATTTAATTGCTTTCACACAAAGAAACATCACATTCTGTTGTGTGAATAGTCAAAACGAGAACAAAGAGTTCTCTGATTTCGAGCAACTTTTGATACAATCTTTGCATAGTTACGCAAAAGTTTATGATGAAATAAACATCAGAAAATCGAACATTTCAGATTTGAAGCAAAAATCATTTCAAATGCGAGAAATTCTTGAAAACTCAGCAAAATCGAAGAGTTTATCAGAGTTAATGGATATTGTCACTGAGAAGATGAAGATGAATGCCTATTCCATATGGAAATACACTCCTTTGTTGCAAACATTTAATTGTGTTTTGTCTAACAAAATTCAAAAGAATTCTATCATCCCTTGTGATGATTATTTGTTTAATAGTTTTGTGAATTTAGAATCAGAGTACATGAATGAAACAATTGTTGCAGGAAATCAATCGAAATACTTATTAATGATCAACCAAATTAATGGTTGTGTTTATGCCATCAATATTTACAAACATATAATTGTTTTCTCGGGAGATTCTTTATCAAAAGATGCTCCTTTGATTGCCCACGATTATTCCAGTTTGATACATTTCATGATGATAAAAGAGCTGAAGAATGATTTGATTTATGAAGCAATTGATTTAAATAACACAAAAATAAGTGATGCAGAAATTAATCACAGATTGTTTTGTTCATCGAATTATAATGATCCTGAACTAATTGAAATTGTTTTGAGGATTTTCAAGATGATGAAAGTTCAAGCAACATTGAGCAAACAAGACTTTGAAATGGCAAAATTCATTTTGAAATGTAGAGAAATGATTAATATAAACCAAAAACCATTTCACAATTTCAGACATTCTGTTGATTGCTTGCAATTTGTTTATTACACTCTGTTGAAATCAAGACTTTGTAATAAACTTGATCCACATCAAATTGTTGGTTTATTATTCGCTACTTTGTTACATGATGTTTCTCATAATGGATATAATGATGAATACCACAAAAACAACAAAACACATTTGTATTTCGTGGATAATAACTATCCAATGGAGACTTATCATTGCAAAGTTGCTTCAAAGATTATTGATGAATATTTTCCAAATATGAATCAGAGTTTTTGGTCGATGTTTATTCCTTGTATCAAAGCAACATCTATTCTAAAATTAGTTGAAATGTCTTCACGAATTGTAATGAAAACAGATGAAATATCAAATGATTTCGTGTTCATTTCTTCTTTCGTTTGCTCAATGTCTAATACAGCAAACTCATTTAGAACATTTGAGTTTGGAAAGATAATGGCAAACAATATTTTCAAAGAATTGACAGAATTGAATGAAATAGAGAAATCCAAGAATTTACCATTATCAAATATGCTGCCAATTGGATCTTTCGACAATGTTGAATCACTTGAATCAGCTTTCATTACAACAACTGCGATGCCTGCAATGAGAGCTTTAACTACTTTATTCCCTGACATGAGCGACATTTACGTACAATTAGAAGAGAACAAGAAACAATGGGAAAATCTAAAGAGAATGATTCAACAGCAACAAGAGCAGAAATAGCTTTATTTTTATATTATTTATTATTTTGTTTTGTAATGTAAATATGATTTTTTTTTACTCCTATCATTTAATATTTTAATCCGTGAAAAAAAGATGCCGGAAATGCTAAAATGCAACAATGACTATTCTTCTAGAATAAGTCAAGGTAGAATCATTAATAAACATTCATGAAATTTTCATTGATTGAGGATGCAGACTTGGAAATTCTTCTCGCTTGAACCAAAGCTGAAACAATAAAATATTGATGAAATTTAGAAAAATGAAAATTTTATTTTTTGTTTACAATACTCTCATCAAATTAGAACTTGAAAGCAGCAGCACCCTCGCCAGCATTTGTAGCGAAGATGATTGGATCCTTGACGCCACGTGGCTCGTAGAATTGTTTCTTAACGTTCTCAATGAACTTAGCTGGATCAGCATCTGGAGCAAGGATGAAAACTGTGCAGCCACCCCAGCCAGCACCAGTAAGACGGCCACCAAGAGCGCCATTCTTAAGACCAGTCTCGACAAGAGCATCGAGAGCTTCGCAGGAGCACTTGTAGAGGTCGCGGCAGGAAGCATGGGATTCCTTCATGAGCTCGCCCCACTGCTGGAGGGAAGCACCGTCCATCTTAATAACACGGTGAGCTTCGCCAACAACATGAACAGCGCGATCGCGGAGAACGAGTTTGCCTTCGCGTTCTGGGAGCTTCTTGGCAGCTTCCATAGCACCTTCCCAACCAAGCTTGGCAACAACTTCGCCGATTGTCTTAGCGCCTGGCATCATGAGCTCAGCAGCGCGGCGAACTTCTTCAACACGGCGGTTGTAGCAGTCATCAGCTGTAGCAAGCTTAGCAGCGGCAACACCTGTGTGGGCAACAACGAAGTGAGCTGGTGGGAGCTTGACTGGCTTGGCTGTGATCTTTGGAACGAATGAGATGACGCAAGCATGGTCCTTCTCACCGAGGATGGAGATAGCCTGGTCCATACCACCGCACATGACACCAACACGGTGCTCGGCTTCAACGCACTTCTCGACCAGCTTGCCCTTGTCAGCACCACCGCCTGTAAGGAGGTCAAGGCCCATAGCAACAGCGCAAAGAAGAGCTGCAGATGAGGAAAGACCAGAAGCAAGTGGAACGTTGCCGCTGATGAGGACATCAAGGCCATTGACGTGCTGGTTGAATGTCTCAAGGAATGTCTTGACGGCTGATTCAACGTACTGAACCCAACCCTCGCCAAGGAGCTTCTTTTCGGCGATCTTGACATCGGAACCCTTGAGATGGGAATCAAGGTTGCGGATACGGAGGAGTCCACTCTCGTTGGAAGCAAGAAGAGCTGTTGTGAACTTTCCCTCAAGAGCCATTGGGAAAACAGAGAAGCCGCAGTAGTCAATGTGCTCACCAATGAGGTTAACACGGCCTGGAGCACGGCCTGCGAATTGTGGCTTGACGCCGAATTCCTTTTCGAAGACTGGGATCATCTCCTGGACAAGCTTGTCGCTTGCTGTGAAAGACATTAGCGAAAAATGAACTTATCTGCAGTGACTTTTTTAGCTCTCAAAATTCCAATTCAAATAATGGGTTGACAGATAATTCAATTTTGTTTAATTTTTAAATTAATATAATCTATATGCAATAATAATGCAAATGTAAATTTACTGTGGAAATACCTTCTCAAACCATTCAAAAATTTGAGAGCACCCGTAAAATGCTATAACAGGTAAATGATGGGTATATTAATTATCTTGAAATAATGAGTATTATTATCCCTACGAATATATAGGTTCTGAATTAATTTTTTGAAAAGATTGATAGGGTTTTTTATTCTTCTGAAAATTGAATGGCCCCGTGAAAGTGATCCTTGGTCGATACAAACATTCATGAAACAAAAATATAATTTTCGAGACTATGACCAAATTAGAAGAGCAATCCTTTTTAAAAGTTACAATTATTTTACAATTTTACTCCTATTGACCATTTTAATCATTTTTATTATATATAAACTGTAAATTGCTCCATCTACATGCTTAGACTTCTCTTGAATACACGAAATCCCAAATGATTGGATGTTCAATACCCTACGTTCCCAACTTCTGGAAAACGGTTTTTCACCCTTATGATCAGTTTCAGACACTTTGGGAGTCTCCCAAACTTTGATATTTTGCATTATGATAGAGAAACGTGTCTAGTTTAACGCACAGTTGTTTTAAAGGCAAATGATGATATCACATGAAATTATCAAATTATCAAATTTTGAAGTACCAGTCCAAAGGGTTAATTAGATCCTACACAGATGTGCGATAGTGAAACATATGTGTTCTTGATTTGAGAAGTCCTACTGATAGAGGTATAAATCTCACAGCTTTGTGTGAGTGTGTCTGACACTTGTATAGAGTGGAATATGCGCCGACATATATTATATAATAACATGTAGTTGATAATTATGAAAAAATAGAATTCGATGCGAATGATATTGAAAGTTGTTTTGTAATTTGATATTTTTCTTATATGTGTTAATTAGTAAATGGCTTGTTTGTTGTGATAGTACTATGAAAAATGAAAGGTATTTTAAATTAAAAAATTGAGATTTTGAGATATCTCTAGAATTAAGAATTTATTATGTATTTGACTTTTATATAACTATGTGTAAAGGATCTCGATGTCTATATGCTTTAAATAAAATTAAATAAAATGAGATAAAAAATTAAAATGGACAAGAAGATATATGGAAATGTAATTTGTATTGTGTTGGTTGTTGGCAAAATGATTTTAATACAGATTTAAGGATTTGGAATGGATTTGAAATTAAATGATTTTAATTCAAGGAGTAATAAGATTTTGAACTGGTTTTTATTTTGTGAATGTAAATTCCTTCCATAGGATATGTATTAGAAAGATCAATGTCAAACTTTTTGAAAGAATTGTTTTTTTGTTGAGCGATTTTCTCATATTTAATAATATATTTAAGTTGGCGTATCTTACGCCCTTCCAAAATATGTATTAGAAAGATAAATTTTAAACTTTTTGAAAGAATTGTTTTTTTGTTGAGCGATTTTCTCATATTTAATAATATATTTAAGTTGGCGTATCTTACGCCCTTCCAAAATATGTATTAGAAAGATAAATTTTAAACTTTTTGAAAGAATTGTTTTTTTGTTGAGCGATTTTCTCATATTTAATAATATATTTAAGTTGGCGTATCTTACGCCCTTCCAAAAATATGTATTAGAAAGATGACTTATAATTTCATAAATTATTTTGTCCCGACGGTTTGAGCGGTTATCAGAATGGTTGCTTACACAATGCGTCAGCAAAATGTCGGTTGGGGTGCCCTTCTTGGCCTCCTGAGTACTCACCAAGATACCCCCAGCTCCCGCAAAACACCTCCCTTAGGTGCGCATTACCTGACGGCATTATTTTGCAATTATTTCAAATTTTTTAGATGTCTTTTGTTAAAGTTTGTTAACTAAAGACTTGAAAACAGCTTACCGCTTCAAGCTGCTCTCTTCCCGGTTCCTCTGCCGCAATCTTCTGTTTGATTGTGCGCAAAGCTCTCCTCCTTGTGAACTTTGCCTGACAGATACACCTGGGAGACAGCATTCGGACATTTTACCGCTTCAAGCTGCTCTCTTCCCGGTTCCTCTGCCGCAATCTTATGTCTGATTGTGCGCAAAGCTCTCCTCCTTGTGAACCATGGCTGATAGAAAGAACTGAAAGACAGGATAGGAGGAACATGCCGGTTCAAGTTAACTTGCAATATGCTTCTGATTAGTGATTTTAGATGAAAGATTAGCGAAATCGCATTTAATTTGGATAGAAGGATTCAATTTTATGAAGCAGGCTCGTAGAAAATATGCAGGAATAGCACAATCTTTTGCAATCACAACGCGATTGCAAAACTTCGACCGACAAGAGTGTATTGTGCACTCTTGTCGGTCTGCATGTCTCATTCCGGGAGACATTGTCACTGCATGTCTCCCAGAATGAGACAATCTTCCGCATTCATATTTTTGAATTAGGAAAGAATATTTTTATTTATCAACTTCATTGAAAATTTCTTCAACAACTGTTTCAGTTAGCTCATCATTGAATCTGTATGGAAAGCTATGCGTCAAATCTTTGACTTTTTGAGTGAGAATTTGAACATCTCCTGGGTTAATCTTTGTTGCATATTCGCAATCGGATACTTTCAGTGGCATTCCAAGTTTAACAGCCCAATTACGAAGAGATTCGACAAACTTATCAGCTTTTTCTTCATCAGTTCCGCTGCGAACGTCAAAAACACGTTCAGCAGCTCTTGCCATTGTTTGGATTCTTCCTTTCTTCACTTTTTCGTAGAGAACAGGTGCAACAATTGATAATGTAGCTGCATGGTCAATGCCATACATAGGAGTAAGTGGTTGTGCTACTAAATGACATTCCCAGTTTGGCCGCTTTGCATAAGTGAAAATATGGTTTTGAGCAAAAGATGCAGCTGTTATAAGTCTTTCATGGAGTTCTAATGATGAATTTGGCTTCATTAAGCCATCACTGATATCAACAAGTTCTCTCATAATAGAGTAATAGAAGTTATCTGACATTGGAGCTGATTCACTTGTGATCACTTGATCAGTACAGTGCATCATAGCATCAAAGAGGCCATTTCTCAATTGTCTTGCAGGTAAAGTCATAGTATATCTCGGATCAATCAAAGAGAACTGAGGATAAACAAGCTGGGAACCAGAATTATTTTTCTCTTGGATATCATCTCTTTGAATTGCATATCCATTATTCCATTCAGATCCTGTGGCTGGAATAGTTAATACTGTTCCGAATGGAACTGCAGTTTTGGCATAAGCACCCTTAGAAATAATATCCCAGGGCACAACGAATTCATCTAAGCATGCAGCTGCTGCAATAAACTTTGTGGCATCAATAACAGATCCACCACCAACAGCAAGAATAAGATCTGGCTTATATTCCCTAACGATTTTTATGATTTCTAAACATTTTACATATCTTGGATTTGGCTGAATTCCACCTTCCCATTTTACCTCACATTCAAGTTCTGATAATGCTTTTTCAACATCGGAACGAGCTCCATTTTTTTCGATTGATCCGCCGCCAAATGTGCACAAAATACGAGACTTTTTAGTGACAAAATCCTTAAGATGTTCTTGAACAACATTAGAGCCAAATCCTACTTTAGTGGTATTAGTCCAAAGCCACTTCATATAAAATGATCTAAATTTTAAATTCAATTTCCTTCAAATATGTCGTTATAAAATATATTATCCTACCTTATTTAATAGTCAAATTATCGAAGAAAATAGGTTTATGACAATTGTTCATATGAATTCACATCTTTTCACAAAAAATTGAGAAGATAATTTCTCACTGAACTCTCTATCAAAAATATCGGGTTTTCAAAATTCATCAATTAACGCATTATTATTACTTCAGGAGTAATATTATAGAAAGGAAACATCATAGACATCAAATTTGCTTCATTATTCCAATAATGAATGGGAAGAAGTCTACAAAACTATTTTTACATCGGAAGTCTACAGTAAAAATCAGAAGTATATAGGCTTTAAAGGCAATTTTTATGTTAGTGGAGTTTATTTCACTAATCTTGGTAATGATGGGGTTATCTTCCTCAAATCTAATGATATTAAGTCTCTTATTTCATCGAGTTCATTTGAAAACTCATCAAGAGATGGTGATGGTGGTTCCATCTACATCAAAGGAGGACAAAGTTCCATTCGAAATGCTTGTAGCTTTGGATCCAAATCTTCAGGCGACAGAAAGTTCTGCTATATTTCAGTCACTGACAATTCTACGAATATCAATGAATTGCATGATTCTTCAATAGCATATAGTAATCAAGGTGCCTTAGAGGGCTATAATTCAATTTATTTAAGATTAGGCAACAATTCAATTTTCCAAAACAATATCACGAGGAATTATTGCAAATATAATACCGCTTTTGGAATAGATAATAGTCACGGAAATTCTTCAATAAAATATACGCAAATTGATGAAAATTACGGAATATATAGAATTTGTGCGATAGGACGCAAATATGTAACATATAACAACATTGTTTTCACAAACAATACTGTTTCTAAACTTGATACTACCCGTCCTGGAATGTTTTTATGTTATCAATGCCATGCTACATTCGAAAACTGTTACATTGCAAATAATAATCAAAGCAAATATTTTATGTTTGGAATTAGAGATTCGGGTTCCATTACAGTATCTAATTCTTATATTGATGCTACAGAAAATTTATACAGACAAGGCCAACGTGTTTCAATTGGACCTAATATTGAAATTTCACCTGAATTACATCTACTTTCAGTAGAATTTTGTCCCACAGAAAATTTTGTCAATTTCTATAAAATCATTACGGAGCTTATTCATCATAATGGTTTAGGTGAATCAATGACTTCGTTATTTTCTTAATTCTTTTCTTTTTTAAAATGATTTGATTTTTGAATTTTGCTTTTTGACTATTTGATAGGCAAGGAATTTGGGTTTCAGGTTCTTGATAAAAGGGATATCATAAGATTTTTTGAATATCATCAAAAATGAGGAAATGGGAAGTTGCTTGTTATGTACGTTTAGAAATTGTAAAATGTCTCAGAGGTCTCTTTTTTCATATTTCACAGCCAAGAATCCAACCACTCCAGCATCTTCGCCTGTTATGAAAAAGCAGACAGCTATACGCTCTCTGAAAAAAATTTCATCCAAAGCTAAAGATTCAAGTTCTGATTTCGAACTTGAAAATACTGAAAGCGAATCAGAGGATGAAAAGGAATTCAACAAGGTAGCAAGCGAAGAAAAGATTATGAAATTAAACAAACCTTCTTCTTCAGAATATGAATCCGAATCAGAACAAAATTTCATTGACGACGATAGTGATGAAGAACAGAAAACTCCATCAAAATCAAGAACACGCGCTAAACCAGCTAAATCAACAAAATCAAGATCAATCAAAACTACAAAAGCAGCTGTTCCATTTGACGCTCCACCAGAAGTCAACCATGCTCAAATTGCTCGCGAAGCATCAGCATCCGTCAGTGAAGAAGATTTACCAGATTGGTTAACTACAAAACTCAGAGATAAGAACAAGAAGCGTCCAGATAAAGAAGGTTACGATCCATCTACAGTTTACATCCCCGAAACAGTTAAGGAAACCTTTACACCTTTCCAAAAACAATTTTGGGATATCAAAGAAAACAACTTCGATGCAATTGTCATGATCCGCAAAGGCAAATTCTACGAAATGTTCAGTGTTGATGCTATTTTTGCACGTGATGTTCTTAAATTGCACTTAACTTATCGAGGAAAGGAACCAATGTGCGGCGTTCCAGAAAAAGCATTCTCAGAATGGGCCATCAAAATCATCAATGCCGGAAAGAGAGTTTGCAAAGTCGAACAAATGGAAACTGCAATTGATCAGGCAAATCGCAAAGGAAAAGGTGCCGAAAAGGCAATCCAAAGAAAGCTTGTTCAAGTCTATTCACTTGGAACAATCGATGACTTCGAAATGCTCGAATCCTCTCAACCAAGTTATTTATTATCTATCAGATCATCCAGCCGTCAAACAGCAGGTGTTTGCCTTGTTGATTGTTCGACAGGTACCTTCCATTTAGGTGCAGTTAACGAAGATGACTTGGCAGATACATTAATCAGATTCGAACCAGTCGAAGTTATCTATTCAGCGAACAACATCTCACCTGAACACTTAGCAATCATCAAACACTATTGTGGTAATGTCGCTACACGTGCTAAGACCGGTTCAGAGACATGGGACAGTACTCTTGCGATGAATACTATTTTAAAGATCGCAAAATGGGATAATGTTCCAGATTCTCTTGAAAATGTTCATCAAGATGCAATTGCAGCCTTAGGTGGATGTGTTGCTTATCTAAATGAGCACAAAATTGCCGAATCTTTGTTATCATTAAAGAGATTCAAGACTTTGGATGAAGCAGGATCATCTTCATTCCTTTCTCTTGATTCATCTGCACTTACAAACTTACAGATCATTGGAAAAGATCCACATTGTCTTATTAATATCTTAGACCACTGCACAACACCATTTGGACGTCGTCGTCTTCGTTTCTGGATCATGCATCCACTCAGATCCATCAATCAAATCGAAGAACGTCAAAAAGCAGTTGAAGAATTAATGAAACCAGATTTCAACACGCTTTCAAAGGAGCTCAAGACAATTCCTGATCTCGAAAGAATGCTTTCACGTGTTTACTCAAACAAATGCAGCGTTAAAGTTTTCATTGATTGCCTTGGCGCTCTCAAAAAATGTTGTCAATTTTTCACAAAAATTGAAGGAACGGTCAAATCTCCGCTATTAGCGAATGTTGTTCCACCAGGAAAAGGAAAGTCTCTTGCCAAACAGATAGATGATATTCTTGCAGAGCTTGAAGTCGAGAAATCAATTCAATCTAATGAATTCATTGTCAAAAAAGGCGTTTTCAAAGATATCGATGATATTGATGAAGAAGTTTCATCAATTGAAGATGATTTGAATGATATATTAAGAGATATCAAGCGCGAAGTTGGCTGCAAGGATCTTTCCTATGTAAACATGCAATCTGAGAAGTTCCAAGTCCAAATTCCAGTTAAATATTGCTCAGATCTTCCTGACAAGTATATTTTGATGTCTCAGACGAAATCAGTTAGAAGATATCATACTCCTGAGATCAAAGAAAAGCTGAAGCAGTTGGACATCGTAGAGAACGAGCGCCAGAAGTTGAGAAGCGGATCACAGAAGAGATTCATCGATGAATTCGCAAAGAATTCACCAATTTGGGATTCAATTGTTGATGCAATTGCTGATATTGATTGTTTGATTTCCTTGGCAATGACATCAATCAGATGGAGAGCATCTGGTGTTCTTTGCAAACCAATCTTTGTACAAAAGGATTCTCCAGAAGCTCATGGACAAGCCATTCTCCAAGTCGAGAAAATGAATCATCCTTGCATCATTGGAACACCAATTCCTAATGACATCGACATCCACGATAGATTCGTTCTTTTGATTACTGGTCCAAACGCTTCTGGTAAATCAACATACGCTAGAATGTGTTGTGTATCAATCATACTTGCACAGATAGGTTGTATGCTACCAGCTGTTTCTGCAAAGATGACTTGTTACGACCAGATTTTCACAAGAATTGGCGCAAGTGATAGAATCTTTAATGGCCAATCAACTTTCGCCGTTGAATCATCAGAAACAGCCAGATTGATGAAGCATGCAACAAGCGATTCATTTGTTGTACTCGATGAACTCGGAAGAGGTACATCAACATTGGATGGCATTGCAATTGCTTCTTCTGTTTTGGATTTCTTCATTAACAAAGTCAAGTGCCCATTGGTATTCTGTACTCACTACCACGTATTGGCAGAAGAGTTTGAACAGTTCCCAATGGTAAGGAATGCTTCAATGAAATACGAAATCAGCAATGGAAATTTGACTCTTGCTTACACATTGATTGACAAGATGTGTCCAAGCTCATTCGGTTGCAGAGTCGCAAAAATTTGCGGATTGCCAGCTGATTTAACCGAAGAAGCTCAAAAAGTTGCTGATGATTTCGAAGATAGACATGCTGCATTAAGAACATCTGGAATTGATGTCAAAGTAGAGACCATTGAAGAGAGAAGAGATATCATTGATTTGAAGAAAGCTATTGACGATTTGACCGGCGGAGTTGTCAACGAACAAAACTTTTATAAGTTTATGGACTTCCTTTCAAAGGAATTGCCAAAGATAAATGTAGAGTGAAAGAATAAAATATATATTATCGATATAAAAAAAGATTCTTTTGTTTTTCAATAACTACATGCTAATAAAGGTATCCAGATCTCAACGTATTAAATACATACTCGTGTGGATTAATCTTGATGGCTAAATTAAATTTTGAACAATTGCCTTTTTTTTGAGGTTAGAAATTTTGAACTCACTTACAGGCGTTAGAGGTAGGGCAACGATAGGTCAAAAAGGCTTCTCTGATAGATTTCCTTGCCTTTTGGATATGCTATAATATATAGCCTAGCATGATAGGATATGATGTCAAAAGTTAGAACATAACTTAGGATCTTGAGAAAAATGAAAAACAAAAATTACATAAAAAAAGAAAAATTTTATCTAATTTGTTTTTTTGGACCGAATAAGTAATTTTATTGAATTTCAATACGACACATAGATTTTATTATTAGTAATAAATATAATGGTTTACTATTAACAAGGAACCTAAACTAATGAAAATTTGATTTCAAATATTGTATATGATTATCATAGATTACCAAAATAGATTGCTATTTATGAGGATATAATATTGATTATTAGTAAATCGTATAAATTTAATAAATATACCATGAATATTGAATGAATTTCTTGATTCATAGGGGTAAAACGCGCTTTTATATGATTTAGACAGAGAATTTATGAGATGTAAATAACACAATAAAGGTTATATTGAATATTTTCTAAAAATAAATCGAAATTATAAAAAACAATACATTTATTCATTGAAACTACTTGGACAAATATGAAACAAGCATTCAGGCAATACTTTTGAGACTTCAACGCATCTGATAATTTTTATATAACTTCACCTCTTATGCTTAGAGTGGAGGTATTGAGATCGTATAAGTATAGATGAGCTCACATTCAGATATGATGTGTGAACTTCTGTTTTCACTGCAATTTTGAATCAGAATAAACTCAAAACAAGAATAAAATGATATACTCACTCTCTAAATGTGTTCGAGATTTAAAGTTGTATGAATAAAACGATTCATCTTTCGAAGCCTCCCATTTAATGAGAGACTTCGAAAGATGAATGTATTCATGTAGATGAAATACTATATATGACCATGTGTGATACTAAAGATATCAAAATGTTCATTTTTAAGTGCAATAGAAGGGTTATCTCTCGTAAAATCTCAATTTAAGGAAGATTTAGAAAGAACTCCTTTCCTAAGTAGATAGTGTGTGGTTTCTGTCTTTTGGTTGATCAGGAACTATGAAATTAAGTCGGACAGAAAGAAGTTCTTTCCAAAACAGACTCCAAATGAGTTGTTCGAAAAGAACTTCCTTCTGTATATGGATAATTGTAGTTACCGCACTGAAGTATGTGATTGTGATGATGGAGTTCTGATAAATCTAAAATCGGATTAAGATTAATTGAAAACTCAAGTAATTCTTTGAAATCTTGTGTTGTCTGGCACTATAATAACCAAAGAATGAGAATATTATGTTGAATGATGAGTACGTGTGCTCGGCATTCGCCGAGCGAATTGAGTTTAACGTACTATGAAAAGTGACAAATTTGGGCTTTTTTTCCTAGGGTTATGATCTCTTCCTTTCTGCTCAATACGACAGAAATGAAAGAATGAATTTGTACTCCCTAATTGATTACTACAATCTGTATCTATCTTTAACATAGAATTAGCTGCATTGTGATTTATACTCCAGAATTATTCAATTTAAGATCAACCTCGTAAATTTTAATCATATTGCACCAATACTCCTACGTTGAGATAAGAACATGATTATACATACCAAAGCCCCATATTAAAAATCAAAATTTAGCACCTCCATTATGCAACCACATTATTCGTCGCAAATAAGTATATTTACGCATATTATGATGCATATTCACACAACTCGTATACATGAAAAGTTATTAAAATCAGACAAAATTATTGCAATAAGGAAAAAAAAACAACTTTATTATATATGTTAGTAATGAATTACAAATATTTCTACAAAGAATGCTCAATACTTCATATAATCTTCGAATATTTCTTATTACAAGTTAATACATTTTGACTCGAACATGATAAACAAAAGCTGACACGCTGATTACTACATTTATGAAAATATAGTACGTTTCCATTCATCTGTTTACGTGTTTTTGTTGGAATAAAATCATTTTTTTTTCTTTCATGAAATAAGAATTTTGCTGCGAAAGCAATATCTCTAACAATAATTAATACATTACGTCAACTCTGGAATGAGTATTTATCAAATATGATATCAAAATCAAAAATTAGTTGTTTTTTTATGAGTAAAAACGATGTAAATTGATTATTTGACTAATTATCAAATACTTTGATTTTCCAAATTTTTTTCGAAATTGATTTTTTCATGTGAAAATTCAAATTGTTTAATTTCATTTTTGAAATTTTGAATTTTTTTGGAATTTTGAGTTGATCAATTCAGCAGAATTGATAATGCTATTGCTTTAGGGCATACCACAAGGTGATGAATAAAAGGTGAACATTAACAAATTATTTTAAATCACAAATATCATCCTCATCAACTTTAATTCTAAAAAGAACTGTACTGAATTATGAAAATGCATGATTTACATTATTAAAATCTTTGAATGAAAATAGTACAAGATAAGTTTTTATTCATTTTTAATTAGATTTAAACGAAAAACTACTCCATATTAAAATTTAAGTCGAGAAATCGTATTTTGTTCTTATTTGTTAGCATTTTGTAGACATTCTAATCTTGAATTAATTTGTTACATGATATTATTAACAAATTTAACTGAAAAAATATGTTAATATGGAATAAACCATGATTATATAAGCTATCAATGCTATATATACATATGTAAAAGATTCATATTAACTCAATTAACAAAAATGATAGATTTTCATAAAGGTTCAATCTAGGTTCGTCCGAAAATTTTGATTTTTATATAGAAGACATAGTTTCATATACATAATTAAATTTTCAAACAAATTTGATCATACCATTTATTAAGCAGGATAGTATATTAATTACTATCAGTATAAAAATATAAAAATGATTATATTTAATTATTGCATAATTTAGTCAAAGAGTTATAAGCCTCAAGTGATTGTTATCACCTTCAATACACGTATACTTTATTGATTCATAGATATTTAATCTATGTTTGACATGTTGTTGTCGTCATTCGTTTTGTTCCCATTCTTCCTAAGTTAGAATTAGAGAATACACCATCCACATCATCTAATTTGGTCCTCAGCGATAGATTGGTTCATTTTGGAGGAGTCCCATCAGACAGTTTTCGAGCACCAAATATCAAATTTTAATGTATACAAATCTTTAGTGATTTATCTCTTTTATGATGAGTAAAAGGTTTCTGCTCATCAACATTTGATTTCCGACATATATGATTTCTAATTGCAATTATTTACTTTCTTTTTATAATCTAACTCTGTGACTCATACCATAAATTAATTATTGGAAAGTGTCAATATGTTTGGCACAACGCATGGCGGAAGATACCAAACCATGCAGGGAATATGATACGTTTAAGATCTCCGAACTTTTTTTCCAAAAATTTTCTATCGTTGAAAGAATTCGAAAGGTTGACTGTAGAATGTAAGTAATTGAAAGAGAAAGGCGATCGTCTAAAAAAATTTTTTTTGCACCATTTCAAAAGGAAAGTGACAATTCTGTCTGAATGAATCTTAAAGCTCAAACGCTCAAGGTAACATTGGCTGGAAACGCTAATGCGGGCAAAACATGCATGATCCATAGACTTATTCATTTCCAATATGTTGAAGGCTTTCATCAAACTGTTGGAACAGCTACACATGATTGGTCGCCAATTGTTGGAGATAAAACATTAGACATTCAGATTTATGATACAGCAGGTGCTGAGCGCTACAGATCTATCGCTTCTATTTACTTTAGAGAAGCAAACGGTGCGGTTATTACATATGATGCATCCGATGAAGTTCCAACCGAAGATCTTAAGTTCTGGATCCAGTCATTCAGAGAAATGGCCAAAGTAAACGCTCCGATTGTTATCGCAGCAAACAAAGCAGATTTAATTGAAGATCGTTCAGCTCTTCAGACTCAAGTTAACAAGGTCAAAGAGGAATTCGGTTACCCAGTCTTCATAACCTCTTCAAAGACAGGAGAAGGCATTGCTCAAATGTTCCAATTCTTGGCAGAGAAAATCCATGAGGTTTTCCCTGACAGTATTACAATAGATTCAGAATTCCACGAAAACGAGCAACCAGGCTGCCAATGCTGAAAATTATTTTATATTTTAGCAGATATCAAAGATTTTACTGTACGTTTATGTTATAAAATCAATTTGTATAAAATTCTTACATATTTTTTAAAAGAAAATATTTGATGATTAAAATCTAGAATTATCTTCCAAACAAAAGTCAGAATTGAAATGGAAATTTTCTCAGATATAGCTGAGATTCTTCAGTTAAAACAAATTTTATATCAATATTGTAAATTGAATCAAATTTACGGCATTATATTGATATATAATTCGTTTTATGATATAACAATGATATACTACTTGTACTGGATTGTACTATCGTGACATTTAAGAGATTTTTCTCGATAATTCTGGATGATTTTATAACTCTAGATTGTATTTGCCGATTTTCTCCAAACTACGTATTCTACATATGCATAATATGTATAGCCTTCAGCTGGAGTTTAAAGCCAAAATTTTGGTTAGAAGGGAGTGTCCGTACCTTTCATAAGATGAGATTTAAAAAACTCAGCTCTAATACTTTATAAAAACGATAAAAATTTTTTTATTAAAGAGGAACTTCCCATTTTGCGATTGCCGAGTAGTCGATGTTCTCGTCAACGAGTGGTTTGTCAAGAATTGTCAAAGCGGCTGTTCCGCACTCAGGGCAAGATCTCTTTGCTATTTCAAGCAGCATTGAAGAGATCTTTGTGTTGTCTGTGGCAGCTCCGAACACGATGTCAGTTAATTCTTGGCCGGAAAGGAAATTGGCCATATTCTGTCTGAAGCAAGAGAAATGAACAGCATGGCCGCATGGATAAACGTCGAATGGCTGATCTGAGACCTTTTGGTTGCAAATTACGCAAATTTGGTCGGCAGGTTCGACAATGATTGACGACATCGTTGTATCTGTGACAATACGTCTCTGCTCTGCCATTCTCTCGAGGATTTTCTTCCTTGTTTCCTCGGATTTTCGTAAATCTGCAGATGATTTGCCGACAGCTGTAGAAATCGTTTTATGGAGGTCGTCGAGTTGCATATCGCCTGGAATGAGTGGGAATATGTCGTCCAATGACAAAATTCTCTTCTGCGTCGCTTTCTGAATAATTTGCTTCCAATCGTCGGATTCGATGAAAGAACCGAGGTCGCGGCACGACCTAAGGATGAAGAGCCAACATTCCTTAAGATCGTCGGCTTTGTCGAGCTCTTTCATGAGATCTAAAATTGGTTGGGATTTTGACTTTGGTTTTGTAGTTGTAATATGTTTAATGATGTATCTGACAGCAGAAAGGTGTCTGTTGTCAACATGGGCGTAAATCTTGGCTGCAAGGTCGTATAATTTATGTGTTGCGCAATATGTTGCAATAAAGTCATGATCTGCCTTCTGGAAGTTCTTAGATTCAATGAACTCGTTGATCTTCTCTTGATTCTTCGAAATTACGTAGAAAATAAATTCCATCGAGAAATGAATCGGAGAAGTGAAGTATCCTTGCATAATAAGGTGCGGCATTAAGTTAGTAAAGTTGTCCATGTAGAATGAGTTGAGGTCCGATGCATCAGCAATGATAGAACAAAGAGCATCAAATATTGCGGACATTGTTGTTTCGCTAGACTCATCTAAGAAGTCTATGAACTTCATCTTCTGGTTCTTAATGACGCGCATGAAAATCTGGCGCTGGTTCTCAACAGAAAGAGTCTTTGTAAGTTTAAGCAAATGAACGTAATCTGGATTGCCATTTACTAAGGCTTGGACGGCATTCTCGAAGTCTTCGAAAATAATGCATGCATCAGTAAGGAGTGTCAACTCGCCATAGTGCTTAATTAACTTAATTACGGTTTTTCCATCGAGAGCTTCCTTGTAATCATTAATGAATTTCTTCAAAGCATCTATGTCAGCTTTCTTCTCGGCTTGTGGGATGGAGCTGAGGATGCCTAATTGAGTTTCAAGGTATAAATGACAATAAATTTGTTGTGCGGCTGGAGAAACACCGATCTTAGAAGCGCTCTTATAGAAATATGCTGCTAATGCAGGTGGACAATTTGATAGAAGGCGAACAACTTGATTGAATGGTAAATTTTCGTGAATTAAAGATTGTGCTGCAGCATTGTACTCCTTATTTTGAATCCTCTTTATTACAGATTTAGGGAGTGTAATGCCACATATAGATTCCGCAAGCTGAGGCTTATTTGGGAAAAGCGACATTTATCTATAAATTTTTATGCAGATTTATTATGTCATGTAAATTTGATTTCACTTCCCCTTATTACTTACATGTCAAAAATTAAAAAAAAAAACATAATGAGTGTTACTAAAAGGGAATTAAAAGCATGTTTTTAAATGAACTTCTCGAAAATGGCAACTTTATCCATGACTTTGAGATCGCGTTACATTTCAAAAGCAAACTCTAAGCATAAGTAGGCCTCTATATGATGAAACTACCTGTGCTATTAATTTTACGATGTAGAAAATACCAAATGGATATTTCAAAAAAAAATAGGATATAGATATAAAATACTGTAAAGATATGCATTTAAATACAATAATATACATCAGAAAAGACATGACATAATTCATTCTTTCTAATCGTCGGATTCAGAATTATTTTGGTTCGAATTGCTGGAATCCTTTGAATTCTTAGAGCGGGAAGAATGTTTATGTGATCTGCGTCTTCTTTTTCCGTCATCAGAGCTGCTGCTTGAAGATTGAGAGTATGAATCTGGAGAACTTTCGTAATCAGAGCTGTATGAATGACGATGATGGCGATGACGGTGGTGGCGATGATGGCTGCGGTGTGGCTTGCGTTTAGGTTCTGAGCTTGTACGAGCTGGTTCTGGTTCAATTGCATCAGAGTCATTAGGATTATCTGGTAACTGTACAACATCTGAGTTTTCCTCGAACTCAATTTGGGGCTTCTCGGCAGGTTCAGCATTTTGTTCAATTTCTCTTTGAGGAGGCTGATTATGGACATTAGGAGAATCTGGTGCATGTCTTACAGACAATTGAGCAGGTAATTTCGGTATTGCTGGCTTTTGAACACTTCCTGGGATTGAAGGTGGTCTAATGGCTGAATTGTTTGGTATTACTGGCTCATGCCTTGGTATTCTTGGGGCACTGCTTGGTTGTGGTGCAGCTGACTGATTGAACAGAATTGTTGTTCCGTAATCAATTGTTTTTGAAATAACTTTGGAAGAAATCTGCAAATTCTCAATGTTTTTGTTATTTGTTTTTGTAGCAATAAATTCAGCGTTAACCTTTGAAGAGCAAGTGAGGTATCCAATCGGAATTCCTCGACTTCCATATTCGATATCTAAAGATTTTAAGGAAAATTCATTTGTTCCTGGAGCATTTTTAATAATGAAGGATTTCAGTTCATCTAAATTCATATTTCCAAGGCCGGTGAACATAACTTTATATACTTCCATAGTTGAAGCTAAAAAAAAATGACAGTCAAATTTCTTACCAAAATGAATTTCAGATGTATTTTCCCAGAAAGACCGGGAAGGGGGTCCTTTCTTAAGGTCAGAACCCCCTTCTAGTATTTTTGGTGCCGGAAGAAGTGGCCTTTGCCGATATTGGAATTCCTTCCGGCAAAATTTTTGCATTTCACAGAAGTTGCGGTATGTGCATTCTAGCATCACAGATACACTCTCTATGATCTGTAGTTGCAATTTCCCACTGCATCGATTAAGATTCACAGCAGGCCCTGGCAAAATCAGAAAAATTGTCCAAGAAATACTGAGGAGGGCCCTTTCTCAAGATCAGGGCCCAATTCTAGTCTTTATGAAGCTGTGAGTCTACTATAGAAGCATAGTTTCGTAGAAAAGTGTCTGGATTCTGAACGATCTCCAGAAACTTGGCAGTATAGACTGTAAGTGAAACTCCAGTTTCTTGGAAAATAATATTCTGCATATATGGGTCATTTATGGCAGAACGATGACGAGATCGTCCTTATAATAGCGTTCAAAGCGAAACTCGGTTATGAGGATTAAATTTTCAGTATCAGATATATGATAAGGCTAGAACTTCATGTTTGCTTGTTCTCATGGCTGGATTACTCTCCTGCCTCACGGGATCAAGACGGCATTTGAGAAAGCCAGCCTTGAGAGATTTAAGTGAGGCACTGGCATCTCATAAGGCCAGATACTGTGTTTTTATATCTTTCATGGCCAAAAGATGACAAGACCACTCATCATTTTCACAATCAGGCCAAAACTCAGCCCTGAGGGTTGTTGCTACAGATTCTGAACTATGCTGAATCCAAATATTCGTATTTGATGAGCTCATCAAAATAAAACTTCATTTAATATTTGAAGTTTGCGAGATAGCATTGTTTCCTTCTGAAATTATTGTAGCAAATAGATTTCACGAAATATTCCTCAAATATTCATTATTTCATCCCCAAATTTTCGTGCCGATAATTGTTGAGAAATGTCAAAAAAATATTTTACAACATTTCACTTAGTTGTTATTATCAGATGATATACGATTCGGCTCTGCAGTTTAGTATCTGTCCAAGGAGTGGAATATAATGCTTAACAACTTATAGAAGCAAAATTCGTTATTATCCTAAATGTCAAAATTAATTTCGTCACTTTTCTAAAATTTCAACTAAAATTTTTAAATGTCTCAAATTCCACATTTGAATGAAATTCCTAAACCAAACTTCATTCAGATGCCAATCCCTGATAAACCAATAACACCTCCTCACACTCCAGACAGAATAACTGTTCAAAAACGAGGCAGTGCGTCTTCTACACCACCTGATAGCCCATCTCGCGCAAATCTTCAAGCTGCTGATAAAAAAGCATTAAAAACACTAATATCTCTCACGAGATCGATAGATACTACAGTAGAAAGACTTTATTCTTTCTGCGAACATATATTTAATGAAAAATTCAGTTCTTTATTAATAGATTATTTCGAAAAACACGTAACTACATTTAGAGAGCTCAATACATGCATTGTTTCTCAAAATCAATTCGAGCAAAGCAAGGCACGCGAATCAACTCCTTCCCCTGTTAGTTTTAACTTTCCTTCCAACATGGGAGTTGTTGATGAAGACTGGCCAAACCCAATTTCCGATCAATGGCTGGAATCGGCTCAATATTATATAAATGGTCCGGCTGCAGAGAAAATTAGTTCACCAAAACGCGAAGCATTATCACTAGATCAAAAATTACTGAATGCAGACCAGAAAAGACGCCATATTGAGAATATGAAACGGCTAGAAATTCGTAAACAAACAAATCGCGTTCGTAGAGTTGTTGAACGCAGAATACAGCAGAGCAGAGAAGCAGAAGAAGCATTTAAAGAGAAAATTGAAGCAGCAGATCAACGCCGCGACGCAATTTTAAATCAAAAAGTCGAAAGAGCTCGAAATGAATCAGAAAAAGCATCAGAATACAAATACATAGTTGACCTCGAGCAAGAAAGCAAGAGAGTTCAACTAAATCGAAAGAGCGACGAAATTAAAAAGCGTCATGACGAAATGGTTCGTACTTCTCAAGAAAAAGCTCGCGAACGCACAATATCTAAATCATCTCCAACGAATTTACGCCAAAGAAAGATGGCAGTGAAGAAAGGAGCGATTACTTTGGCAGAAGCACTCAGAGCAGGCCAAATTCCAGGTGATTTTGCCGAAAATGCAGAGAACGAAGACACATTTGACTATCCAAAGCTCCAGGAACCCAAAGAATCCCTCAGCCAACACGCAATTGAGACAATTAACAGAATTGAGTCAGATCCAACGGATCCAAAGAACACAGCTCGATTCCTTAAGCTTGTATCTGACTATAGATCATCATTATGCAGCTCTTCTCGTGCAGGATTGGCTTTAATCAAATCTCTCAAAGAATGCATCAGAAGTAACGCAAATTCGATAGATACAATGATCAGACATGTCACACAGATTGCAGATACATCACTTCCTTTCGCAGTTCATGTTGGCGTTGAAGCGATATCAGTATTTCCAAGTTTATGCAAGCACACTAACTCATTGAACACAATTAAAGAACTTATTACACTTTGGACCAGGATTCTTGATGCTAAGAATCCTCTTAACATAAGGATTTTCTTTGTTGAAAGATTATCTCAATCTGCCGCTTTAGATGGCATTTGCTTTTTACTAGGCCAATGCTCAGTTGACGATTTATCATCCTCAAAAATCCTTATGGCGTTAATTGCTTCAGATGTTTCATTACTTCAAGCGATGGCAGATTTATTTTTCAATACAACTTTTTCTGAAGATGTAAACTCCGTGGGAATTGACTGCGTTTCAAGGGCAATTGGACCATCTATTATAGATTTCTTAAATGCTATGTCAATAGATACAGCCAAAGCCCCTCACGATATCATTTCTCAAGCAACAATTGCGTTAAGTACTTTCATTGCAGGAATTCCGGGTTCAGCCGAGCAATTCATTGATGAAAATATAGCAGCAGAAATCAACTCAGTCATGAGAGCATTCTTATCTTCTTCTGCTCCATGTACAGCAGGAAAACATTTAATTGTATTGTTTGGTTTGCTTTGCAAGTCGAATACAGTTAAAGAATCATGTCTATGGCTGCCATCGCCAACAGTTTTGGACTTGTTATGCGGTTTACCTTTAGAATTTTTCATCAAAAGAGATGGAGCTGCTGTTTTACTGCCAACCATCGCTGCTTGCTGCTCAGGAAATGAGGAAAACTTGAAATACATTATGAATAGTGCACATGTCAATGAATCTCTTGTTGCAAAGTTCCTTGCAAGAGCTACAGCAATTCCGAATAATATATTGTCTATAGAACACAGAGTTTCGAAAGAAGATATTAATGTTTTAATAGAAAAGTTTAGTTCAGAAAAGAAATAAATAATATTATACTATTTATGAGTTTAATTACCTATCGTTCTTTTTTAAATATACTAAGCAACTAGGTATTAATTCTAAGATATTAAAACAATTGAGATTAGATCATAAATCTCGTAACACACCCCCAAAAGCGTCTCAATTTGAAATTTCTATCAGAAATAACCCAAAATGTATGGTAAAGATGCCATCAATGGCTTTAGCATATATAAATGTTACAAATCCTTGAATTTTGATTTATTGATAGAATATGGGACTTAAACATATACCATTAATATATAGGCAATTAGTAGATTTAAAATTTGTTCACATCACATCTAATTGCAGAGATTCTTCTTAAAAATAAAATAGAGAAAATAATAGTCCCTTCTATATGAACAGGATAGCTTATATTATGCGAAATATTTTCATTACCTACATCCTTGGGCGTGGTGCTGGAAATCAAAATCATCTGATAAAGGATGCTCATGTTTCCATATACATTATAATGAAAGTTCGATTTAAAACAATTTTGTAATGCTTATTCTGGCATAATATTTGATATTAATGGTACCCATCCAACTGATGGTTCAAAAAAAGTGACGCTTGGCCTTTCCTTCCGAATGTCTGCGCCAATTGTTATTGATGCTAAAGGCCACATCCAAGGTCGTCTTGCCGCCGCTGTTGCCAAGCAGCTCCTCAAGGGTCGCAAGATCGTTGTTGTTCGTGCTGAAGAAATCGTTTTAAACGGCAAGCACAAATTCACTGTCCACACCTACGAGCGCTTCCTCAACAAGACAACAAACTCCAACCCACGTGATGGTCCATTCCACCAGCGTGCTCCACGTGAAATCTTCGCTCGTGCTGTCCGCGGAATGCTCCCATACAAAACACACCGTGGTGCCGAGGCTTTCGAAAACCTCAAGGTCTTCGAGGGTGTTCCAGCCAAGTACGTCACATACAAGCGCGTCGTTATCCCACACGCCCTCCGCTGCGTTTCCATCCACACTGATCGCCCAACAACAAAGCTCGGCGAGCTCTCCACAACAATGGGCTGGAAGTACGGCAAGGTCGTTGCTGATCTTGAAGCCAAGCGCAAGGCCGAATCAGCCAAGTACTACGAAGCCAAGAAGGCTCAGCAGGACAAGAAGGCTGCTGCTATCGAGAAGGCTAACAAGCAGCTCGGTGCTCAGGCTGTCAAGTTCCTTGAGACATTTGCTGAGTAAATTTTTTATATCTTATATCTTATTTATCAAATTAAATATGCTTGCAAAGTTTACACATATAAAATTGAGAGTTCAAAAATGCTATCAGTAGCTTCATTTTTATTGGCGAAATTAAAAAATCCTATTTGTTTGCCGGTCAAAGAATTTTCATCTAAGTGGTATAATAAATTCAGGCTAGGCCTAGAAAGTGTAAGTATCAGATATAAATTGTTTACTCGAAAGATTCCTTAATAGTTTCTAAATATTTGTTAGCAGCTGGAACTAAACGAGCTGTTGTAGCTGGGAGATCAAAGGTGAAAAGAAGAACGATTGGCTTCTTGTCGCCAGCGCGTGGGGACTTGAGAAGGCAGAAACCATTTGTCTTCTTTGTGTTTGGATCAGCGCGACCATATAAGATTCCATCATAGAAACGGTGGACGTGGTAGTGAACACCATCATATGTTAAGCCAGCCTTGATTGTTTCATCGAAATCCTTGAATAATTCGAGCCATGTTGTAATCTCTTCTGGCTTAACTTCTGTTGTGGCAAGGAGTTGCTTGCCATCTTCTGTGAAGAGAACGAAATTCTGCCAATCCTTGTTTGCGTTTTTGATTGTCTCTACTGTTGGAGCAGTCATGAAAAAGTGTTCGATAAGGAGCGGTTTTTTCAAATCACGATAAATTTTTTTTTATACTCGAGTTTGAGTAATATTTAAATTTCCACCAGATTTTAATATCCCAAGGTTATATGTTTCACAATATTTCTTGATTCCATTTGGCTTTGTCCCTTCAAAAAGAGTTCAATTGACACAGATCATGGTCTTCTTTCATAAATTGACTGATTGGCCATTTGCAATGCGGTACATGCATTAATGGCTGACATTTTATTCATTCCAATCATCACTTAATCATGATATGATTGATGGGAATTCTCAAAATTCATATTCTATAATTTATTACATACACTTCAGTCTAGTTGGATCTGTATGTATTAAATTTTGACACTAAATAGTACAACTGATTCATTTAGTATTTTTCTTGATATTGCAAACATGTATTTTTTAATCAGAGCAGATTATTAGTTATAATTAGCTATATTTCTCATGAATTTCACCACTGAGCAAGATATTCTCTTTGAAATATAAACATTTTATAGTTTCTTGTTCTTTTATTCCGAATACAGACATATATCAGCTTAAAGAAGGAAAGTTATGAACTATAGAGAGGTGATAATCATAATATGACTAAAAAAATTGATATAGAGATTATCAAATTGAATATTATATTAAACTGGATTCAAAAATGTAATGAAAAAGAATAAAATGGATGTATACATACTAAGAATCATTTAGTTTTCATCAAATAGAAATATTGCAATTTTTAAAATTATATCCGTGTAATTTTATCAAATTAATTCAAATTTTGTTTTTAAACGGATGTCATTTGAAAAAATTGTTTACAAATAGAATAATATTGGATATATCTGGTAATAAACCGATATATCGAATTTTTTAATTGTGATCGATATTGAAAACTTCTTGTTTTTGAGTTGAAAGCAATAAAAAAATATGGGAGGAAGCCAAAGCTTAACTAAAAAGAAGTTACTCTTCCTTGGTCTTGATAATGCTGGTAAAACTACAATCCTTAAAGCTTTATCAAAAGAAAGTCCTGATAATGTTGCTCCAACACGTGGATTTAACGTGAAGCAGCTCAAAACAGGCAATTACGAATTCAACATTTGGGATGTTGGCGGTCAAAAGGCTCTTCGATCATATTGGGCATCATATTATGATAAAATTAATGCTATTGTTTGGGTAATTGATAGTGCTGATACTCACAGAATGGCTGAAACAGGTTTTGAACTTGCTGAGCTGCTTCAAGAAGAAAAACTAGCTGGTGTACCAGTTTTAATCCTCGCAAACAAGCAAGATTTAGCAACTGCAAAGAATCCTGACGAAATAGCAATAGAACTGGAATTACACAATATTAGAAATAGAAACTGGCAGATTCAAGGATGTTCGGCTGTGACTAGCGAAGGTCTTGAAGATGGTTTATCATGGCTGCGCCAAAATGTTAATTAAAGCTTATATTTTTGTATTAAATCAGAAACCCATCTAATATACTTCATCCAAACATACTTTAACAATAATGAACTCATAATAATGAAACAATCATTGATATTTTCTTTATTTTGGAATAATTTTATACTATTTCCATAATAGATATTGCATAAGAGAAGAATGCATCGTTTGTTGATTTGAGTTTTTACCATTGAAATAGCGATCTTTATTGAGAACATTTAAACTTATTGTATTTGGAAGATCTATACAGTGTCATTCTCTTTACATTTTATTGCTTAATTGCTGGCTTTCCTTTGCTTTCTAATATCATTTCATTCTTTAATAAAATCAATATTCTTTTAGTTGAATTTAAGGCATTTGCATCGAAATCGTTGTTAAATAACTATAGCAATGAGTAACTTGATCAATTTAGATTTTGTGATGACTTTATGATTTGAGAAATATCTTTTTAAAAAAATAAGGAAATATACATTAATAGATGATATTTTATTATATCTACCAAATCTTATATAAGTCTTAATACTCCACTTGTCTAAATTTCTTGAAATAAGTCCAATTGTTGACATCATAAATCTTTGTTAAAGCATTCAAAGATCCAACAAAAGAGTTATAATTCTTTGTTACAGGTTCACTCCATTGAGCAACAGCAGTGGCAGCAGCTCTTGGCAATGTTTGGTACATGACCCTCTCAAAGTTTGGAGTCATTTCTCCCCATACACAAGCCTCTATACCAAGGATATTCTTTATATCTTCATCTTTGTGGAATTTTTCAATTGGTTCATAAGTGTAAACATCTCTTAATGTGTTTACAGGTGCTCCTTTTATGACATAAGTGGAGTCATCGACGAATTCCTGTCTGTAGTCAAGATAGAATGGTTTTGTTGGTGCCAAAATCGTTGGGTATCCGAATGTTTCTGATTTTCCTTTCGCTGAATGCCTCAACCAACTCAAAACCGTCAAATTTCCAATTTTTCCAACATAAGCAGCTTCAGACCACCCGATTGCCTTCTTTCCTTTGGATGCTAAGAAGTTTGCGAGCTCCTGGGTGAAATATGCTTGCATGTATTCTTCTTTGCTGTTCTCATCATCCCACAAATTAAGTTTTCGTATACGACTTTGACACTTTTTACAATTTCTCCAATGGAATTTGTTTACTTCATCTCCACCGATATGGACGTACTCTGAAGGGAAGATTTCCATAACTTCTGTGAGAATATCCTTTATAAATGTCATTGTATTTGGATTTCCGACACAAAGAATGTCAATTTGTGGACCAAATTTTTGTGCAACATGATAAGGTCCGCCTGTGCATCCAAGGTCGGGATAGGCGGCCAAAGCAGAGACGGAATGGCCTGGTAAGTCGATTTCTGGTACAATTGTGATCTGGCGGTCTGCTGCGTATTGAACAAGTTTGCGGAGTTCATCTTGTGTGTAAAATCCACCGCGAGGAATTCCATCTTTCATTGTGGAGTTCCTCATGGAGCCAATAAGCGTAAGATTGGGGTATTTCTTTGATTGAAAGCGCCAGCCTTGGTCATCTGTGATATGAAAATGGAAATAGTTCATATTGTGGAGAGCCATGATATCTATGAATCTCTTGACATTATCGAATGTTTGGAAATAGCGTGAGACATCTAAAAGAAGTCCTCTGAAAGAAAATCTCGGTCTATCGATGATTTCAACTTGATAGAATTTGACACTGTATACTTTTTGAGTTGGAATCAATTTTCTTAGCGTTTGAATGCCATAAAATGATCCTCTGCTTGTACTTCCGTTAATATAAATTTTATAATCAGTAATTGTAAGGTTATAAGCTTCTTCATTGGAGTCTTGATAACCAGTATCAATTATTATAGAGCAGTCATCCGATATTTTTCCAATTAGATTGACAGAAATGCCTGCTTGTTCGAAAATGTAACCAACAAGAAATTGAGCTTGAGTTTTAAGTTTAGGTTTTGTATTGTCATAACAAACTACTGATGATGATGTCAAATCGAATAATTCTATTTTTGCAGAGAAAGATACTGAATAAGGATGCGGAATAATAGATGTAGGATCGATTGCTGGGTTTGATAAGACAAATTTAATTATAATTAGAGTAATAATAACACCATATATGATCGGTATTATGCAATCTCTAATGTCAAGCGAAATTCTTGCCCTTCTCATAAATTTTTAAATTAAGGGTGCACACGAGAGGATCATGTAAACTTCAGAATTTAGAACCTTATTTTTAGGCATTATCTTGGCTACCTATTTAGGCTCGAAAAAGCAAAAAATATCAAAAAATACAACTTGACTCCATTATGACCCTTTCATGGAGGTAGTTTTTATCCGCTAGTATTTTCCCTTTGAATCTCTTTACAATTCGAAATCAAATTCAAACCTCAGTAGAAGAAAGGAAGAATCGACTTACTACGGTTGTAATACGAATAAATACATATATTTAATTATTTTTATTTACATAATAATTGTTTGAAGCTCATATTCCATCAAATTTTTAAATAAAAACATTAAAATGTTGAAAATGTTCATATATTTTAATAGGGTTTTGGCACTTTATTGAGGAATTACTACATACATAGTCGAACTGAACTTGATATTTTGAAATTTAAATTATTTATCAAAATTAAAATTTAACTTGAAATTTATAATTATTTAGTCATATTTTGCATAATTCTAAGTAGATTTTGTAAAAAATCAAGAAAGAAAAATTTTAACGTGCTTTATTTTTTCTTTTTTATAATAATACATATTATTATATAATTAACATATTCATAATGTTTCACCCTTTCAAAAATATAATCCTCCTCCTCTCAAATAAACGTACATACGGGTGGCCTCTTTTTTCAAAAAATTAAAATTTGAAATTTTGGGCTCAAATATTAGAGATTTTTTCAACCTTCAACGATATATGTTGTCTATATCAGACCTCCTTTCTTTTTGATACTTAACATTGTTCCTAAATCTTAGCCGTTAAGGCTGTTCTGAAAATATTTTTTTTTCGAAAAAATTCGAAAAAAATTCTTAAAATTCAAAAATCCCTTAATTCCTGAGGATTTTGGAAAAAAGTTTTTACATGAACATGTGTATATTATATGAAGTATATTGATAAGGTAAAAATCAAATTTTATTGCATATTCATCGAGAAAATAAACTAACGAATCCCTCAAAATTGAGAGGGTAATCCTCCTCTCAAATAAACGTACATACGGGTGCACCCTTAATGCAAGCCTTTTGTCAGTGCTTAGTCTAACTTGATTCAGCTTGAAATATGAAGCAGAAACAAATGCATCGACTTATTCTAATGATAGTAACCAGTTATTTACTTCTATTCCTCATTATCTGCTTTATATAATATATCTTTTGAAATATTCTTTTGATTCTTGACTCACATGGCTATTCTAAAGAAACTAGCAATTGAATTGATAGTTATAGACATATGAAGCCGTGACCTTGGTCAATACGAATGAATTTTACAAACTCCAAGCATATTATGAATTTGTATACTGTCAAACTTAATAACTACTAGATTTATTTTGTTATTATGCAGTGTATGTATATGTAAATGTAAAAATCAATATGAAAATTTCATTATCAAAGTTTTATTCATTTTTATACTATGCTATCTAAGTTAAAAAGATCGTGTAAGAAATACAACATATAAGATATAGTTTAGATGTTTATTATATAAAATTTTAACAAAAACACTAGTAATATCAATATCTAATTTCATGCTGTTGCAACGCGTTCTTTCTTTTCATACATGTGCAGTGATTTTTCAAAATTCCTGATCCACAAGTACAATAAGCTTTTGTTCCATTAAATTTGATGACATTGTGTCCTTTGTGGCATCTATTCTTGCATGCTGTGCAAATTGCGTGGTATTCGTCACTGCAATCCAAGCAGCACCACAATTCAGGACTTGGAGATGGAACATCACGAGTGATAATGAAAGAACAGTCAATTTCTGGGTTGAATATAAGTAAAGGTCTTTGTAAAATGGAACTGTTGAAGTTTTTCTGCTGTTTGAAGAATTCTACGGCTGGTTGATTATTATTTACATGGAAAATCCAAGCAGCATTCACTCCATCTGCATTACAGAAGTTTGCATCCATTCCTGCTTCAACGAGTGCTTTCGCTGTAACGAAATCGTTGTCATAAGCTGCAGTTGTCAGAAATGTCTCTTTTGGATCCATTAAATAGGAGAATCCACGATCTTTAGAATACTCAATCACTTTAGTATTACCTTCAGCGGCAAGTTTTTTAAAAGTAATATATAATTCATGGGAATTTTTCGATCTTGAGTAAAATTGCTTTTGAATTTCAAGTTCTTCAATTGTTTTTGCTTGATCTGATATTTTCTTTTGAAGACTTTCTTCATTTCCTTCTTTAATTGTGTCTAATGTGCTCTTATAATTTTGAATTTGATTTCTCATTTCATTTATCTCTTTATCTTTCTCTGATGATATCTGCCGCTGCTCATATAATTGGTTCCTCAAAGATTCGATGTCTTTCTGGCATTCTGTAAGAATTCGACTTGATTCTACCGAATTAAGGTTTATTTGTATCTTAGAAACCTCTCCATTGCTTGGCTTTCCATTTCTCATCATGTCTGATTGAGCTCTCTGTAATTTCATGATTTCTTCTTCTTGTAATGAAATTTTGTTTTCTCCAACTTCAACTTTCCTCAAAAGATCAGCTATGATTTCATCTTTTTGTTTTAGCTTTGTATTTGCTTCTTCAAGTTCCTTTTCTTTGTTATTTGCAAATTCATCTTTAATTTTTTGCAAATTCTTGTAACCATCGATTTCTTCTTGTTTAGACTTCATAGCAGCGTTATTTTCTTCTATGATTTTCGTTATTTCATTCGACAAATTTTGTTTTTCTATTTCTAATTTTGAGATTTTATCTTTGAGATTTTCCGCATCTGTTAAGATTTTTCCATATTCCATGTTCTCCTGTGCCAATTCATCGTTTTGTTTCTGTAATAACTCGAATTTCTCTTTAAACTTTGAATTTTCGTTGGCATCTTCTTCATATTTCAAATTTTCTTCTAGTAATAGATCGAATTGGTTTGATACGAATGTGCATATTGCTTGAAATGGTTTGCATTCTAATACTTGATTCAAAAAATTGAGAAAGATAGTTAATTCACCAAAGTCATCACTGAATGTGATATCTAGTTCACGAAAAACTCTAAATGTCTCTGGGATATTAAAATTATTCTTGCATCCACCTAAAATATACTTTGCTTGTTCTGTGTTAAACTTAGAATCTTTTATATGTTCGATAAGGTACTCTATATTATTAACTTGCGCAAAGAGAGTATCGTTTTCGATAGCTTCTCTGATTTCATCAGTCATTTATTTTTTAAAGTCAAAATTTTTTAAAAATTAAATGTGATTAGATATATATTCAAACAAGATAGTTTTATTTTTTGAGTGATGTCAACTGCGAGAAAATTTGACTAAAAATTATTTTTGACAAAGTTACTAAATCAACGTAATACATTTGTTACCTTTATCTAGAACATATAAGCTAACTACGAAATACCGCTTTAAGCCTTTCCTAGATATAAAATATTTAAAATCTAGGCCAATTATGATGCGATAATACGTATAGCCCCCTAGCTATCATGTTCATGCATTTGTTGACATCAAGCTGTGCAGTACAATCACCGAAATGATCCCATCCATTTGCATAAAAAACAATATGATATAATTCAAATATTTGGCATATTGATACAACAGGATAGTCATACCAGTCTGCAAATGGGGTACATACTGCAGATTTTGGCTGCATAAAGATTGCATTGTCAAGATTTGATCCTGTTGGAGTAAATATAAATTTAACTTGATTCCAAGATCTAATTGCCTGCAGCATAGTGTTAAATTTATCTGGCCAGACTTCCCAATTGATTTCTGGAAATGTTTCTTTGGCAGTGTTAACAATCTCTTTAAAATTAGATATGTGTCGATTTCCTTTTGCTGGTCTGTTTAAGAAAACATATCTATATGGTGGCTTCTCCTCAAGATTTGCTTTCTGCTTAAATAGATTCGACAAATTAATAAGAGATTGCCCAAGATGGCATAAGAATGATCTATTTCCTACAAATGTATGTAACTCCTTTGCAAATATGTAATCACTAAACTTTGGTAAGATTATTGTATGAGAAGTATTGAAACCAAGAAGCTTCAATGAATCTAAACACCAAGTTGGGTGTCCTGATATGACTAAATATGCATTGTCAAAAACTTCTTGAGGAAGCATAATTAAAGGTGAAAGTGCATCTTTCATCCAATGGCCAAACATCAATCCAAAGCGATTTGATAAAGATATTACCCTATCATAATGGCCGATACATTCTCCTGGAATTGCTCCGATCTGATGATTTCGGTAAGGAAGCTGATACCATATGCCATCAATGATTATCGCACCTATTCTATTAACATATGCATTTCTCAACACATAATATGTTGAATTCACGACCTCAATCGATGAATCAAATACTGGTGAGTCAAAACGATACATTTCACGATCATTCAAGTCTAACATCCATCTATTATGCGACCGATCTATTCTGCTGTAAATCTGTCTATAACTAATTATATGATTTTTATCAACATTTGTTAGTGTTCGAGTGAAAACTGCTGTCTGGTTTCTTGGAATCATCTCTTCAATATATGAAAATGAATATTTGTCACCCATATTGTCTGAATTCATACAAATTAAGAATGATATTTTAATTTGATATAAAATTAACAGAGATATGAAAGCGATTATTATATATTGAGCAATATTAACTGCAATCATTATAGATTTTCCCAAGAATTTAGTACAATTATGAAGGATGGCCCGAAATCTTTTCCATACATTCATAATTTTGAAAAGAATTTAAAGATAAGTTGTACGAAATGCTTATTAAATCTAGCAACTGTGAAGATATTAATACCAAAAACTAATAATTTCTAAATTATTTTTAAAAATTGATAAAAAAATAAAAATAAAGGTATAAAACAGTAATACTTTATTATTTTTATTTATCAACAACAAGCTGCTCCATTTCTGAGATGTCTATCTGCAGTGTTTCCAGTGGATCTAAAGGAGGTTTGCGGGCACTCATTTTACAGAGAGCTTTCTCAGCAATGGCTGTAATATGTGACAAGTAGAGTAGTTGGACCTTGATTTTGTGTTTGAGTTCTGATGATTCTTGATCATCAACGCCCATCTTCTCTAATCGATATTCAATGACCTTACACTCCTTATGGAGTGAGTCAATAACATCGTTTAAGTTATTTACAGTAGATTTAGTGGATTCATTTTTAAGAATATTTAATAAAGCGTGGAATGGTAAAGATTCGATGTTATCTGTTGCTGTATTGTATGATTTTTGGAATTTCTTAAATGATTGTGCGTACATAGCGTGAGATTGCTGTGCATCTTCGAATTTATTTGATTTTTCTAAATAGAATTCAATAGAACGGACAAATTTGTTGGAGGCTTCATCCTTTTCAGCAATCAATCTCTGTAGTTTACTATTTTCTTGCTGAATCAACTGATCAAAGTTAATTGATAAAACTCCAAGAGGTTTTGGCTGTGCGCCGTTCTTAAGCTGCTCGATAGCATTAATTTGTTCGGTAAGATGTGTTACTTCGATTGCTTGGCGAACCATTTGATTTTGCTGCGGAATTTTGTTTAAATCTCCATTTTTCGATAAAAGTTTAGCAGCTGTTGGAGATAGTAAAGCAACATTCCTAAGCTTTGCTTCTCCACGCTCTTGATTCAGTAATTGCTGAGCTTTTTGGATCCTTATGTCGAGTTGTTCATTGGCTTTTTGCATATTACTGAGTTGCTGCTTTGCTTTCTGATATCTTGTATTAGCTCTAAAGTTTTCTTCAATCAGATGAGTATTGTTTAGAATATTTGGCTGGTTTAAAGTGAGATCAAGCCTTTGAAGAGGAGGCATTGATTGAAGCTCTGTATTTCTCGCATTAATACCATTTAAGGCTGTTCTCAGTAACTGGAGCTTATTTTCAAGAGAAGAAATCGATTTCTGCTTGATTGCAATGGAGATTTCTTCTTCCATAATAATATGCAGGGGGTAACACAATAATTGGTGCGCAGTGCAGCAATAATAATTTTTCGCCTTATTTAATTAAATAAAATTAGATATTTAAATTTCATATTTTTGTGAAAGAAAAATGTGATTTTGTATATTCTTTATAAATTCTTGCATCTCCCAATAGATATATCCATGGTAATTGCATTAATATAGAAATAAAATGTCATATATATCCTTACTGCATCATTCAAAAAGCGTTTAATTATCTTCATGAGTTAGATATCTTTGATAAAAAATTAAAATTATATTGTCGATAGGTAATACTACAAATCACGGTCTAATTTCATTATAATGATAAAACTGCACTCAGACTCATACATCAAAATTTATTTTTCTGCATCTCACGCAATTACACTCAGAATCCGCTGCTGTTATAATAAAATGCTTCTTCAATGCATACTATTATATACTCATATCATTGAATTATGATTATTCATATTATTTATAAATTTCTGGCAACAGATATGAAGATTAATTGAACAAAATAACCTAAAGCAACAGGATTGAAGGTCGTGTCATACGACAAATATGAAGGAGGATGATCTAACACTCCGATATTGAGTAATCTATCAAGGAAATATATATTAGAGAAATATTTATTATACTAATGGTAAAAAGAAAACAAGTAATAAAATATAAAATAATTATACTATAAATAAGCAAAATTATAAAATAATAATTAGCAGAATCTCTTTCTAATGAAACGAGTAATGTGGCAAGTAAGTCCACTTCCAAAAAGTGCAAACAAAAGCCATATAAATCCATGAACAGAAGAAGAAGTAACTCCTGATGTCAAAGCACCAATATTACAGCCTTTTGTCATGCGTTCACCTATTCCCATGAGGAAGCCACCGAATACAGCCTTCACATATTCAATCCAACCTTTCTTTTGGTGTCTTCCGAAGTCACCTTTAATTTGTGCGGCAACAAAGGCTGAAATAGTAAGATATATATCGGATACGAAGATTGGATGGTTATAGAAGTTGTTAGGTAGTGGGTAATCCTTATAAAATGGCCAATTTTCTACATGAACTCCACATAATTTCAAAATTGAGCCACCAATCTGTGAGAAAATGATTGTAATGCCAATCATTGAACCCGTACATAGGTAAAACAATGCAAGGCAGATTCCACAAATGACTGCGTAGATCTCATAAAAATACCAAGCTTTTGGAGGTTCATCCCACTCTGATTCTACATGGGATAGGGTATCTTGTGATTCATTGATGGTAATTAATGGGGTTATGCCGATAGGACTTTCAAGAATTTTCTCTCTATTTCGTTTTCTAATGTAATCTGGAATAAAAGTAAGTATCCATGTAACTCCGAGAATCAGAAGGGTATATCCGTAGCCAATAACTGTTGGTTCATGGAATTTTGGTAAGTTACTCCACCATTCATACATTGGAGTTGATGCTGCAAAGGTAGAACCCATAACAAAGAATGGAAATACAACCCATGCCTTTAGTAAACCCTTTCCAATACCTAAGAAAGTTCCAGATGCGCATCCTGATCCAAGTTGCATTCCAATGCCAAATGTAAAAGATGCAATAACCAAGCAAATGCCAATTGGCTCTTTTGTTCTGTGAAATTCTGCGTTTGGCGTGTAGTTGAACAATGGATGTAAACCAGGAATTGCATTTACAATCCAACAACAGGCAGATCCGACAAAAAGCATAACAAGAATGTCTCTAAACGTTTGAAATTCGAAATCAATAGTTAAGTCTTCAAATCCTTTTGCAAAATTGAGCTGACCAAAGTGGCAGCAATATCCATAAACTCCAGAAATAAGGCAAATAAAGCCGAATTTCCAGTTATCTGCGCATAGAAATACTGAGATTGTAAAGGCAATGTAGACTACTCCAGCAAAGCAGAGTAACCATACCTTTCGAATCATAAAATTTTTTCTATTTTTCGATAGCCTTGGGCGAGCAAAAAAAAAGAGATCAAATTATGTAATGGAATGATCAAGTGATATTTAAGACCAACACTACAATACTAAACTATAATTAGAATTTCATAAGTCATATTTAAGATTTATGTATTGACAACATTCAAATTTGTATCAAAACAAGTACATTACTGCACATATAGCTAATATATAATAATACAAAAACGGATTTATAACACTGAAGCTTAGATATTGATATAACAGTAAAATTTTTTATTTCCTAACAAATAATGAATAGACTAACTACTCGGTATATTTAAGGGTTTCGTTTTGCGAAAAAAACGTACAATACGCAATTTCGCTAAAAAAACATTTAGCTAGCAATTTCGACCTTTGACTCCACTCAAGACGTCACTTTTTTAATTTTGCGGTATCATATTTTTGGAAAATCTTTATGAATATTATATAAAAAGTCTCTTTAATATCTATATTTCATATTTTTATCGATTTTTAAAGTTTTTGCGAAAAGTATTCAATTATTTTTGCTATTTGGTCGGGTAAATGTCAGATTTGCGACATTTTCTGATATGATATTCAGATTCTACGTTGATAATAATGCTTATAGAACCCTCTTGCTATTGTGTCAAAATTGCGAAACCAATAGCAAAAATATCTCGCAATATCAAAATTGAGATATTGAGTGAATTATGCATTATAGAGATTAAAAATCTGATTTGTGAAAACATCTCATCAGTTTCTAGCTAATTCAAAAATCTTTACTATCTTATTCGATTAAAATGAAAAGGGAATAGTTTCATTATGCTTTAAATGACAGCCTTATAATATAATCATAGTTTTCGCTCAATATGCAGCATTTTTTTTTCGAAATCTATGGTCAATATCCTAAATACTGATTGCTTTGCATTCATATCTCTTACATTTTCTATACCCACATCACTATTCATTGCTATTCCTATCTTTTTCATTTTTGTTTGTTTCTCATAATTTCTCAAAAAACACGATAACTTGATATTTGTAAATATCATACTTTATAACGTAAATAAGAACTTGACCTATTAAGAAAAGCAGTAATGAAAAGAAAATCTGAAATTCATAAAAATTACAAGTTTCTGATGACAATTAGCTTAATTAAACCAGGTACAAGATTATATAATTGTATTTTCTATCCAATTATCCATATAATATCTTATCCAGAAAAAATAACTTGATCAATACCAAATGATTTTTTAACTAGTAAATAAAGTATTTTCTTTACACACACATTGTATATCATAGTTTTTTTTTGGTTTCGCAAAACATCCAAAAACAAATATGCTATAAAAGTGACAATTTTAGCAAAACGAAACCCTTAGTATATGCTATAAACTCGACATCTAAGATGAAACGTATGTGTGTCAAAATTGTGGTTCATTATTGAAAAAATAATTGTATAAAATCTTTAAGCAAATGGTAAATTTATTAGTAACAGTAAGTGAAAACAACAATCCAAAGCGATCAAGAGATAATATCCATGAGAACCGATATTGTGTCCTTTTGAGAAGGCATCAAAGATTTCACGATTGAAAGGCCAAGTGATGTTAAACTAGAAAAGAATGAGCCTGGTCCAGCACGTCTGAGTGTTTTGCGCATGATTTCTTCTGCTGAAGTGTTCGTATACATATATAAAGATAACGGGTATACAGTTGATGCTGTTAATAGATTGCAAGTAAATGTTCTAACAAGATTAAAGCCGAGTGATTGATGGAATTCTAAATTGGATGGATTAATCATTATTTTTGAAAGCGCATTTAATGATTTTTGACAAGTTTTGTAAGATATTTCTACTTTCAATTGTGATTTAAGTCCACGAAGCATTGATGGATACTTTTTAGGATTTGTATAATACTGAAGGAAATATAAATCTTTTGGACCCTTTTTTTCTTGAGATTCGTAATCATGAGTCATATTTCTGATTGCTACCTTTGTTGAAGCAGTAAGAAAACCTATTAATGCTCCTTGTGCAGCTGAAGAAACAATAATTTTTAAGATTTGTTTTTGAGTTAAAGGCCTTTTATGTGCAAGGGTGTAAGATTCTTTAACTTGGTTGAGGGCGGGCTCGAGTAAGCTGCTGTAGAGCTCTGATGTGTATGGTTCATCAGTTAAAAAGCTATAGTTGAGCTCAGCTTCTTTGTTCATTGGATAAAAAAAGTGAAAGATTTTGAAAGTTGTTAAAATTGAATAATTGAATTGATCGTTATATTTTACTGATTGATAAATATTGATCTATATTTGCTTATTAGCATATTACTCTCAAAATAATATTTTTATCAAATTTCTGAACTAAGTGAGTCAGTGATAAAAAGCCTTAATCTATTTAGAAAAACTGAAAATAATTTACAGAATTTATCAGAACTCGTTGTGTGATATCTTTTTCAATAGCCGAATAGGCAAGAATAACGACATTGAACAAATATCAAATAATATTCTCAGTGGATTTGCTATTATTTGTTAGGAATCGGAGCAGATACAACAATTAAAGATTACAGAAGCAATAACTACTATTGTTTACGTAGAGTCCAGTAAGTTGAAGAAGATTAAGTAGATTTTACAATAAATTACCTAAAGATTCTTTGTGCCAATATATTTTATTCATTTTATCTTTTTGAATTGTATTGTGACTTACAGTTATATTTATTGAAATATTATTTTCATCTGGAAAAGTGACAAAATCATCATCATTTTCGTGGTCTTGCTAAAAAGATAAATGAATGAGATTGTATTGCAATGATGCCTTCTATAATTGCAATGTATTAATTAGGAAATTTTGGTGATAACCGATTGAATAAATTGAGTTGATGTTTTTGACTTCGCTAAAAAATTGACTTGAAATATGCAAAAAAAAATGAAACGGAATGAAATTAGGAATAGAAGTAGGATATTCGTGCTTATTGTAAGTACATTCAAACTTCGGACCACAACTTAATAGCCAAAATAAATGTAATATTAGATTCAAAACGAAAATGAAGAAAACAACTCTATTATGCCTACAATCACTTAACACTCTAATTTTTGGGTGTCATATGCTTATATTATGGCCTGTAACTAATATAAAGTGAATTCTTTTCGTATTTTTGTTGTCATGTTATGAGTTATTTACTTTTCTTTTTGGAGTTATGAAATTCAAAACTGAAGATATATTTGAACATATTGAATAAATATATATTTAAAAAGGAATTAAAATTTAAATTTGTTTAAGGAGCATCTGCGTTATCTTCCTTCTTGGCCTTAAAAACGAAAAGCCAAACAAGAACACCAACAATAATTCCGACAACAACAATAACACCAATCGCAATTCCTGCTATTGCAGCTGCCCCAATTTTACCATTTGAAGGTGCTTCATTTTTAAGATCATCAAGTGTGAAAAGATCAGCTCTTTGAGGGATCCAACCAGCAAACTCAGGGAACCATAATTTGTTGCCTTCTTTTGTACTCTCGTATGTAAAAGTTGCTTTAGCTTCTTTTTCTCCAATATTTAAACCACTAAATGCTGTGCCAGGAGCTGTAATTGTGATTTCATTAGGTGATCTTGTTTTATCATCAGGTTCATCAGCTACATTAAATATTTGCACTTTATCTTTTGGTTCTCCTACGATTTTAATGGTATTATTATTCAGAAGTACTGGATAAACCCTTACTTCAGGTTTCAAGTTAACTTCTATTTTTCCGCTCTTTATGGAAGTAAGATAAATTCTACCATCAATCATTGTTCCTTCGTTATCCCCTGCAAATGATGGAAAACCTTCCGTTTTTAATTGGACCTTACATTCTTTAGTACTATCTGTGCATTTGAGCGTAGCAGTATATTTTTCATCTGGCCCCATCATTGGATTATTATAGAACAATGGATTCTTTACAGTTTTAATAGGTTTTGTAAGATCAGACAATTTATATAAGTCGACTGATATATCGGATTCACTACCGAATGCATAAGAATAGTATGAAACTTCGCGGCATTCACCCGCTTTTAATGTGATTTCTTTGTAACGACCTTTCAACTCTCTATCAACAATTGTTGGGCAATCTTTGAAATTGTCTTCATCTAATAATGTTCTATTATTTCTGATGCTGCAAGTAATGCATGCAAAAACACCAAACATTAACAAAAATGATGTGATAATAAAGTCGTAATAATTCATTGAAATTTAAGAAATTATTTTTGTTAACCATCCAATTTTTTGAATGTATTCATAATAAAAATAAATAATCATTCTGAAAAAGTATCTAAAGAAGGACATTATCAATGATCATTGCCCTGATTTCAGCTGGAAAGGGGCAAATATAATGATAATATGTTACGACTTTAATTAATGAAACATGTTAAACGACTTTTTCATACTTCATATTTTTATCGAAAAAAAAATATGATGAATCAAATAAAACAAAAATAAGTGTGTGTGATCATATAAATGTGAGTGAATCATTTGTGAATTTCATTCGATCAATTTCTGAGAAGACGATTCAAATATGTATGTATGCTATGAAATCAAAATTCTATTCAGACTTAAGAATCCAAAATTCCCAAGCATAAAATAAAAATATTTTATTTGTAAAATGTATCGTATATTAATATTTTATTCTCTGAAATTATTGCCGATTCCTATTCAAAACGAAATTTATTGTAGTGATAATTTTGAATTCATCCAATCAAAAGAAGGCTTTTTAATTTTCATAGAAGGTTTTTATGTGGTATCAAAAGTGACAAATTAATCGTTATGTCAGACGACTTTGGACTTTGAATTAAAATTTTAATGAAAATGTGATGTAAGAAATAGTGAAATTATTCATATTATAATAATGAAAGGTGAATAATTAATTAAAATAGCAGTAAGTATGTGTTAAAAATGATTAACAAGCAATCTTTATAAGGTTAAATATTAATTATAAATTAAAATTCCCATATTAAGAGAAAAATGAAAGTTGCGAAACAATTCTCAATTTGGTTCATAATCTGAATACAGAGGTGAGCAAAAACTATCTTGTACGACTTTTTTGTAAAAAGTGCTCCATCGAAGAACTAAGTTATAAACTTCTTAACAACTATTTAAAGTTGGTGGTGCACGAGATTCTTATCAAATTGGATTTCATTTTATTGTATAATAAAAAAATAAGAAAAATAAAATAAAACTTTATTTTAATAAATCTTTGATTTCGTTGTATCTTGAAATTAAAATATCAACTGATTCTTTGTTTTTGAGAAGAGAAGCAAGGAATAATGATCGATAATAATCAGATATTGGAATCCAGTTGTATGAGTGATATTTAAGATAACAATCAATGAAAATACTTTTGTTGAGGAATGATGAATACATCAAACATGTCATTGAATTATTATTAACAAGATAATGATTTGTTTGTGCTTTCAAGCAGAATTCGATGATTTCTTTGTTCCCAATTTCGGAAGCATAGTGAAGACATGTATTACCTTTTTTTCGTCTTCATTTCAATGTCGAATTTCTTATCATACAAAAGATACAAAACTGGAAGACAATTACATCTGATAGCAATCTGAAAATGGTTGATTCCTCTTTCGAATTGTTTATTTATGTTCAATCTTGAATTTCGAATTAATGCTTCATAATTTCCATAGAATCTATTTTCGATCGCAAGGCGAAGCGGTGTTTTTCCACCACATTCGATATTAGGATCAGCTCCATATTTTCCAAGCAAATCAATAAATCTATATGAATTATCAGCTGATGCTGCAACATATAATGGAGTTTCACCCATTCCATTCTTTTTATCAACATTTACATTTTTATGGTTTTCTAAATAAAATTTAAAGTATCCAAAAGCCCTCATTGTGATAAATTTTGAAATATCAGCTTGAAAAAGTGGTTTTGGACCATAATCTTCGTGGCCATTTATAATTTCATCTGGTGCATTAAACATCTTCATCATTCCAATTGATCCTACTGATTTAGCTAATGCCATTGGTGTGGCTTGATTGAAATTCATTTGATACAAATCAATAAATGGATACCTTCCAGTCACAAGATCATATACATCTACATTATCTGATAATGCACATGAATGTAAAACCGTATTTCCAAAAAGATTGGCAATGTTCGGATTAGGATAATATTGAAGAATGAGTTGCGTGATTTCGATCGATATTTCTTTATTGATGGAACATAGATTCAAAACTGTGTTACCGGAGAAATCACAAAGATTTGGATTAGCACTATTATGCAAGAGAACTTCGACAGCACGCGAATTATTATGAAGGACTGAATAATGAAGTGGTGTTTCGTTTCTGATGTTTCTGCAATTGATGTCGAAATGAAGTTTGATGATTTCATGAAGGAATGTGATATTGTTGTCATCAATCGATTTAGAGAATAATAAAAATGGATTCATGTTCGGATTTTCTGAATAAAGGAATTGAATTGATTCGATGTCTTGATTCTCATATAATTGATTTATGATGGATCCATCATCTAATCTTGGTTTATACAAGATGAGTAATTTTGTTATCTCTTTTGATTTCGACAATGAAAATTCATTCGATGTTACTTGTTTTCCATGATCTAACAAATATTTTGTCATTTCATAATTATTAGACAAAATTGCTAATTCTAAAGGAGTTAGATCAATAGAATTTAGCTCCAGCTCTTGAAAGAGATCATTTTCAGCAATTTTGTAGTGATATCTAATAAAATCAATATATGGATCTGCATTTTCGATTTCCTTGAGTGAATTTATGATATCATTAGGAGATATATTGCATTTATCAATCAGATTAACTAATAACATCCTACCTGAAGAACTCAGTTGCTTTAAACTTGAAATAGAAAGAAGTTTTGTTAATTGAATTCCTTTCAAATTATAGATTTGTTTGATAATTTCATAGTCTTGTTTGGCTTCTAATAAATATGATGCAAAATTGTCAGAATCTATAATGTTGATGACTTCTGACAAAAACTCTGGCGATTTGTAATGATGAATCATATCACATATTGTCTCATTTTCAAATGAAACGCCGTCATTCATTATCTTAATGAAAAGTTTGAAATTACTGTATTCTTTAAATCTCGGAATGAATAATTTGTTGAAGTCAAATCCGATTTTAACAAGTGTTTTGACAATGTCCGTATTTTTGGTTTCCAAAACATTTATTATATGTCTTGATAAGTCGATGATATGATCTTGATTTACATCAGTCAAGAACTTCATAAAGAATTTGATATATTCTTCATCACCATTATTAATGGTGATTTCTAACAACAGTAATTTCTCATTTGTTGATTGACTTCTTAAGAATGAAATCAATGAATTAAAGTATGATTGATATTCTTCATGAAGGAAATATTTGTTTTGAGAAAATTTTGTACTTCGAATCAAGTAGTGAACAACTAATGAAATGATGTATTTGTTGTTCTTTTCTATTGCTAATGAAAAAGCATCTTTTCCTTTATCATTAACAATTGTCAAATCAGGATTATACAAAAGAAATAGATCTGTTAAATCAGTAAGTGATTTTGCAATTGGATATAAAATTGCTGTACTTCCTGATTTGTTTGTAATATTTGGATTGGCACCATTAATTAGTAATGTTTTTGATAAATCATAATTTCCATTCCGGGCAGCTATCATCAGTGCTGTAAGATTGTCTTCTTTTGATTTTGCATCAATTTCTGGATCAATTGGTAAGTCGCATTTTGCGCGATGCATCTTTTCGCAAATGATAGAATACATATTCATAATTACTTGATTTAAAGGAGATCTAACAACAAGCGATCTTGCAACAGGATAATTGTTCACTCGTGCAGCATGTATTAAAACTGTATCATTCGGATTTGTTTCATTTAAAAATAAATTAATGCTAATTATTCTTTCATATAAAAATGTGCTGTCTAATGGTCTTTCTTGAAATGCTCTGTCAAATATTTGATAACCTGCTGGATGAATAAAGTCCAAAAGCATTTTATCACATTCGAAATTAGATTCTTCAAGAAGTTGGAAGAATCTTGAATCATCATGCAAATACTTCAATACTATTGATGCAAAAGTCAGACTGGCAAATCTAAATCTGATTTTATCATTTTGAATATTTTCAAGATCAATTATAATGTTTTTGTATTCATTTTTAATTACATATCTTATCAAATATGGTTCGAATTTTCCAATTGCATGCATTAGCAAGTTATATGATGTAGCAATTTGTCCCAGATCAATCAATTTTTGATCCTTTATTAAACCATCTTTGATTAGTTTGTTTAAAACGAAATCTACAATTGCACACATTGAGTTATCAAAGGCAGCTTGTAAAGGTGTTTTTCCTTCATTATTCGGAATTGTGAGATCACAATTATGCAAAATGAGGAAGTCTGTTATTCGTTCTTGCATGTTCCTAATTGCAATCATTACTGCTGTATCTCCTTTTCTATCTCTTAAATTTAGATTTGCACCGCTATCCACTAATTTTTCAACAAGTTCAATATTGTTGTTTTCGACAGCTATCATTAATGGGGTCTTCAAATTTTTGCTTTCTTGATAGTCAATTTGCGGATCAAATTCAAGCTTCTTTTCCTTCATGTAAGCTTAAATCCGAAGTGATTAAGGGTGTTTCGTGCTTAAATCTGTCATCCGTTAGCTTCCAAAATTGAGCAAGTGCAATGCCAACATCTTTGTCAAGGAGTTTGAAAAAAAGACAATCTTTAAACTTGAATAAGAATTTATCAAATCTATATCCGCATCGATCAAGAAAAGTGATTATTCTATCTCTCTCAATTAGTAACTGCTTGAAAATAAAGTTTGTATGCTCGAGAACCAGTTGTCTGTTATCATAGAAAGAGTCTTCCCAAGAAAAATCACTTGTATGATATTGAATGATAAATTTAACTGTTTCCTCGTCTCTATTTCCTATTGCGTTCTGTAAACATCTATATTTTGTTTCTAAATCATAATGAGCCCAATCATTTTTTAAAGTCTCAATACTGAAAGTTTTTTCTTCATTTTGCTTTGACATGAGGATTCTCTGTGAACACTATTAAGTTATTAACGATTAGATTAAGAATAGATTACTATTCTGCCACTTTTTTGATGTTTTATCAAAAAAAAATTGAAAGCCTGTCTTATCGATAAGACATCTATGAATTTTTTAAAAATAGTAATAATAATTATAACCATTTCATTATTTATCTTAATAGTATTCATACAACTTCCTGACATTTTCAAAAAAACAATTACAGGCGAGAAGAGATATAGAATTTAAAGAGTAATTAAGATATTCAAAAGATGTGACACATACTCCATTAATCAGGTTCTTCATATCAGATACTATCGTTCTTTTGAGATCAAGGTAATTATTATGTTATCTTGATTTATTTGAAAGATAAATTATTAGTTTCTGTGTCATTCGATTAAAATTTTCATATAAATCTCTGGTTTAATAATAAAATATTCTTTAATAACTTTTATTTTAATAAATCTTTGATTTCGTTGTATCTTGAAATTAAAACATCAACTGATTCTTTGTTTTTGAGAAGAGAAGCAAGGAATAATGATCGATAATAATCAGATATTGGAATCCAGTTGTATGAGTGATATTTAAGATAACAATCAATGAAAATACTTTTGTTGAGGAATGATGAATACATCAAACATGTCATTGAATTATTATTAACAAGATAATGATTTGTTTGTGCTTTCAAGCAGAATTCGATGATTTCTTTGTTCCCAATTTCGGAAGCATAGTGAAGGCATGTATTACCTTTTTCGTCTTTCATTTCAATGTCGAATTTCTTATCATACAAAAGATACAAAACTGGAAGACAATTACATCTGATAGCAATCTGAAAATAGTTGATTCCTCTTTCGAATTGTTTATTTATGTTCAATCTTGAATTTCGAATTAATGCTTCATAATTTCCATAGAATCTATTTTCGATCGCAAGGCGAAGCGGTGTTTTTCCACCACATTCGATATTAGGATCAGCTCCATATTTTCCAAGCAAATCAATAAATCTATATGAATTATCAGCTGATGCTGCAACATATAATGGAGTTTCACCCTTTCCATTCTTTTCATTGACATCAATTCTTGGATTCTGTTCGAGATAAAATTTCAAGTATGAATATCTCCTAAATCTAATGATCCATGTGATATCTGTATCAAAATATGGCTTGGGATCAAATGGAGGAACTGGAGTTACAACGTCATATCGTTTCACCTTCAAACGCTTCATCATTTTTGTTGAATTTTGAGACATTGATAATGATTCAGCAGAGGCAATATTGTAATTCGTTATTGTGATATCAAAATTTGGGAATTTGCTGATCACAATATCATAGACACGTACATTATCTGTCATTGCACATGAATGAAGGAAATTGTTTCCAAACAAATTAACAATGTTCGGATTAGGATAATATTGAAGAATGAGTTGCGTGATTTCGATCGATATTTCTTTATTGATGGAACATAGATTCAAAACTGTGTTACCGGAGAAATCACAAAGATTTGGATTAGCACTATTATGCAAGAGAACTTCGACAGCACGCGAATTATTATGAAGAACCGAATAATGAAGTGGTGTTTCGTTTCTGATGTTTCTGCAATTGATGTCGAAATGAAGTTTGATGATTTCATGAAGGAATGTGATATTGTTGTCATCAATCGATTTAGAGAATAATAAAAATGGATTCATGTTCGGATTTTCTGAATAAAGGAATTGAATAGATTCGATGTCTTGATTCTCATATAATTGATTTATGATGGATCCATCATCTAATCTTGGTTTATACAAGATGAGTAATTTTGTTATCTCTTTTGATTTCGACAATGAAAATTCATTCGATGTTACTTGTTTTCCATGATCTAACAAATACTTTGTCATTTCATAATTATTAGACAAAATTGCTAATTCTAATGGAGTTATATCAACATTATCAATATCTAAATTCTGGAATATATCATTTTCGTCGATTTTATAATGCACTTTGATGAAATTAATAAATGAAGCATCATATTCAATCTCTTTCAATGCTTGTATTATATCTTTTGGAGGAATATTACATTTATCAATTAAATTGGTCAATATATTCTGAGTTGTTTCATTAAATTCTTTGTGTTTTGGAACAGAAAGGAGCTTTGTTAACTGAACCCCATTTAATATCATTATTTGATTGATCAGTTCATAATCTTCTTTTGAGTTTAATAGATATGAAGTAAAGATATCTATATCAATATATTTAATGATTTCTGACAAAAATTCTGGAGATTTGTAATAATGGATCATATCTGAAATGACATCAAAATCAAATGAAACTCCACCTTCTATGATCTTTAAAAAGATATTATAATTGCTATATTCCTTGTAAATCGGAAGGAACAGTTTGTTGAAGTCATAACCAACTTTAATAAGTATCTTGAAAATATCAGGATTCTTAGTTTCCATTATACTTATAATGTGCTTTGATAAGTTAATTATTTGTTGATAATTAACATCGCTCAAAAACTTCATGAAGAATTTTATGTATTCTTCATCTCCATTTGAAATGGATTCTTGGAACAATTTGAGCTTTTCGCTTAGTTTTTCGTTTCTTATAATTGAAATCAATTTGTTATAATATGATTCATGTTCCTCTTTCAGGAAATATTTGTTTTGAGAGTATTTTGTATTCTGAATCAATAAGTGAACAATTATCAAAGCAAGTGATTTATAGTTCTTATCTAAGGCAAGTGAAAAGACATCTTTGTTTTGATTATTAACAATAGTTAAATCGCAGTTTTGTCCAATAAGTAATTTTATCAAATCGGGATCTGATTTTTCAATTGCATATAATAGAGCTGTATTTCCTGAATGATTTGTTATATTTGGATTGGCGCCATGATCAATTAATAATTCTGCAATTGATGCATTCCCTTTTTTCACGGCAACCATAAGAGCTGTGAGATCATCCTCACCTGATATTGCATCAATTTCTGGATCAAATGTCAATTTTTTGTATTCCTGATGACGTTTTTCGCAGATGATTTTATGTAAATTATCAATTTTTGGATCTAAAATTAATAATTCAATAAGTGATTTCACAAAAGCTCCATCATTATTTCTTACTGCATGGATCAAATGTGTATCTTTTGGATTTGTTTCATTCAAAAATTGCTGGATGGTATGAATCATTTCGAATAGAAACTTCTTATCGAATGGATTGTGTTTGAATACACTATTGAACAAAACATATCCTGCTGGATGAATAAAATCTAAAAACATTTTGTCATATTCGAAATTATTTTATTCAAGAATTGTAAAAGTTCTTGGATCTTCGAATAAGTACTTCAATATAATGATTATAAAAATAATAGATGCATAAGAAAACTTGTATTTGTCTTTAAGAATACTTTCATGATCGAAGATAATGTTTTTGTATTCTTTTTTGATAATATATCTTAAAAAATATGGTTCGTTTTTCCATATTGCATGGAAAAATAAATGATATGATGCAGAAACTTGTCCAAGTTCAATAAGATATGGATCTGTTATCATTCCATCTTTAATCATTTTGTTTAAGACCAAATCAATAACTCCATGCATTCTTGATTCAAGGGCAAAATCAAGTGCTGTTTTTCCTTCATTGTTTTTGATTGTAAGATCGGAATTATGATTAATAAGGAAGTCTGTCAATTGATCAAATACTTTATCACAAGATATTATTAATGCTGTGTTGCCATTTGCATCTTTGATGTTTGGATTTGCTCCACGATCAATCAATTTAGATGCAATTACAAGATCGTTATGTTCAACTGCAATCATAAGAGCAGTCTTTTTCTCATGACCAAATTGAAAGTCAACTTGTGGATCGTATTCTAGTTTCATGTTTGATTTATAAACTCTTTTGTTCATGAAATCAAAAAGATATTTTGCTGAATCAGAAAAATTTCTGTCAAGCATTCCGTGAATATCCTTTCCCATGACTTTTTTCAGAAGTGCATCAGTGCTATCGTTTAGATCATAATATTGAAGTAATACTTCGATTAAAGGAGTTCCTCTCATATTTTCTTCAGATGAAAGAACTTCGACTTTGTTACGAGCAAAATCAATACTATCTACGTCATCAAGTGTTTTGAAAAAGAAGCAATCTTTGAATCTGTATAGGAATTTATCGAATTTATATTCGCATTTTTCAAGGTAATTAATAAACTCATCTCGTCCAATGAGGACATGCTCCAAAATGAAGCATGTGTGCGCTAAAACTAAATCTTCATTTTTGTTTTTTGAATTATTCCAGATGAAATCACTTTCGTAATTTTGAATGATGAATTTTATTGCATTATCATCATGATTGCTTATTGCACTTTCAAAGTATCCATATTTTTCTTTAATAGTAAAGCGTGACCAATTCCTTTTTAAGCAATCAATATTTATTGAGACTCCTGCTGTTCTAAACATCTTGTTCTAATTAAGTGTCACTTTTTTATGTCTTGTAATTAAAAAAACAATTTTTTTGGATTTTATTTCTTTGATAAGACATTATAGAATTCAGAGCTGTATCGATAAGACAAGTTCAGAAACGCATAGAGCATAGGTCAGAATTGTTGTTATGAATATACAATGCTTTATGAGATGATATCATAAGATTTTAAATAATTATTTCGCCAATACTGTAAGTCTTTTGATGTGAGTTAAAATAAGCATATAAATCTCTATTCCGATTTGGCAGTGTTCCTGAATAATATGGATATATATTAATAAATTTGATTATTGTCCCCTCAATTTTCCGAAGTATTGAATTTTTTTGACGCAAACTATTTTCTTATTCTTATTAAGCAACTGATTATGATGTTTTTTTTTAATCACAATTTTTAAAAGCTATTCAAATGTTCGACTTTTCTTAAATAAAGGGTTAATGAAGGAATTATGATAACAAATAAGGAGTTGGTGTGAATTATAATCGAATTTACTGTTAATATCAGCAAGGCACACTAAATTCAATCAGAATTATGAACCTCATATAACAATTTTTGTAAAAATATGGAGAAGCTTTATATCGCCTGAGTAATTTTAATGATATCTTCAAATAATTCTTTCTAATTTTTTTTTATGAGAAAAAAAAGTTTATTATTTCGAATTTATGCATTCCTTTGCAAGGCAATTGCATGATCAGAAACGATTTAATGAACGTCTTGGAGTTTATAGAGCACAAAGTGCAAGATGTAATGCACAAATGCAGCTTTTAGAGCAATCTGTTAATTCGATTTTAAATTCTGATCCGGTATCAAATTATTCATCACCATTTTCATCAAAATATATTAATACAAGATCCACTCCTAGATTTTCAACAGTAGTAAGTCAAGATCTTCCGCAATTTAGTCCTAAAAACTCGAGTCAAATCAAAACACCTACTACGAATAGAAATAAGTCAAATAATATTAGCACATCTGCATTAAATGATATTCCTACTACATCCCAAGAAATATTATCTTTACAAGACTCTTCGCAAGAAAATTTATTCGAATCTAAAGATTCTCTTTACGTAGCTGCAGGTTCTGTTGACCGTTTTCGTAATCTATCTTCATCATCTGATGGAGCTGATAGTTATTTGACTCCTAAAAAATACTACATTCCAAATTCAATTAATTCGGAAGATGAAATTGTTCCTGGTGTATCAACTAAAAAGCATGAAGATGACGAAGAAGAAAAATTATATGAAGAAGAAGAAAACATGTTAGAAAAAGATGATTTACAAAATATTATCAATGAAAGTTCAGATTCTCGTCAATTTGATCAAAAACTTCAAAATATATTCAACAAAGTATCACCTAACCTCAGCAAATTCTCAGCAGTCGATACAGATTCATTATCATTTGGAAATGAAGAAGAAATTGATGAGCAAGCAAATATGGAAGAAGAATATTCAGAAGAAATTCATAACGAGGAAGAAGAAACCAATCAAAACCAAAATATTTCAGATAAAGATAATTATTTTCAAAATGAAAACTTAGAAGAAGTAGATCTTAATCAAAACGATGAGGAAGATTATGAAGTAGAAGAAGATCAAGAGGAAGATGTGGCAGAAGAATTATTAAAATCAGATGATAGTAAAGAAGAGGAAGAAGTTAATTCTAACGCCGATAATGATGATCTGTACTTTTCTTTTGAAGAAGATGGTCAGTCCGAAAAGGAAAATTTGAAGAAAACTGAATCTGATATTTTAATCGATAGTATAATTAATATGAGTGACTGATTCTGCATTTTTGTGTGTAAAAACAGATATTTTATATAAAATAAGGAAAAAATGATTTTTTTTATTTGATTACTGAAAAATCATTTGGTGACTGTTTTATATTGTAATTATACTGAAATTTCCGATTATAATATTATCTGGCGATCGTGTTCAATTAATATTTATGAAATTTCGAAATTAAGTTACATTGCATATTGTGTACAAATATTTATATTATTGACCACAATGGAGTACAGTTTGATCATATTGAAAGCTCTTTCCCATTAATATCAAATAAGGAAAAAGAATTTTGGTTGCCAACAAAATTAAGTATGAATCCATTGTTCATTGTTATAAATTATCCTGTTAAAATTCCTTAATAGCCATATATTCATAAATCTTAAAGTCAACATTTATTAACCTAATAGATATTTGGATTTTATGGAGGTAAAACATTATTCTATCAAGATTTAGAAAGATAAACACTGTTAATTCATGTGAAATAAATTTCCGATTAGGAAATCTCAACTTCGATTAAACATTATTACTTTTGATGCAATTCATAAGTGACACTTATGTTATTAACTATTTTTAAGAAATTTCTAATTTCATCAAAAAGATTTAAGATGAATCATGAAAAATATTCTATTTGAATGGATAAACAATTGGAAATGTATGTAGTTATACAATGCATACTAAGTATAATGTCTATAATGTTGTTAATAAAAATCTGAGTTGAATTCTCTTGAAAATTGATTGAACAAGTATTCAATAATTCAATCGAATCAATTTTATTTTGATTGCATTGAAAGAGGAGATGTAGTGCGAAAAATAGGTAAAAGATTATAATCAATTAAATATAACTATTTTAACTATCAAATATCCAATAATTTATTCATTCAAGAAGTAAATTAGCAAAAATATATAATAATCGAGAATCAAATAATGTTGAACATGTTACATTAATGGAGTTAACTAACTATAAACATTTATGTCCAAAGCAAATTCGTCTCAAATTCCAAATATATTTAATAAATAAAAGTATTAATTACAAGATCTGCAAATTAGATTTGCATTGAACCCATATGAAAATCTACAAATACGTCGAATTTTGATAATCAGAAAAAAAAAATTAATAAAAAAGTCAGATGCAAAATGATTAAGGGTTATAGAAGGCAACAAAATGCTTATTAAATTCGAATTTCCATATTTAAATATAAAAAAATATATTTTCGATAGGTTTATCAGAAAAACTCAGGAAAACTGAATGAAATTCATTCTACAAGTCGAATTTTTTCGAAAAAAAATATTTTCAGAACAGCCTTAACGGCTAAGATTTAGGAACAATGTTAAGTATCAAAAAGAAAGGAGGTCTGATATAGACAACATATATCGTTGAAGGTTGAAAAAATCTCTAATATTTGAGCTCAAAATTTCAAATTTTAATTTTTTGAAAAAAGAGGCCACCCGTATGTACGTTTATTTGAGAGGAGGAGGATTATATTTTTGAGAGGGTGAAACATTATGAATATGTTAATTATATAATAATATGTATTATTATAAAAAAGAAAAAATAAAGCACGTTAAAATTTTTCTTTCTTGATTTTTTACAAAATCTACTTAGAATTATGCAAAATATGACTAAATAATTATAAATTTCAAGTTAAATTTTAATTTTGATAAATAATTTAAATTTCAAAATATCAAGTTCAGTTCGACTATGTATGTAGTAATTCCTCAATAAAGTGCCAAAACCCTATTAAAATATATGAACATTTTCAACATTTTAATGTTTTTATTTAAAAATTTGTTGGAATATGAGCTTCAAACAATTATTATGTAAAGAAAAATAATTAAATATATGTATTTATTCGTATTACAACCGTAGTAAGTCGATTCTTCCTTTCTTCTACTGAGGTTTGAATTTGATTTCGAATTGTAAAGAGATTCAAAGGGAAAATACTAGCGGATAAAAACTACCTCCATGAAAGGGTCATAATGGACTCAAGTTGTATTTTTTGATATTTTTTGCTTTTCGAGCCTAAATAGGTAGCCAAGATAATGCCTAAAAATAAGGTTCTAAATTCTGAAGTTTACATGATCCTCTCGTGTGCACCCTTAATTTCATCAAAGTTTCTTTAAACAAAATGCTGATATTAGTATTCTAAGTAATATTTCGCTAACAACTTTCAATTCGCTAGTCTCTTTCAAATATTTAAAAGATATAACATGATAGTTAAATATAACACGGCACTATATCTCCTAGTATAATAAAACTATTATTTCGATAACAAATTACTTTTGAGAGGTAAATAAAATATTATATCGCATGAGCTCTTATTTCATCATATTCTTATTGTAATATTTATTAAATCATCGAATGTAACAAAGCGGTTTTATATAATTAAATTCACCCATCCAAATTTTAGAGAACGTATTCAATTCTATTGAGTAAACTTATTGAAAATTATATTTATGTATCATTTAACATGAGAAGCAATGGAAGCACTGTGACATCTAAATGCCTTCAGTCTGCAAACAAGAACCATTCTCTTAACTCAATACATAGTGACACTTTAACTAAGCTTAAAGAACAAATATCAAGTAACACAGGTGTATATTGCCATAAAGATAAAGACATTGCTGCATGTGCTGATAATATTAAGAAGATACTTGAGTGGCAGTTCACAATAACCGAGGAGAAAGAACTCATTGCCGCTCAAATTCAAACTGGAATAATGGTTGTATTTGATCCAGAGCTTAATTCTCACTTTGTTATTATCTCAGCTTCATTGCTCAATGGAATAATGAAAGTTGGAGTTCGATCTTCCTTAAATAGCAGATTAACGAGAATTGGAATGAAAAGTATCTCAGGTCCAATTGCTGAGCGTATCCAAGATAAGACATTCCTTAACCAGTACAGAGCGATGAAGAGAAAATGGACAGTTCGTGAACCATCAGATTTCTTCAACAAATATATGCCAGCTTTCGTAATGGCAAAATCTGAAGCAGAGCAAGCTGAAAAAACCATTCTCGGAGATATTTCTAACCTCCTTGGAGACTTGTTCTATGACTTCGATACAGCTGATGAATGCATTTTAGCTGAAATGAATGTCGGAGCAAATTGAGTAATTGTTGCTTTATAGAGAATTTTGTAGTAATAATGAATTTAAATAGAGTCTATTCCTTATAATTTTTTTTTTTAATGAGAGGTAAGATTGGTTTAAACCATTCTAGGCATTTCGCATGTTATTTGATATGATGATTATAGGCAAAATGAGCATTTTCATTTTGGAGAAATTTTCATAACATATTAAAATACGAATTGCCATATATATTGTTCATTCTTGGTATGAGAGCAATTCGTTTATAACTATCATTTGTTCGCATTTCAGATTTCACATAAATGATCAATTAATATCGGCGTGTAGCGCAACATCACGCCGATAGAAGGAAAACTTAGTTGAGATTAATTGAGATAGCAATGCACTTGTTTTCTCAAGTTAAGTATTATCCTGCTTGTAAAAGAATTATTTTAAATTTTAAATTTTTTTTTTATTCCTAGACAGATATAGCAAAACCTAATAATATGTATGTAATTGGAATCGGTACTGCAATTTCGCACGTTGCATAGTTAGGATTAAGAAAAGTAATTGCAATTACACCATTTCCAATGTGTCCATTCTCAGTTGATTGAGAAGGTGATGGAAAAGAAACTGAATAGTCTGCAACAACTATATTCGTAAAGTAGTATCCGCTTGGGTGGAATGAATTATTTAGCATTTTATAATTTTTTTCAGAGATAGATGAAGGGTCAATTGCTTTAAAGCTTTGGTATCCTGAAACGAAGGAAGAGCCTCCGGCTCCAGCTGTCACGACATCATAGCCATCATCACCAGATCCTCCTCCAAAATAGCCGCAGCCACCTCCACCGGCTATTCCATTATCTCTTACATCCCCGCCATATCCAAAAACTCCATCATTACCAATAGTCTTCATTGCATCTATGTGAGTTCCTCGGCTTGCAGTTCCTCCTTTGTCTATCGTCCCACCTGTATTAGCAACAACTGTATATGAAAGCGAAGGAGTATTATCTGCATATTCGCCAGAGTAACCCGTAAATACACCTCCGCTTCCTCCATTACCAGATGCTTTCGAATGTGCGGTAGCACCACCACCCCCAGAGCTCACAATAATTCTAGACTTCAATGATTCAAAATCGGAGCCACTTTTCAATCTGATATCAGTACATCCACCTCCGCTTGCGGAATCGGTCACAGTTCCACCTCTTCCACCGCCATTATATGGACGTCTACTATCAGCATTTGAACCCTGAGCTCCAATATGAAGATAAATTTTTCTTGGATTTTTAAAAACGATTAATCCGGCAGTATATGAACCATATCCTCCATGTGCATAAGCGGTATTACCCCCGCTTGCTCCCCATAACTCAAAGAAATAGGTTCCACAGGATAATTCAATTTCAATTGGAGCGCAATTATGTAGATCGTTTCCGCATGGGTATTCGTATACAGTTCTTGGCTTATTACGAGTTAGAGATGTGACAATTGATGATATTGAAGACAAATTTCGTGATTAATTTGTTTAAAACTTGTATAATTTGAGATTTTATATGTGAAACATCATAGCTTACTGATAGTAACAATGTTCTGAAATTATAAGAGCTAACCATTTTATCCTAATTCATAAGAAACATTAGAATTTAATGGTTTTTGGACATCTTTATCAATTTTTCAATAAATCATTTAAAAAAATTGAAATCTTTTAAAATTTCATAAGATAAATAATTTGCACTTATATGCCGGATACAATATGCATCTGTATTCTTTGATTTCAGATTCAATGAATAACGTTTATTTTATTTGGAAATTTTATCGATTTAAAAAATCTTTGATGATTTATTAAATGAGTTAAGCATCTAACTAACATGTATAAATTTGATTCTGTAGAAGCAATTTCTTCCTTGATAGTCCCAGCCTCCGTTCATCTTGACGTTGAGAAGATTCTGGCAGATGTGACCCAAATTCATTCAATAATATTGTATCTCCGCTCAATCGAAAGAAACATTTAGTGAACGAATGAAAATATTTCCTTGAAGTACAGTGCATGTTACCCAAACAAATTATGAATGAAAATCCTTTGATAGTAACTAAATCTATCTGAAATGAACAAAGTGCATTCCAATGTATTTATTGTGAATGTCACTGAGAGATTCTGTGATTTAATAAGCATGTTAAGTAGCCCAAAGACAAATACTGTCATCTATGAGTTCAATAGATATTAAGTTAAAAAAAATTAATTTATAAAAAAAGTATTTTACTTTTTTATTGAATTAGAGGGATTTTAGACGAAAACTTTGTCAAGATGTGCATGGAGTTTGTCAACTCTCTCCTGATAGACAAAGTGTCTGCTAAACGAGTTGAAGTATGCAACCATTGGAAGCTTCTCGAATCCAGAGTAAACGAATGCTGCATACAATGGCCACCAGACTTGCTCTGCGCCAAGTCCTTCGTAGCATGTGTTCTTGTCATGGATTGTCTCTTCCAATGCACCGAATGTTGCAGACACCATGATCTTCTTCTTTCCTTTGTACTGCTCAATCAATGGTATGTATGCAGTAAGAACTTCATCGATATACTTCTTAGCTGGATTTGGAAGACCGATCCACCATGTTTGTGACTGGAAGATGATTACATCTGCCCATTTGAACTTCTCAATCTCTTCTTCGACCTTGTATCCTTTGGCAATTTGTGTAACCTTGACTTGATGGCCTTTGTGCTCAAGATACTTCTTTGCCTCCAAGCCAAGAGACTCATTCAACATGCCTTGTGACATTGGTGGATTGCTAAATCCGGCAATGATGATCAGGACCTTAGAGTTCTTTAAACTCATTCTGCAAAAATGAAGTGATAGAATAACAAATTATGTCTCAAAAAGAATTCAATTCTCTCAATTTGCGCAATAGTTATTGCTCTATAAAATTTGATCCACATTGATTAGTACGTCATTGTTTGTTTATTACAATAATCAAAAAATAACAATACAATTTTTGTTAAAAGATTTATTTCATATCAAGTTGGCTATAATAGTCATAGTATTAATTTTTAACGTGAAATTATTAGATTTTTCATTGATCATAACTATTCAAAAAAATAGAGATAGATATGGTGAATGCAATTGAGTTTAATTATGTCTGAGACTATTATTTAAAGCTGACAATCAAAATTTTTATGAATTGAATTTGATCATTGGACTATTCAATTTTATGAGCTTTCAAATTTTTTGTGTCAGATTTTTCACGATATCTTTTTGGTATTCCGGAATTAGATTCCATTTAAATTATATTACATTAACTAATAATAATTTCACACGCTTAATTAATGCTTATATTTTAATGTTTTCGTCTTGATTACAAAATTTCAGATTTAAATTAATTAGTAAGAAATCATTTATTGTTACATTATATTACTATTGATAATATGGAGCATATTTATATCTATATTTTCATCATTCAATGAAAAATGAAAAATCATTTCCCAACACAAATCTTTTATTCTTTAATTCACATTCATATGATTATCTAAAGAACCCACATAATGTATATTGCCATCAAAATGTTACAATAATTATCTCATTATCATATCTAGAGTTCTTTTTGTTTATCAATTAATAAAATGATCAATTGATCTTTGGATATTATTAATATAGGCATTAATCAACCGAATAATCAGATAAATGCTTTTATTCATGCAAATATGTTTTTATATGCATCAATTCATCAAAATACATGTAACACAAGGAAATTTAATAATAAATCTTTTTATATGATGAAATAGAAGAACTTTAACTATTCCATAAATTGAAATTCCATCATAATTATATGAAAGTCATGTTTGTGGAGTTTAAATCATCAAAAGCAGAATATATAAAGGAATTATTTTCATCTCCTTTATTCATGAAAATGAATGATTAGTTTTTTATAAAGAAAAAAAAATAATTAATTAAAAAAAATCTTATTTACATTTTCAAATATAAAATAAAATGAATAATAAAAAAAGATCTTAAGCACCTATATCATCGATATCAGCGTCATCAATATCATCATAGTCATTACCGTGTTGGTCTCCTCTAGGACCATCATATTTCTGTCCAGCAGCGTTATAAATTTTGTCAATTTCGTTGATATCCAAAAACCACGTGATATCAGTTCCACTTCCTCTCAAGTCTTCAAGAATCTTATACGCATTCTTGAAGTTTCCTTGTGCCACATAGCATTGAACCATCAAAATGTAAACGTCATCAGATCTCAAACAAGTTTCAATTTCCTTTGTTCTCAACAATTCCACACAAATTGCGATTGCCTTCTTTGAATCAGTTTGAACTAACTGAGTTGCCTGGATGTAGAGCGAAATCAGCTTAGTTTTCATAACTAATGATTTCATGATTGTTTCTTTGTTCTTCATTCCTTCCGTTACATCCAAAACTTCGATACTTTTCTGTATCAACTCCAAACCTTTCGAATAATTCTGGTATTCGTCAATTTCAACTTGAGCTGCTGATTCATAGAACCTTGCCAATTTATCAGGAGCTCCTGCTCTGTTATAGAAATCGACGATTGTCTCAAACACTTGTGGATTATCATGTGTAGACAATGTTTGCAAGTAGTTTGCGGCCAAAATGTATCCTTCTCTTCTTCTGAATGTTTTTGCAAATTTCACAACTTTTTGAGTATCTCCAGCTCTGATTAAGACTTTGATTGATGCCAAATAGTCCTTTAGCTTGAGATAGAGCTTTGACGCTGTTGTGAAATCTCTTTGTTGTTCGCAAAGAGCGGCAAATCTCTTGAGAACTTCTTCATCTGAAGAAGCATTTTCAGACAATTGTTGGATGACATTTTGAGAGATCTTTATGTTGTGTTGGTTACATAATTCGATGACAATGTCGAATTGCTGAGCAAGAGCATAACATTGTGCAGCTCTTGACCATCTTTCTGATTCGACAAAATATTTTCCGCATCGAATTAAAACTGAAGAATCTGTTTTTGCTGTCAAAGAATCAGAGATTTCATCCAAAGCGTCGTATTGTTTGTTCTTGAAGCACAATGTCAACGCTCTGTTTAATCTTCCTGCTCTTGAGTACAAGAGGATTGCGTTCTTTATCTCTTTCTGGGACTCAAACCACTGTGCGGCCTTGCAAACAGTTGTTTGTGGTGCTGAGAAAGAAAGAGATAAAATGTCATCTACCATTTCTTTGTCCAAAGCATAAGCCATCGCTTGTCCGAACTGTCTTGCTCTTCTGAACTGCTCAATGACTTCGTGCTTCAGCTTATTCGCTTGTTCCATTTCGTTCTTCTCCGTCAAATAGTCCACTTTCCTCATCAAAAGTCTCGCGTACTGGCAAATTACACTTCTTTGGCGACTCTTTTTCACGTATTTCGATGCTTCTTCCCATTGTCCGTTGATGCAGAGGAGTCTGACGTATTCTGTTGATGCGCCCGCGTACTCGTAGTATCTGAGAGAGAGTTCCACTTGGTTGTGCGCTTCGAAAAACCTCGCGAGCCATAATAAAATTTGTTTTGGAACATCAGAAACATTCCTTTCTTCAACGTAATTAAAGATTAATTTGAAATCATCACTTTGCACAGCTAATCTTGGTAATTCATCGCCAAGAGTTCCTGATTTTTCGTATTTCTTCACAGCTTCATCCATTTCGCCGTGTATTTCAAGACTTCTCGCGTATTGGTACGCAATAGATCTCTTGTGAATTCTGTCAGAAGTTGTCGCAATTTTTAGTGCTTCAGGAAAATCTCCTTGGCTTTGAGAGACTTTTGCGAGGAGATCGAATCTTCTGTTTGCCTTTGCGACATCTTTAGCTTCATTGTAGATACCTAACTGTGTGTCGACAACAACCATTGCGTCTACATCGCTTTCCCCTTTAGTTCTTGCTTGATGAAGTAAAATTGCACTTCCGCCATCTTCCATTTTTCCGAAACATAAATCTGCCAAATCGATTCTTCTCATTTGAGCGCATGTTTGTGCCAAAGATCTCCATGTTCTCTTGTTATTAATACCTCTGATTGCATTGAATGCGGCGTCAATGTCTCCTGTTGCCAAGTGGAAGTTCAGTTCCATCAATGCTTTCTTTGATTCTTCGTCAACATTGTCTAAACCTTCGAATTGAGGAAGAACTGAATATCCTGGCGCGCTGGAGTAATCAGTCATGAGGACATTAGGAAGATCAACACCGCAAAGATGCCTGGAATCATCAACAGTCAAAGGTGTTTGTCTGAAAACTTCAAGAGAATCAGCAACAAACAGAGGAAAAACTTGTGATCCAGTCAGTTTCGATTCAAATGTATTCGAATATGGAACAACTTGTACACATAATAATCGAGGATCTTCATTGTCCCAGGAATGTTCTTTTGGTACTTTTCCGTCAAATGGAATTGAAACGGTTTTGTCAAATTGGGGGGAATGAAGGTATAAATCAGGGGCAGGTTTCCAAGTGTCGTCTTCGAAGATATCGATGGTTAAAGAGATGCAGAAACCTCCACATGAAACAGAAACGTCTCTGATGCGGAAGGTATCGTAATCAGCCCAAAACATTGTTGAAAACTGGAGATCTGGCTGCCTGCGGAGAGTTTTGAACAGGAAAATGCAGAGATCATCAGTAACAATGCATAAATATGCTCCATTGGCTACGAAATGTGTTACTTTTGCAGTAGTACCTAATGAAATCGTTTGTTTGACAACGCCTTGGAGATTTCGGATGAGGAGGCTTTGCCCAGTGACTTCGTAAGTACTTTCGTTGTAAATGGTGGTAAACGGAGTGTTTGTAGTGATATTATCTCTAAATGGAGTGAGTTCGCTGTTTCTGACTGCGTAAATCGAGTTTTGTGTGGCTGTGGATACTAAAACATGGGATCCGCTTGAACTTATGGACTCAATGACTTGATTTGATTTGATACTTCTGCCATTACCAGAAACTAAGGTTTTTGGATCACTCATCCATACAGTAACCTCTTTATTTGATAGCGTACGTGTTAAAACGTGTCTGAAAATAAGAGGACGACGACCATTTGCTGTTGCAACAAATGATGTGCAAGATTGTGACCAAAGAGCTGATTCAACCTTACTGCCGAGGTCTTTAATGACTGGTGCGGCCCAGCCAGCCTTCATATTGATGCCTTTCATTGTGCATCTGAAGGAAATTATGTGTCCGAGTGCTGTTGTTGCATATAGAACAGCATCGATGGCATCGAAGTAAAGAGAAGTGACGTTTTCTTCGTTTGGAGTACGTAAAATCTGTGTATCATCTGAGTTAACGTTAGATATGTTAATTGTATTTCCAATTGCGTAGCAAATCGTATCTGGTTTGAGTTTAATCAATGTTGGAACGTCACCGACGTTTAATTTGACTTGAGATTGTTTAGAAATCGATGGTGGAAGGGAATATTGAGATAATATATTTTCTCCGGAAATGATAAGAAGCTTATTGGCTGCAGGCATTATTGTCAACGAATGTATTGGAACTGGGCAATCGCAAATTTCAACAAGATTTCCGGATGTATTGTTTTCAAAACCGAATAAATGTCCATCAATATCTGCAAGAAAGGCGTAGAGCATTTCCTTATGGATCCAAGCGGCTTTAGCAAATGGATTTTTGCCTTTTGCCATGTATATTTGGCGTGGAGCAGAAGATCCATCCCAAGCAATCACATTTCCGTTTTCTGCGGCTGATAAAAAGATGGGGATTGTCGAATGCCAGCTAAGTAAGTTGATAGATGCTTTTAATGATTGAGACGAATTTTGAACTTTTCCATTATTCCAAACTGTAACGAAACCATCATTCCAACCAATGGCAAGGACATCGCAATTTGGACACCATTCAATTGCTGTTGCTTGTGCATTTCTGGAAATTGCAGGAAATGAAGATTCATTTCCATTATCCGAATAAAAATGGACGCTGCCATCACTCGGTATGACAGCAATAATGTTCTGAAAATGAGACCAAGAACATTGCTTAATTGATGGCAAGCCGGAAATATCAGTTCCAACAAACGCCATCAAAGATTCGTTTTTTTTTTATAAACGGATATAATGCTTATATTCGGCCTTGATTTAGTTTATGAAATATGATCTCAATCTCATACTTAATGATTTTGTCGTTCCATTTTCTTCAAATACGATGAAATTGATTTCAAAAATTTATTATTTCATGGAAATCCTGACCAAAATTTTCAAATCTATACTTTAAATACATGATATATTTAAATTATTTAACTAAGGGTTCTAATTTTTTCAAATGTCGTTTTTTGGATTCGGCAAGAAGGACAAGAAGCTTGCCGAACTCAAAGAGATATTTAAACAGCTTGCAAAGGCAGAAAAAAGTCAGTATGAAGATTATTTTCAAAAAATGATGCCATATATCCCTGAATATACTTGTACAATCTTAAATGAATGTTTAAGTAAAATGAATCAAGTTTTAGCAACTGGATATTCAAATGTAGTTATCGAAATGATCTACGTAATGAGTAATAACGTCGATAGATCCAAGCCAGAACAAAATCCATTTAAAATTTTTCAAACAGACAATTTCATTCTTCCATCTCTATTCCAATATGTCGATAAAGATAAAACACAGCTAATTAAGTTATTAAAAATCCTTTTTTTAGAACTTACAAATAAATTTATCGATTACATCGACGGAAATGGCGAATCAGTTATGCGCCTCGTCAAATTAGTTACAGAATCGCAAGATAAGTTATCAATTGAATTTCTTTTGATGTGTGTCAACTCAAAAGAAGAACTTAAAGAAAAATACCAAACAATCATCTTTAACGAATTACCTTTGTGGACTCCAACATGTGTTATCAACGTTCTCGTTGGATATCCTCAAATGTTTTCACATATTTTAACAGATGAAATTGATCGATGGTTGAAGAAGAAATATCAATTCCTTGTTGATGATGTTGAGCAACTACTTAAAATTCACCAATTTCTTTGGACTTCTCCATCAATTTTGCAAATTTTAGTTAGAACAACTCCAGAAATTAAAGCAGCATCTGTAAATTTCATTCACAGACAAAATATTCAGTCATTCGACATTCCAAATGACATTGTTGAAGAATGTTGTGAATCAATTCTTAATCCACTTCAAAAATTCGAAGTTACGTCTGAAGGAGACTCAAAAGTAACATACTATTTCATCAGATTTTATGTTCTTTCCCTTTCAGGTCCAGATGACGTTCCTTTAGAAATTATTGATTTAATTGCGAAATCTCTTACAGATAAAAGCGATTATCTTGTTGCAGCAGCTGCACAAGTTATTACCTGCTGGGTTCTTAATTTCGAATACAATTTGTCAAGAAAATTTTTCTATTTAATGACCGCGGCAGCTGTAAATAGAGACCTGGAAAACCCTTGTCGACTTCTTTTGCAAGGAATTCTATCTATTTTTGCTGAAAAAGATGAATTTATTTCTAGAATTTTAATGGCTGAGCCAAACTTTCAAAGTAGGGTCGATAAACCTCTAAAAGTTGTTAGAGAATCTTTTGTATTCCCACATTTTGTCCCAATCTTTAAATCTCAAATAGAAAAAGAGAAAAAAGAACCTTACTTCGTTAACCTTGACCTGGCAACTACCATGCTTGAAGATGCAGTTAGTATGTTAGAACTTTAACTTATTGTTTTATTGTTTGTATGTTTGTAAAAAAAATATATTTTAAAAAATTAAGAGTTGGAGCATTTCCTTTTAGTACCTAATCTAAGCAGAATCTGAAATAGCAAATGGCTTATTTGGAGGAATAAATTCTAAATACTGATCTGAAATGAGGGTTGATTTGGTGTTTCCCCCTAAGATTTTAGAATGACGACGAAAGAATCCGATGTTGAAGAAGATATGACCGAGCCCTTCACTTCGGTTTCGGATCGTGATAATGTTTATATCATTCATCGCGGAAAACCATCTAAAGAACATTCACCTTTCGGAAAAGTTGCAACAAAACCAAGATGGCCTGAAAAACTATGGTCTACAGGTCAGGTTGTCTATTCAATCAAAAGTAAAGATGAATGTCTTGGTCCACCTCAATCTCCAGATGATATTACACTTCGATTCGATTCAAGATTTGAAAGTGGCAATTTAGCCAAAGCTTTAAAGTTAACACCCGATTCATATCATTTAATACTCGAATACGATCATAACGAAGCAGGTACATGTCAATGGTTTTATTTCCGTGTAAGTAATGTCAGAACATCAATGAAATATACATTTTACATTTCTGGATTTCACAAAGAAACATCTCTTTTCTCCACAGGATTACGATGCTTTATGTATAGTGAAAAAAGAGCAAGAAATGAAGGAATTTCATGGATGCATTGTGGCTCAAATTACTCGTATTCAGTTACATCACGTACTAAATACAAAGGCAAGCGTGCTACAGTTCAATTTACTACAAAATTTCCATATGACGATGATATTTGTTATTTATGTTACGCTCTTCCATACACCTACACAGATTTGAACCATAATATACAAATCTGGGACAAAATGGCCAAGCCAGGAGTGTTCCAGCATGAAATATTATGTCAATCTCTTTGCGGAAGAGATGTTCCTGTTTTATCAATTACTTCACCAGACTCAAGCATCCCGTTAGCCGGAAAATCATGCATTTTCTTGACAGGCCGTATCCATCCTGGTGAATCCAACGGCTCTTTCGTTCTCCACGGCTTAATCGATTTCTTATTATCAGATCATCCCGTTGCGAAGTATATTTTAGACCATTGCATCGTCAGAATTGTTCCGATGATAGGTGTCGATGGCGTTGTCGAAGGATCCTACAGAGTTTCGCTGATGGGCCACGATTTGAACAGAATGTGGACAAATCCTAATCCAGTTCTTCATCCGGAGATCTGGAAGACCAAGAACTTGATTGCGCAGACCGCCATGGAAAGACCTGTTGTTGTTTACATTGATTTCCATGGTCACTCTTCACTTCACGGGACATTTGCCTACGGATGTCCAAATACAGGTGACACAGGTCTTAGAGATGCCGAGAAAACTCTTCCCCGCCTATACGCGTTCCTTTCTGACGCGTTTTCATGGGAACATTGCGTATTTACTTTTCCGAAAGACCGAAAAGATGCAGGAAGAATCGTCGTGAGACGCGAGATGGGTGTCGTACAGAGTTTCACAATAGAAACAAGCTTCGGAGGCGTGAAAGCAGGTCCTTACGCCGGAATGTTGTATGATGAGATACTTTGGAAGAAATTGGGAGCTTCCTGCGGCGAGGCAATCTATCACCTGTTGATACCAACTGCATCACCATTGGTATCATACGTAAACAAAGAATTGGTCTATTTCATGCCAAGTAATAAAAGTGACAGAAAACAGGAAGATGACAAAACCGCCGTCCCTGTCAAATTTGCTGAGAGTAATGATGAAAAGGAGATTGATTTGTCCCCACTGCTTAAGGAAGGAATGGAAGGAAAGACTTTGAAAGTTAAAAAACCGGATTCTTATTTCAAATTTAACGTTGATGATATTGCAACAACACCACCTAAGGAGGTTTATCCAAAGTGGAAGCCAATGGAGTTCAATGCTTGATATATCTTGTTTTTTATTATTTTTTTCTGATAGTAAATTATATATATTTCTAAAAATTCATTGAATTTATAAGATTTTAAGTGTGCACTTACGCCCCTATGACGGGGCCTTCAATTCAGATATTTAAGGTTAAATTTCAATTGCCCTTCACGCCAGTTGTCAAAAATTTGAATTAAAGTCAGATGGGCGTAAGTGCAGCCTTAATATATAGGTAAAATTTGATTGATTGAGAACATAATGAACATTAAGTTGCAGAAAATGTGGACAACGTCAAATGATAGAGAAGAAACTAAATATAGAATAGAAGTTTCATGTCCTGATGAAATATTTAATTATTTTGGCAATTAAATATAATAAGTTCCTGGAATTTAAGGAGATTTAAACTCATTTGGGAATTTAATGGAAATTGGAATAAATGTTCGTATTTGTTACCAAAAAATGGCACCTGAAAAGGAATTGATCCACGTTATTAGTATGAAACAATGATATACTAGGGACTAAAGAATATTAATATTTCAAATTCCAATTATTCGATGTTCAACTCATCATATCTTGCATTAAATTTGATACCTTTATTTTTTAGAAATATTACAACAGTAGCAACCTTACGTATTACCAATGATAACCTTAGTACTATTTTGGCATTAAAAATTTAAAACGATATTGAAAACAACAGATTGACTAGTCATTCGGGTATAGTATTATTTTGTTACATGAAAATTCTTCAATTTTCTACGGAATTATAAAAGACTGCATAATGAAGAGGAGTTCATCTATTTTTAGTTTTTGCATTTACATTTGCACCATTTGAAATGCAAATTGGAATATGCCATTAGTTTAGAATATAATCAAATGATTAAGATTTCTAAATAAAAGCTATCAAAATTATGCAACTTAATTTTTTCAGTGCTGCACGCCGATAGAGTTGACTGAAAAAATTATTTCTTGTAGTCAAAAAAAATTAGTTCATTTCCTAATGGCAACGATCTACAATTTAAGTCAAGAAGATTTAGATCATGCTAAAAAGGTTTTCAAAAACGAATATAATACCTCTCACAATAATGATACTTTGGCTGTTGTAAAGAAAATAAACCAACTCAAAGAAATGCAACAACTTTTTGCAAAAGAAAGCCCTGAAACAGAGAATTGGCTCCAAGAGCGCGGGTATATAGGAGTACCAATTTCACTAAATGTTCTGGAATCATATCAAAAAATGATTAAAGATATTATAACAGCAACTAAATTTATTAAGGATAATTCCCCACATGAAATTTCTAAAAGCGACCTTGAAGCATTTACTATAGGTGTCCAAGAATTCAAAAGTGAACTTTCCAATCTCCGTGATTTGTTAAATGAAGTGATGGACTCTCAACCAGAAAGTTAATTTCATGAAAAAGAGAGATAATTCACACTTAAAATCTAATTTTCAATTATTTTGATTTCCTATTAACTTGAATTTATAAAAGATTGTCATTTTTACTACAACTGATCCATTTTTAATTCCTTATACATTACAGAAATAAAAAAATTTTGATAAAAAAAATGAACTTTATTGAGTGAATTACATTAATTATCTATTGATAAATATTGAAATAGTATATTTTTTCTAAATAATTCCTCTATTAAATAGAACCTTGAAAATTTGAAAAACGAAACAGTCAATATTTTGGAAAGTTATTGAAGAATTATACAATATACTTGATATCTGATTGTATTCTAATATTAAATTGTAGAAATGATGTCTCGATTGCAGAATAAAAAGTGTCAAATTTTCCAAACTAAATCTTCTTTGAATAAAATTGATCGTTCTATTAAATCATTATTTTAGAGTTATTCAGTATCACATATCTAATAGTAAAGTATTCTGGGAAAAATCATGCTCTAACTAATAGGAAAATAAATTCGATTTTTAATTATTTAGTATTGGAAAACAAAAAATGGTCTGTAAGAACTGGCATTTAATGGACAATCTATTTCAACATAATTTTCATGTATGGCAGTAAAAAATTTCAATTGGGACAAATTTATTGATTAATATATGAAACATCTATAGAGGAGCTGATTTTACCTGAAAATTCTATATGAAAGAAAATTCTTCATATAAAAAAGTTAAGTGAATAAATATTATTCTACTATTAATAGAGATCGAATTTTTCCACTAGAAAAAATCTAATAATTGAGAGAAATTAACGAAAATTTACTGTCAAAATTTATAAAGCATTCTGAAATTTAAGAAAAAATTGATGGATCGAAATTATCAATTTTTGAATGATAAATTTATAAAATAACGCTCATTAAAAACAGTTTTAAAATTAATAAGATTTGTAATTTGAAAGGATATTATTTGATTACTGATAACCGCCGTATCGTCCTTATTTTGAATAAGGCTCTGAAAAGTGTAAAAATGCAAATTCTATGAGATTAAAAATTTCACTCACCACTTACTCCAACCATTTATGCAGGATTTCGAGAAAGACGTGACTAATTTAAGCTCCAGACTTAGAATGAAAGCACTCCAAATCATCAAACAACAGAAAAGACCAATGGCTGTTTTAGAAATTCAAAATTATATTAGAGATAATGAAAAAGATTTATGGCAAGAAATGGAGCAGAAGTGCAATGATTATGTTCGAATAATTCTTAGTTTAACAAAAAATAAGCTAATTTCAAAATATAAACCGGTTCATCCAGTTCCAGGAATCGACAAAAGAGCAACATTTTATGGAATTGCATCAGAAAAATATCCAAATGAGTCTTGGATCAAGTTGGGATCAGTTAAAGAAGAAAAAATTCCTGTAGCACAAATTGAATGCATTGATGATAAGCAAGATTCAAGCTTCTTTGACAATTTTTCTGAGATATATAATCCTCAGGATGATGATAAGAAGCTAATTGAAACAAAATGATGTTAATTTTGCAAAAATATTTATATTAATGATCATGTTTTCTTTTGTTACAAGAAAACAAAACTAAATATTCCATCATTCATGATATGGGAAGAGTGGAAGTAGCCTCCTTCTTATTTGTATGATTTTGGAATTTAAAGTTTTTTTTTATATTACGCATTCTATATCAACTGAGAAGATATCACGATGCATGCCCTTATCTATTTCATAGTATTGAATGTTAAACAAGAAATTAAAAAAAAATGAAATGATTCTTAGGGGAAAAATCATATGATATCATAAATGTTAAAACATATCTTATTTTGTTATTGATTGTCCATTCACGTTAAAAAAAAAAATTAATAATAATTTCGATTTAAAAACCATTAAATGATTAATATAAACGCTGCATGCCAAGACGAACATCTGCTCTTCTTCCAATAAGGAAATAAATAATAACAAGTATACAAATAAAGAAAATACCCATAAAAAATATAATATGAGGATGGTTATCAATCTGAAGGTTATTCAAGTACTCAACAGGCTTATTTGCCCTTGTGAAAGGCTTTCTGAAATTGTAGGGATTGCAATAATCAACTGCAACATGGCTAAAAGCATGTGGTTGGAGGTTATCAGCATTAAACAATGTATCCGTGCGGTAATCATAGATCTTACGCTCAACAACTGCCTTATTTTTCAGACCACTTTCGCCAAAGTCGAAATTGCAGCCTTTGAAGATAACATTTGAAGGTGTAGGGCAGTTAAAGAAAAAGTTGAACTTGTTTTGATATGTATAAAGGTTCCTTATTTCTAATGAAATATGTCCGTGAATAAAAACTTCAAGTTTGTTGAAATATATATTGTTATGGGTCCATTCTTCTGTATAGTCAATGTTGCAGGAGACATTAGGATGTGCAATTCCTGTTGTTCCGATATTTTCAACAAAATTATTTTCTTGGAGGCGTAATGACTGGGAATTTAAGTAATGCCCTAAAGCTCCTGTTGATGCTTTGTTTGAAGTGATATTTGACCTAGATAAAAACGTTATTGCTTCAGATGTGAAAATTGTATCAGGAACTTTTGTATTTCCGTTCTCTGAGAATGTGTCATCTTCGAAATTAATTATTTTCTTGTTTCCATTCACGTAAACAGTGTGTGCTTGTAATTCGGAAGTACATTGGCCAAAGCATGACTTTGAAATAGAAAATGATCGTGTTTTTGAAACATAAATAGCTCCACCTGTAGAATTCATAACTAGGCATTTAGCAAAAACGCATTTTGTGATATTTATTTCGAATTCGTTGTCTTCACACGAGATAGCGCCACCACCAGTCTCATCACCTTTGCAGTTAATAAAATGACAACGATAAAATGTAGCAGTTTCGTTTTCTGGAAAGATTTGATCTGTATATTGTGTCGCCATAGAAACTTGAGCCTTTTCTTCAGAATTAAGTATGATAGAATTCTTTTGGAAGTTGTTAAAATCGACTTTATTAAAGTTTAATGAGATTTTGCGTGTGATTGAGTAAAGAAATGAATTTCCGAATTGCGAAAAGTGAGAATTCTGTATATTTAACTTGCTACTAATTGTCTTTGGTGAAAATGATAAATATGGTGACCCAAGAAATCTCTGAAGAGAGAGATGGGTAATAGTTGTATTCATTATGTTTTTTTTTTTTTTATAAATTGAATTCCCGAAATAAGTCGGAGAAGCCGAAATAATCTGTAAACAGAGGATTTATTAGTACGAAGCTATTAAAGTCTACATAAAGGATCATAAAGAAGTAAACAAACTTCTGCCTATCTATAAAAAAAATCTCGAATTCCATATCGATCCATTAGACTTTGATACACTTATCTAATAAAAACCTGTTAACTCTTAAAAGATATATCTTTATAAAAAATATAAGAATTGATTGTCAGATATTTAGCAGAAAAATAAAAGAGATAACATGTAAATAAGTTATTCTTTCATCTTTATATATATCTAGAGTGAGAACAAGCTGATATAAAGTAGCTTGTCGGTGATTAAATGTAAATGAATAATGATGGAGCACTATGTTTAGGAAAATTTGAATGAGATTTAATAGGAAAAGATCTAGAGTGAAAATTATTATTTATTTGATAATGTGCCGAAAAATAGACATATTTATATTCAGAGTTGAGATATTTAAACTTATTCATGAAGAGGAATGAAATGATGTTCTTTCAAATATTGAAATTTTATTCCAGGATAGTGTTCAAATTAATTAGTGTGAGCGGGTGAGTAGTCTAGTGGTATGATTCCTGTTTTGGGTACAGGAGGTCCCGGGTTCAATTCCCGGCTCGCCCCATTTTTTAATTTTGATTTTGGATTTGTCACTTTTTTGGAATGAAAATCTTTTTTGTAGATCGGTAAGGAAGCTAAATCAAGAGATTAACCCCGTGGAAGGTTAATTGTAAAGAGTCAACCCTTTATTGATGAAAATGCTATAAAATAATATCATAAAGAATGAGTATAAATTCGTGTCTATGTACTTTGTAATGAAGAGACATTGTATTTTTCCCTGGAATTCTCTAAATTAAGTGAGTATTTTAAAAGAAAATTCTTTAAAGTAACTCTTTTTCAAACATTGTTACTTGGTAAGAGAGAAATTAAGGTCTATATATTAATATGTAAGATAACACTCGTTTTTCTTTTGTTGTAGTGCCTAAATTAAACAAAATTGAATTTCATATTCGTTAAATATTCAAATTTGCTTGTTGTAACCACTTGTCTAACTGCTACTGATTATTGTGCCGCTATATCTGAAATTCCAAAATTTTTTTGAAATAAAGAAAATGAAGATCAACTCTAAGAAACATTCATTCAAAATTATAAAAACGAAAAAAATTTGGAAAATTCAGAAAGAAAATCAAAATAAAACAAATTTTTTACAATAAATATTTAAAATTAGACATTATTAAATCAGCAAACGCATTATATTTTAGATAAGAATACGTTTAATCACAAAGAAACAGAAGAATATCATAATAAAATTTCAGATATTATAAAAATTATGAATAATTCTAAAAAAATCAATAATAAAGCTAAATTTTTATTTCACATTCTTAGAGAAACCATTAATTACACAAGCAACGAAATCTCTTACGTTTCTCTGTCCAATTGCAGATAAAATTCTTTCTTCCTCAACAACAGGCACCAAAACAAAGGAAGTCGAGACATCCAGAGTCAGCTTGATCTCATCTTTTGTTCCATCGACGCATTCTGCAGAAACTGTTGTCCATTTTCCAGATTTCTCGTTGCCAAGCTTTGATTTCATTGACAAACCACTATCTGTGACCTGGACAGTCCATGTTGAGTTTCCTGAAGAAGCATTTGCGACAAATTTGAAATTCTTTGTTCTAACAACAGCATTTACCATACTCTTCATCTTTCCGGACAGAGAAACAGCATTTGTATCATTGGAAAAGACGTTTTTACCATACAAACATCTAATCTTTCTTCCAATGTCGTTTGCTGTCGTTAAGTAACTATTTCCTTCAGCAATGCCGACGTATTCGCCGTTTTCCAGTCTCCTCTGCCATACTACAGTGACATTTTCCAATTCTTGGCCTTTGTCTGTCACTTTTGCAGTCAAATTTGTTGCAGTTACCAGTTCTTGCTCTCCTCCTGCGATTGAGACCCTCACAGGAGCGGCATCGACTTGCTTAGGAGTGATTGTTTCGAAGATATCGCTCTCCCAGCCTTCAGAATTCTTCATAAACAAGGTACATCTGATGAAATAGCCTGAATCGATATCTCTTGGTGTGAACTCTTGTTTCTCTTCACCTTCAATCAACTCCCAATCATCAGCCTTCGCTTTATCGGTTGATCTGTACCATCTATAGAATAATTCTCCATTTCCTTCTACTTTCGTGAAGCATTTCAGGATATTTCCTGGCTTAATCTCTCCGTTCTTCGCTTTGATCTCGGCATCGATCACTGTAGGCCTTGGTTTTACAATTACAGAGCCAACACGAGTTTTCTGGCCCTTTACGTTATCGTCGCGTGTTGGAATTACATCTACGACCACTTCCTTGTTGTAAAGGTCCGGATGAGGACAAATTACTTTTTCAGGGGATTTAGCGAACAAAGTAAGCTGTCCCTTGGCATCTTTGATGTGGTAGAGGATGGTTGTGTTTCCTTCTACGCCGCCAGTGTATTTGTACTTCACTTCGAGGAAGCCATCAGAATTTTGGGTAAATGAGGCATCAGAAATCGATGGATCTGCGGCAATAACAGGTCCAAACTCATGAGTGACTGTTTCGCCGGTGACTCCATCCTTTCTGACTGGTTTGTAGGAGAATTTCAGTTCATGACCAACATCTTCCAACGTAGGAACGTATTTCAGCTCTTTCGATACTACGACTGTGTTTCTGGCATTGCCAACTCTTGTCCATGTGCAGTTATTACGCTGATCTTTGGCAAATTTTGACGGAGACTTAATTTTGCTTGAATTTGTCGCTGTGACCATGATACGCCAGCCTGCAGCATCAGCAGGAACTGAAAATGATTTTGCGTCTTTGGCAAGAATTTCACTATCGAAAAATGTCACTTTTTCGATTGTCCACGTCAACTTTTCTGGGTCTATTTGGTCCATGGCTGACTTTAATGAGTGGGCGACTGCGCTTCCTTCCTTTAGTTGTGGTGGGCAGTAGCTCAATTCGATCGTTGAGTTGACATCTTGCTTCTTTATCTGATAAGTGTTTGTATTATTTGCAACAACAACTTTTACATCTTCAGCGCCGATTCTTTCCCACTTACATTCGCTTTTACCTTCCTTTCCGCCGTTGTATGTAACGGTGATTGGTATTTCTTGGCCTTCAATTGCAGAATCTTCGGCTTCGATCGTTGCTGTTGGAAGTCCTGAGTCAATGATTTCGCGGGATGTTACAGTGACTTGGTTTCCGCCGATCTTCATCTGGCAGCGAATGGCAGAACCGATATCTTTCGAAGAAACAGTATATTCATTACCAACTCCAATGTTTATCCATTGGTTACGTTCTTTTCTGAACCACAGTACTTCTGAATACTCTTTCTCGCATTCGATATGCAATTTACCGCCTTCTTTGAATTTTCCAGCGATAACAGGTACAGAATTGCCCTGTGCTTGTACTGTCTGTGTTAGATCTGTTGTTAGAGAGCTGATCGCGTTACCTGCTTTGTCGAGAGCTGTGACTTTCGCGCGAATTTGGAATCCGACGTCTTCTGGAGCGAAAGTGTATGAAGAAGTGTTGACGGCCACGACTTTTTCGGTATCCTTCTTCACTTTCGTCCATATTATCTCGATGTTCTGAGCTGAAAGTCGCTGAACTTTGATTTGCAAATTTGCAACAGCGTTTTCCACGCATTTTTCGCAGTTTATTGCGACAGCCTTCAACAGTGGAGGTGGCTCTTGCACTTCTCCGAGTAATCCTTCGGCTCCTTCGCTCTCAACTCTTAAGAATTGTCCGACATTTTCCAAATGAGGGACAAAAGAGTTTCCGAACTTAATCGGTTCGTAGCCAATGGGACTATCAGGTGAAGACAAGAAGAATTGGACGGTTTCTTCAAGCTGAACCTTCTTTCCTGCAACAATAGGATTATTATACTCGATAACACGAAGTTCTTCGTGCTCTGCAGGCTGTACAACGCCTTGTGAGACCAGGAAGATTGTATTTCCGACAACTTCGTCATCTCTTATCGGTAAAATTTCGAGACATATAATTTTATCTTCCATTTCTTGGGTGATTTTGAGGAATTTTTCATTACCTACCTCCTGCATTGTCTTTGCCATCTTCTGAGTGATCTTCTTTCCATCCTTGTTGTCGCATAAAAGCCACCTGTAGTGGTGTTGGCCAGGATGTCCTCCTTTGTACTTCCCTGTGGCCACAAGGGTATGGCCAACCGATAATTGGCCGGATATCGCTGCGTTCTCAAAAGTTGGGAATTGAGGCAAAACTTTTGTTTTTGAGTAGAAATAGATGGTTTCGCCTTGAGTTCCTTCGCTTGTCTCTGGTGTATAGCAGATCCTGAGGTAGCAACCAACGTCAGATTGGTTAGGAGTGTACTTGAAATTATCTGGAGAAAGATTTGCGACGTTTTCCCATGCTGATGACTGGAATCTGGAGTGCTCGATCGATATTTGTGAATTTCCTTCTCTATCTGGAGTAATGACCCTTGTAAACTCGATTTCGGATTCTTCAATAATTATTTCAGGGAAAGTAACACCTGAAACTGTAGGAAGTAGTGGTTGTACGGTCATTGTTTCTGTATAGAGTGTCGCGAAGATGATATTGGGGAAGTTTGGACAGAATGGAGCTAATAAGCATGTAACTGGCTTTCCGATCTCTGCGTTTGAGACAATAATTGCTGTTTCGTCTTGTTTAATGATTCTTGTACCCGAAACCCATGCAACTTTTGTAGGAATCGGAAGAGGAATTAATGAAATCATAGATCCTTCGAGAGGAAGGCCAGCGAGGACTGGATCGAGTGGGAAAGGAAGAACTAAGACATTTGGCTTACGACCTATCGGTTGGTCAGTGTATAATGAGAAGTTTTGTTCGTTCATTGTAAAATCGCACTTAATTAAATGCATTTTCATGATGTTTGTAAGTTCGAGAACATTCGGTGTGTCCTTACTAACATTGCCCTGTACAGAAGCCCACTCAGAAGTGTTCTGTTCCGTTGGCAAAACATCTCTGTACCATTTGATGTTGGTTGCGGTGAACGGGAGTATCAAAGACATGTTGTCGCCGACTGTCTCTGTCTTGAACTGCGCAAGAGATGGATCCATTCCGGCAGATGTTAATTGCTCAATCAAATTTTTGTTCAAAAACTCCTGGGAAACCTGGATTTCCTCTTCAGCGTTGGAGTATCTTTGAGGATTGCGGCCGTGTCTGAGCGCATAGCCAACAATTGGCGAAAATTTGAAAGCTTCTGTAAGAACAAGTGAAGTAAGTGGGATTCCGTTGAACTTCGTAAGACATATGGATCCAATGGCTGCAATACAGATGACTGGATCGAAGTCAAATGCGTTGTTTGAGAGATTTAATGTTTCAAGTTTTGTAAAGATTTGAATTTCATTTAAATCCGATATGTTGTTGTTGGCAATTGAGAAAAGCCTGAGATTAGGGAACTTTGGCATTCCTTCGAATGAATTTATTTGGCAATTATCAAGAACAAGTGAACGCAAGCGATCAAATTTAGGAATGGCGCATGATAAAAGTGGATTGTTTGATAATGAAAGAGATGTGAGGTTCTTAGGAAGGTCTTTTAATGAATTAATACTTAATTGATTGTCTTCTAAGTTGAGAGCAATGACATGTTTGTTCTTTGCACTTGGAGGTAAGGATTTGAGCTTTTGTCCGGCAACAGATACAAACGTTGCGCTCACAACATCCTTCCTTGTTTGTGGAGTTTCATATGCAGGGAGCTGGAGCCTTGGAGATTTGATCCCATTTGGTGTTGATGGATTGGATCTTCCATTGTTGACTTCAGAATACTTTGGATACTTAGGAGTTCGTGGTGAAATAGGATTTTTCTTCATGGTGAGAAAAAATTTCGAAAAAAGTGACAATTTTATTTACATCGAACTCATAATTCTCAAAAATTAAGGGTGCCCTATAGACGATAGACCACCCTCAGAAAAGCACTTTTAAGGCTATTGTATTGAGAACTAGAATCTGGATAATCCATTCATTCGAGTTCTAATAAGGTTAATTTTGTGATGTTTACATTATCGTTATAGGGCACCCTTAAAACAAAATTAATTTTATCAATATCATTATTTTTGATTCATTTTAAGTTTTTGCCAATAATATTATTTTTATGAATTTTTTCCTTATGGGATTAGGTATTTTGAATGAATGTATATAATTCCATCGATCGAGGTTTAAAGATGTGCCTTTCATTTTCGTTAGAAAAGCAAGGAAATTCGGGTTATTTTTAATGAATGAACAAAACTCAAAATTTTATTAAGAATTATTAAATTCAGGGTCTCTAGTTCCGTTGTTATAGAGAAAATAACATAGACAATTGACGTAAAAATGTCGGTATTGTATAATTAAAAAAAATCTCTAGTTTTTGCCTTGTAAGTAATTACCTGGTGTTTCTGACCTATTGAGAAGGCGTTTCTTTTGTTCATCTTTAACACGAGACTCTTCTTCGTAAATTGTACGAAGTAATTGGTTATATCTTTCTTTTGTATCATCTAATTCTTTAATTTTTGCTTCGTATTCGGCTATCTTTGTGTCTAACTCCTCCTTTCTCTGTTTCATCTTTTCAGAGTCTGGAGCTTCAGGAGGATACGGAGTTCCGTATTTTATGAGGTTCTCGCGATGCACCATGACGCCTTCAAGCATCTGTCTGAAGTCGCGGTCGCTCATAATTGGACTTTGGATCTTGAAGACTATCTGTTTTCTGTTTTTCATCGAAATTTTGGAAAAAGTGACATCAAATTTTAGGTGAAAAAAAAGAGTAAACATTTATTTCACAATTTTACCTCAGGGAATGTTTTCTGACACTTTCACACTAGAAGCGAGTCTGATGACTTACTTGATCGACCAATTATTCCACAATTGATTTTGAAAAACTTATAGTGACATCAAACCAAATAATTTCATTGGGTGTTGATAATGAATATGTCATTGATTTTGGTTTATCAAAGAAATACAGAGACTATACTACTAAAGATCATATTCCTTGCATGACTGGGAACAATAAACAGATGACATTGAATCACAATAACTTTTATGAAAAATATTTGGTGACCATGTTAATGCAATGAAATCATTCTTTAAGGATTTAAACTCTTTAGGAACTCAAATTTTGAAATCTCTAACGAAATATGGAGAAATTGACTTAATTTGCAATTTCTTTAGAGAGACTGTATATCAAACATGTGCTTCCAGACTATGTCAAAAGGATTTATTACGTGTTTTGGAAAAAATTGCGAAAAATCAGAAAAATCCTGAATTTTTAGGTTTGTTTGTTACGGTGTGTGAGAATTTTTATCAAGTTTGATGAAGATAAACCAAAGAAAAACAAACTTTTCAACAAAATTTCAGAAAAATTATATAATATTTTGTTAGAATTCAGAGATATCGTTTCAAATGATATTGTAGAGAGAGTTAAAGCAATATTCCCATTTGATGATCATATTTACTCCGTCAGAATTTGGTCAATTCTTTCAATTTTTGATCCAAAAAAAATTGATGAACTTTTACCTCTTTTCGAAGTTTATTCCCAAAGTGACGATGAAAACGATAGAGAAACGGTTGCCATTTCAATGCTGACCATCGTTTCTCATTGCAAATCATTTGATTTCGAAATTGTGCTTAGAATTGCTGCTTCTTTGATAGATAGCTATGAAAAACTATGTGAAAACACTGAAAAGTGCGAAGCAGCTGCATATCAGTGTTGTGTCCTTTTATCAAACCAACTTCAGAAAAATGATGAAAATTTAACGAGAATTATACGTTCTGTAGAAGAATTCATTGGCTGATTTATGCATATTATTGTTTGTAATACTAAATATTGTGTTTATTCATGTTAAATCTAATTTTTGAATGGTAAAAAAATAGAATATAATAATGCTTGCATAGATTGTGCATCATACAGTAAATGTATTTGTTAATTGAAAACAAGACAAAATACTGAAAGAAAAGAATATAATTCGTATGAAAGTTTAATGAAAAAATCTGCATTTAATTCTAATAAGGAATCTATTAAGCCAATTATCCTCAAACCAGCTCCAAGTGCTCAAAATTTAGTTCAAACTCAAGATGATGATAACATAAATAAATTAATGTGAGAAAATCGATATCTTAAAGAGAGAGAGGGTCAAAGTTGCTATTTGTCACTTTTCCACAAGAATATAATGGGGAAAAAGTTATCATATAGTTGATCTCATTCACTGAGATGAGAGATGCATGTAGTGTAATATGTAATGGGATAAACAGTGGGATTGCTGCTCTAAGTCCTAGGTTCGAGACACATTGGCTTCATTTTTCTCTTTTTTATTGACGTAAACTATTCAATTTTTGTGTTCTCCATTCAAATTTCAGAATTTTTTTTGCAGATTTCACGCTACATTCGAAGTTACCTTTTGTAACAACCACCACTGCCTACGAAAGACGAAAGTGTGTCACGATTTCACCCGGAAATCCGACGGTTGTTTAAGAGTAAGCACTTTTGGCACCTACTCTATCTTAAAGATCAAGTAAGGACCATTGAAAATATGATTGCAGAAAATAGAGTGTTCATGACAAATTATACCTTAAAATCCGTTAAAAAGATCTACAAAGCTTCAAAACGAAAGAAAGACGAAGAACTTAATAACCAATTTATAGAAGTGATTAAACTAACCCATGAATGGAAAAAAGAATTCAGCAAAATTTCATAGTATCTGTGGAGTAACCGTTGATGAAACAAACCATTATTAGAATATAGCTTTTTTTTTGAAAACGAAATTTATGTAAAAGTAAGACATTTAAAATTTTTGGTTGATGTCCAAGGGAGAAATTAACTAAGGGTTTCGTTTTGCGAAAAAAACGTACAATACGCAATTTCGCTAAAAAAACATTTAGCTAGCAATTTCGACCTTTGACTCCACTCAAGACGTCACTTTTTTTAATTTTGCGGTATCATATTTTTGGAAAATCTTTATGAATATTATATAAAAAGTCTCTTTAATATCTATATTTCATATTTTTATCGATTTTTAAAGTTTTTGCGAAAAGTATTCAATTATTTTTGCTATTTGGTCGGGTAAATGTCAGATTTGCGACATTTTCTGATATGATATTCAGATTCTACGTTGATAATAATGCTTATAGAACCCTCTTGCTATTGTGTCAAAATTGCGAAACCGATAGCAAAAATATCTCGCAATATCAAAATTGAGATATTGAGTGAATTATGCATCATAGAGATTAAAAATCTGATTTGTGAAAACATCTCATCAGTTTCTAGCTAATTCAAAAATCTTTACTATCTTATTCGATTAAAATGAAAAGGGAATAGTTTCATTATGCTTTAAATGACAGCCTTATAATATAATCATAGTTTTCGCTCAATATGCAGCATTTTTTTTTCGAAATCTATGGTCAATATCCTAAATACTGATTGCTTTGCATTCATATCTCTTACATTTTCTATACCCACATCACTATTCATTGCTATTCCTATCTTTTTCATTTTTGTTTGTTTCTCATAATTTCTCAAAAAACATGATAACTTGATATTTGTAAATATCATACTTTATAACGTAAATAAGAACTTGACCTATTAAGAAAAGCAGTAATGAAAAGAAAATCTGAAATTCATAAAAATTACAAGTTTCTGATGACAATTAGCTTAATTAAACCAGGTACAAGATTATATAATTGTATTTTCTATCCAATTATCCATATAATATCTTATCCAGAAAAAATAACTTGATCAATACCAAATGATTTTTTAACTAGTAAATAAAGTATTTTCTTTACACACACATTGTATATCATAGTTTTTTTTTTTTGGTTTCGCAAAACATCCAAAAACAAATATGCTATAAAAGTGACAATTTTAGCAAAACGAAACCCTTAAATTAACCAAACTCAATAACATTTTGTATGTAAGATTACGATATCGTAAAACTTTTGATTGATGTCTAAGGGAAAAGCAATTACAGGATATAATAAAGTCTACAATGCTTTGTACAGGCTGAAAACAAATGACGAAACAAAGTTAAACGCAATTTACAAAAAAATCAAACAAAAACTGATTGACTCTTATCATATTTCGCCTGGTGAATTTGTCAATAAAATATCCCAAGTTTCAATTTATAACAACCGCTACATGAAGTCATATTTAGCGATTGCCAAACAAATTGTTGACGAATACCATCTAAATCAGGTCAACGAAATCAACAAAGTTTTTAATTACCTTTTCTACAAAGAATACAGTATAGTATTAGATGCAAACGGGACAAAATTTTTTAACGATTTTGAAGTTTCTCATTATACAGCTGAGATTCACGAACAAAAAACAATTCACAGATCTATTATGGATGATGACAAAATATCATTGATAACCTTTACAGAAAGAAAAGGATTTGATAAAAAACAAAAATTAGATAGTGATTTATATCCATTTTCAAAAGGAGGTATTTCGTTACTTGAACTATGTTGTTATCATGGATCTTATGAATGTTTTCAGTTTTTAAGAACGAAATTTCAATCAATAATAACTCCAAATTGTCTTAGATATTCGTTTTTGGGTGGAAATCGAGACATTATGAATGAATGCTTGAAAGTACAAATACCAGATAACAAATGCATGAAATATGCAATTATATCACACAATATTGATTTTGTCAAGTTTTTGATGAATGAACACAACATAAAAATTGATTTAGAATTGTGCTCTCAATACAATAATCTCATATCATTTTTAGTTTATTTGCAACAAACATATGATATCAACAAATGTTTTGTTTATTCCCCCAGTTTCCATCTTTCATCACTTTTAGAATATCTTATTTCAAATGGCGCATATATCAATGCTAAAGACGAAGATGGATGGACCCCTCTTCATTATGCAGCCAGGAATATTAGAAAAGAAACAGCCGAATTTCTTATTTCAAATGGAGCAGATATCAATGCTAAAACAAAATATGGATGGACTCCTCTTCATTATGCCGCCATAGATAATAACGAAGAAACAGCCGAATTTCTTATTTCAAATGGAGCAGATATCAATGCTAAAGACAAAGATGGATGGACCCCTCTTCATTATGCAGCCAGGAATATTAGAAAAGAAACAGCCGAATTTCTTATTTCAAATGGAGCAGATATCAATGCTAAAGACAAAGATGGATGGACTCCTCTTCATTATGCCGCCATAGATAATAACGAAGAAACAGCCGAATTTCTTATTTCAAATGGAGCAGATATCAATGCTAAAGACAAAGATGGATGGACTCCTCATCAAATAACAACCAGGAATAATAGAAATATTTACTTTGATTTTTGAGAAGTTTACGGTGTCATGAAAAAAAAATTCAAAGGCCTGACGTTACGAAAAGCGTGACACCGTAAATTTCTCAAATATATATGTAAACTTCTCAAAAATAAACAGTCTCATATTAAAAATGAATAGTTTACGTCGTAATGCCTCGTGAATCCAACTCTGAACTTTGCATCTGCAATGCAAAGTAATATGATTTTTGATATTTTATTCGATAACTCTAAAGAATAATTTTGCAAATTATCTCAGACTTTTCAGAGGATTGAGTTACGTTTATAGAAATAATAGGAAATAATACGTTTATAACAAATAAGTATATTAGGATGGATTCATTTAGAAAATTTTGTGTTTTCTTGAAGGATCTTTCGTGAAATTTTAACATTCTTCTCTAACTTCTCAATTTCTTTATCTAAATCACTTACATTAGAGTTACTCTCGAATTCAAATGAATTGGATGAATAACATGATGATGAGTCAAGAATTTGAACATTTTTGTGTTTTTTGTATGAAATATGTTCTTTATAATCTTGGTTTTCTTTGGTACTTTTAGATGATTTGTGATGATAAGTTGTGCTTTCTTCATGACAGTCACGATGTTTCTTTCGGAAATCTTCAATTTGTTTTTGGAGTTTGCAAATAAACTTTTTAGATTGACAAAGTTCGTATTTAAGTTTGGATACTTTGTTTGTCAAGTTTTCAATTGTTTCTTTCGAATTAGATTGAGAATCACGACGCATCTGCTTTAACAAGATAGTGTTTTCTTCCATCTGTTCTTGAACACTTTGTTTGGATCGCTCAAGTAAAGATCTGAGTTCTTTGTTTTCTTGAACAACATTATCAAGTTCTTTTTGCAAGCGTTCAACTTGATTTGTTAAAAATCGTGATTTTTCTTGCTCTTTAAAGAGTGAAGATGATGTACTGTTGTATAACCGTTGAAGATCGGAAATTTCATATCGCGTTTGCTTTTCAGAACTGATTGCATCTTCTGATTTGACTGAAAATTGTTCGATCTTGGATTTGAGGATAGAAATTTTAGATTCTTTCTTACTCAGTTTTTGAAGAAGATCGTCGATCTTAGAACGAAGAGATGAATTTTCGGATTCTAACGACTTAAAATTGATATTGTTTTCTCGTTCATTCTTTTGGAACTTATTCCTTAAACGTTGGAGTTCAACGCTCTCTGTATCTTTATTACCAAATTGTTGATGAAAATCATTAAGTTGATGTTGCAGATCTGAAACTTTCTGGACTAGAGCTTCATGAGTTTCTTCGAAATCATTGGTTGAGATCTTTGTGCGTTTAGTTTTTGTTTGTAACTCGGTTTCAAGATTGTTAATCTTTTCATACATTTTGGATTGTTCAATGTTGAATGTTTTAATGTTTTTAATTGATGAATCACGTTCTTCAATGAGTTGCTTGATCCATTTAATGAACTCATTCGTATCTTGTGGTGAATCTGGAAATGCATTATGAATCATTCTCAGTGAGTCTGATGACATACTTGACTGGTTTCGAAGAACAACATCATTGAATATCATGCATCCTGCTAAAAGAGAATAGACTTCTTTGAATGCATTCTTTAATGAATTGACATTTTTACTCTTGAATGCATCTTTTGCAATGATATCAAGTTCCGACAATCTTTCATCTATGCTATCGATTTGAGATATATAGTATTTGTAGTCGCTTAAATGGTTTGAATTAGATACGTTATCGAATCCGTTTTCTTGCAAAAAAACGCGAGTTCGTGATGCTTGTTCTTTAAGAAATGCTTTGTGTACGGATGTGAATGTTTGTTTGCCGTTTTCGCTGATTAAAAATAGACTGGCAAGTTCAACGTTGTGTGAAATTGCTTCAAGTAATGTGACATGGCTAATTAAGTATGATGCAAGACGTTCTGTTATTCCGCTTAAAGATTTGGTTCTTAGTAGAGCAAGAATAAATGATTTCAAGTGTGAAATTGAGTTTGGATGTTTTTGTAATTGTGAAAAAATTGTAACTAAATCTGGATTCGATGTATCAATCTCTCTCGATAATAAATTCATGAAATCAGTTTCTTCATTTGATTCACTACTAGATTCTTTGATATTTGGATACAACGACATGTTTGAAATCTCTAAACGTCTTTTTTACCATAAATGAATCTTATGATTATTAGAATATATGTCAATAGTCCATCAAATTTTGTCCATAGATATACTCGTTATTCTCAATGCATTGTTGTAAAATATTGTGAAATCAAAAATAAATCATGAATTTTATTAGACTTACCTACTAAGAGTTTGTGCAGTGACAATATCCAGTTAAATCTGAGGGTTATCTCTAAAAAATAAAAACAAAGATAAAATAAAAATATTTTATATAACAAACATAACAAATATATCAATTATCTAAACGTTTTGGTATTAAAAAAGAAGGTACTTTAACTTGATAAGCAGAAATACTGCGCGTAAGAGCGTGAAAAATCGCATCAGCATTTTCTGCCTCTCTAATGAGCGCATCTTCTTCACTGTTGGTTGATCTACCTGGTGGGTTAGGAGCAACGAAAGGAATTGCTAGTGGTTGTGCACGATTCGTCATATTTGTTGCTAATCTACGAGAAAGCTCAGTAGCAGGTCCAAAATATTGTTGCATTTCTGATTGCTTGATGAGAGGTATCATAAATCTATATTTTGGATGCTTTAAGCAAATTTCAATTAAAACTGCTTTTGTAATGATGTGTTGATCTGTATTTTTGGCTATTTCAGCAGCCTCTTTAGCAACATCTTGCAGCATTTTGCCTGCTGCTATTGAAAGAATATGACCCGCTTTAATTGTAATTCCTTTTTTAGAATCGTTTGTAGAAACGGATTGTTTGGCAATTGATCTAACAGATAAAACAGGAAATGGAACTGAAAATGCTTTTTTCTCTGTTTTTTCCGCTTCTTTTTCTTCTTTTATTTCTGTAGACATTGTCACTTTTTATTCTTTCTTCCTAATTCTAAATCTCACAATTTTACCTTGAGGAATGCTTTCCGACACTATCACGCTAGAAATGGCCACCTTAATTATATATCAGTTACCATAAGCGTAGTTTCCAATGTTTGCTTCAGAAACTCTTTCCGAAAAAGATAAAAGAAAATTATCTGATAAGTTTACAATAATCGTCATCAAAATTGAATGTCGAAAAATTCAAAGTTAATAATTCAGTGGGGAGTAGCAATTTTGTGCTTGATATCGGGCATATCACTATATACAACATCTCTATTTGTCGGGAGAGAAAAAGATTATACTAATGCTTCAGGCTCTTTGGACTTATTAACACAAGGTTACGCAATGGGTGGCTTAGACTATAATTCTTCTATTGTTGAAGCAATAAAATCAGCTAAGGAAGAGATTTCTATCATGTCCCGAGGCATAGATACTACAAATTCTTCAAATGAATTAGTAAAGGCTTTAGTTGAAGCATCTCACAAAAATATTACAATCAGAGTTCTTAGCAGAGATAAAACAAACACTACGACCGAATTTTTCCAGAGCAAAAATGTCAAATTTTTATCTATTGACGGTTCAGGCGTTTATGATCACATTGTTAGTGATTTCATTATCATTGATCATTCTACTCTTCTTTTACTATCTACTTTTTTGGTAAAACCTCGCAATTTCAACGGAAAAAAGATTGGATTGAAAACATCTCATCCAAAAGTTGTTGATGACGCTTACGGCATCTTTGATTTAGCTTGGTCACGACTAGTTAGTGAAATTAACGAAACACTCCCTCCAATCAGTAGATTTTGGCCAAATAAATACAGAGCTTTAACTTCTAACACTAGAAAAGCTGAACTAACCAATGCGCATGTATATCTAGCAATTCCAGAGTCCCTGGCACTAGCTCCTGGCCGAATGAAGACAAAAGACGCAGCAAATAATACAATTATAAAATTCAACCACGATATTTACATATCATGCTCATTTTTCGATCTACCAAACAATTTCTTTATCCAGAATGCTCTTATTAGAGCTGCTTACGATAATAAGAAAATCAGAATTTTATTAAGCAACAATACAGCTCTGGATGATTCAAAACGCTCTGCAGGACTTGTAGCAGGTATTCCTAATATAGAAGTGAGAGTTGGAAAAGAAAATTATCCAAATTTCTTAATTTCTACAACAAACCTCTATTTTCTGTCAGATAGTATCACAGGTCGTGTGTATAAAAATAATGTACTCGGAATTGCTATTTTGGCCAATTTTACGGACAATTCTCAAAAAGATTCAATTACAAACAGTTTGATCAAAGAATTCATGTATGTTTGGGACCACAATTCAACAAACTTTTCCCAATACGCAAAGGAAATATATGACAGCGATTTTTAATTTTATTTTTTTTTTGTTTGTTATTAAACATTCATTCTATTATTGTTTTTAGTATATCTCAAATCCAAAAATCATATTATTTCGAAATTAATGAAAAATAAAAGGAATTTCATTAAAAAATTTAATGATTTTGGAGTATTTCATCATCATATCATAATTTATGATCAATATAAGCATATGTAATATTTGAAATACCATTTATCAATGAATATAGTGAGAATGTTTTTGAATGGCGATTGGCTTCTATCATGCAAAGCCAAAAACATCAAAGATGTAAAAATAAAAATTCCTGGAGACGTTCATTCAGCCTTATTAAACGCGTCTTTGATTCCTGATCCATATTTTGATTGCAATGAAAATGTAAGCAATTGGATACACTATCAAACATGGGAAATCAAGAATACTTTTGATATTGACGAGGAATTAGATTCCAAAACATCAGCATACAAAAAAATAAATTTAACATTAGATTTTGTTGATACATTTAGTATAATTTATATCAATGAGAAAGAAGTTTTACGCACATCAAACATGTTCAAACATTATTCCGTTGATATCATGAGCGCTCTCAAAAATGGAAAAAATACTATTAAATTTGTTTTCAATCCAGCCGTTGTTATAGCTGAACAATTAAGCAAATCACTTCAAAATCCTGTTCCTTGGTCAGAAGGAAATAATCAGCATCCACATATGAATTTAATCAGAAAACCACAGTTTCAATCTGGATGGGACTGGGGACCATGCTTAGTTCCTGTTGGTATTTATGGAGATGTGAAAATTGAATACATTCAAGCAACAAGAATTTTAGGATTTAAACATTATTCAACAAGCAAAGATATTTCATTAGAAATACACGCAGAATCTTTCACTGAGAACCAAAAATTACATGTTTCAATTGAAAATCTTTACGAAACTGACATAGATTTGGAATTAGGATCTCATGTTTACACAATTAATCATGAATTTACGGAAATAAAGCCTAAACTTTGGAGTACATGGGATTATGGAAGGCCAAACTTGTATACTCTCAAAATTTCGACAGATGAAGCTCAAATAACAAAGGAAATTGGCTTTAGAGACTTAAAATTAGAATCATTGCCAGACCAATACGGGAAATCATTCAAATTCATATTAAATGGCCAAGAAATTTATTGCAGAGGCGCAAATATCATTCCAATCGATTCTATTCCTCAAAGAGAAACAAAAGAACGTTACGAGCAAATTCTTCTTGATGCAAAGTTCGCAAATATGAACATGGTTCGAATCTGGGGTGGCGGATATTATTTACCAGATTATTTCTATGAATTATGTGATAGATATGGCATATTAGTATGGCAGGATCTAATGTTTGCATGTGCCCAATATCCAACAGCTGATTGGTTCCTCCAAGAAGTTGAATCTGAAATTTTTGATACTTTCTTACGAATCCAGTACCATCCTTCCATTGCATTATGGTGCGGAGATAACGAAGTGTGGACAACGATCAATTGGCAAGACATTGCTAAGGACAATAAAGAGTTTTACCACTCTGAATACAAGAAATTAAACCAATTCCTTAAAGCCCACGTGAACGAGAACGACAAATCACGCACATTCTGGTTGGCCTCTCCATCCGCCGGTAATGAGGATTATGACGGAGATTTCGTAAATATATCTCAAGGTGATTCACATTATTGGGAAGTTTGGCATGGCAAGAAAAACATTTCAGGCTATCTGGAAGTCAAACCGCGTTTCTGTTCCGAGTTTGGTTTCCAAAGTTACCCTTCATTAGCAACTGTAAAGACTTTTGCACCGGAAGGAACCAATTCCATCCACGCCAAAGCATTCGAGGTTCATCAGAAAAGCAAATGCGGTAACAAGAAGATACAAGAAATGATAGATTTGTACTTTAAACATTCAATTTCTTTTCCGGACTTGCTTTACTTGTCACAGGTTACTCAAGCCATAGCAATTAAAACAGCCGTTGAGTTCTGGAGATTGCAAACTGGCATCAATTCTGGCGCTTTGTTCTGGCAATTAAATGATTGTTGGCCAATTTCATCATGGAGCTCAATAGAATACAATGGAAGATGGAAACAATTAATGTATCATGCAAAAAGATTCTTTGAACCAGTATCTATTATTTTAACTCAAGATACATCAAATTATCTTTTATATGTTGTCAATGATCTCAAAGAAACTGTTAATGTTAGATACCATGTAAGATGGTTCGACTTCCATGGAATGTTGCTCTATGGAAGAACCGATAATGCTGTTACAAATCCAAAGAACAAAACAATTGTTTGGTCGCTCCCTAGATATACACATCCTTATAAAGGTCCAGATGGGTTCTTCTATGCTTCAGTGGAAATCAATGGAAAAATCCAGGAAAATTTCTTGTTTATTGAGAAATTCAAGAATTGCAAGATTGAAAAGCCAGAAATTAAATATGAAGTAAATAATTCTGATGGACAATACCAAATTAAGCTAACTACAAATGTTCCAGCTTTCTTTGTTCACTTGGAATCAGATAAAGTCAGAAAGTTCTCTGATTCAAGCTTTATTTTGCTTCCTGAGGAAGAAAAAGTTGTAACTTGTGAAGGTGATCCAGGAAATATAACTATTTATCATCTTAATTAATGTATTTTTTGTGAATATTCTAAACTATTATATATTTAGTGAATTTTTCGATTGTCTTTGTATATTCTAACATGATCTAATGCCGTAATTTGGATTTTAATAAAAATATAAAATCCATATTGGTATTTTTATAAATTTCTGCTAATGATATTTACATGTACGACTCCACTACATCTTTCCAATAGATTTTCAGCAGATAAGCAGTGATAATTAGATAAATTCATTTATCATTAATATAAGAGTTGAATCTTCGCGATTAAGTGTTATTCGATATATGAAACTTATTGAAGTATTTATTGATGAATACAATTTATGGACACATCAAAAATATTTGGTTTATCATGTTATTTTAGGTTCTAATTTGAATATGAGGTTACATATTAAGAGTATATAGTAATATCACTACTAAAAATACTTATTTCTTCATAAATTCCAATCTGATGAAGGATTTTTTTTCTTATCGGCAAATAAATGACATCTCCTAATTTTATTGAAAATCTTAATACCACTTATCAACAAAAAGAGTTTTCGAAATATACAAAGATAAGAAGTGGCAATTTATGGTCAATTTCCAATGATAAAACACTTATTTACGCGAATTTAAATAAAACACAGGTTAATTTCCAAACAGTTCCAGATATAACAGGAGTAATGTTCATGTTCGTTAGTGGTGATGGCAAACACTGCGTTATCAGAGTAAGTACACAAAAAAATTTCATTTTATTAGATAATAATTTAACAAAGAAAAACATTGGTGCATACGAAAAATCATATAAATCAGTAACCTTCGTAACCGCGCATAATGGCTATAAATATATCTTTTTCGGCTGCAATGAAGGCAAAATTGTCTATACCTTAGTAAATAACCCCTCAATCATGTATCACCTTGTATGCGACATCAAATCTACCATCATGGGCATTATTGTTCGCCCACAAAAAGGAAAAGACGGCAGAGATTACTATACAATGGTTGCTCTTACGGAGGAAAACAACGGAGATGCCAACAAAACCATGTTTACTAAAGACTTACATTTCTTCCAGCTCAACAGCGAATTTGTTAGGTTTGAAAAGGAAATTCCAATAAATTGTTTGAATGACATCGAATTTGGTGACAATTTCATGTTCACGGATGAAAATTATGTCGCGGCCTACAGCAAGTATAAGATGTTGTTCATTTTCCAAATCAATAAAAACTTTGAACAGCAAAAACCATATTCTAACCAAGATTTGATAACTATCCAAACTGAATTTTCATGGTTTGCCATTTCTAATGACATGATCTTTACTTTTAACCAGAAAACCTCCGAATCTTCGATTTATCAGATTTTATATGGCCAAGATTCGAAAAAGATTGTTCAAATGAAGGTTCCAGAGTTCCAATCAGTCGAATTCGATCCAATTGATAAGTCATTCTACTTAATCAACAAAAATAACCTTAGAAGACTCGTTATTGACTCTTCCTTCCCAGAAAAATCAGGACCAGTCGGTTTCTATCAATTCCTTTACAACACTTACATCCAACAGAACAAAATTGACGAAGCAATTATCTCTTTAATCAATTCAAAGATTTCTTTCAACACAATGGTCAATATGACCAAGTCAAACCCAGTACTTCTTCATAAACTATTCATTTCCCTTGTAGATTACCTCCCAGAGTCGAATCGCAGATTCAAAAAGTCAATCGCTCTTCGCGCTCTTGAAATGTACGTCAGAATCGAGAGCAGCGGACAGCAGAAGCTCAACCCGCCGTTCTACGAATGGGTACAGGACCAAATGAACAAGGGAAATCTTTCTCAAAAAGTGGTTTGCGAAGTTCTCGACGTATACGGCTGGAACGAACCTTATGGAGAGATTATCAAAGATAAGTCGGCCTTGATTGACCATGAACTTAGCTTCGGAGGCGTAACTCGAGCTGCAGAATTGTTATCTGAAGAGAAAAATAGCGAAAGCTTCACAAATAACGCAATCAGGTTGTTCAATGTCAAGCCTAATGAAGTTATCAATGCTATATATACAAGTCCGAAGATCAGCCAAAAAGAATTTGCTCCGATGATTTCATCTCCTTCTGCAATCGAAAGAATTTACGAGTTGAAGAACGGAAAGCTTAAAACTAGCTGGCTCCGCGCGGCATTTGTCCTCCAAATGGCAAAGGACGCCAAAAGAAAGAGGTTGGAAATTGAAGAAAAAATTAATTCAGCGAAAGACGATAAAACAAAAAGTGAATTACAAGATGAATTAATTAAATTGCAAAAAGAGAATATTGAACTAGCAGATGCATTTTTCACTGATCAGAATCAACTTCCAACGAAGGATGATTGCGATATCGCATACAGAGCATTCTTCGCGGCTAACGAGCCAAGACTTGTAGCTATTGGCCTTAAGAGTCAGAACCGCTTTGCAGAAGCTGCTGTTACTGATCCAGAACAGGCAATTAACATTATTAATGAAGCCAAGTCCCAGTTTGAGAAGAAACGAACAACAATTTCGGTTCTCCGTGCCATGGAAACCAAGAAGGCCGGCGATTTCGCTCAGAGACTTCTAAATGTCGAAGGAGTCGGAATTGACAGTGCGAAATTGATTGATTTCTTACCAGATTCAGTATCAGTCAGCGAGTTAGAGAACGCTGTTGACAAATACATCGAAAAGAACACAAATGCAGTTCAAGATCAGAAGAAGATGTTCGACGAAGCGAAAGATGGCATCGCAAGAGCCCATAAACTAGTCCAAACAAGGGTAGATCCTTTGATATCCATTTCTTCAATGGAATCATGCGCTTGCTGCGGAAAACTTCTTTTCACTGGCCAAGGAGTTGTTTTCCCATGCAAACACGGATTCCACACAGAGTGTATCAAACAGATGTTCCAGAAATTGAACATCAAAGACGTTCCAATTACAAAGAACTGTCCTCTCTGCAGTTTCCTTTCGACAACAATGATTTCCAGGCCTTTCACTCCTTCTTTGGAGTCTTTGACAAGATGGTCAACAAACCAGGATAAGCTTAAGATGGAATTGAGCAACAACCGTTCAATTCTTTCTACTCTAGGGCGTCAGTAAAATTTTTTTATTTATATTGCTAAAAAAACAAAAACAATTTTTTTAAAAGTGCTTCTATCTAGTTATTTAAGCAATTGAAGAGAGATTTTCCTATAGCAATATATGCATTTAATGAGTGCATTTACACTGATTGAAAACAAATCAATCTCATCGATATATAAAATAAATTTGAAACTCACAAAATTGAATCAAATGGAATCTTTGACGATGCATTTCCTTAGAAAATAATATCGATTGTGACTAACCTGGCTGTTTAATTCCTAAACATTTTTAATTTTTCACGAGTTTCTAATATTACATCAAAAGATATTCCTTACAGCAAGTATAAATAAAAAGATTATACGAATTATTATCATCAAATAAATAAATGCCAGATGAACACATTTGCATCGATTGATGAAAATCTTACCCATTGGTATTTTGGAATGTTGACATTGAATCAAATATTACCATATTGTAAATATGCATAATGTTATGCTACCACACAAAACCAAGATTGTCTGGATTGAGATATTTTAAAATTCTAGTAATTTCAAAATCGATCATATTTTTCATGAAGAGTATTTATGTACAGTTCATAACAATGACAGTGGCCTAAATCGCATTGTAAGATCAATATGCGATATGTTGAATCTATTCCAATGCACATCTACCCCAATATAAAACTTGCAAAGACAGTCAAATAGCTTAATTTTAAACATTGATCTGTAATTATTTTCTTCACATTTTATTATTGATTAATTAGATTAATTGCACAGTGAACAATCCCCGCCTACAGTCAAAGTATGTAAATCATGCGTAAATTTGAAGATACACCATTATCCTATTTCAGGAGAAAAATTTTCAACCAATCGTCACGTTTTTACCAGAAATCTTATTAATATAAGCAAAATAGTACAAAGATACAAACACACTTAAATCTAAAATTTAAGATCAAAGAAAAAAGATTTTTTGAATGAAAATTTCAGTCGATTGCACAATTAGCTATTTACAACTATTGAATTAATCAACTCACAAATACAGATGTTGAGTATTTTAATCATTCCATGCCTTTTAATTGCAACAGCAGCACAGGCATGGGCTTACACAGACCCAGAATCATTCAACCAGCAGTTTAACCAGCAGAAACTCATTGCTTGCGTTGTAACTTGCTATTTCATATCATTGCTCTTCTTCATTATCATTGGATCAAGAAAGGGATTCAACAAACACGGTCTTTGGATGGCAATCCCACTACTTACGATCGGTTCTTATTTAACATTTTACTCGACCAAGAAGATTGGTATCGATAGAACATTCTTTGGCGAACAGTTAGGAACTCTAGAAGGCAAGGAACACGAGACATCATTCCCATTTAGCCTCAATCACTGCATGTACAAAGGCGAATTACTTTTAGTTTTTGGTTTTTGGTCATTATTCTATCCTTCAAAGGAATTAACATTTGTTACAGGAACTTGGATATGCCTACTCCTTATTCAAATGTACATCGAATCCCCACAATAGATTATTTATAAATATGAATATCTTTTACTTAACCTTTTCTAGTTGTGACTCATTTTTCTAATAAAGTTATTAATAGAAAACTTTTGAATTTACCTTATCTCAATATCTTATGAGATAAATTTGATAATTAACTTTTAATACTCAATGAAAACAGCATACATCGAGCAGATATACTGACTACATAAGGTTGCATAAATGAATGAATGTCTATACTGTTATTGAAAGCTAATTACTATATTATGAAGGTAGGGGTAATAATAGTGGGATTTAAAGTAGTTTTGCATTGCATTCATCCTCTATGATATTAGGATGATATGCATATTTGTCACAAGGTGATTTATCCATCAAGGATCTAAAAATTGAATGAAAAAAGTTCCTCGTGAACATAGAAAACAATTCAGGAAACAATGATTTCGAATGATAAATAGACGTCAATGATGAAAATTTTTGATCCAAATTTTGGGATCCGATTTTTTTAACTGAAATGTTTTCTCTCTTATGCTTAGCGACTTATGTGGATGAAGGATTTCATACAGTCACATTAGATTTTTATAATTCAGAAGTCCAAATCAACCCTAATTTTGATAATTCCAGTGTTTATTTTACATTTAAATTATCAGATTCTTACTTATACACCCCAACATTACAATTTACTTATCCAAATAAGTCTTCAGTTACCAAATATTTCTACTCAAGTACAGGAATTTCCTTCTTTTATCCACATGTATTAATTACAAACAAAAATCTCAACGAATCAATCACTTTCAATATTTACATTTTGAAAAACCAAGCCTGCAATGCTTCATTTATCACAACTGGAAATATGGAATTAATTTTCTCTGATTCTGTCCAACAAACAGTTTGCGTTTTCCCTCATAGTCCACCTGTAAAAGTAGAGCTTAAAAGCTCATCATCATCTCATAATTCTATGTATACGATTTTATCTCCAAATCAAATTGACTATTCAGATGAAGTTACATCCTTTTCTGGTCCTGCTATCCTAGTTTCGCAGATTAGCCCTGCTTATAACTCTACACTTAAGATTTATGACTCAACAGATATTTTAATGAAAAAATCTTGTTTAGAAAGCGATTTCTATATACTAAACCAATACGGCTTTATTAACCAAGCTTTTTCTGGCCATCAAATTTACAACTGCATCTACGATAAGCCTTCTAATTGGCCTTTCATTGTTTTCTTTACTGCACTTGGAATTATTGTTACCCTTATCATTGTTTGTTGCTTTGTTTGCTGTTGCTGCTGCAGACCAAAGCCAAATTACATTTCATCATTCCAAACTCAACCTTCTCTCGAACAGTACTCTTATCAGCAATATTCGCAACCTCCTGCCCAACAATACTCAGAAGTTCCAACTCAACCTTACGGCCAACCACTTTTGCAAAATCAGCCAAATAATTATCAGCAATATACACAACCAACTAGTGATCCATATTCTGGTGTACCAACACAACCTTATAACCAACAAAATTATCAAAATCCTCCAAATAATTATCCACAATATGCCGATCAACAAGTTCCAGTCCAAGATCAGCTGCAAAACCCTTATTCAGCCGTTAATTCTGTTTATTAAACTTTATGTTTATTCTTTCAGTTTTTTTAGTAAATAAATAAAGGTGACCAAACTATTTTTTGAAAGTCCGCCATAACTTTAATGGTACTATTTCAGCGTGTACAATGAATACAAAAATTCTAAGAGTGCCACATAAAATAGTACTTTAGACTTGAGTTAATGCTACCAAGCAAATGTTAAAAAGATGACTTTAGTGTTTTGATAATCAAAGATTAAAATCATTATTGTCTAAATCAATAATCATAACGACAGAAGTTAATGTTTTTTCATCAGTGCTTTAAATCCACTTTTAAAAGTATACCTCAAAAATCAAAATATCAAAAAAAAATGGCCGATAGGTTTGGCTTTAATTTTTGTCTGCTTTTATGATTTGATATGGATGTTATAATTTTAAAAGTTGAGCCAAATTCACCAATAGATTTTTGAGATTTGCAAATACTCAATAATTTTCAGCGTGTTATCTTTTATTAAAAGAACTATTTGGTTTCAGTATCATATAAATTGATATTTACTTTCTATTTGAACCTTCATTTAGCTAATGATTTAATAATACAGATTTCATCTAGTCCTTATAAGAGAATTTTGAATTTGTTATAATAAAAAAACAAACAGATATAGCTTACACTTCTATAATAAAGATACCTTTTATAGAAATCAGTATGAAATGTGTTTTGGCTTATTGGAAGCATATCAGACATAATCGCCATAATCATAAAATCTATATACCCAATAAGTAATAAATTTGTCGATATAGATTTTCCATAAAATTAGTTTTTAGTCTGATCTTAAAATAAATTTAATTTTTTATAAAAAAAATCACATTTAAAAGTACCTTTTTAGTAGCTCGAAATCCTGTTGGTGGATTTCGGGCGTACTTCAAAATTAGCTTTTCTTCTACATATGCAAGCTATATTTTAAATATGGGGCAAATCGGATCGGCGAAAGGAGTTTAGTTACCTTTAAATAAATTAAATTTTTACATTTAATAGTTGCTTTTTTTGTTAAATATTATGAATCTACATATCCATGGCTATATACTTTAGTTGAAATATGACCAAACCTTACAATACTAAAAATTTCAATTGCCTCATTCATGAGAGTTTGGAATTTTGAAGAGAAATCATGGATGCATTAATTCAGAGTTAGGGGAGAAAAGTAATATCTATGTTGGATAATCACATCTTTTCTTCACATTCATTCTAAAATTTATAAACGTATAAATGAAGAAAAAAGAACCAGAGGAAATCCGATCCAAAAAGATCAGATTTCGAATAGAACTTGATAATGCTCATGAACAAATCATACATCGCATAATGAAACTATGGGCAGATAAACTTAATGAATTTGCAAAACGAAAATCTACAATTGAGCAGAAATATGACATCAATTTAGCAAGAGTCAATAACATACAAGCCAATCTACAATCGAAGATATCTATAGTCAAAAATCAAAATAAAGAACTTTTAAAAAAACAAGATACATTAATTAACGAAATTAATAAAGCAAAAACAGCATGTGAGAACAGATATGATAATACTATGGATATTGAAGTTGAAGCTAAACTTAAAGTACAAAAAGAACAGCTCGAACAGCGACAAATGAACACATTAAAAGATCTACAAAAAGCTCAATCAAGACGAGATTTCTATTTTTCAAAATATACAGAGTTTCAAACCAAAATTTCTAAAAAAAGACAAAAAGAGTCCGAGTTGAAACAAATTACTCAGCTCAGAGAAGAGCGAAAGATATTATTGGATGAGCTAAAGAGAAAAATAGATATTGAGCAAGGTAAATTAACAGATGATCTTGCTTTACTAGAACAATACAGAATGGAAATTCTTGGACAAACTAAATCTCCAAGGAAAAAGTCTAGACATTCACAATCAATCGTAAACTCCTGGAAACCGAATCCGGAAACAGATAAATCTGAAGATGAAAACATTGAATCAGTTAATTTATATAATGATTCAATTGAAGAAGAATCTGAAGAAGAGGAAGCCAATCCTGATGCTAAAGCTCTTGAACAGCAAATTCTAACTTTGCTCAGCACAGGAGTTTATGATGAGACAGACCCTATTATTGTTTCTCTTAGGAAACAACTTGTTAGTTTGAAGAACCAATCTAATTAGATATAAATAAATTTGTTTTACATTTGTGCATTAGCTTTTTAATTATCATTTCCTTTTTTTATCACATTCAAATTTTATATTTGTTTTCATGAATGAGAACACAGATGGTAGTCATATCTCTGTCTTCCAGTTCAAAGTGAACTAGTTTCTTCTTAAATTTCTCTGAATATGTTCTAACTGAATATAGATTTGCTATCAGAACCTAATAAAATGCTAAATTTATTTATAGTTCATGTATTAAGCTTATTCCAATCCATCCAGATTGTGTCATCCCAATGTCAATGAAGATTGTTATTGGACCATAACATGACCAAACGTGTTCTTTCGAATTAATTCCAGCATGAAATCGATTCTTTGATTTGCAAACAGCCAAAGAACACATAACTCGTTTTGAATAAATTTGATCAAAAAGATAAATTCAAAAAAACCTTTGATTATATATCCACATAAAGAGGAACTTCTTTATTTTTATTCCGAGCTCGTATATTTTAAGACTGAAGATTTCGGATTGAAACAACAAGAATTGCACTCGAGAATCGGAATCAAATTCATACAAAACAAAATCCATGTTTTAGAATAACACAATAATATACAAACAAAATAAAAATTTCAAATAATTATACTCTTCTAAACTACAACTTCTGACTGTGCGACACTTTGAAATCCCTGAGGATTGATAGATAGCAGTGTCTTCTTCACCGATAGAATTGATTGAGAAATTGAGGGACTTGTAAGCAAATATGAACTGTCGCTGATATCTTCCTCTGCTGCATCATCCTTTTCGAAAATATAATCGAGTTTTCGCAGAGAAGGAGTTGGATGAGGTTCATTTTGCATCTCATTATACATTGTGAGTTGGTAGTAGACAGGAATGCTTCCAGCCAGCCACTCGTGGTGTAGAGCCTGTTCAATTGTCATTCTGTAATCACTGTTCACAGTCATCAAACCGGAAATGAAGGATTTGCAGCTTTTGCTTAAGTATTCCGGAATTGTATATTCACCTCTTCTGATCTGTTCGAACAATTGCTGCTGATTTCTTTTAGTCCATGGGAGTTGCCCTGTTAAAAGAGCATAAGTTATGACGCCGCAGCTCCAAATATCGCTTTTACGGCCGTCATAGGACTGACCGGATACACATTCTGGCGATGCGTAACATGGAGAGCCGCATGGAGTACTGACTAATCCGTTTTGCCCTACAAAACGAGAGAGCCCGAAATCAGAAATTTTGACCCTGCCATTCTGATCTAAAAGTAGGTTTTCAGGTTTTAAATCGCGATGGCAAATTCCTAAAGAATGAACATATTGTAGCGCGTATAATAATTGACAAATAAATACTTTTGCTTCAGGCTCCGTTAATCGGCCGCTGTTTACAACGAGATTGAAAAGCTCCCCGTTTGGACAGAATTCAATAATAATGTAATAATTATGTTCATCCTTTAAAACGTCGTAAAGAGCAACTACACCAGGATGCCTTAATTGCTGGCTGATTCTAATTTCATTTTCAAAGCGCATTTCTAAGTTGTGCATGAGTAATCTTGATCTTGATACGATCTTGCAAGCGTAAAATTTACCAGTTTCGAGATGTTGGCATAAGCGAACAGTTGAGAAAGCTCCATGTCCAATATCTCCCTTCATTTGATATTCTCCAATAATATCAGGGCAAAAATTCATTTAATTAGAAAAATGAATTAACGATAGATATTTCAAAAATTTCCTTGTGTTTGTGTTAATTATATGGTAATTGGAACATTTGATTTTAGAAAAAATATACTAACGCATATTCAAAATTTGAAAATATTATTAATAATTCAATGTATTAATTCTTACATCGGCGTAATGTTTATTGTTTATCCAAATTAAATCAACAGCTCGAGAACATTTTCGTGTTCTCAAATTAATTGAGTCCAAATTCTGAAATTTGAGAAAATCTTAACTGTGGTCGGAATAATTGTTGAATCAGTATTAATTAATTCGTTGTTTGAACTAAAATTAGAAAGCTGTAAGAATTGAATGGAATTCAAGGTGTATTAAAATTTGAGAACTTTTTTTGTTTCTTATCCCATGTTTGCAAATATTTTCGGTTTCTGAAGAATATCGAATTGATTTATTGTACTAATCCAAGCAATATTTTTATCATAATATCAAATCCTAAAGAAATTTTCAAATATCTATTCATTATTTCTTGATGCGCAGTTTCTAAATGCCATGATGATACATTATTATTTGGATTTCAAAAAAAAAAAAATCAACTTTTGAACCAAAACTTCATTTTAATCGATAAGGCGATTTTTAATGAGAATAATAACCACTCATTCATGAATACTAGAATTTAAGGGTATAGTCCACTAAAAATTTTTAAGTTTTGACAATGAAAATAAGCTCTGTGACCATGTAAATATATATCTATGCAAAACGAGAGGTTATGCCATAATTTTTTTTAGTTATCAAATTTTCCTTTTTTTGAGAGAAGTCTCTCAATAATTTGAGAAGAATCTTTGATATAAAGAGATACACATTTGTAGAACGAAGTAAGTGTTTTCCAAACATTTTATATGTTCATCCTGTATAACAATATAAAGCTGCATAGTGCCATCTTGTGCGTTTGCTATTTTATGCACTTTTCATTGAGATAATCCCTCTTCTCGGGTGATTTTAACAGTCAACTCAATTTTAAAATAAAGATTTCATCAAAATGATTTCGAAATTCGGATATTGATTATATAAATAGCACTGTTAACATATTTTGGATGAGTAAAAAATACCTTGTTTTGTATGCATTTAGTACACCTTTATTTTTGATTAAAACTATAAAATTTTTATTCCTTATATAATAAATAGTATATGTTACATAAACATGAAATTCAATAGCATTCAATTTTGGATTTTTTAGATTTGGTAAATTTTAGAAGAAATAAAATCAGCAATCAAAATAAAGAAACTTTTTTTGTATCTTCTATGATTACCTTTTGGTACTAAATTTTGCATTAATAAGTAAATTATCTGTATTATTCTGTGAGCACAAGCCCTCAGTTATGCTGGTAGTGAATGATGAATCGTCATTTTGCGAAGAGAACGCGATTATTAAGGTAATTTTGAGAATTGTCTTGAATTATTTAAAATTAAAGTTAATTGAATAGGTAGGATAACTAGCCTTTGCTAAATTTGTATAATTTGACCTTATTCTAGTTGGATCTGAGAATATTTTGCTGAAATAATAAATTATATCGCCGATTTATGAAAATTTCTCTGATGGGACCGACTCGCTGAAACGTATTAGTGTTAATGGTAACTTGTCTGAATTTTCAAATTTTTTTCGAAATCCAAAAAATCACAAACAAAAGCATCAAAATTAGATTTGCATTTAAGGTTTTCATTTTTTTTGGAAAATAAAAATATTTTTCCCCAATAAAGTTTATTTTTACTTTTGAGAGGAATAGAAACGTTATTTTGGAATTTTGAAACGACAGAAATGTTCCATTTTTAATGTAGATTCTAAAATGGGGTCAAATTTTTGATTGAACCGTTATCCATTGAAAAACCTCGATTTTAAAATGTTATTCCAAAATATTCATCTAATGATATAGTATATATTTATTAATTATTACTTTTTATTCAATTTTCACTTTTGGCGGGATTTCATTTTTTTGTTGTTGTATGGGCCATATTGTTCACCCAAAACGGAAAACAAAGGCAATGCATAACATTTTACTCCACGAACGTCGTCGACTCTCAGCGCGACAGATGCTTGGTGCTTGCATAATGACCGGAATGCCATATACAAAAGGTGCTCGCTTTCTTTCTCTTTGTGGAACTAAGCCCCCTGTGAAGAGTGGTGTCATGAGACAACAGAGATTTTGTGACGATAAGATTAGAAGACTTAAAAGTATTTCCCTAATGCTGTCGAGAAAGTCCTTCAGTGGTTACTTATCCATTGATGCAAGATGGACGCACAGGCGAAACTCGCCAAGTTGTACAGTAACTGCGCTCGATGCTGTCACAAAAAGAGTTCTTGCATGCGTGAACATCAACCATATTGGTGGAAACAGACAGCATGCTCAGTATTCCGGAGCTTCCAACAATATGGAAAGTGCTGGAACTCGAATCATCTTGAAGCAATTAAAGAAATACAATATCTTGAAAGATGTTAAAGAGATTATTAAAGACCGAGATAACAAAAGTGTCTCTGTCTTTAAAGAATTTGGCGTCTCTCATCTTGAAAGATTCGATCCAGGTCATGTATCAAAAAATATCTCAAAAGATTTTACAAAGTTCTCAGCTTCTCATAAGACAGTTGAAGTTTTCAACGACAAGACTCAGAAGATTGAAAAAATAGAGAGACCTTTCTGGGGTCTGAATGCAAGCCTAAGTATGTGGCTTTGGTCATGTTTTGCCGAAGAAAATATTGACAAACGTACGAAAATGTGGGAGAATTGTGTCTACCATTACGTAGGCAATCATTCTTTTTGCGAACCGCACAATTACAAATGCTTTGAATGGCAAAAAGGTGTCAATTCGATCCAACTTCAATTCATGCTCTATGACTGGGTTCACAAATGGACACCCATAGTTTCCAAAGTTTCTTCCATTGGATCTACCTGCATGAATGAAGCGTTTAACTCCAAAATTGCATGCTATTTGGACAAATCAAGAGCCTGGAAGAACATTAACATTAGAGTTAACGTTGCAATCTTAGAATGGAATGATCCAGAGCATTTTCTCGGAGATATACAAAAAGCATTACATCTTCCCCACTTCCAGAAGATTGTGTCAAATCATTTGAAGAGAATTGTTACTCCAAAATGATATTGAAAAAAAAACTGTTACAAAAGGTTCTAAAAAACAGAACAAATACAAAAAATCCATTCAGAGTGTACCAGGAGGAGATTATCAAGTTTTCAAGTCCGAATGGGAATCAGAAGACGAAGACATTGATGACTTTGATTAACGAAAATTACATTTTATTTATTGTTTTTGTTTTTAAGGATACCCTTACATTGCGTAGTTAGAAAGAGAATATGATATTGTCATGATTGCTAAAGTTTTAGGCTCCAGAAATGAATATACATCAAACTGAAACAATTGATAAATTGAATGAACTTTTGAGAGGTTCTCAAATAAAAAAAATTATCTAATTTTTTACAATATTACTATTATTTTATCCACATATGTATATATAGTAATTTGAGAAAACTTTTAGGAAAAAATAAGTTTAATAAAAATCTGAATTTTACTTGTTGTGGGATTGTTATTAATTGACACTCCAGACGTATTACTAATAGTTATGCGTATGCAATTAAAGTATTTCTGATGGACAAAATGTGAGATTTATATCAGATAATTCATTTCTACTATTAAGTTATTCATTTATGAGTTTGCACTTATTCGCACTAAATAAATAACTATTAAAAATTGTTTTAATTAATTGACACCATATAATAGAGTGAATTTTGTTTGATCAAACAACAATAGATGATAGATATAAAGCCAAGAAACTTGCTATTAATATGCTCTACTTGCTATTTCAATGTAAGTATGATATTTTCTAAATGTTTCGTTCAGATAACTTAGATATATTAGTCAAAATTTGAAATTTTAATAGCACATATATTAAAAATAATTATTATTCATAAAAGATTAATGAAATAGTAAAAAAAATCAATCAAATTATAAAAATACAACATTTAGAAGAATTCTTATTATCCTTCAAAAAGTCAGTATTTCTGCTGTAATTTTCTACAACATTGTAGTTATTGCACTTTGTCTATGGATTTGTATATATGTTATATATAAATTATATATCTAAACTGCCCATAAGTGCAATTTTTATATAAATTGTTTATTTCTTTAACAATTTCATATGAAATATGCTTTTTAAGCGTATCAAAGCTGTGTTCTTAATGTGCATGGATATATCAAGAAAAATGTCGAAAAAAATGTGAATTCACAAATTCACTGAATTTTCACCGTTTTTTGAATTTTGCTACAGCACTAATATTAAATAATACTAAAATCTTCTGTCTTTGTAAAAGAATAAATTCTGACAAAAAGTGCTCGTTTAAATTTAATGATCATCTGTATGACTAAGTGGTAAAAAGTGTTTATGACCAAAAAAGGGTTACATGCTTAGTCTATTTTTCTGACAGGATACTCTAGATTTACATGATCTCTATTTATATCTCCGTTTTTAGATTCTTCGACAGATTTTATGATAGAAAACCAAGATTAACAAATTTCCGGCATGTTAATGAAGAAATCTGCAGCTACCCTCAATATTATTTCAATAATCAGTATCGTTTCTCTTACAATTTATTTTTTTCTCAATAATTTAACAAGAAATAACAATACACACTTGGTTTTACGTATAAAAGCTAAGTGTCGAACTTAATCAACTTTACTTACTTAGCAAATGAATATTTTTGTGGTTGCGAGTTCTGAATGCTGAAGTTTTAGATTTCTCTATAAATGATATCATTGCACTTACAATGTTGTTCCAGCCTATCGCATAAATCATAGAAAATCCAAAAAAAAAATAATATAAAGAAAATTCATGTCATGAAGTTCAAAAAATACTGTGTAACATTAAAATTTGTTATGCATAATACATTTTAGCTATTATTGATTTTTTTTAATTTTCGAGAAATTGAATGGTGAGTCCGATAGAGAAATTTTTAAAAATCCTAGTGCCTCATAGAAGTAATTTCCCTCGTCTCCCATACTTCCAAATGTATGCATATGACATAAACTTTTATGCATTACACAATGGCCAATAATATCTATAGAGTAAAAAATTAGAAATTTAATTTTTTTATATGATAGTTATATTTCAGATTTGCGAGCGTAACTTTTTTCTCCATGGCATACTTGTTTTAAGAGCAAATGATCAAAATCGTCCTTCAATTATTGAAGGAGCTGATATCTTTTGAAAATTGAATTGAAAGGGTATTCAATTTTCAAATTTCCTCTCAATTTTGGAAACATATCAACTCTATGAATTAACAATTATGTGCCTTCACAGTTTATCAGTCATATAAGGTGCTTATAAAGAAAAAAGTTACGCTCGCAAAATATGTTTTTATATAGATTTCACATAAAATAATTATGTAATTTCTAAAAAGAATATTTTTGTTCTTGAATATTAAAGTGTATTGTAGTTTAAAAAGTTTTAAATATGTTGCTAAAATTTCAGGTTTATAGCTCATGTCTAGCATGACTTCTTCGTATGCGCAAAAAATCTGACACGTAAGGGTATCCTTAATTAAATTATTATTATGCTCATTTTCTTATTTTGATTTTTTCTCATTATGATATAAATAATTTATTAATGCATTTATCCAATAATTATGCTATGATATTTTTATACCTTATTTCATTTCTCTTATATTTGATAATCTGGTAAAATATAGTTCAGACTATAATCATTTTAGATTATTGATATATTTATATAGGTTAGAATAAAATTAGTTTCATTTTCTACTTTTATTTTGAATTAATAATTTATAATATCAAATATTATGGCGTAACCTCTCCTTTAAAATATAGATATATATAGGCCTATAGAGTTTATTGGCACTCTCAAAACTCTAGAATTTTGAGTTTACTATACCCTTAAACCATAACTAGATTGAGAACTTGATTTTTTGTTATTGAATTTTTCATCATTGCGTATTGAATCATTATCTTATTAAGGAACATCCTTAAACAAGTTTATTAAACATTCTCATATGACTAATATGAATTCATACTCAAAATAAAAAATTGAAAATTATTTGAAAGGTTGTTTTTGTTTATTATCTCTCTTTCTTTGGCTAACTCACACATAATGTGTATGATATATAAATCTTTTTAATTTTTGTAACATTTGATTTATTGACTTTTCATGAAAGTTTTTAATATTGGAGAAGGTTATGTTTTGAATTTTGGAGATCTCAGCCGTTATTTCTCCAAACGAGATCCTTATTTTTTTGAAAAAGTATAATTAATCATATAAATCAAAGCTTTATGTTCCCATGTATGCGGTAATATATTCTTTAGATTCCTTAACAAACCATTTGAATAATTCTTCGTCCACTTGGCTTAAAATATATGTGTTAGACCCATTTGATTTTTGGGCATCAAAAGAACGTTAAAAATTCCCTTTGTAGGCAGAAATTAATAAGTACATAAGCTGCTTAAAAGTACCAGCGAGTATTTTATCGATATCTTCATATTCGCAAGTTTTATATCAACATGCATTGATTAGCAAAATTGAGCAAATGGATTTCTTTTATTTGGGAATTGTTTGACTTTTTATCAACGAAATTTAAGTCCTTAAGAATGAAATGCACTATCGACATCAATTGAGAGAAGTAGACTCTGTTCGGAGATTTAATTTTAAGGAATTGTATTTTTGTATACTTGTCTAAACTCTTTTACGAGTTCTCTGGCTTTCGAGTACATATTCATTTAATTTATCATATTCGGAACTAGATAATAATTCATCTGGCAAGAACTCAGACTGTGGATCCTGAGTTTTATGGATAAAAATTTTTGTCACTTTTTTGCAGACAAATTGCAATAATCACTTTTCTGTGGTCTTAGTGATAAATATTGGGCTATGAAATTAATGTAGTTTGTTTCAATACTCAATACTCTAGAATTTCTGTTCTCTAATTTTTCGCAAAATTGAAATTAACTCTTTAAATTATTCGATATTAATCCGACATCATGAATTTCAGCATGAACTAGCATTACATCCTAATATCATATAAACATTAGATTCATGCTATCTAGAGTTAATTTGGAGAGGTTGGAATCTTCGACTTCATAACAGCTCCCCAAAAATCCTCTTGATTCTCGCGATGTTATATCTCTGTATGAACTATTGCAAATATCTTATCTTCCTAAAATATTATAAGAGATTGAAGATTATATTTCAATTAAAAGAAAAATCATAAAGATTCGAGATACTTTCATTACTTCAATATTAAATTAGAAACATTCCTACAATTTAGCACGAATTCAAAATTAGTATATCGATATATTCGCATAACTGAACTGAGATGAGTATCTATTTTTGCGAATTCTAAGTCTATTCGCCGACTGTATTAATACTTGCACAAAATAATAGAATTAACCAATTGGCAGCAATCGTAAAAATAGATCATTCAAAATCATTGATTAATTTATTATTTCTCCAATTATATTTACGAACAATTTATAAGTAATGAAAATTTTTTTTTGTTGTAAATTTTCAGAACATCCATTGAATAAACCGGAAATTTGTTTTTTTACATACGATGCTCTCCGTCACAATTAATGGAAAACAAGTGTCCTGTAAGAAAGGGACATTTATCCTCCAAGCATGCACGGATAACGGCATTTATGTTCCAACATTATGTGCTCATCCAGATATTCCTCCTGCAGGAAACTGCGGATTATGCGTCGTAAAAGTTAATGGAAATTCGTATGAATTAGCATGTTCAACAAAAGTCACTAATGGCATGGTAATCGAAACAGATACTCCAGAAGTAAAGAAACGTTCCCTTGATGCATTAAATGCATTTAACGATATGCCTTTGATGCCGGGATCCAAAGAAATCGAAGATATTTATAAATATTTAATACCAAAGCGCCCGATTAGAGGCAGAAAAGCTGAAAAAACAAACGCTTTATCATTTGATCCAGAAACATGCGTCAATTGCGGCCGATGCGTCAGAGTTTGCGGTGATATGCAATATATCGGTGCTCTTGACGAGGAATCTCATTCTCTAAATGACAATGATTGCATCCAGTGCGGTATGTGCACAACTGTTTGCCCAACAGACTGCCTAACTTACAATTCATCTATTTCCAGCATAATAAGAGCAATGGCTGCTGGAAAAATCTTAGTTCTTCAAATTCATCCAAGTTCTTCTGTTTCTCTCGGAGAATTGTTCGGAGAGAAGATTGGCGTCGACTGCACTAAAAAGATAATCGGTGCGGCAAGAGAAATCGGCTTTAGATACGTTTTTGACGTGAATTTTGGAGGAGATATCAATATTATCGAAACAGCGCATGAATTATTACATAAACTTAGCTTACAACCAGATTCATTACCAATGTTCACAAGCTGGTGCCCAGCTTGGGTTAATTTTGTCGAAAAACTTCATCCAGAGTTAATTCCTAACTTATCAACCGTCAAATCCCCACATATACTTTTATCAGTCATTATCAGAAATTATTACGCTCATCTCAAAGAAATTGACCTTCAAAAATTGTTTATTGTTTCACTTCTCCCATGTACAGCCAACAAAGACGAAATCAAGCGAGAGCAGCTATCAGAGACCGTCGATTGCGTCCTTACGACCCGTGAATTTGGTGAACTTATCAAGAAATTCGATATTGACTGGACAGAACTACATCCTGGCGAGTTCGACGAGATCCTTGGCGAATCATCAGGCTCTGCCGCTCTCTACGGTGTCTCTGGAGGCGCTCTTGAAGCTACCGCGAGATATCTCTACGAAAATCTTACAGGAAAGTCTCTCGGAGACGTCAAATACCATCAGTGGCGTGGTAAAGACGACATTCGCGAGGCATCTGTCGATTTCAACGGTCGAATTCTTAATTCATGCGTATGTAACGGCGTTGCCGCTGCCAGAGAGCTTATTGAGTCCGGCAATTACAAGAAATACCAGTTCATCGACGTCGTGGCCTGTCCAGATGGCTGCATTGCCGGTGGCGGGCAACCGAAATTACATAATAAGAAGAACGCGCTTCCAAGAACGGAAGCCATCTACCAAATGGACGAATCCAAACCAGACAGACCCACTCCACACAATAACAAAGCTCTCCTTAAGATCTACGATGATTTTATCGGAAATCCTTACGATGATTTCGCTCAATCTCTTTTCCATACCACATTTGCACAGCAGAACACACCCATACTCGAAATGAAGCGCAAAGTCCACACTTTGCCCATCGTCGCATTCGGATCTGCCTCAGGAACCGCATCTCGCTACGCCGGCATCTTCGCAGGCTTCATCGGAACAGTCCCTGTTCAACTGAACATGGTCACCATTGCGATGCTCGAGAAAACTTCCCACATTGTCGTTTTCTGTTCGACATTTGGAGATGGCGAGTTCCCGGCCAACGCAGAGAAGTTTGTTCGGAACTTATCCGAGTCAAAGACCGACCTAGGAAACCTCAAGTACTCAATTTGTGGCCTCGGAAGCCATGATTATCCGAAATACTGTTATTGCGGCCGAACTCTCGACAGACTGTTCATGCAGCACCACGCACAGAGGTTCATGGACATCGCAGAGCTCGATTCGTCGCTCCCTGACCACGGAGAACACATATTTGAGGCTTGGGCACCTCAATGTGTCAAAAGATTGGGAATGAAGATGCCTGATTCATCGATCGGAGCTAACTATACATTTGTCCCGACCACGTCCAGTGATGAATCAGTGATAAAATCCCCAATGAAGCCTGTTGGATACGAATTCGGAACAATTCTCCAGACAAAAGTGATAACTCCAGAGGGATTCGAGCCGAAGATGAGGTACTACGAGATCAGACTGCCACAGGGAATGACGTACGAGGCTGGAGACCTCTTGGCCGTACTTCCTCAGAACGATAATGAGACTGTGAAGGCAGTTTTGCAGGAATTGAAGCTCAACGGCGATGATATAATGGATGTAACAACAACTAGGCCGGAAGGATATAACACAATACCGTCAAGACTCACATTATGGCAATTATTCTCACAATACCTCGATTTGAATGGAGTTCCGAGCCGTAATTTGATCAGAGCGTACAAGCAGTTCACGAATGACCAATTCGCCAGAGAAAGATACGAAAGGTTATTAGATCCAGCCGATCCTCGCTTCTACAACGATCTTGCAAAGGATATGAGTACACGAGAGTTCATTTTGGAGTACACAAGGCACGGATCTCCGCCATTAGACGTATTAGTTTCAAATATTACACATATCAGAGCCAGATTGTACTGTATTGCAAGCGCACCATGCCACTCATCATCTTCCGTTGAACTTATCATATCAGATAACATCTTTGGACCAGGAAATTCACGTCGCGGACTTTGCACGTCGTTTATGGCCAGGGAAGGGCTCACAAAACTGGCGGTTAGGACACAAAGAGGCTGTTTCAGCTACCCAAAGCAGCAGAAACCTTCGATTATCATGGCAGCCCTCGGATGCGGAGTTGCGCCGATGCTTTCGCTCTTGCAGCACAGAGAATCACTCGAGGGTGAGAAAGGAGACGCTTGTTTGTTCTTCGGATGCAGAGTTAAAAATTCATATCCGGATATTGACAAACAGCTCTCAGATTACGTGAAATCCGGGTTACTCCAGAACTGCTTTACAAGTTACTCGCGCGAGGGAACAACGAAATCGTTCATTACTGAGGACATGGCCGAACAATCCGACCTCATCTGGAACTTGTGGAGGGATGTAAACTGTACTTTCGCATATTGTGGACCTCCTAGAGGAATCCCGGAGAAAATCAGAATGAATTTCGTCAGAATTTCAATGGAAAAGGGAGGAATGTCGAGAGAAGAGGCTGAAAACTTCTGCGCTGCACACCCGCATTTCATTGAATCCTTCTAATTTATTTTTTGCTTATATATTTTTTTTTATATTATTAAAATAATTTTTTTATCTGTTTTTCTAAATTAAAAAATTCATTTCATTAACTTGTAAATCTTTATAAGGTCATATTACCATGGGAGGAACAAATTTGCCCTGAAAAAAAAGCAGAATTTTAAATCTCACTTCAATATCCAAAATAAATCTCGAAGGATATGTCATTTTCATGAGAAAGATACGAATTTCTTAATATCTTAGACTAACAATGAATAATTTTTTTTGGCAAATTTTGATTTCATATATTTGATCCATGCAATGACAGTATGATATTAGACATCTCTTGGACATTGAATATTTATTATAAAGAAATCATTTTGTTGTTGGTTTATTGTTTTTCAATTCATTTTCAATCTTGCTTTCAAAAGACCGAGCATAACAACATATCAATCATAGCATACCAATGATAGAAATAATGAAACTTGGCCAAATTCTAAGATATTCTTCAATTAAATTTTGGAAAATTTAATTTTTTCAAACCATCTCCAAAAATCACAATTCTTGCAACAAACATATCAGATAGAATTTATGTTTGTTCATGCTATTAGTACAAATCCACAAAAAATCTTGCCGTTACCAATTATATTTACGTTTTGGTCAATTAACACATATTACTTCAAAAATAAACATCACAATGTTAAATACAATTGCAAAATTATACAACAAACATAACAGTTTTAAGATAATCCAACAATTATTTTTCGCGCCAAAATCACTGATTATACAATAATACATTTATTATAACGAGTATATATAGCCAAAGAAAAAATCATTTCATTATAGAATTCATTAATTTACAAACGATTTGATACCCAAATGAAAAAAATCGATAAAATTGAACATCACTGCTCAATTTTTCTTTTAAAAATATGTTGTCTATAATCCACAATATCATGATACCTAAAATCAATGACACATTTCTTAGATTTTCTAAAAAAAATTTTATTTCAGCCAAAATCACTAAGTTAACAGTATAAGCAATGAATAAATAATCATTTGTTAATGAATTCATCTATACACTGTTTTTAAACTCTAATCACACAAAAATTATATTTTTTTTTCAATAAATATTGGAAATTATCTAATAACACGTATAAATATTTATTTTCTCGCATATAAAACTGAGTTTTTAAAGAATTTTAATTAGATCAGACTTAAAAATTAGTGGATAGAGGTGTATTCAATTCTGACATCTGTGTAACATCCATTCTTATGATTTTCTCGTCTCTATTCCCCATATTTGGGTCAGCATTTGATTTTCCATATAGAAACACTCGCTACGAACAAACTCTTGAAGCAAGGTACTATAAATTCGAAGTTTGGGGTGCTCAAGGAGGTGGAAAAGATATTTCTAATCACCAAAATTCTGGATATGGTGGGAAAGGAGGTTATTCAGTTGGATATTTAAATCTACTTGATCCAACAACAGTTTATGTGAGAGTTGGTGGGTGGTCACTTTCTGGTTTTGCTTCAGGTGGATTTAATGGAGGTGGATCTGCTTTTGGAGAAAGCACTTATCCAGGGCATGGCGGTGGAGGAGGAACAGATATTCGGATTAATGAAGATGATATCTATGCTAGAGTAATAGTTGCAGGCGGTGGTGGAGGTGCTGAATTTAATGGTGTAAATGGTGGTTATGGAGGGGGAGTAATTTTCCATCAGGAACTAGAACAATAAGTACTTCATGTTTCCAAGGATGTTCATCATTCCAATCAATTGGAGATATTTCACAAGTTACATCAATTGGAGATTACAGTTTCCAAGGATGTTCATCACTTCAAACAATTGGAGATATTTCACGAGTTACATCAATTGGGGATTACAGTTTCCAAGGATGTTCATCACTTCAAACAATTGGAGAAGTCTGGAAAGGTTTAAGTTCTATTCCTGGTCATTCATTTCAGCAATGTGGATTAAGAATACTGAACTTATCTCATTGCTTTCAATTGACAGCTTTTCCTAGTGAAGCTTTCAAAGACTGTATAAACCTTGAAGAGGTTTTCTTTCCTAGATATTTAGAATCAATTGGATCAAGATGTTTTGAGAATTGCAAATCATTAAAACATGCAAATCTTCCTCCTAAAATTACATCAATTCCAGAATATTGTTTTAATGGATGCAATTCATTGAAATATGTTTTCATTCCACAATCAATTACAGAGATTAATGCATTTGCATTGTGTTCATGTGGAATTACAAGTGTGAGAATAAATTCAGATATAATTGTTTATGGAAATGCATTTCTGAACTGTACAAATCTGAGTCGAGTTGAGATATTTGACAACACTATAATAATGCCAGATGCATTTGCTTTGTGTAATAATATAGAAAAGATTGTTATATATGAATTTGTCACTCTGTATAACAATTCGTTTGGATCCATTACTCCAAATGTTTTTTATTTTGGTATTACAGATGTTTGTCACCTTCAAACAGAAATTGAACTCAAACGTTTTAATATTCAGATAATAAATGTTCTGAATGATTACCCTGCAGAAGAGTATGGAACAATCAGAGTAAATAGATGTACTCCTGGAGGAGGATCTTCAAATATTAATACAGGCAGTAAATGCTCCAGTTTGCCTTATTATGATGAACTCCAAAGGATCACAAAATCAACACGCAGGAGACGGTAAACTCGACTTATTTTTTTAAGCTTAAATTGCTAAATATATGTTTTATGTTTGTAATTTTATGTTTTATTATTATTTAATGTAAAGATTTTATTTTAAACTTAAGCTACTGATTTACTGGAATATAAAAATCCACGAAATCTTCCAAAGTAATTAGAATTCAAGGGTGGATTTATAGACGTATGACATGGTTTTTAATTCTGTTATTTAATGTTGATTTTCAATGGTGCTTCTAAGTAAGGGTGAAAGTACACCATTGCATTTTTACAAGATAACGCAATTTAAAAAATTTCTTTTAGCAACCAAAATATTTTGGAACGACCCTTCAATTTTTTGTGCTGAATGAATTCTACAGAAAATAACACCAGCACATGGCAAAACATAGAAGAAAATATTGACATTTCAAACACAGAACAAGTCAAACTATTTTCTGATATACTAAGTGAGACAACATTAAAAGGAAAATTCGATAAACTTAGTCAACTCACTATTTATTGCTTAAAACAACTTAAAACGATTGAGATTAAACAAGCATCCAATTTTGTCGAAGAACAAAACAATAGATTGTTTAATTTTCTGAATTTTTTTATCAGTTTTCTTCAAGCTTTAACTTCTAATCAAGAAATATTCGAATTATTCTTAGCATCGCCGAATTTTGGAAACAATTTTAAGCTAATTCCAAAAGATTACATAAATAATCAAATTTCGTTATTTAAAAAATTCACGAAAAACAACGATATTACGACAATTACTTTACCAAATATAGAAATGACTCGTACAGAAGACATATTCAATCAATTTATTAATTTGAAGTTGATTAAAAATCAAATTGAAAATTCTGCAGATATCAATGAGGTTAGGAAGGGTTTCCAAGAGCTATGCGGTATGTTTGAGTTATCAAATATAATAAATTCCCTCCTAATACAAAAATTTCAACAACATAATCAAGAAAATCAGAAAATTACACAACAAAATGAAGAAATCAAAAGACTTAACGATAAAATGCTTGAAACAGAAATAGTTTTACGAAACACATGCAAAATTAATAAGAAATTACAAAGAAAAATCGAAGATTTGCAATCATCTAAAGAAAATGCAACAAAACTAAAGAATCAGCTTGCAAAATCATGCGAATTAATACATAGACTACAAACAGATCAAGAAAGTTTACAATTAAAGCTTGCAAAACAAGAATCTTATCGAATTGAAATTGCAAAGTTAAAAAGCGATAATGATGATCTTTCTTATCAAGTTAGACAACTTACGGAAAAGCTAAATAATAATTCCCAGCATCTTTCAACGGCAAAACACCTTGCAAAACAATTTAAATCAAAATTAATTAAAAACAAACAGAAATTTCAACAACTCAAAGAAAGATACGACCTTATTAAGCAAAATGAGAAAGATAATGGCGTATTTACTTATATTGCAATGATTGCTGACAGTTTGGGAACAAAAATTAGTGGAATTGATATTAAAAATGACGTAGATCATATTTGCCAATATTCATCAAATCTAAAAAGAGCTCTATCAGGTAATCCTTCTCAAAGTTATCCTTTGAAACAAAAATTTGATAATTTGACAAAAGATATTCTCGAATTTGAGGAATATGCAAGACAAATAAGCTTTAAATGAGAAACTGCATATCGTTCTTTAATTCTTCAATTTTTAAGATATAATTTTGTATTTTTTTTTAATGTGATTGCATTTATTGCATCATGTATCAGTTCTATCTTAGTTATCGAAAATAATAACTATATTCACTTGCATATGAACAAATAGCTGAGATTTTATTTTATCTTTCTATTTTTATGTTTTTTTTTGTTTGATTAAACTATTCTTTTAAAGAATCCATTACTAGTGAATTGAAAGCCATCTATATATAGTCTTAAATCTAATTGTTGATCGATGATTTGCTGAAATTTATAGATTCAAATGTTTTTTTGTAAACTTTTCAATCTTTAAATATCGAAAATTTTCTTTGTACTTCAATTCCATTTGGTTTGAAAACAATAAAAATAACATTTTTATAAGTTTTCAAATATTTACACGCCCGTAAAAATTTTCATCGTAAAAAAATGAAAATTTATATGGTTTTTGAACTCATAGGAAATAAGGTCACTATTACATAGTGTGATATATAACTAAAAACGTCTAAAAAATCATTATTTAAACTAATAATAATGAACATATAAATAAAATCTATTAAGCAGCTTAAAGTTCCTCAATGACTGGATGATCTCCATTATCCTGTGGTTTCTCGTCTTCAAGAGAAATTGGCTGAACATCTTTAATTTCTTCGAGATCTCCACTCATTTCTTCTTCTTTCTTTTCTGCAGGAACCTCTCCCTTTGGATGCCAGAAACCAAGTCCAATAGCAACAAGGAGTAAAATAATACCAAGGCAGGAAATAAGAATTTCCCAAACCTTATATGGAGCCCAATCCTTCATGAAAGCAACACCGACGATGACACCGACGACGATCTGGCCGAATGGAACCAAGTTACCGCCAATAGCACCCCAGACGGCGACAATGTAGTTATATCCTGTAGCTGCAAGTCCAGAAGCAAGGAAACCGACCAAGATTGGCCAGAGCCAAGCAATTGGTGGTGCGTCATTTGATTGCTGTGCAATTTTCTTTGGTCCGTTCCAAATAAGTGAAACAAGTAATGTTAAAACTGAAGAAGAACCGAGCTGAATGACGGATGAGGCCATGACATCGCTGTTGGAGGCCTTCCACTTCATAACGACAGGAGCGAGACCGAAGCAGGCAACACCTAAGACGAGAAGTACCCAACCAAGTGCTGTATATCCGACACCTGAACCGCCGGATGAATGTAAGAATGATGGGATGGAACATAATGCAACGCCTGTAAGTGAGAAGAAAAGAATTAAGGCTTTTTGCCAGTTGAAAGGTTCATCTGGAAGAACGAAATGTGATAACATAGCACCAAAGGCTGTAGCAAGAGGCTGAGCAATTTGGACGGATGCGGAAGTAACCCACTGTTGTGCAACTGCAATAATAGAGTGAGGAATACCGTGGAATAAAAGTCCGCCAAGGGCAACCCAAAGAATTGGCTTAATTCCGTGCGTGTAATGGGCCTTAACTACTTGCCAATATCCTTTTTGAATTAAACATCTGACACCACAAACTATGCAAGCTGTAACAAAACCTGCAGTCATACGATAGAAAATCATGAGAATTGGAGCGAAATACTTAAGGCCTTGTTGAACTGCTGCAAATGCAGAACCGTATGCGAGTGAAAGGAAAATAAATACTAATGCAGAAGGGATAGAACACTGCATCGATATTTTTTGAAATTTAACCTTTTCAATTCATTTCTGAGGCCCATACAAATTTGGACCAACTCATTGAATTGAATTCATCATCGAAATCGTGGTGAAATTTCTGAGAATAGAGTGCTATCATATAAAGAATAAGGTAATCAAAAATAACCATGAAACTCTATTGTGCTAATTTACGATTTTATCTCAATTGTAGAGGTAGGGCGGAGGTTTTTGTGATATGGAAAAATGTTCGTTGCTCAATTATCTCACTATTGGATGGACTTTTATCGAGCGAAATTTTGGCTGTAAAGACAATTCTGATATTGGTAACATGGTGATAAGAACAAATAGTCAGTTTGCATGGTTTATGATGAGATAATTTCGATTTAAAAAAAAACATAAAAATTGATTTTAATGAGCGATTATATTTGAATATGCTCTCCTAATTTGAAGGAACTGGTTAAATCATGAATTGATCATGAATATTTTTTTTTTCAAAATAACAATTATAATTTCATATTCATTATAAGTTGAAAATATATCATAAAGACTTTATGAATGATAAATTCCTAAAAAACAAGTTAGTTTGTTTCTGAAAATAATAATAATAAAAACCAATTTAGACCCAATAATTTTTGGCGGGATAATTGAGATGTTACGATTGAATTAAAAAAAAAAGCGGTAATACATTTTTACAATGATGAAGAGGCTGGCAACCTCTGAGTCAAAGCACTTGTTAATGCAATGATGAAGAGGCTGGCAACCTCTGAGTCAAAGCACTTGTTAATGCAATGATGAAGAGGCTGGCAACCTCTGAGTCAAAGCACTTGTTAATGCAATGATGAAGAGGCTGGCAACCTCTAAGTCAAAGCACTTGTTAATGCAATGATGAAGAGGTTGGCAACATCTGAGTTAAAATACTTTTCCCAGTGTGGGAGTAATTTGAAAAAAAAATTTAGTTCATATATTGAAAAAAACAAAAGTAAAAATTAAAGTTTATAGGTTGTGTTTTGATGAGCTAATTGTTAAGATATGGTAGTTCTAAAGAAAAATTTGAGTTTCGAGGAAGTTTCTCGACAGAGGAAACTTTCATATCGAATGTTGCCTCTGTCGAGATGTATGTGACAGGCAAAGTGCAATCACCTATCAATATTGCACTTTGCCTGTCAAAAGTTCTCGCATCTCTTGAGGTGTGAGGAAGTTTCTCGACAGAGGAAACTTTCATATCGAATGTTGCCTCTGTCGAGATGTATGTGACAGGCAAAGTGCAATCACCTATCAATATTGCACTTTGCCTGTCAAAAGTTCCTCGCATCTCTTGAGGTGTGAGGAAGTTTCTCGACAGAGGAAACTTTCATATCGAATGTTGCCTCTGTCGAGATGTATGTGACAGGCAAAGTGCAATCACCTATCAATATTGCACTTTGCCTGTCAAAAGTTCCTCGCATCTCTTGAGGTGTGAGGAAGTTTCTCGACAGAGGAAACTTTCATATCGAATGTTGCCTCTGTCGAGATGTATGTGACAGGCAAAGTGCAATCACCTATCAATATTGCACTTTGCCTGTCAAAAGTTCCTCGCATCTCTTGAGGTGTGAGGAAGTTTCTCGACAGAGGAAACTTTCATATCGAATGTTGCCTCTGTCGAGATGTATGTGACAGGCAAAGTGCAATCACCTATCAATATTGCACTTTGCCTGTCAAAAGTTCCTCGCATCTCTTGAGGTGTGAGGAAGTTTCTCGACAGAGGAAACTTTCATATCGAATGTTGCCTCTGTCGAGATGTATGTGACAGGCAAAGTGCAATATTGATAGGTGATTGCACTTTGCCTCTCCAAACTCTCAAATATGCTTCTCACCATACATCAAACGGGCAAATTTCTCCTTAAATTTCTCTTTATTTGAAAGGTTTTCAACAAAGCTATACCTTAAAAATCTGTGCTTGTTATATCTGATCATTTGTGTGTTAGGGGAGGTAAATTTATTCCACTAGAGCAAATTTTTTCCGAGTTTCTCATTCGATGAGAAACCTCGGAACAACTCTTCAATAGTGTAATGAATTTGTGGTATTTGTCCTGCAAACAGCGAGAGAACTTGTCTGTAATTCGTTTATGATGAAGTTATCTGGATGTCTCTCAGATGAGGAAGGAAGTCCAGAAAACTTCACCATAAGTTAATACTTGTGTATTTCTATGACTCTCTTCACGTCAGAGAATGTAAATTTACTCGAATAGGGCAAAGTTCTGCTCAAGTTTCTCATTTGATGAGAAACCTCGGAAGAACTTTGCCCTAAGGTAATGTATATGTGATTGTTGGCCCGCAGAGAAACAAGGAATCTGTTTGTATTTCGTTTATGGTGAAGTTCTCGGATGTTCTCTCAAATTATATGGAAAATCAAGAGAACTTCACCATAATTTGTTGTAGTTGTGATTCTCTGGCTCTTTGCCGGCCAGAAAACTAGAAAATAGTTTATAGTGGGAGTATGCTCGATGAATACCTACTCACTAAAAATATACGTTATTTTTTGTTTTCCTATGGGAAAATAGTTTTGATTTTTATACTATCGTATGCTTTGTTATTGCATGAATTGTCTATTTTCTTAATAAAAACTCATTTTTCCGTGTGATTCTGAATCAATGCATTCCAAAAAAGCGTTTTCCGCCTTTGAAACGTGAAAACACACATTGCATGAAGAATCAGAGAAGATTTTCTAACTCGAAGAATTCCAAAAAAAAACCAATTATAGTTTTTTTATCGTGAAAAATTTACTTTTTAACTACGAAATTTTTAAAACGCGATTTTTTTGGAGATTTTTAGAAAATTCAAATATGATAGCATGTGTTATTTTATGTGCTCTATGAGTTTATCAGCTTAATTTGGAGTTATTATCAAATTTCAAAAGTCTAAAAAATTGAAAGATAGAAAATCTTCTCTGATTCTTCATGCAATGTGTGTTTTCACGTTTCAAAGGCGGAAAACGCTTTTTTGGAATGCATTGATTCAGAATCACACGGAAAAATGAGTTTTTATTAAGAAAATAGACAATTCATGCAATAACAAAGCATACGATAGTATAAAAATCAAAACTATTTTCCCATAGGAAAACAAAAAATAACGTATATTTTTAGTGAGTAGGTATTCATCGAGCATACTCCCACTATAAACTATTTTCTAGTTTTCTGGCCGGCAAAGAGCCAGAGAATCACAACTACAACAAATTATGGTGAAGTTATCTTGATTTTCCATATAATTTGAGAGAACATCCGAGAACTTCACCATAAACGAAATACAAACAGATTCCTTGTTTCTCTGCGGGCCAACAATCACATATACATTACCTTAGGGCAAAGTTCTTCCGAGGTTTCTCATCAAATGAGAAACTTGAGCAGAACTTTGCCCTATTCGAGTAAATTTACATTCTCTGACGTGAAGAGAGTCATAGAAATACACAAGTATTAACTTATGGTGAAGTTTTCTGGACTTCCTTCCTCATCTGAGAGACATCCAGATAACTTCATCATAAACGAATTACAGACAAGTTCTCTCGCTGTTTGCAGGACAAATACACACAAGAGTTGTTCCGAGGTTTCTCATCGATGAGAAACCTCGGAAAAAATTTGCTCTAGTGGAATAAATTTACCTCCCCTAACACACAAATGATCAGATATAACAAGCACAGATTTTTAAGGTATAGCTTTGTTGAAAACCTTTCAACGAATGAGAAAGTTAGGAAAAACTCTACCTTATAAGATCAACTATAGAATTCATAGCTCTTTGAATACTAGGAAACATTAATGCAGTAGTTTAAGGCAAAGTTTTTCCGAGATCTACAAAGGATAGAGAGATCTCGGAAGAACTTTGCTCTGCACAAGTAATTTCAGAATCTATGGTCCTCTAAGGACCAGAGGACGGTAATGTAAAAGAATGATGTCAATAGCAGATAAATAATAGCCTTAGAAGTTCAATACGTGCACAGTTTGACTACATTGCCCTAGTAGTTAGACTGTACAGGTATTGTACTTCTGGCCTAAAAAATCCTCATTGAAGACAATAGGTAGAAACTCAAATTGTTGATAAATATCCCAAAATATCATAAGAGAGCCCATTATTGTTACCTGGCTCCTTCCTGGCTTTCAAAGTCTGTAAACGAGAAGTCTTGGCTCTTGTGGTAATTGCTTCCAAGAGGTTTACTCAATTCGAGTAAAACTATAAACCCTGTAACTGACATGTACTTCCTTGAATGGGCATTAAAAGTAATTTAACCTAACGAATAGTAAGTTAGTATACAAGTCTTGGGTATGGTGGCACTGCGTTTCACCTTAACCAATACTTGTGAATTTGACACTTTACAAAACCGTTAACGTAAATTTTACAACACAAACGACAACACTAACTTAACCTTAAATATTTACAAAACCACCACCCACTTCACTTCACTAACGAACTCACTAATGTAAAAATAAACGTTCTCACTATCGTTCTCACTAACAACTTCACTAATGTTCTCATAAATTTTCCTCAATATCTTCATCATCAGTGTTAACCCTATTGTAGTCATACTTGAAGCCATAAACTTTCTCTAACTTCTTAACGTACAATTTACATAACTTACCTTCGTCATCGTATGGTTTAATGATATAACTATTTCTATCTTTATAAACAGTCAATGAAAAGTCAACTGGTCTCGGATGTATTTGAAAGAACATGTTATGCTCAGGAAGGAAGAATAAATGTTTAAATGTATGTTTGTTATACTGTGGAATTCGAATGAGTTGCTTTTGTTCTGTCATTTACATCCAAATAAAAATTTTCAGTAAAATAATAAAATAAAATAAAAAATTAATGATATCACCACCCTCACACGTATGAAAACATAGCGCAAAAATAAATTTAGGGTAGAAGGGTAGATCTAACCTCATTTCTACCCTCAGCCGCTAAGCGGCGAGACCCTTTGGGTCTTTTCTAACCCGTTGAATTCATTACTTTATAACTCTCTTCCTTGGTTTCTTTTTAGTTGCTTTCTTCACGTCTGTCTCCAGCTTAACTGTCTTTCTTCTTCGTCCGTAATGATACCAGTTACTTCCACCAGTCAATGGGTCAAATGGTCTTTCGTAAGGGTTTCCATACATTCCATAGGGACCATACGGAAGAACTACTGGTGGAGAAGAAACATTTTCTTTAGTTCCATCGACTCTATTTAAATGCATTGTTTCACCTTTCATCTGGTCATTAAAGTCTTTTGCGTGTTTTGCAAACTCATCGTCCTTTCCTAAAGCATTTTCTGACTCAGTCGCAACCAAATTGGATGCTTTATTTATGAGCCCTATTTTATTTAATCTTAACTTCTTTGCAACCCAGCCTCCAATCTTTCCTTTATTTGCATCTAATGTCTTCGAAACTCTTCCTCCACTCATTTTATTTACTGCGTCATAAGCCCCAAGTGCTTTTGCTCCAAATGCTAATGCTTTTGTTCCCATTGCGCCTAAAGCTGCCCAAGCTACCATTTACACCATATTAAAATCATCTCTCTTCAATATTATCTCATAAAAGTTCTCTTTACTGGAGAAAGTCAATGAAACATAAACATTCTCACGGGCTTCGCCCTCACCGCTTTGCGGTCTATCTAACTTCTTTCTTATATCATCTATACGCTTCAAAATGTCTGAACAATTGCTAACATCTTCTACAACAGTTATTTCATCATGAATGACCTTCAAGAACAAGCTCATTTAATATGCAATTAAAATCATCTCAATAATGAGTCCATCCTTTCCATCTTTAGGTAGCACAACATCTTTCATTGAAGAAGGTTCGACAAGTCTTATGTTAAACTTACTGACAAAGTTTGTTATACTATAATGCTTCGGCGGCGAATACATGTAGTTTGAAAGACATAATATAGATTCTTCAGCAAATTCACTTATACTGGATTTTATAACAATGTTCTCACGAGACCAAACGCCACCAATTGACAATCTTGTAAGCAATCCTGCTGAACCTTCTACTGTAAACGTCGATGGTAACATCCACGAAGGTCATCTATTGACATCGTTGAGTCACTGAATTTAAATATTTTCTTAAAGCAATCGTCATTATCTAACCATGCAATAGCTTTGAAGTTTTCATTCGAATATACATCTGCTTCATTAAATGTAAAACCTGACTTCTTTGCAGAGACGACTTTAAAATCTATTGCATTTGTTTCAAAATTATATGCTATGGTAACTTCTGAAGGTAATGGATGCCCTTCCGCAGTCAGTTGTTCTCTCACTACCGTTTGAAGCTTTGTGTTAAAAACTTTCATGTCATCTCCTGTATCTAAGTTCACATACACAGCAATAGGAAAACTATCTTGCTTCTTTGTCTCATCATTATACCTCAAAACATTAAAGTTCTTCAATAATATTGTCCTTCCTGCCGGAATACTTCGAACCTGTCTGATTTCAATAGCTTTCTCACCTCCTACATACTCTACCCAGTGTCTTGGATATTCATAAGTATACTGACTTTCTTGAATTTTGGTAGGTTTCATCATAACGTGTTCATAGTATATCTTTATACTCTTGTCAGTTAGACTCGGTGCTATGTTCTGAATATTTCTGACTTGCATTTTTAATGGAGATAAAATGAAGCATTTAATACATGATGTAGATGAAGACATGAATGAAACTACAGACAAACTTAACTCTTCTCTCATTCTTCCTTTCAGCAAAGATTATGAATTCTGTTCAAATGGTGTGTATTTCTATTGTGGAAAGATGGGGTCAGGAAAGACATTTAACCTCATTCGTCATATTCTTATAACAGAACGTTTAGGAAATGACTCATATTATGACCAAATCATTATATCAGCAACTTCAGACTCTATGGACTCAACAGCGAAAACATTTATGTCAAAAGTTCAAGCCTCTGTCGTTAAAGTTCCAGACAGTGAACTCATTGAATTTCTTCAACGTTACATTCGACGTAAGAGGAAATATTATGCCATCGTTGAATTTATACAGTCAGGAATGCAAAAGACTTCAGAAGAGATGGAAAGAATTATTGACAAACACCACTTACGTCAGTACTCAGGAGTTTACGATATGAAACGACTGACAAACTACATTCTGTCAAAACTTTCAAAATACCCCTTCAAAAAGTATCCTTCAAACACTCTGCTCGTTTGTGACGACTTCGCCGGAAAAGGTTTAGTGTCAAAACCAGACTCACCATTAGCTAACATCATAACTAAAGTCAGACATTACCACTTAACTGTAGCAATACTTATGCAAACATGGCGTTTCCTTGCTTTAAACATAAAACGTCTCATAACTGACTTCGTTATCTTTCAAGGTTTCTCACGTTATGACATTGAACTCATTTGGAAACAGTCAGGTATAACATTACCTTTTGAAGAAATTTGGGAAGCATATAAGTCTCTCATCTCTCCTCGTTCATACCTTGAGATTCATATCATGACTAATACCATTAAAGTCAAAAATATTCCATGGGAACGACCAACATTGTTTTAAAGTTTAACCTTCAATTGACTGATGGTAAACAAATTCCATGCATCTCTGTCGCCATTTCTGTTAATATTTTTGCTGTCATTCATATCATCCACTTCCCCATCCGTTAGCTTTTGAGGATATGCGTTAGAATAGCTGTTCTTAAATGAAGGCTTTTCACCTTTGAGAGCATAAACTCTATAACTTTCTGCATACTTTATGTTTGAACCTCCTGAGCCATCATTGACATAAATTTTTATAGGCTTCCACCCTTTGTTCATGTTCCTGCTTCTTCCCTTAGCTCTTTTGTTCAGTAGTTCTACATCTTTATACACAGCACCTGTCTCAGTGAATTCAACAATATTTTCATTCGTTAGCTTTACATTCAAACCCTTGTCGAGTATATTGTTCATTTCATACATATAAAAGGTTTTTATTCTATATGAAATGAGAAGCAAATCCATCTTAGCTGGTGTCGTTAATGTTCCAATTGAACCAACATCAAATGTTGACTCACGAACGACAAACAATATTGTCATAAAGAACTATAGTTCAGAGTGTTTGAAAGAACCAGAACCAGAGCTGAAATCCGTGAATTTAAACACAGCTTCAAACGCTAACGCTACATCAGATGTTAAGTTAGAGTATCCACCATTGGACCAAATTCTTTCAAGAGAAGCCAACGACAATCCTTACACAAATGTTCAAACAAATCCTTCAGATAACGTAGACCATTACCTTCTTCAGTTATACCAAACAATTTTACTCAAAGACGATAAGAAGCTTTTGACAAATCTTATAAGTAAGAACCAAATAATTCTAACAAAGGAGGACCTTGAAAATGTTATATCACGAATAACAGGAAAGCAATGTGTCATTGACTATCTCGACCCTGAAATCGAATGCTGTGGTCAAACGCCAATATTCATGAAAATAGGTAACATCCGCATCATTGAAACACCAGGAACTACAGGAGTTGAGTTTAAGTATAAATATTCGAACGAGTATACAAAACTATCTACTGACTATAAGCTTTGTTTGAAATATGTTTTAGTAAATTAAAGCAACTTATAGTAATCTATCCAAAACTTCTTCAACAGTATCGAACTCATCTTCATAATGCAAACCTAATCTTATTGACTTGGTGCAGTTTTCACTAACACAATATAGCGCTTTGCGCTCGGCGCCTTTGACGCCTTTTTCTGTTCTCTTGACTGACATAACTAACTCATTTGTTTCATCAAACAGCAACAACCAAAGTTCATGACCTAATACATAACATTCATACTTTATATTTTTAGCTCTGAGTTCTCTTGTAAGCTGTTGCATTTAATATTTTCTAAAAAGTCAACTTCAACAGTCATTCGCACTGGTGCCTTCAGTTCTACAGGCTCTCCTTGAAAGTCAACAAGTCTGAATTGCATGTCTTTCAAATTATGAGGACTAATGCGAACCCATTTACCTAAATGAGTTGCTATGACAGGAACGTTTGGAATGAACATTGAATTGACTGCATAACAGAAGGATTTATATTCTACTGAACCTTTACTATTAACTCCTGAAATGCCTGTGACATTAGCTATTTTAGACTCAATGTATAAACAATTGCCATAACATACGTATGGAACAGATTTCATCTCAATCGTTTTGTCAATACTTTTCAAAGGAAATGTCATATGGTATGCTCCCAGAAGCAATTGAACTCTATGACTCATTCGTGTTATCTTAAACTCCTTCGCATAACTGAACTTCAAAACTCCTGCAATAAGTTTAACATTCATTAAGTTTTCTTCGTTATCCTTGTTTATTGTAGTATTTATGAGAGCATTTAACACTCCGGCTAATGTTTCCATCTTATATTCTACATTATTGTGAAATCTTATTTCATGCTTCTTTCCATCTATTTCAAACTCCATGAAATCTGTTTCATCTGTTATGACAAAAGTTGCGATAGTATTGAAGTCAACCATTCTGAATGCAAGTGGCTCATTCTGTAGACCTAAGTTTGTTTGTAGCTTTACTGTTCCGTATTCGTTTGGGTCAGTACTTTGCAAATAGAACAACATTTTATTCTCATTAAAATATGAGTATTGCTGCATATGCGTATGAAGCTGACAGAGCTAAACGTTTATATTTTGGTCAATACTCTCTCACACTTACTGACAAATATATTGTTATCAGTGATGGAAATACCGAGAAATACATAACATGGAAGGACTATGAAAAGTTTGACCCTATTTTAACTCCATGTACAATGCCATTCATTGTAAATGGTGAAGTTGTCATGAAGAACGACACAACAGTATATAAGTCTGTATATGAAGCGTTAGAATATATGTTGAATTATAATCCCGAAAGATTTGACCCAAGCACTACACCATGTGCAATGCCTTTTATTAAGGACGGTGAAATCGTAAGAGTTCCGGATTCAACGGTTTATACTGCTGTTCAAAACAGTTTACAAAACATTTTAGCGAATATCTTTAATTCAGAAACTACAGAAATGAAATTACCATATATAACAGATGCTAAAGAAATTAAATCAAAAACGACAACATTATTTACGTCACTTAATGATTTAATGACTTATATCATTAATATTCCTGCACCAACTACAGCATTTGATCCAAACTCGACGGTTTGCAGTGTACCTTTCATTAACGACAGTTCATTAATTACTTTAAGGGATTCAACAGTTAATGAATCATTAAAGGCGTCATTAATGAAAATCATTGATTTTAACACATTCACGAATACATATAATTCATTCATTAATGTTTCATATGCTTCTAAAGAAGGTGAGCCAAAAACTATCGATAAAGCGGTGTATGAAATAAAAGCATCAACGACGAAATTGAATTCGTTAACTTTTGACGGTGATAGTTTCGTTAATGACATAACATCGGGGAAAACAATTTTAACGAAAGAATATTTAAAATCTCATGTTAGTGAGTTCGTTGAAATTGAAAAAGAAGGTGGAATTAAGTTCGATCCACTGAATTTCATTTTCAGCTTAGCGAATGCGGGTGTTAGTTTCTGAATGGACAACTATACAGAGTGAAATAAATGCAATATGGACGTTTTTGGGGTCAAAAGCGGGAATGGGTGAGCTTGTAAATGCTGCAAGAACATTAGGTGAAACAGGAAATTTTGTAGATGGTTTTAAAAGACTTGTTTCAAATGTTTTAACAAACACAAAGAAATTATTTAGATATACCATACATAACGGTCAGATTTTTCGAACAGGTAGCAACAAACCCTCCGGTTATGGCTGCGTTGATGATGGTTAGAGATATAAAACCACGTAACGACGGGAACGAAGAACATGAACAACAGAGCCCAACGGGCTCAGAGCCACATAGTGGCGAGGATACTGGTCGGGTTATTCAAGACATTAAAACGTGTATCCTGAAGTTATTGATTTATTTAGAGGAGTTAATGATTCAATTTCAAAACATTCTATAACCCTCGATGAAGAGAATAAATTAACAGATTATATATTCGTCATTATTGCAGAACTAATGAAGAGAATAAATGAAAAAGGAATTGGTGATATCATTAATGTCAGCGATGTAATGATGAAAAGAAATTTTGACTCATTATTTACAAAACCGAAAACAGAATATAGTCTTTATGACGTAATTACCGAATTAATGAAAAAGATTAATGATAATAAGAGTTCTGGCGGAAGAGTTGAATTAGAAGTGAATGATGTTAATGAGAAATTAGCCGAAAAAGCGGACAAGAACCACGTTCATTATATAACTTCAGACGAACAGATTATAACGGACTATCATGGATATTTAACACGAAGTGATGAAGCGAAGACAAAAAATGTTAATGAAAGAAGATATAAATTCATTCGTGCTAAAGGTTATGACATACACTGTACTGTACAGTATGACACAGGTATAGCACCACAATCATTTGGTTATAACGCTGAAATTTATGCTTCATACTTCTTTGTTAACGGTGTATTAGTTGAACCAAGATTTACTTTGAGAGTTAAGTCAAAAATAACGTTTGAAGATGCTATTAAAAGTAAAGCTGACAAAGTTGAACTCGAAGCAACGAACAAAGTTTTGAAATCTCATAAACACAACATCTCCGATATAAATGAACTTCAAGCTACATTAGACAGTAAAGCTGACAAGAACCATACACATAAATCCTTCACTACTGTTAGAGCAGACGACATAATATTGAACTTTGACCTTGGTTCAAGTGCACCTTTAGAGAATCCGAGTACAAGCGTAAAAGATACTCTTAACAATTTAGATAAGAGTTGCAGGAATACCGAAGATCATGCCAGAAACTTTGAAGCATATGAACTACCATCAATGTTAGATAAGAAAGCCGACAAAACTTATGTGGATGCAGAACTAACAAAGAAATTTTCGAAACCAGATACAATGACATTTACAACAGAAATTATAAATGGTGAACCAGCAACTCCATTTGAATTTGTTAGAGGTCTTCAACCGGATACTTTTGAATTTTTCTTGGATAATTCTATTGAACTAACATTACATTATAAAAGTGGAACAAATGCAACATTTCATCCGGGAGATACATTCCAAATGGTATTTAATGACATAAGTTCTTTAGAATATGTTTATAGAGTTATGAGCATATATGATTTAATATATCCTATAGGAGCTGTTTATACGTCTATGAATCCAATAAATCCAAACACTTTATTTGGTGGTAGATGGTATGAAATAGTTGACAGTTTTCCATTCTACACTAATACGCAGTCAATGAAGATGGGAGGTTCAAAGAAAATAGGTATTGAAAACCTTCCTTCACATATGCATAGGTTCAGTGGAAGAACATCTGTGGAAGGAAACCATTCACATTCAATAACAAAAAGAGGTTATATAAATCTTGCAGCGGGTTCGAATAGACAGGGAATGAACAGATATGATATCTCAGATGACCCCAAAGATGTTAGCACAGGTATTTTCTGTGGAACTGCAGGAAATCATACACATGTTGTAGCTGGTATTACAGACCCAGCAGGTAATGGAAAAGATTATATGCCTCCTTATATAACAATGCACGCTTGGATACGAGTTGGTTAAAATCTTTAACTTTACATAAATGAGCTTGAAAGAAGTATTCGAACAACATCCATGGAGGTCATTTAAGAAATTCAATGAAGCTGCAAAGAGTTCGGGATTTACTAACAGAGCTGAAGTGAAAAGGTTCTTTGACAAAATGTTGTACATCAAACAAAAATAAATCCTTACGACTACTTTTTACCAATTTACTCCAACACTCCTGACGCATACCAATTTGACACTCTCATTCAAAGCAGAAAAGGAGGACATAAACCATTCCTCATCTTCATAAATGTTAACACTCGTAAAGCATATGCATATCCAATGAGGAATAAAGGAACTTGTGAAGTGTTAAGAGTTTTACAAAAGTTTGTAGCAGAACATAACCCAAGTACTTTAACATCAGACCAAGACAGTGCATACCTCAGCAATGAAATCACAGAATTTCTCATTAAGCATAACATAACTCACTACACTACTGAAGACCATAACCATAACATACTCGGTATCATTAACCGCTTCATAAGGACTCTCAGAGATTTAAACCAAGAGCGAGACTTTACCGAAGAAACAATGAAACACTTTCTCGAAGTATATAATTCCTCAACACATTCTACAACAGGGCATACACCAAATTCAATGACACAACAACAAGAAGAAAAGTATATACAAAAGAAACGAAGCCAAACACAAAATATCAGAAATTCAACACAATTTACCCTCATTCCTGGTACAAAAGTTCGTGTAGTTCTTGATCTTATATACGAAAAAAAGAGATCTGACATTGTGTCAGATCTCAGTAAAAGTGACATTTACATGTCAAAAAAATAGAATGAGTTTAAGTAATTAAAATTGAGGGTGAGAGTAGTATTGTATGAAATAATATCTCTCACCCTCCAATTCATCCTATGGCGCCGAAAAAATTTTGGTGAAATGCGACCACATTTCACCAAAATTTCTCGGCGCCATATAGAGAACTAGAGCCTGTGAGGTACTGATACTATCCATGTACCTCGCAGGCTCTAGTTCCAAGCCAAAATGGCTAAAAATTGCCCGCAATTTTCACATTGCGGGCAATTTTTAGCCATTTTGGCTGGGAATTGGAGGGTGAGAGTAGTATTGTATGAAATAATATCTCTCACCCTCCAATTCATCCTATGGCGCCGAAAAAATTTTGGTGAAATGCGACCACATTTCACCAAAATTTCTCGGCGCCATATAGAGAACTAGAGCCTGTGAGGTACTGATACTATCCATGTACCTCGCAGGCTCTAGTTCCAAGCCAAAATGGCTAAAAATTGCCCGCAATTGTTCACATTGCGGGCAATTTTTAGCCATTTTGGCTGGGAATTGGAGGGTGAGAGTAGTATTGTATGAAATAATATCTCTCACCCTCCAATTCATCCTATGGCGCCGAAAAAATTTTGGTGAAATGCGACCACATTTCACCAAAATTTCTCGGCGCCATATAGAGAACTAGAGCCTGTGAGGTACTGATACTATCCATGTACCTCGCAGGCTCTAGTTCCAAGCCAAAATGGCTAAAAATTGCCCGCAATTGTTCACATTGCGGGCAATTTTTAGCCATTTTGGCTGGGAATTGGAGGGTGAGAGTAGTATTGTATGAAATAATATCTCTCAAGATTTTCTTCCAGATTCACTTATGGCCAATGAAATGCCAGAGCTCCAAGGAAGCGAAGAAGATGAATGGGAAAAAGAAGGCGAGGAAGTTGAAGAAGAAAAAAATAAGGCGAATCCGGTTGAAATAGAAGAAGATAGTAATGAAGAAGAAGAATACGAACTAAAATATGAAGAAGAATATCAAGAAGATTATGAAGACCCTTATGAAGAAGATTATGATGATTCATTTTAATATTACGAATAAATGTCACTTTTTCTATTTTTGACACGTAAAGTTGTCACTTTTCTGTCAAACCGTTTTTATCGTTTTCGTATATAACACTTGACGACAAACCGTTGACAAAGAAACGTTTAAGGTTAAGTAGAAACTATTATATCATAGACTCTACGCAAGGTAATGGATATCTTATAAAAGCTGCTGACGACTCCATAGCGTTTTATCCTCGTCATAAATTAGTTGAAAGTAGTAATGGCAAACTTGCTGAAACCATTGACGAAGCAAAGCGAGGAGTGGTTATTAAAATACTTGGCTATAACACAAACGATGACACTTATAAAGTAAGATATGAAGGAGGCGTTGAAGATGTTATACCATCTAAGAACTTGAGAGAGTCGAAGCCAACACATCTGGGACCATTAGAGCGGGAGTACTGGAAAGACAAAAATATGCCAGAAAGAATAAGAAAATTCTTCTAAACTTTTTCATTAGATGTAAATCAGACATGAATGAGAACAGTCATGTATTATTAATGGTACCATTTATTTTAACATAAAGACGCAAACGGACTCTTTGAGTCCTGAGGTCTTTCAGACCGAAGCGGCGAGGACGAAGTCCATGACCAAAAATAATGTTTAGGGTAGATGGTTAGATCTAACCTCTTTTCTAACCTCAGCCGCTAAGCGGCGAGACCCTTTGGGTCTTTTCTACCCTCTTGAATTTTCATGAATTTTATACAGAAAACATAGCACAAAAATAATGTTTAGGGTAGATGGTTAGATCTAACCTGTTTTCTAACCTCTTTTCTACCCTCGCCGCATAGCGGCTCAGACCCTTTGGGTCTCTTGAATTTGTCATGAATTTTCCCGAAATAAAAAATAAAGTTAGTTTTATTTTTTTTTATTTTTTTATTTTGTATAAAAGACATGATTTCAACAATCGGCACAACAACAATTCAAACAACTTCACCAAACTCGTTAGTCATGAATCCAACATCTATGTTAGTAGAAATGAAAAGCTTCATTCCTTCTTCATATACTTTTGAAACAGAAATCCAGAAGATAAAGCAAGAACTTTTAACATCTAATTTAAACTGTAGTGCGAAAGATGAAACAAATGAACAGTATCTTTATGAAATGCAGGACATTATTGACCATTTACCCAAATTGCCTGAAATTCAGCAACAAAAACTCACTATTCCTGAATTCGATGAAATAGAAGTGAAACCAACTGACTCAGTAGAAATAAAGAAGTTCATTCGAAAGGTAAACTATGAGTTTCTAGGATTTCATTGCAACCATAAGGTTATGGACAAAGATTGCGACATGGTATATAAGAATGTTTCTGACATATATAAATCCGGGGAGTTTAAGACCTACGATAACTTTGTTTCATTAGTTGCTGAATGTGTATGGCAGATAAGAGATAAAGATAGAAGAGGTAAGGTATGGAATGAACAGATAAGACCCGCTATGTTTGAGATGAAGAGAGCAATTGACGCCTTGGTTGTTTTAGCAGGTAAGGTTTCAATGTATAACGCAAAAATGAATCCGCAATGTTCTAAATGTAAAGCAGCAATTAGGAAATATAACTACTCCGTCAAAGAGATAGAAAGAATGCGAAACGACTATGCTGACTTAAAGAAAGAAGCAGAAAAGCCAGCAGAAAATAAAATGGACATGTTAACATTTCTGAACAAAAACTATCCAACTGCTGACGATTTCCTTCTATCTGACGTCAAGAAGAAATATAAAGAAACTTTCGGCATAGTTAAAACATTCGATATCCTTCGTGAAGAAATAGAAGCTACAAAACTGTTTAGAGTCTCACGAATTCATAACGTTTACCATGTAAAACGCTTATAAAATAACTGGGGTAGAAAAGACCCAAAGGGTCTCGCCGCTTAGCGGCTGAGGTTAGAAAAGAGGTTAGATCTAACCATCTACCCTAAAATATATTTTTGCTGAAAAATGACCAAAATTCTGAGTAAAATAATTTTTAGGGCTTGTGTCAAACCGTTGAGTTTTCACAAAATTCCAAAAATAACGTTTACCATGTAAAACGCTTATAAAATAACTGGGGTAGAAAACAGGTTAGAAAACAGGTTAGATCTAACCTTCTACCCTAAAATATATTTTTGTCTGATTTACGCTCATTACGATGAAATCATGAAAATTCATTTACGATGAAATCATGAAAATTCATTTACGATGAAGTCTTGACAAAACATGTACGAAGAAGTCATGAAAATTCAAGACCCTTTGGGTCTCGCCGCTTAGCGGCTGAGGTGAGAAAAGAGGTTAGAAAACAGGTTAGATCTAACCTTCTACCCTAAAATATATTTTTGCTGAAAAATGACCAAAATTCATGAATTTCCTTAAGATAGAAAAAATAACGCTAATTTTTTTCTAAGAAAAATTTTTATCTTGTATGTAAGAACATATATGACAAACACTGAGTTTGAAACAGTTAAAAAGATAGACAATGACACCAAATTGGTTAGAATTGGTGATTTAAACGTAAGATACTCAAAGAAATACAACAAATATTCTTTGTCAGACATTTTATCTCCATTTGAAAAGAAAACAAACCACTGGGTTAGAATTGCTTCTAGTCAGAAAATTTTGACAAGAAATCCTGAGCTTATGATATCGGTAAAATTCTATGGAACTACAGCATATCTTATAGACAAAAGTCTTATACCAATAGTTTTGTTATGGTTAGACCCAGTTGTTGGATATAACTTCATAACATATGGTTCATTCGATACGGAACGTTGCAGTGAAGGCTTACTTTACATCGTTCAGAAACCGAAGGACTTCAATACAAAGAGATATAAGATAGGAAGAACATATAATATAACTCAAAGATATGACAGTATAGTCAATAGAGTTAAGGTTGTGTTCGTTAACGATATGAGAGCTGCTGAAACAGAACTACTTGAAAAGTTTGAGAAAATTTATGGTGCTCCCACGAAAGGTAAAGAAACGTTTGAAGTAGATGAGATAGATAAAGCTATAAAATTATTTGACGAAGTTGCTGAAAAATACATGTAAAGCGTTTATTTTTGGTCTTTTGTGAAAGTCAGAAAATAAAGTTAGTTTTTATTTTATTTATTTTTTTATCCTGTATGTAAGGACAGATATGTCAACATTAGAGAACACAACAACTGCTATCGTTCATGAAGTCATAAATGAAGAATATGAATACATACAGTATAACAAACAATTGAGACTCATTCGTTCAGTCAAAGACGATATGTACCAAATGCAAAGTATTTTGACAGCATGTTATGCTCCAGATACTAAACTTCCTAAAGACTGGTTTAGGAACCAAAGCACACAAGAACTATTAAATGAAGCACAGCGAGACGTACTTTTTTCTGAAAACAGTGAAGAACAGCGAGTAGGTAAAAAATCCCAGTCGCCAAAACTCTATGAAAATCGTGAAAAATTGCCAAACGGTTTGAGAGGATATTATGTTCATAGACTTCTCGTAAATGCTGTAGCAATGTGGGCTTCACCTCGTTATGCTTGGTATGTTTGTAAACTTCTTGACGAAATTCATAGACAAGAACGTGAAGATATGGAAAAGAAACTTCATGCAAAAGATGAAGTCATTGAATCCAAAGACAAAAGCATACAGAAAAGAATACCGCGTTCAGTACCAAAAGGAAAGGAAAAGAACTATAAGTATATGATTTATACTGAAGAGTTGGAGAATGAAGAAGACAGAGATATGGTTATGTTGCATTTAGTCAGAAGAAACAACAAAAGCTTTTACGACCTTGCTAAAATATATAAATCTGACAGAAACTGGTTCTATCGTGAAAACTTACCGATTTCAATGACACCGAATGAAGATGTGAAACAAATAGTTCAAGATACGTTACCTCAAACACACTATGACATCAAAGGTTGCACAATACTTACATTCAAAGAAGACTTAACATTACTGAAGGAAAAAATAACAGAATATTTCGATAACTTCAAAGAGGAAGAATAAAAAAATATATTTTTGGTTAAATGACGTCAGGGTCAATTTCTTCAACCATTTCACTTCCTTCGTCAATGTCAATAGAAGCTTCTTCAACCTTTGGTAAGAACTTTTGTATAACATCTTTGTTCGTTATTGTCTTCAGAGATGAAGGATAATATTTCACATTTGTTTCACCCTTCTTATATTCTTTCTGTTCGGAAAGATTCATAGCAATACTGAAGAAGTCAATGTTGGAGTTCTTTATAATAGTATAATGAGTATCTTTGACATTCACGAAGATACTCTTTTGTTTCAAAACTACTGCTAACTCTTGTGAAGTATAACGTTTGCGGTCAATGACAATAGCTAATGGTCTGACATACTGACCGAACTTAGATTTTTCACAAACTTCTTGTTAAAGATAACATTGACGTTTGAAGCACCATTGAACTCATTCTTGATGACAGTAGCGAGAGCATTGTATGAAAAGAACTTGCAATCTTGCATGTGTTTCATTAAAATAAAATGTTCGAAATATTTTAAAACTAGCCTTAAAAAATCTAATCTAATTTTTTCAAAAAATATTTTTTATTTCCTACTAAAGATGTATCGGAAGTTGTCTAAGTTAGAACACTCGGAAATAAAACAACTTCTTACAGAAGCTAATATAGATGTTGCAAAGCATTACACAACAAACAAAAAAGCACTCGCTGACTTCATTAAAGACTACAATGGTGCAATAAGTTATGATAGAATTCATGAGTTCATAAAGCCGCAACGCGGCGAGGACGAAGTCCATGCAAGAGCATTTCCTTTAAATGACGTTGCTATTGACTTATATCATAGACGTTCAATACCTCATGAAGTAAGAAGAGAAATGTTTGACATAACAAATGCAAACGTTGGTCATACTCGTAAAGCTCTTTCACATGACGTTCGTCAAGAGATGTTTGACATAACAAATGCAAACGTTGGTGAAACAAGAAGAGCTGTACCACATGAAGTAAGAAGAGAAATGTTTGACATAACAAATGCAAACGTTGGTGAAACAAGAAGAGCTGTACCACATGAAGTAAGAAGAGAAATGTTTGACATAACAAATGCAAACGTTGGTGAAACACGAAAGAGAGATGACACACTGAAACAACAGAGAAGAGAGATGTTTAAAAGTGCTATAGAACAAGTTCGCAAAGCTAACGATGTCATTCGTTCCATTGACGACAAACCAAAAGAAGGTGAGAGATGGTTAAAGAAAGATGAAGAAAATAGGAAGAGGAATGTGAAGTCAGGCAATAGACTCATTGACTTTAACATCGAAGCTTTAGATGAACCAAACAGAGACTACTTACACAAACATTTCGGTAAGGTTTTCATGAGACTCTTAGAGAAAATTAAAATAAACTCCCAACAGAGATGGATGGTATGTTATAAACTTGGTGGAAAGTATGAATGTTCTACGTTAAACCTCAATAATATTGGAACATTACTACATCAGCTCTTGAAGGAGAACTTTATATCAGAGATAGAAGCAAATGCTGCAGGTATTGTTGAAATGCACTATGACTTCTTCTTGACAAACATAAAGAATCTTACCGAAATAAAGATGTATGATTTAACAGAATATGAAGGCTTAACGATGTCAGATGTAAAGAAAGGCAAACCAAAAAAGAGACCATATAGAGATGAAAGCACACTGACAGAAAGACAGAAAAGATTATTGAACAGACTTAAACAAACAGGAGATAAACAAGATATAGATGACTTCTGGAATGAAATCCTTGGTGAAAAGAAGTTTTATAAGAAGAGAAGCGGTCAGTTCTGGAAGTATCTTTGCATATTACCTATAAATCTTGAACGCTACCAAATCTTCAATGAACTGAACAAAAGAACTGCAACACTTATGACAGAGGACAATTGTTTCGTTTATGCTTGTATTCAGGCTGGAGTAAATGAAGAAACTATTGACCACATGAGAGAAGTCATTCGTGTTAGAGACTTTCCTCAAAGTAAAGTACAAGAAATTTCTGACGCAACTGGTATAGCATTCAATGTTACCATTGGTTATTTCAATGACTCAAGACATAATGAAATAAAGAGATATATACCAAAAGAATGCGAAACTGTTAGAACTATTGACTTACTTCTTGTTGAAGACCACTACATGCTAAATGAAAGACTTCCAATGACAACATATTTCATTCGAAACTATAAAGAAATCTTGAAGGAGTGTGGTGGAATGAACATTGAAAAACAGATGAAAATATATACAAAGAGAGAAGATAAATATGTAGTTCGTTATGATAGAACAACACCGTTATGGGATGTTATGAAAACATTGTGGGAGTGCAAATATTTTGAACCTATTTCTTATGGAGAACTTTTCACATATACGACTGACTTATATAAACAGAACCTTGCACCATTTAAAGATTTGACATATGCTCCAAAGTATTGTGTACAACTGAAGAAGAAAGCAGAGTCAAAAGAAGTAAATAAAGCTAAATGTAAATTCATTCCTGAGCACGTTTTCTTTGCTGACTTTGAGTGTAGTACGGATGGCTTTCATAAAGCTTTTAACATCTGTTATGACAGTGAAGATGGTTCAGTTAGTGAAAGTATTTGGGGTCAAAACTGTGCAACAGAATTTTTGGAAAGACTTCCTGACAAGAGTTTAATATATTTCCATAACCTCAGTTATGACATAAACTTCATCTTAAGACACATGACAGAAGTGAAAGGAACTCCCATCATTAAAGGTTCACGAACAATGCAAATAACTGGTTTATATAAAGGACGGGCAATTATTATAAAAGACTCTTACAGTGTTATAAATAAGAAGCTTAAACTATTTCCTGCTATGTTTAATTTACAAACTGGCCCGAAAGAAGTATTTCCATATAACTACTACAGCAGTGTTTTGTTAGCAAATGACAACAGAACTGGTGTCATTTCTGAAGCATGTAAGTTTATCCATGATGCAGATACATTTATGAAAAACATAGATTCCATCAAAGGTTGCAGAATAGATGAGAACCACTTCGACTTAGAAAAATATAGCACGTTTTACTGCAAACAAGATGTAAGAATTTTAAGAGAAGGTTTTGTAAAGTTCCGCAATGACTTATTGAAAGAGTTTGATTTAAACGTTTATGACTACGTTAGTATTTGTTCTATTGCTAACAAATTGTTTGAGAACAGAGTATACTTCCCGAATGGAAATCTTTATGACCTCTCAAATAAACCAAGAGAATTTATTTCGAGATGCATTCAAGGTGGAAGATGTATGTTGTCAGATAACATGAAACAAAAGAGCAAAAAGAAACTCATTGCTGACTTCGACACTGTTTCATTATATCCTTCAGCTATAGCAAGACTTTATACTTTAGAAGGTATTCCAAAAGTATTGAAGGAAGAAATGTTAAGCACAGAGTATCTCATGAGACATTTATTCGATGACGACCAAAAGGAACCCATTGGTGAAAAGTTTATGTCTGGCTTCTTTGTTCTCATTAAGATAACAGAGATTGGTATACCCAGACACTTTCATTTAATAGTTTGCGACCCTGAACTAAATCCAGAACTTAACGTTCCAAGAAGTTCAAACACTTGCTGTCTCATGTATGTTGACCATATAACATTACAAGACCTCATAAAATATCAAGGTGTCAAATGTGAAGTGTTGCAAGGATACTATTACGATGGAAACAGAGATATGAGAATAAGAGATGAAGTAAAGAAGTTGTTTGAGTTAAGGTTAAAGTATAAGAAAGAAGAAAACCCCTTACAAGAAATTATAAAACTCATTCTGAACAGCATTTATGGCAAAACTATTCTATCTCCTATTGAGTCAAAAATAACCATAGTAGATGACAAAGATGCTATAAGATATGCTATAAGAAATTACAACCATATAGTGAAGTTCGAAGGTTTGGATGGTTCAGATAAAACTATTTTCAAGCTAACGAAAAGCATTTGCAGACACTTTAACTTCTGTCCACTTGGTGTTAATATTCTGTCTATGTCAAAACGTATTATGAATGAAGTATTCTGTACTGCAGAGGACATGGGACTTCAAATATTTTACCAGGATACCGACAGTATGCACTTATATAATGAAGACATCCCAAAGCTTGCAGCAGAGTTTAAGAAGAGATACGGTAGAGAACTTATAGGAAAGAACCTTGGTCAATTTCATAGCGACTTTGCAGAAATAACACCTGGAAAACAAAGTTTAGCTTATAAAAGTATTTTCTGTGGAAAGAAGACCTACATAGACTTACTCACGAATGATTTAAATGAAGTTGCATTTCACTGCAGAATGAAAGGCGTGAAGCAAGATGTTATTGCTTTAACCGCTAATGAAATGTTTCCTGAAGCTATACAATGCTATTACAATGAAGATAAGAACATTCACATACCTGTTGGAACATATGACAAAGACTCTGAGTTCAGTTTAATGAAACTTTACAAAGCACTTTATGACGGTCAAGAGATTGCATTCGACTTATGTAAGTCATGTCAACCTTGCTTTGCTGAAAAGTTCAACTTTTCAATAACGACTAAAACAAGCTTTATTCGTAAGTTGAAGTTCTGAGGTCATTTATTTTTGTCAGCAATGAGGTCATGAATGAGGTCATGAATGAGGTCATTCGTGATAAAAATAAAGCTAGCGTAGATTTTACAATACTGCGATGGTAGAGTTTAAGAGTTGTGCTTCAATGTAGAGACAGTCCTTCCCATCTGGAGGTAAGAACACTGGGCACTTATGGTCATGAGTGGAGAACATGTCTATCCAAAACTCACGATTGAAGCCGGTTAATTTATAGTATTTAGGGTTAGGAAGTGGTGAAGTTCTTGTATGACCAATGAACTCATTTTCAACGCCTTTGGCTATATTAGAGTAAAGTATTGCTTGCTTTCTATCCCAAATGCCAGGTGTTACAATCTTTGAAAATTCATTTTTCCTCGGAAGCATTGCATCATAATTGAAAACATTCTTAAAATCATCACTTGGTTCGGAGATTTGAAATCTTATACGTAATGGATTTTCTTTCTTTTTAGCGACTTCATTGAATGGTGAGAATACAATGAATTGACAGTCATGAGTTCCATCTTCATTTTCATTAAATTCATAATGAAAGTCTATAAGTTGTGGCTGACTACCTTCTTCTTTCAGTTGTGCAAGAAACTCACGTAAAGGCTGTAAAGTTTGTACTTCAATGTTAAACTTTTTCTCGAACATCTCATTAAATGAAATCATACATTGCAACAATGTTGTATCGTCTTTAAAGTATTTGTATATGTGAATGTTTTGGGCGCTTAAAGACTGTTCGTCATTTTCTATCTCGACTTGAAGTATAAAGTCAACCTTTCTGAAAGCACGTGTTATATACATAGATGTTATGCCAATGTACTTCTCTTCATTTATGTTCACAATCCAGTCTGTTGGAAACTTAAACGTTACTCTGTTCCCCTTTATTTTGACGTCAGGGTTTTCACTACTGAACGCAACAGATAAAGGTATTTGTCTATACATTTAATTCGGATAAAAATAAACCATTTACTCTTTCTTTGCTTCAGCTTCTTTAGCTTTTTGTTCTTCCTTTTGCTTCTTCTCTAGCTTTTTTCGCCAGCAAACGTGGGTTCTTCTGTCTTCCAGCAGCTAATGCAGCAAGTTGTTTTTCACTAAGTTTTCTCTTTGGTCTCTCTGGCTTTTGTTCTTGTTTTTGTTCCTTCAGTTCGGATAAAATTTGCTCACGAATTTCTTTCTTCAATGCTTCAACATCTATGACCCCTTGGGTCTTGTCCGTAGGGCTTGTCTGAGTCATTTGACTGCAGATAAAAAACTAAATTAAAACTTTAACCGATGTAAAATGAGCTTGTCAAAATCAGAGCGAGAGTCTATTATATTAAATGACGCAAGAGGAATACAACATCCTTTCTATTACGTAAGTCAGAGTAAAGATGGTAAAATATACGTAAGAAAAAGAAAGGTTCCATTAGCGAATGCAGAGAGCGACAACATTAAGGTGCATGGCAAGGGTGAAGTCCACGAAGCCCATATAAAACCTTCTGTTCAAACTGAAAAGTCAATAGAACAGAAGAAAAGAAGCCAGATGTACTTTCAATAACGAACCAAGAGCTTATTGCAAAGTTCGTGAATTTCATTGAAAAACAAACCGAGTCAAAGAACCCTGACCCGCCAGTGAAAGAAGTTGAGACAAAAGAGAATGTACAGTTCATTGAAAATGTCAAGAAACAACTTCCACCACGAATGCCAAGAAGAAGAGTGAGAATAATGAAGTAAATAGATATTTTTATCTGAAGTAAATACATGCAGAACGAACAGTTAAACGAATTTACTCCAGCAGAGCATATTCATCAGATTCGCTCATATTTCGATATCATAGACAATGCAGTTCAAATTGGTGACACTAATAGAAAATATTCTGACGCAAAGATTCCATCACAACCTGGAACTGCTAAAGATAACACATGGGTAACATTCAATCTCTCACCTCCTGGTGAAAATATGTTGGACCTTTACAATACATTCATTACGTATAAAATGGAAGGTCAATTTATTGTAGATAAAGAAATTGGTTCAGGTTCCAATAAAACAAACCCACCAGGATTTTGGATTGGTTTCGATGACGCTTTCTATGCAGTTGCTGGATATCAAATCCTTGCAAATGGTCGTATCGTATATTCTCAAGACAACGCAAGAGAAGAAGCATATATAACTTCAAACTCACAAACTACCGAACAAATAAAGAAAGTAGATGTTTTCTCAAAGACTCGACATGAAGATGTATGGAGTCATTCGGGAACATGCAGAACAGGACAAATTGTTAGTGGTCCAATTACAGCAGGAAAATCATTTGATTTTAAGCTTCGTTTAAGAATTCCTGTTAGAAGATTCCTTCCATTAGAAGCTATTCGATTTATTCCAGCTTTTGCAGGAAACATTCAGCTTAAAGTAAAGTTCAGTAGCGACGCCTTACAATGCACATCTATATCTGTAAATGATATCATTGCTTTCAATCCAACTCTTAAAGTTGCATTTGCTTCAGATTCAAATCCACCGACAAATAAATTTGTTCCATGGAATGAACCATTCACTATGATAACGAAGGCAGTAGAAGCTAGTGGAACAGTTACTATTACAACTGTAACCCAGCAACTATTTCGAACAAAGATGGATTTTAATGAATGTTTCATTCATCCAAAGTCATTCTCTTTAGACCCTAACATTTATACAGAACTTGTAGAACATTATACAAACGAGGCTTTATGTTTTCCTGTTAAAGTTATGGATTGGATTCCTATGGACGGTTCATTCTCAAAGAATACAGATAGTTCAAGTGCAACATTTACAGCAGCTTATACGCCTATTAATGTTAAAAGTATTTGGGCACTATTTAGAAAGAAAGACAACTATTATGTTAATTTTGAGAACCCTAAGTTTAAATATCTTCAGCTTTCCATGGGAGCTTATGGAAATATGCCTGCAGAACCTGAAAAATCATATGGACCTGTATTTTATGAAATGGTTGCGAACGCTTGCAATACAAACAATGATATGATAGGATTTAATGAAGATGTTATGAGGTCATTGGTGGATGATGGTAGTGTGGAACATAAATGGGATAGCTATGACAACACACATTTCTTATGTGGTTTTCCAACAGAAGTGGACTTTTGCTTCCAGCAAGGTCAAACATCTACTGCTCCAATAACATACAAATTGTCTGTTAAAGGACCTATTGAACTAGCAACTGAAAATGTACCAAAGCCACTTATTGGATTTATGAGGGATTGTTGCTTTGCAATACAAGTAAGACAGTCAGGCATACCAATAATAAGACTTGACGACTATAACTTAGCACGGACGACAGTGAGGAATAAAGGATGAACGTTTATTTTTAAAGCTTATAAATGAGTTCTTCATCAAGCTCTCGTGAACCTTCACCATCTATGAAACAAACTTTACCAAACGATTATGGAGCACCTATTGAATATTTCTTACGAGCTGCACAATGGCAAAGAGCAGTCTCACCAAGGTTAGGTGTTCCACCAGCTCCTGTCAAAAATAGCATTTGGTCAAGTCCTTATATAAATATGGTCTCCCACTAGGTTTGCTAGCTACAGCAGGAGCAGTTATGATGTTGAAAAGAAATAAAGCAAATGTTATAAATAATACTGAAGTAGCTGAAGTTAAACAAACTCCAACACCTTCGCCAAAACCAACGCCTTCACAAGCAAACCTTCAATGACTCCTGAACCTATGGAAGTACAAACTCCTGTTCAAAAGTCAACTCCTAAACCGACTCCAACATTTAAACCAGAACCTACTCCTCAAATAAATCGTAAAACTCCTGCGTTTCCTTACTGAAAAAATAACGTTATTTTTATTTATTTGAAAATTTTTATTTGATTGAAATGACGACTAAAGTCACTGAAGCAATGAAACAAAAGTTTTTGGTAGAATACATTAAATCAGGAGCTTCCAGAAGGTTTTTACGTTCATACTATGAAGGATGGTAGAGTTCAGTTTAGAAAGATAAAGCAACCATTAGATAAAGAAGGAATTTTGAGAAAGATTAAACTTCATGAGGACAACATTGCTGAACTTAAGAAGAAGTTAGAAGAGTTGGAGAAAGGAAGAGAGTTATAAAGCAATGAATTCAACGGGTTAGAAAAGAAGGTAGGTGAAAAAAGAGGTTAGATCTACCCTTCACCTAAATTTATTTTTGCGCTATGTTTTCATACGTGTGAGGGTGGTGATATCATTAATTTTTTATTTATTTTATTATTTTACTGAAAATTTTTATTTGGATGTAAATGACAGAACAAAAGCAACTCATTCGAATTCCACAGTATAACAAACATACATTTAAACATTTATTCTTCCTTCCTGAGCATAACATGTTCTTTCAAATACATCCGAGACCAGTTGACTTTTCATTGACTGTTTATAAAGATAGAAATAGTTATATCATTAAACCATACGATGACGAAGGTAAGTTATGTAAATTGTACGTTAAGAAGTTAGAGAAAGTTTATGGCTTCAAGTATGACTACAATAGGGTTAACACTGATGATGAAGATATTGAGGAAAATTTATGAGAACATTAGTGAAGTTGTTAGTGAGAACGATAGTGAGAACGTTTATTTTTACATTAGTGAGTTCGTTAGTGAAGTGAAGTGGGTGGTGGTTTTGTAAATATTTAAGGTTAAGTTAGTGTTGTCGTTTGTGTTGTAAAATTTACGTTAACGGTTTTGTAAAGTGTCAAATTCACAAGTATTGGTTAAGGTGAAACGCAGTGCCACCATACCCAAGACTTGTATACTAACTATAGTAACATGACCACTATTTTGATGACTAAGAAATGTAATTCATCAAATTGGCAGTTCGATGAATGATACCATGCAATCAACAACTGGTTTGTTACAATTTGGCTTGATTCATCAAATTGGCGGTTTGATGAACCGAATATTGTAATCCAGACTAGGTCAGTTACAATTTGGCTTGATTCATCAAATTGGCGGTTTGATGAACCGAATATTGTAATCCAGACTAGGTCAGTTGCTTGTTGGTCATAGATAATAATGACACCTTTCAGTTTTTGTTAAACATCTCAATTATCCCGCCAAAAATTATTGGGTCTAAATTGGTTTTTATTATTATTATTTTCAGTGTAATAAACAGAAATTCATCAAAAGTGACAGCTCTCAATTTTTTGACATTTGTAAATTCTAAATTGAATGAGAAAAATGAAATAATACTAAGCATAATACAATATTCTAGATTTAATTATAATTAGGAAAAAGTTAGTTTTGAGAGTACTTTTCATAGGCATATAGAATGAAATCTTCTGAAAAATAATATCACATAAACTCATATTATTTTCTAATATATAACTATTTTATATAAAAATCAAATTCAATGATCTTAAAAGCGAAGGATAAACCTCAAAATTTACGAATATAATGAGTGGGAATATAATGCTTATCTATCATAAAACCATATGAAATATCAATTTTTGCTTTACGCCTAATTTTTGACGACAATTAGCAAAAAATGATATTTCATATGGTTTTATGATAGATAAGCATTATATTCCCACTCATTATATTCGTAAATTTTGAGGTTTATCCTTCGCTTTTAAGATCCTTGAATTTGATTTTTATATAAAATAGTTATATATTAGAAAATAATATGAGTTTATGTGATATTATTTTTCAGAAGATTTTGTGTTCTTCTTCAAAATTTTATTTTTTTATTAAAAAGAATCTTTACAAAATATACATTTACTTTAATTAATATTTAAAAACGTGCTCTATCAAAAGTTCCAAAAATTCAATATTTTAGCTTTTCTGAGGTGTCACTTTTGATGAATTTCTGTTTACAACATCAGAAACAAACTAACTTGTTTTTTAGGAATTTATCATTCATAAAGTCTTTATGATATATTTTCAACTAAGGGTTTCGTTTTGCTAAAATTGTCACTTTTATAGCATATTTGTTTTTGGATGTTTTGCGAAACCAAAAAAAAAACTATGATATACAATGTGTGTGTAAAGAAAATACTTTATTTACTAGTTAAAAAATCATTTGGTATTGATCAAGTTATTTTTTCTGGATAAGATATTATATGGATAATTGGATAGAAAATACAATTATATAATCTTGTACCTGGTTTAATTAAGCTAATTGTCATCAGAAACTTGTAATTTTTATGAATTTCAGATTTTCTTTTCATTACTGCTTTTCTTAATAGGTCAAGTTCTTATTTACGTTATAAAGTATGATATTTACAAATATCAAGTTATCATGTTTTTTGAGAAATTATGAGAAACAAACAAAAATGAAAAAGATAGGAATAGCAATGAATAGTGATGTGGGTATAGAAAATGTAAGAGATATGAATGCAAAGCAATCAGTATTTAGGATATTGACCATAGATTGGTAGTATTCATTTTCTATGCGATGGGGTACCAACCTATTTTTCAACATTTTTAACTGAAGAAATATAATCGTACATAAATGATCTAGCTATTCGTTACTAAACTTCATGAAACAATGTTGACCAAAAAATTTTTCGATGCAAAATGCAATTATCGTCTTTAAATATTTAAAACTATATAAATTTATAACTAATACATGATGTTTTCAATCTTTGTTTTTAATATTTATGAATATTTCAGTTTGATTTTTATATGTGTATTTCCATTTGTGTCTACTGCACATAAATACAACATTACAGAAACAAATCACCCCTGTCTTTCTTATTTTGCGAGGTTATAGTATTCAACAAATTGAGAACAATAATTTTCCATTATTAGCCTTAATTTATAGATTTATCCATTTAAACAATAAGTTTTATCATAATTTAGATATATAATTCTGCTTATTACAGATATTTTCAGTTTTGGAAACAGATTTGATGCACCACAGATAAAATTCAATAAAAACAAATTGCACACCATACGTAATTGGCTATTCTTGATTAGGTTAGCCAATGCTATAGTTCTATCTTTAAATTAAGAGTTTTTTAAAATTTATTTCTTGCAAACACCTAATATACGTACTTCTTTGATAGTGATATCAATGATTGTATCCAGTCATAAAATATTTATAAAAAAAGAAACACAATGCTAAAAAAATTACCCAATGTTTGAATAAATAATCTTATTTCTCGAGTAAACATTATTGTTTTAAAGGTAATACACCAATCAATCATATATGACAATGCATTGACTTTGAAAGTGCATTAGAAACCCCTAAATCTCTCTCATTATGATGAATGATTTATAAAAAAGTGACAATTTTGTAAAAAAATGGATCGAAAACAAATTGGAACACCTACTTATTTGTATTATTGTGGTACATTTCAGTTACTCAATACCACATCAATAGGTAACTTTAGTACACCAATTTTGCAGTGTTTAGAAGATGCTTCATTATCAATTTACGACATTGACTACGTAAGTTCAAATGGAAACTACACATGTGTTGATCTTAAGAGTCATAAAGCATATTGGTGGAGCACTTGCAGAGAAAAACGAGATGCTTCAAGTTATCATTTCTTGGATAACAACAATAAAATAGTTATAGGAACAAACGGATTATTAGATTTGAAGGTAGATGGAACTGTCAACTTCATTTCATTATCAAATACCCAATTAGCAATAGATTCTTCAATAAAATATCTCGATGCCTTCGCAAACAGTCATAAATATGCCCTAATTGATACAGAAAAGAAAATACATATATACTTTGAGAACAAAAACATCATCCATTATCCAGTTACCACTGAAGAACCAAAAATTATTTGTTTAACAGAGAATACAACAGGAATTTTGTTCAAAAACTATACATTCCAGATAAAAGCAGATAATTCCGATAAGCAATTTGAGTTTAAAGATATCATTCACGTTGCATCATCTGAAGATCGATATGTTGTCGTCACAACAAAGTCATTAGTATACGAAATATACGAAAATGGTACTAAGAAACAGATTTTTGGCTTCCAAGGTACCCCAATTTCTGCATTTTGCGGAACAAAGCATTATGGAGTGATTACATACCAAGGAGATGCATTTTTATGGGGATGGGGCTTGTCAGGACAACTAGGAAATGGTGTCTGCATGAATCGCGACCATCCTGTCAAAGCAAAGTTTGATGATTCTCTTAGAATTGTTGCAGCTGACGGAGGAGCAGAAAATACTGTTTTCCTGGCTGTGAAAGAGATGTCATTCACTCCGATGTTGCCAGAAATCATGCAATCTTCTCCATTTATCCAAACAATCCGAACAACAATGAATATAGAGGGATTAATGAATCCAGATAATAAAGATGTTAAATTTTAGATTTGTTTTAATAATAAAACCTTGTTTACTATTCATTATGATTTTAATTCTTTTTTGTTTCCATTAATATATGATATTTCGTTTCATTAACTTTTATAAAGGATAAATTATTCTAGTTCGTTTGCAAAACATAAATATTATTATAAAATATTTTTATTAAATTCATAACAAACACATAAATATTTTATTCATTAAAGAAAACACGACCAGCCTTTTGATTGAGGCGGTTATATTCTTCTTTTAGTTGCTCTTGTTTCTTGATTAATCTTGCTGTATCTGCTTGAACACGAGCTCTCTCATTAAGAATCATTTCCATCTGCAAATAAAGCTTAACATACTTGTTTTCAAGTAGTTGTTTGACTGTTGGACGCTCTTGAGGCTTTTTCATCATCATAGACTGAATAACCTCGAAAAGGTCGTCACTGTACATAGCAGGAATTCTTCTAAGTGGACCAGTTTGTATCAATTGCGTGATTACTTCATTTGATCCATTAAAAGGCAAGTGGAGATCTGCTAATTCAAATAAAACGCAGCCAAGTGCCCAAATGTCACTCTTCTCATCATATGGTTGATGGCTAATGAGTTCTGGTGACATATATGGGGGAGTTCCTGCGTAAGTACTAGCTGCACCATCTTCAATTTCTCTTGCAAGTCCGAAATCTCCGAGCTTTACATGGCCATTGCCAGAAATGAAAATATTTCCAGGTTTGATATCTCTATGTATCATCTTTGGATGGCATGAATCTAATGCGATACACATATCTGTTAAGACTTGCCATATAGCTGATTCAGGAATCCTATCATTATCTGCACGCGTTTTCCTAATAAGCTGCTGAAGATCTCCTTTTTCGCAATATTCCATAACTATGTACATGAGTTTCTTCTCTCTAACTACAATTCTGTCGTAGTATCCAACAACATGTTCATTTTGAATATTTCTTAAAGCGTTTACTTCATTGATTAGCATTTGTTTTTTCTTATTATCCATTTGGCTATAGCTTATTTCTTTAATAGCAACCACCTTTTGATCTGATTTTCGTATTGCTTTACATACACTACCAAATGACCCTTGGCCAAGCCTCTCTATTATTTCATACTTATCAAGCATTTTTAATTTATAAACGTACACAATTTATAAAATCCAAAATGGTTGAATGAATATCTTCTTTATTTGATTTGGGGCCAAATTAACAAAACATTTTTAACGAATTTCTACAAAATGGAATTAATTTTTCCAACTTTCCTAATGTTAAAGATAGCTTGATCTCACATTCAAATCTGTGATGATAAAACACATATTATTTGTCGCAGATGATTTCTTAAAAGATTTTATTCAATTCTGTTTACAAAAAGAGCTTGGCGGCAAGACTATGAGATATAAAACATATATAGAAAATTTCTGTAATAAACATTTCAATTTACTATAAAAATATAAAAATAATAATAAAAAATAACAAAAGAAAATAAATTATTTTTGTGCTTTGAGTTCATTGAGTCTTTCCTGGAACATCATCATGCACTGAATGGCTTCATTAGTTCCAATTGCGATAAATATCGGAAAAGCGGTTTTAAGTTTTTCAGAATCGTTTTTCCATTCGACCAAGGCCAAAATGGAAAGTTTTGTGAGGATTCCATCCGACGGAGTGCCTTCGAAAATTGACATCATGAAATCAACGGCTTCTCCGAACAATTTTCCTTCTTTCATCATAGTCCTGCATTTTTCTAAAGTCTGAGGAAGTTTTGATTGCTTTGCCAACTCATTCATATTAATATTATCGATATAACATAGTTTACAGAGCTGTTTTACAGCCTTTTCTGTATCAGTAAGTAATCCACCTGTCTGCGCAATGCCAAGTTCTATTGCTTGATTACCGAGTTGTCGTAATTCCTTTTTTTGAAGGAGGAAACCAACAGAAGTAAGAGTTTTAGAAAACTCATTGATTAGTTTGTAGGATTCTGTAAGTGATGTTGTTGGCGTATGTGGTTCTTCTCGTTCAATAAGAGTTATCGACTTATTTCCGAGAGTTTTGATGACAACATTGCAGTTTTGATTGTTCAGAACGCTTAACAGATTGTTGGAAAGGAAGTTAACAATGTAGAAAACGAAGTCTCGTTCTAAACTAAAATGAAGCAAAGTTCTGTAAACAGTTTTGAACTTTTCATCGGATGGAAATGTAAGAGATCTTTCTTTCGAAATTAAAATATCGTTGAATAATAGTCTTAGCTTTTGAGCGGAATCATTTTTGACATTTTCTAGTGCTTTTTCTTGTTTAATAGTAGGAGCAATACGTTCAAGCTGTCTCATATTATCTAATATCGATTTGTAGTCTTTTCTAGCAAACGAATCTTCCAATTTTGAGTGAAAATCTACAAATTCTTGAATTTTCTGTATAACAATTGACTTCTTTTTCTGAATTTCAAGTTCGTTGCTTAATCTCTTCTCTTCTGCACTGAGATTAGCTGTTTTACTTCCATTCTCTTTGAGATTTTTCTCTTCATTTTTCAGATTTGCTTCTAACTTTGAGCATTGCTGAAGAAGATCAACTAATTTTTTAGCCGCTATATTGAGTTCTTTTTGTTGCCTTTCAACAGCCGGAGGAATTTTCTTTTGTTCGATATTTTCCTCCATTTTTTATAACAATTAAAATTCAGGGTTTATAACAAATTTATTTAGGGGAATTAAAATTAGTATAAAAAGCACTTTCACGTAAAAGATGATAACAAACAAAGATATTTCTAAAACAAATAAGCTTTTGCAAGTTATCATCCGTGCTCTTGATGGTGCTGATACTAATTTAAAGCCGATTTTAGACTTAGTAGGAGAATCTAACACGGATTCACTGATTCCTTGCTATTCATATCTATGCAATTGGATATCATCTAGCTTCGGTGTTGAAATCGATCAAAAGGTCTTAAAGAAACAACAAATTGTTTATTTCACAATGAACCAGATTCTCGAGAAGATACCTCCCGTTCTAATGCTTTCCGGCATGGCTGATATAAATACCACATTTCAATACTTTGCTTTCTTCGCAAACTCGTCAACGGTTATGTATGAAAAAAGAATCTTGCAGCTTTACAATCAGATTGTTTCATTCTACTCAAATTACTTTCTGTACAGGAATCCTTCAATTTTAAGCTCAGACGACCAAACAATTATCTCAAAAATGCCAATTTTACTCGATGATTACGAGCATAATCATAAATTTCAAGAATTAATGCGTAGTCATTTCAAAAGAATGATATATGGTAAGTATCCCATTGCCTCATTCAAGAGATATCTTTCTAGACAAAATGCAAAAATTATTTTAACGCAAACAATAATAGAATGCATCAGAGAACTGAATTATTCTCGAACAGCAACGCATTACGAACTATTACATTCATTTTCTATCATATTTTTATATATTCATGCATTTGTTACAGCAAGATACATAGATGGACAGACAATTTGTGATTATTTACGATCTAGACCATTTCTATCACCATTCTGTCTTCTTGCAATTGCAAATCACATTCCACAAGTTTTTTATTTATTTAATTTGCTTATTCCTCAAGAACTTGCAACAGGAACATACCCAATGGAAGAAGCCGAAAAGATCATAATTAAAAACTATCCAATGGTCGATAATTCCAATGATAATACTTTAGATGATTTGATTGAACAAATTCCTCACATATTATTAGTATATTTCTTAAACATACAGTTCCCAACAGAGAACTTAAATGACCATCCAGATGAAAGCGAGCTTATTTCTATGCTGAGAACTTCAGGGTCCGCAATTTACGATAAAATGAAAATCCTCATTCATTATGCAAATGTTGGGGGAGTGACACCCCCTGTTATATCGGCACTCAGTTCTCAATTATTGAGTTGTATAACCCTATCGTTCCAACGAACATTTATTGAATGCTTTACATCGGGCATGTTTACATACAAGTTATCTTTGTTTTTCAAGAACGTTCTGGAGATTGTGCTGCCTTCCCTCGGTGACCAGATCATCTACAGGTTCTACGACTTGACAAAAACCGATTCTCAGAACGGAGATATCATTATAAGAGGCGCATTGTCGTTTACAATGGCTGATTTGTATAATTACGTAGATCCATCGTTGATTGTATCATTTTGCTTGCAAGGGATTGGTGAAAAAGAGCTTTCTTCCCCTGTAAGATTGTTTTTGGCGAATTTTCTGAAATCTGGACCACCAATCCTCAAAAATGGTATTGAGGAATTGCTCCAGAAGTGTAATGACATCTTTATCATACTAGATTACATTCATTCTATTGAAACTGAGAATAATTGTAACAGAGCTGACGAATCTGAGAAAATTTTAAGTATAAGACGGTCTTTAATCAAAAAATTACCTTTTATATGCGATGGATTTCCGCTTGTTATCACTGGAGTTTCGCCATCTAAAGCGGAATCTCCACTTTCTTCAAAAATTGTGCAACTTCTGTCGTCTGTGTTCAATAACCCGACACCAACAGAGTTGATAAACCAGCTGAGACTCGCAGGAACCAATGGTGGGCTCCTGCTTCGCGTAGTTGCGTCATCAAATTTAATTCAACACGCAAACATCGCAAATGCAGCTGTAGATTACACGTGTGAGGTATTTAATGTAAATAATGAAGGTAATTCGTCGTCATTAGACGCTTTCTTTATCTCATCTCCAACATTGCATCTTCCCATTGCCCAAATTTTGCTAGAATCACTTATAAGGATCGGCTTCGAAGACCAAGCACTCCGGCTGCTCCACGTGATCACTCCGACCCTCCAGAAGGATTTAATGCCCTTACACTGGCTGATTCGAATTTTGCCAAATATCTCTCAATTTTTGTCTCAAAGATCTTGCGTTACTTTTGCGTCAATTGTTGAGGGATTAAATAATGTAAGAGACTTGCCGAAAGGAAATTCAAGAACAAGGACGATTATTGAAGGAATGGTAAATTCTCTAAATTCAACCATCGTAGATGACTTCCAATCCAGTGGAGAGTTCAGAAATAAGTATGAATTGATGCACGCTATTGGTGTTTGCTCGTTTATACTTAATAGAACTGGAAAAGAAATTGATGAATTAATTTCACCGGTTAAAGACCTACTTTCCTTCTGGCCGAATAGACTGGCATGCATATCTTGCAGCTCTGAGCTTGCTTGCAGCTTATCTAATGACATGGCGTTTGAATATTTCACAAAAGTATTTGATTTGCCAGACAGTGAGTTTTCTCAAGCTGCAATACAGTCATTCTTAATACATGCACCATTGAGTACATTCATGAAGATTGTTTCTTCAACAAAAGAGATAATTGGAGGAAATCTTCAAAAATTAAAGAGATTGATGCCAAATATTATACCTTGCTTCATGAGATTCGAAGGTGCACCTGATATGACTACTAAAATGCTCTGTGGATTGATAGAATCCGTGAAATCAGAAACCCCAACTGATATAATCGAACAATTGATTGATATTGTTATCTGGATGTATCTCACTTTGAGATTGCAGAAGTTTAGAACTGTATTAATCAATTCTTCATCAAGTTTACCTCCGAAATACAGAATCATTGTTGCATCTTCAGTTGTTGTTGATGGATATCTTAAAAATGAGTCAATGAACAAGAAAGATATTCCAAATGATGACGATGCACCTCCTGGACTCTTCTCTTGGAAAGAGAATTAATTTTTATTTTTGTTTTTATTTGTTTTTTTGTTTTTATCATGCAAATATAGATTTTTTTGTGATTTTTAAATAGATTTCTTTAATAACATATCTAACTGTTTAAATATGATCTCTAGACTAAGTAATTCTGCCTATATGAATCCAGAAATTGAATATCAAGAGAGATTTTTGATAATCATTACCTCAGTAGTTGTGAACAATGATAATATATTTTGTTAGAAGTATTGTATTGTACAATAGAGTAATTATCTGTATTGAATCTATAATGAATATATGTTTTTTTGTGCTTTCATTAATGATCAGATTCATCTGTATGATATGTTATTCTGTTTTGTTGTTTCAAGATACATGTTGTGGATTCATATTGTGTTCAGGTGAATGAAATGCAACTTTAACCTACCAATATTTCATATTCAAAATGATTCATGAAAAATAGAATATCAATTTAAATAATTAGGAGTTATAATAACATCTTTGTTTACATAACATAAAAAATATAAATAAACACATAAAAATATTATTAATTAAATAAGACAGAAATCTTCTTTGATAGTTTCTTTGGCAATGATTCACATTCTTCCTTCGTGAAATGAATCTTTTCATGAATAAGATTACGATGGTTTGGTAAATGATCAAATAAGAAAATGATTCTCTTCAATTCGTGATTGAATCCTTTTTCTGAAGGTTTCTTTGTTGTTTCACAACTGTTTATCAATGATTTGATCTGTTCATCATTCATTTTCTCCAAACAAAATTCGTAAAACATTTTTTCTTTTGGAAAATCGAAATCAGTTTTCGGCAACAAATTCAAAGTCAAATTGATGAAAGCGTTTGTGTAACTGAACATCAAAGCAATGCTAAACAAAGAGCAGTCATCAATGTAATCATCAACATCATCACATTTGTCATAACAATTCATGAATTCAGTGAAAACTTCTTCATCAGAAAGAGATTTTTTGTCAAAACAATGATATAATAACAAAGAAATCGAAGCAAATTCATCAATGTTTTTCATGTAATCAACAAACTTTTGGAATGAAGATAAGAAAGGAATAAACAATAATTGTTCTGATTCATTCAAATCCAACAAAATATGCTTCAAAGCTTTGCAATTAACTTCGATTTCCGATGGCAAAATGAAATATTTCAAAACTTTTTTGGCAGAAGAAATCAAAGTTGATTGGAAATCTTCATCAAAATCATCATATCTATTGAATGCATTGATAAGACACATCTGTCCATTAATCTTCTCTTTGTCTGTCATATCAATTCCTGAAATAATTTCGTCAATCAATTTGAAACGCCAAATATTTGAAGAATTGATTTCATCGAACAAATAAACAAAGAAAATTTCTCTTGAAATATTAAAGATTTCTTTCATTGTTTCAACGAAATCTTCTTTTGAAAAATCATTAATATCTAAACATTTCTTAATTTCACTTTGTGTTTGTTCATCTTTATAAACAGAAAGAGATTTAAGTATGTGTAATTTTTGTTTCTTTGTTATTTTTGTTTTGTTTAAATTAGAAATGAAATTAATGATTGTTTTGTTTGGAGAAACATCAGAAATAGATTGATTAAATTGATCAAAGAAAATATCTGTGTAGTTTTCTAGTACAAATTGGCTTTCTTTTTCAATCTTTTTAATGAAAGACTGATACAATAATTGTTGTGGTAACAATTGACAGAAATTTGAACAAATTTGATTAAATTCCAAATGATTTGATAACAAATAATCCAAAACTAAAATGTGTGAATTCTTTGCAATGTCTGGATACAATTCCTTATGATTTTCTAACATAGTGAAGTATTCTTTTGTATCAATTGTCTCATTCTTTAGTGCTTGTTTCATCTTTTCTTCATCAGTTTCTGTCAACAAAAGAGAAACAAAATCTAAACTTGAAACAAACTTTTCATCATTTTTAGAACTTGCAACATTCGATTTCTTTTCTTCATTTTGATCTTTTTCATTAATTTTAGTTTGTTTATTTTCATCATTTTCATGATTTTGTTTTTCATCAGATTTAATCTCTTCATTATGAACTTTTTCATCATTTTCTTTAGTTTGATTTTCTACTTTTTCATTAGATTTATCTTGTTTTTCTTCATTTTGATTTTGTTTTTCATCAGATTTAATCTCTTCATTATGAACTTTTTCTTCATTTTCTTTAGTTTGATTTTCATTAAATTTATCTTCATCATTTTCTTGAGAATGTTTTTCTTCATTTTGTTTAGATGTTTCTTGGTTGATGTTTTTCATGTTTTCTTCAATTTTTGCAACAACTTTCATTAGTTTCTCGAATTGTTCGTAGTTCTTCTGGTTCAGTTGAACTCTTGGTTCAATGATGTGAAGAACTTTTATTCCTCCTTCATCAAGAGAATCTTTCAACATCTGTATGCAGAGAAACAGTTCTTGAGTTTCAACGTTCTTTATGTAACTATCTGATTGTTTCTTGTCATATATAATTGCGCTGAAATTCAGAAGAAACAGAATCCATTTTTCTTCAATCGCAATTTTGATGTTTTCTTTTGATTTCGACAAGAAAATGTTCATTACAATGAAAGGAGATGAAACATTTCTATACGATTTCAGTATTTTCTGTGCGTTCTTAAAGAATGCATTGAAGAAATTCAATGAATAAGGGGATTCGCATCGATACATCGAATTAGAAATGATTGTTGTGAAAACTGTTTTTGATTCAACAGATCCAAGCGCAAAAACATCCATAACTACTTGCAAATTGTCATTAATTCGCTTCATAATAACTTCGTACTTCTCTTCCATGACTTTTGCCATGATTTTCTTAGATAATAAATGATATCTTTTGGAATGCGACAAAATTCTGAAGAAATACATGAAGAAATCATCTCTAGTCAATATTCTTAATGATACAGAAATGAAAGGTTCAGAAAAAGCTAAAATAATCTTCTGATAATAAGTATTATCTTTTTCAACTTGTTCAAGAAGCTTTGGAGGACATACAAGGAGCGGATCTTTAAGTTCTACATCATTTCTAACATAAAATAATAAGTACGCACTTGTTCTTTGCTTTGGATTTCCAATTGTCAAATTATCAAATTCTTTTTGAGAGATTTTAGTGACAATATTGTCATTAAACTTATACCAATCACCATTATATTTGATGATTGATAAGTAATGGCCGCCTGTTGCGGTTCCATTATGAATTACAACTCCATGAATTTTGTATTTAGTATTTTCAACACCAATAGAGCATTTACTGATGTCTACTTCAGAAGGGAAATAAAAGGCATCATTAATTTTCATTTCTGTCTTCTTCTTTTTGTCATAATAAAATCTCATCAACTGAAAAACCAAAATTTGAGGGGATTCTGATATAAATGTTGACTTCTCAGCATCAATCATTCTATTTAGATTCTCATCGAAGTATTGGTTGTTTCCTTCTAATTTTTCTGGCATCGAATAATTTTCTAAAACTTCATTCAACGAATTATTGTTTTTAACAGGTATATTCAAGCCATAGAAGTTTTGAAATTCCTTTTTACTAACATTTAATTCTTTGTTTGATATCGTACTCACTGTAGATCCACAAAAAATTGAAGATGCATCAAAATTGTCACTTTTTTGTAAAAAATATTGGAAAAACTCGAAAGCATCTTGTTGGGCATGTATGTTTATCTTTGTACCATCACGCCATACGAATTTCTTTATAAATTCTTCAGGAGTAACTACAGGAAAGCTCGTAAAAGCCATTGAATAGAAGATGTTCTGAAGTTCTTTATATCCTTGATTTGAATTCGCATTTTCTAAGAATGGTTTGAGAAAAATAGGGAGAGAGTAAAGTTGCTGTAGTATAGAATTCATGTAGCACGTGTTTCCTAGATTGAGTAGACCTGGATGATGATCAATACACAGCTCTGGATCGAAATCATAATTTGCAACTGGTAAATTTATGATTGTTTTGAAGTAATTACGAAGCATTGGTTGTGATTTCTTGTAAGAATAAATAAGGATGGATCGTTGACAATCTGGATCGGGTATTTTGTGAGTAATCGAAATTAATAATTCTAAAAAAGTATCATTTAGTTGATATTTCTGTATTATTTCGAATATTTTGTTTGCATTCTTGCCAGCTAGCGGTAGAATACATATGGTTTGCAGTAGAAACGACCCTTCACATGTTTCGGAATCACTTTCTAAATCTATTTCTGCTAATTCCTTCAGTGCAGCATTCCCCTCTCTAGTGGTTTCGGAAAAATATGACTTAATTACATCTAAATCACTAGAGAATTTCTGCATAAATAGATAAAAATTTAGGGGATTTCACTTTGAAATATTGCGGGTCCAAATTTTATTTCATATTTTCAAATTTGGGTAAATTCTTCAACATTGAGAAAACAGAGGTTCTTGGGGAGGTTATTATATGTTGTAGAAAATTATGACAAACACAAATTGAATTGAGAAAATATTTTATACAAGAAGCGATGACAGTTACTGCTATCTAGATTTGAAGCGACAAAACTTATGATACTGCATCATAAATAGCATAAGTCAACATTTTTCTCATCAAACATAATCATATCAGAAACAGCACATTTTTACATGATTCTTATTATTTAAAATACAAATAAAAATTAATGCTAGTTGTATTTTTTAGATTTGAATCATATTTTTAAATTGAAATTGGAAAAATCAGGGAATATTGTGGGTAATTTTGCATAATATAGCATGCTAAGATCGGTCAACTCGATTATATTATAAAATAACCATTTATGCCAAGGCAAACGTATAAAACACTTGGCGCCTTTTTTTGGCGGTAACTGACCAATCATCTCGATTTTTCTCAAAAATATTAATATACTCATGATAAGTATCAAATTATTTTTAATTCAAACATATAAAAATGTCAGAAATTCTTGGCGCCACCCATTCAAATTTTAGCGCAATATCTTTCTCAATTTTTGGCGCAAATATTTTTATCTCATTTTCTCAATGCAAGCAGGAAGAATTGAGGTAATAGTTGGCCCAATGTTCGCTGGCAAGACAACAGAGATGCTCCGTCGCATTAATCGTGCAGAGCATGGACATAGACGTGTTGTTGTCATGAAATATGACAAAGATCAACGCTATTCAGTTAACAAAGTTTCAACACATGATGAATACATGCATGATGCTATACCATGCAATATGCTTCTGCCACATTTAGAAGAATGCCTTGGCTACGAAGTCATTGGTGTTGATGAAGGTCAATTCTTCCCAGATGTTGTTGAATTCTCCGAGAAACTTGCAAACTTCGGAAGAACAGTAATAGTTGCTGCTCTTGATGGTACATTCCAGCGTAAACCTTTTGGAAAGGTTCTCGATTTAATGTCAAAATGCGAATCCATTACAAAGCTTTCTGCTGTTTGCAGTCAAACAGGTTCTGAAGCTGCTTTCAGTAAGCGTATTGTTAATTCTACAGATGTTGAATTGATTGGTGGTTCTGAATCCTATGTTGCAGCCTCAAGAGCAGCTTTCTTTGGAATTCAAACATCTGGTATGATTAATCTCACAGTAGGCCCAATCAAAAGTGGAAAAACAACAGAATTGCTTCGTGTATTGAACCGTTATCTTATTGCTGGAAGGAAAGCAATATGTTTACGTCCAGAAAGTGCTCATGATTTCCATAAGTCAAATGTTGAGATTAAGTTCATCCAAAATCTTCCAAGTATTGAAGAATTGAATCAATATGATATTATTGGAATTGACGAAGCTCAGAATTTCGAGAATATTGCTGACTGGGCAGATGAACTTGCAAATAGTGGCAAAGTTGTCATGGTTTCAGCTGTTGATGGCAATGAAAATCATGTTGCCTATCCAAGTATTGTTGAATTATTCCCAAGATGCGAAAAAGTCACCAAACTCGATTCTATTTGTCCACTTACAGGCCTTCCAGCTCCATTTACAGCAGTTGTTGATGGTTTGAAGTTCATTCCAATTTCTCGTCTCGGAATTCTCTACAGAGCTTCAATGGGTCATGTCCTCAACTCAACTAGTACGAATTGATCCTAATTGTTTCTTTCTATTTTATTATTATTAATATTATTTAATAAATATTCTAAATTCAAAATAATACTATCAAAATTATTGAATGTAATTCCAAGACTGAACCACTTATTTCCATAATTCATTGATGATATTTCAAAATTGGAAATAATAATATTCATATTTTTATAAGCTAGTTCAAACTAAACTTTCGATATGTCAGCGCAGTTACTTAGGCAAAAATTGATCCTTCTGTTCGTATCCAATTCTTCGTTTTCATTCCGAATGGTAAATCTATTCGAAATTGCATTTCTAAATCTAATTTTGCTAATCCAATTTTTCATAATTGAATTTTTACATTTTGACATGCTTATTCGTAGCTTAAATTAATAATACTTCTGTCAAAACCGAGATTTAATTGAAAAAGCTATGATTTGTACGGTTTTTATTAGGGCAAACCCAAATTTTAGCTAAAAGTGACAGAAAAAAAACGTTTAGTATTAAAAAAAAGACCGATGAGAGCTTCGTTCGAAATATAGAGGGAACTGAGAATGCGCAACCATTCTCAGGGAATATTGGATGCTATTCCCGTTCCCTCTGTATGGAAAATTGAGGTTTTCAAAGGGAGTTAAAATAATATCAAATTTATACTAATTTACTTCAAAATACAAAAGTATTTGACAGCTAAAATTAGTTACTTTAGCAAGCCTATCAATACCCTTTTACGATTATTGCTACTTTTTCGAAATAAAAGTAAAAACAAATTTATACTAATTTACTTCAAAATACAAAAGTATTTGACAGCTAAAATTAGTTACTTTAGCAAGCCTATCAATACCCTTTTACGATTATTGCTACTTTTTCGAAATAAAATAAATTTATTATCAAAAACCTTTTTTTTCTTAGTAAAAATAAACGAAATTTTTTACCTTATGAACTTTTGATGGAAATATGCAAATTTAAAATAATAAAGAAAGCCGCGAGCGAAGCGATCGGCTTAGTTCGAAGATTTGATTCAAATCTTTGCTGATCTGTAATTCGCGGAAGCCGCGAGCGAATCGAGCGGCTTAGGTCTAAGATTTTGATTCAAATCTTTGCTTATATTCCTTAAATTCTTTATGAAACTCGCAACAGTTCCATAAAAAATTTTAAATTCTAAACTGTCGAAATTACCTATCGGTAATCACACCCTTCATGGGTGTGTCACTTTTTCCAAGCGTGTCACTTTTAGCTAAAATTACCCCTACTCCTGGCCAAATTGAAATAACTACAGAGCATATGGTAACAGTAAAGTTTACATATGCAATCTTTCCATCTACTTGTACTAACATTCTAGTGACAAATACAAGAAATTATACAATGAAAGTGCAAAAAGGTGGATTAAATGATACTTCTAACCTTTGTTTCTTTGCAGGAACTTATGGATCATATACTTATAAAGCATCTTATGATTTATCCGATGATGATTTGCTTCATATTGTCAGAAATGATAATGTTCCAAGAAACTACTATGGAAACAATAGATTCCATGGAACATCATCAAAAGATGATCCTGTAATCTTCACATTAAATTCAAATAATTCAACTCTTAATTCAGATGTTAACATTTCAGTTTACAGCGAAGATATAATTCCGGATACAAACATAACAGTAGAATTGAATTCATCCAATTATTCATTCCTAGTTGGACAATATCTTGATGATTTCCCTCCAGCAGAAGTTGATGATAAGTACAGTGATATAGTTTCAATATGCCTAATTGTTATATTTGTATTAACTTCAATAGGCTGCTTAATTTATAGAATCGTCTCATATTTGCGGAAGAAGAAACTCAGAAAGCAGCTTGCAATAGAAAGGATGAATGCTCCTAAGAAGAAGTATAAGAAAATTTTCAGAGAAAAACGTCATTCAAAGAAAAATAATCTTGAAGAGCTGGATTATATATTAAATAATGAAGATGATGAAACTTCAAAAGATAATGCTGTAGCAGAAGCATGAAATATGTTTTATCAGTCTAAAAATAGTCTATATGTTTAATATTTTTAATTTGTGGTGTAATTTTAGCATGTATTGTATTGTAATGTTATTACATTCTGTTTGATTAGTAGTTTGGTTAATAAAAATTGTTCAATTATGTTAAATGAAATTATTTATTGATCAAAAAATGTATTCAATAATTTTTGAAGCAATAGAACTCATAATGAGTGATATCTATAGTAAATCCATGGTGGAACAATGCTTAAGAAGACTAATTATTAGAAGAACCAAAATACTTACAAAAGATAACTACTTTGATTTTGGATACTATCAAATTACATGTAAGTGGCAACAAATATTGACACGATATTTGCTCGGGCTAAACACACAGTTAAAACTACCAAAAATTTGACAGCAAAATTTTCCTATTCAAAAAAATGAAGGGATCAGTGTTCGGGCATTTTTTTCAAAATTATTTTTTTAGTCAATGTCAAATGAAATTTCTGCAGCTGATTCCCGAATTTTATCCTTCATCATGAAGCCAGGTGACTATCCTGACTTCATTCCAGTGACTGCAGTGCAAGTAAATAATCCAAGTTCACCAAATAAAAGAATTTCAGATACAAGTTCATTTCCAAGCGAAGTCGTTGATGTATATGCTGTATTAGATGTCGAAGATACGAATGGTGCTAAAGGAAAGCCATACAGTCCACCGTCAATTATAAAATTAGCAAATTTAACAAACAAAGGCATCAATTTTGTCTCAGGCAATCAATCAACCATATGTGCAATCTCCAGTTCCAACAAAATTTTAACCTCATCAACAAATGTCGAAGATAATCGTTCAGCTCATGTAAATTTCCACAAAGAACCATCATTAAAGGATTACGTATACTACACGGCATGTGGCATGAACCATACGATCACATTAGCCGTAAGACATGACACTGCTTCGCCCGTAGTTTACGCAACAGGTTCAAATTCAGAAGGCCAGCTTGGTTTCAAAGGCGAAGACCTCGTAACATACCAGAAAGAAGTTTCCTTCCCATGCCAAACCCCTTGTTTCATACAAGCCGCTTGCGGAAACAATTTTACATTATTATTAACTGATACATGCGATGTCTGGGCATTTGGCCACAACCATCACGGCCAACTTGGTCTGCGAACCCAGCAACAGAAGATCTTCTACCCACAGCTCGTTTCCTGCCTCCAAGGACTCCCAATTACCTCAATTGCCGCTGGTCTCGGCCATTCCCTCGCTCTTACAAGCACAGGACTAGTATACGCTGCTGGTCGAAACGATAAAGGGCAATTAGGTTCCCCTTCCGCTTCAATTGACACTTTTATTCCTGTTGAATCATTAAGTTGTGTTTTTATTGTACACATTGCAGCTTGCCAGAACACAAGTGCTGCCATTGATGAGTTCGGCACTGTTTATTTATGGGGAGACCAATGGGGATCAACTCCAACTGCTGTAACACTAGATGCTCCAGATCAATTTGTAGATATTGCTGTCGGAAATGATGGAAGATTCGCAGCATTGTCATCTGAGAACGCTTTGTATGTTTACGGCTATTATAATGGTAATGGCCAGCAAATGAACAAAGTCATCAAAATATTATACCCTCAACAACCGTATTTCAGAGTTTTCTCATGCGGAAACTACTTCGCAGTTCTCGCAGGCCCCAACAAACCATTACTCAAAGACACAAATGCAAAGTGTTTATCATTGTTGCCGCCCAACCGACCAATTATAAAAGATAGACTCAGAGCGCCACCAAAAGTGTTGTTATTGAATGGAGCACATTTCCCAAGTTTCGTCACATTCAAGAATGCCAAACAGATTGTCAATACAGTTTTCTCTAATTTGTCTACGATAAATGGCTCTTTTATTTTAGACAGATTCTCAGAGAGCCAAACAACATGTGGTGTAGATGTAGAACTTGTTAATTCTGTGTACGATCAGTTCTCAACAGCTGTATCTCGACCATTAATGGATGAACTCGATCGCTGTTTCATAAGAACATTGAAGAATGTACAAGAAAAACCTCCAGCAATCATCAGACCAACGACAATGAGGTTCTTTATCACTGCATTGTTGCATCCAAGTTTAACAACATTGAGAGGATCGACAGCATATGATTTCTGGGATACATTAGTTATGACAATCCTCAAATTACCACAAGCGAAAGAGATATTGATACAATGGATTTCTCTTTTGCAGGAAAAGACAATAAAACAGATTCTCAAGTCACTCAATGACTACTTGAATGAAACAACAAGTCACACGGGATTATACGGTCAGGCAGGAAGAGGAGCTGTTGATGCATTGAGAATAATATGGAATGCAAACAACAGAAGCCAGAAATTGCCATTTGAAGCATTTTACAATTTCACTTTATGTGACAAACTCGATCCAAAACAAGAGATGTACGGTATAAGGAAAGACCAACAGATGGAGTGGTGTTACTGTTTGAATGCTCCTTGGCTTGTTACTCCTGCTTTGAAGATTTCGTTGGTCAGAACAATGGCGGAATCAATAATGAACAATTTCTATATACAAGCATGTAGAAATGCAACACAGTTTGAGAACGGAAGACCAAAAATTGTTGCTGAAGATGTTTGGCTGATTTTGAAAGTAAACAGAGAGAAAATTTTGACAACAACAATCGATGAATTGAATAAGATCAAAAACATAACATTGCAAGCCCAGAAACGTCTAAAAGTCCAATTCGAGGGAGAACCAGGTGTAGATGAAGGTGGTGTTCAAAGAGAATTCTTTGATATGATCGTTAAAAAGTTGACTTCACCTGATCTGTCACTTTTTGTACAAATGAGAGATTGTTTTTGGTTCAACAAAGATTTGGATCCATTCTTATTCCCTAACATTAAATTGGCTGGCCAAATTGTTGGATTGGCCATTTACAACGGAAACTTTATAAATATCAGATTTCCACTTGCTCTCTACAAGAAATTGAAAGGAGTCAGTGTTGGAATCAATGATTTGGAAGAGATTGATCCGCAGCTTGTTTCTACACTGATGAACATTCTTTCGTACGAAGGAGATGTTGAAAATGACATGTGTCTTGACTTCACTTATGAAAATGTCGAATTAGTTCCAAAAGGAAGTCAAATTCCAGTGACAAACGCGAACAGACAGAGTTACGTTGATTTGATTGTTGACTACGTTTTGAACAAGTCCATTGACGAACAGTTCAGGAAGTTCAAAGAAGGATTCTTCACAATTCCAACGAATTTGGACATGCCGCTGTTCAGACCAGAAGAACTGAGTTTGATGGTCGCAGGAGAGGACGAATTAGATTTCACAGCACTGGAAAAGAACACGACATATGAGAACTACACTACAGATTCGCCTGCAGTGAAACTCTTCTGGAAGATCGTGAGAGATAAACTGAACATCGACGAAAAGAAGAAGTTGTTGTATTTCGTTACTTCGTCTCCAAGAGCTCCAATTGGTGGATTGGGTAAAGTTCCGTTCAAGATCATGAGAGATGGAGATCCAAACCATATCCCTACTTCTCACACTTGTTTCTACATTTTAGTTCTTCCTGACATAACTGACGAAGCAACAATGTTAAAGAGAATTAGAATTGCTATTGAAAACTCTCAGGGTTTCCAATTCAAATGAACTATTTATATATTATTTATTTTATTGTTTGATTTTTTAAAAATATTATTTTTTGTTAATGATTTGGCTTTTTTATATATGTGCCGAATAATTTTCATTCAATTAATTGGTGAAATAATCTTCAAATTTTTATTAAAAGTCGCATTTGCCTTTAAGGATAAACTTTTGTTTTATTGCAACATAAACCAAATAAATCAATTGGGTTTAAATTTAGCAGCTTAAGAATAATAAAGAGCAATATTTGTGGAAGAATCATTCTTTAATAGTCGCCTCTACTAACTCCCTTCAAGGGCTTGAAATGTTCATCATTAAGTTTGTTTGCACGATTGCAACTTTCTATTAGATTTTAGAAATTCATATATTTTCATAATACATTTATATGGGGCAATGATAGTATGTAATACTAAGAATTAGATTCATATTTACTATGGAGAATAAGTGAAGCAGCTTAGTAGACTCGGCCCTGAATTATGCTTTTAGATAAACCTTATCTCATCCGATAAAAAACTCCGACTATTTAGATCTAATATAACTAATATATTTACATACAAACAAAAAAAATATCAACGATATTGTAAGTTGATTAAAACATCTGTTTTCCTCTTTGGGGTTTGTCTCATCCGATGGTATTCGTTATAATAAGGAGTGCACGAACATTTGCCTCCTGTATTAAAACTGGAACTCCCACCGCCTGGTGTACATCTATTAACTCTGATTGTTCCATATTCATCTGCTGAATACTCATTCAGAACATTGATTATTTGAATATTAAAGCGTTTCAACTCATACTCTGTCGCGGTAGGGCAAACATCTGTAACACCAAAATAAAAAACATTCGGACTAATGGAATCAAATGAATTGTTATGAAGAGTGACAAATTCATATATAACAATCTTTTCAATCTTGTTACATAATGCAAATGCATCTGGCATTATTATTGTGTTATCAAATATCTCAACTCGACTCAAATTTGTCCAGTTCATGAATGCATTTCCATTTACAACAATATCTGGATTTATTCTAACACTTGTGATTCCACATGAACACAATGCAAATGCATTAATCTCTGTAACTGATTGTGGAATGAAAACATATTTCAATGAATTGCATCCATTAAAACAATATTCTGGAATTGATGTAATTTTGGGAGGGAGAAGTATTTGTTTTAATGATTTGCAATTCTCAAAACATCTCGGTCCTATTGATTCTAAATACCTTGGAAAGAAAATAATTTCAAGGTTTATGCAATCTTTGAATGCTTCACTATGAAAAGCAGTCAACTGAAAGCAGTGAGAAAAGTTCAGAATCCTTATTCCACATTGTTGAAATGAATGACCAGGAATAGAACTTAAACCTTTCCAGACTTCTCCAATTGATTGGAGTGATAAACATCCTTGAAAACTGTAATCTCCAATTGATGTAACTTGTGAAATATCTCCAATTAATTGAAGTGATGAACATCCTTGGAAACTGTAATCGCCAATTGTTGTAACTTGTGAAATATCTCCAATTGTTTGAAGCGATGAACATCCTTGGAAACATGAATTACTTATTGTTATAGTTCCTGATGGAAAATTAAATGTCACTAATTTTATACAATCTTTGAAACACGAATCTCCAATTGAAGTTAATGAAGAAGGATTTAAAAATGTTATTTTGTTTAATTTATCACAATCTTCAAATGCATCAGATCCAATTTCTTTAATTGAAGAAGGAATTTCGACTTCTGTGATACATTTGTGACCTTTAAATGCATTTCGAAAAATTGAAATCACATTTGCTCCATTAAAAGTTGATTTGATAACTAATTTTGTGTTGCAAGTATCTTTGTTTAGATATCCACTATTACTCCATTCATTTCCTGCTTTGATATATAAGAATTCTGAATCTTCACTAGGTGTTATTCTTGCAAATCCATTTCCTGGATGACCTGTTTCTGAATTTCCATTTGGATCATTAAAATTAGTATTTCCTGCATATGTTCTTGCATCTTCAAGAAAATATTTATCGTTTAGTTTGCATCCTGGTGGATATGAACTCTTTGTAGAGGAAGTATAAACATAACCACTACCTCCACTTCCTCCATCTGTATTTGTTCCATCAGATGATGTTGGAGGAGTTGAAGAACCACCTCTGGAACCTCCTCCATACCACCCACCTCCTCCAGCACCTCTTCCTCTTGTGTGCGCACCTTGAAAGAATTGTCCACCACTATATGAACCTGTTTGAGTTCCAGCAAAGTTATATGAATGTCCTGGTCCTCCAGTTTCTCCCCCTCCATAACCACCATTTTCACCATCATATTCAGCACCTCCACCACCGCCTGCAACTATTACTCTGGCATAGATATCATCTTCATTAATCCGAATATCAGTTCCACCTCCACCTCCATGTCCTGTATTGCCATCTCCATAAGCAGATCCGCCTCCATTAAATCCACCTGAAGCTAAACCAGAAAGTGACCAACTTCCAACTCCACCAACTCTCACATAAACTGTTGTTGCATCAAGTAGATTTAAATATCCAACTGAATACCCTCCTTTCCCGCCATATCCAGAATATTGGTGATTAGAAAGATCTCTTCCACCTCCTTGGGCACCCCAAACTTCGAATTTATAGTACCCTGGTTGAAGGGTTTGTTCGTAGGGAGTGTTTTTATATGGAAAATCATATGTTGCCCCAAATATGGGGAATAAAAACGAGAAAACTATATATAAGAATTAACGGTTGTCAAATAAATCGGATTAGAATTTTTCTTGATACATCAAATTTTGAGTCGGATCGGGATTCAAAAATCAAAATCATAATGAAATGTGCTAACAAACCCATTTTCATAATTTTATCTACCGTATACAAAAAGGTCCAAAGAATGAAAATCTGACCAAGGAATGAATTCAAAACATGGTCAGCACTATTCAAATTGCTGACAAAAATGTCAAAAAATAAGAAATAATATTTAATAACAATGAAGAGAAATCAATGATAAAAACGTATGTTTATATATTTATAGCGATTTTTGAAAGATAATTCTATATTAAATAATCCTTTCAACATCATCATAATACTTACCAATTTAGGGATATAGCCCATTTTTGCGAGTTAGGGATATTTTGAATTTGAATTTATTAGGTGATTCTGTGTACGAAAATAAATTATATGTATTATCTAATAATTATGTGTAAGATTTATAATCATTTGCCTTAATTTCAGTCAGTTAGGTAAATAACTGAAATATTTAAAATCAGTATTAATCCGGCCAATTATAAGAATGTAACATTCGGATTTTCGCGAAAATATATTATTTCGTGTACTAGAAAACGCATTGAATTAGCATAAATATGCATTCTTTGGCAATTGTAGCAATTGTTCATCAAAATTTGAATTTCAAATTCGTTTTTATACAATTTAATGCAAATGTTTGGTATCAGTATGCAATACAATGGTATTTATTGCTATTATTGTTATTGAAATTGTATTTTTATGTTGAATTTACTACGATATTGAAATGTCTAAGTAATGGATGTGAAGAATTATTTAATAATGATTATAAATCTGACACTACAACAACCTAATTGTGCTGGATATAGCTCTATTTCTTTTGATTTTTGTATATCTATGCTTGAAAAAATCAGAGTTTAATTTTCTGAGAAAATTTGACAAAAGATTTTTATAAAATCATGAATGATGATTCGGCCGAATCCAGGTATTTCCCTGGAGACACAGAAATGTCGATATTGGCAAACACAGTGACAGCATATTTTAATAGTCCAGAACGTTCTGAAGAACGTCAACAAATTGTTCAAGCTTGTGTTGTTGAATTAGTTAAATATAACAGGCGTTGGGACAACAGAAAGGTCAGATTATGGTTTAACAATAATCGAAAAGGTCCAATTAAAGCAGCATCAGTCGATAATCTCAATATGTCCGCAACACCAAATTTATCAATCACTCCACAATCTGTACCTCCGAAAAAGCGTATTGCAAACAAAATGTCTTCGAAATTTTTATCATCACCTGTTTCAAGATGCAATTCTCCGAATTCTCCTACTGCACATCCTGACCACCTCGCAATTATGCATACCGATACTGGTGAGATGCTGACAGAAGACGAGCAAAAGCTAAAAGAAATAAATCAAACACAATTAATACAATCGTTCAAAGATCGGAAATGGATCGAAGATATTGCTCCGCAAACATCGATACCAAAGATATATGCACTACAAACATTACCACAACAGCTCTCTCCTTATTCAAACGTCGAATTACTTCAAACTTCAGAATTTGGCCTAGTTCATCCATCTTTCAAAATGCCACCAAACGTATCGCAAGAACTTCAAGAATTCTACAAAGGACCGTCATATTTCGAAAACATTGAATACGGACTAATTGAAGCCGGAATTGCAAAAGCAGATTTATCTCCAGCGATCGTTGAGTATACCAAAGATAAGCATATCCTTCATTATGAAAAGAAAACCCTCGAAATTCCTACAAATTACCCTATTACTTCGATTTTATACAATAGAGACTCCAAATCTTTATTTGTTGCATACGACAAGTTCGTTTCTCAGCTCTCTATTGCAGATGGATCGATTTTAAGGACTCTAGATACAGGCGGACGCCAAATGAGAAATTCATGTTTGATTATGCACATGAATTGTCTATTTTTAGGTAGTAGAAATAATATTTACGTATTCAACTATGAGAATGACAATGCAAAAGCCCTTGATTCCCCTTATAAAAGCACAAATAACATTCAATCTGTTGGAAACTCATTAATTGTTTCCTCCAGGTTATCACCTAGTATTGTTTCTATTGATGAAACAGGCAAAATCAGCCATAGATTCCTTGGTTGCCAAGGAGGAATTACTTCATTAGCAAGATTTGACGATAATTGCTTCTTAAGTGGTTCCGCTGATTATGTCATTAGACTCTGGGATGTAAGAACTAGTTTTCCATCCATAGAACTCGACAGACATCTTGGAAGTGTCACTGCTATTTCAAATGATGGAAGTATAATAGCTTCTGCGGGCGAAGACAGAAGGTTACGGACATGGGATATCCGAAATAGCCTTTCTATCTTCGAATCAGACACAGGAATGGGAGTTCCAATTGATATCTCATTTTCTGTTCAATCTGGCAACATTACAGTTATTACAAAGGAGCAATATGCATCAAATGCTGATGGACTTGGCTCTAATAGACTGATTGGCGGTTCCCATCGTCTTGGCCTTGTATCTCCAAATCAATGTCTTTTCTATTCGATATATGATAATGAAAATAGTGTCTTGTAAATAAATATATATATTATATAACAAATTTATTTTTATAAACAACAAAAAAAAACAATAATAATTTATAAAACCCAATCAAGGATCTTATTCCAAATAAACGTAAAGAAATTCGAATTAGAATGATTGTCATGAATCTGTGTAAGTTGTCTAAGACCTGAAGAACTCATAACGCTATTAAGCCTTGCGGAATGTTCGCAATTGGTACAGGCTGTTTCTATTGATTGTAATGTCATCTGTAGTGATGATAGTGATGAGTCTAATTCATCCATATCATTCATTAAATGTTGAGTTGCTCGATCTAAACGATTTATTCCATCAGATCTAGGATATTTTAGCTTTACAACTGAAATGGGCTCTAATTCAAATGATGGTATCTTATCTAAAAGTATATTTGGTACAAATTCTTGTTTTGTTTTTTCTTCATCTTCTTTGAGAGCAGAATCTTGGTTAGTATCTGTGTCATTTATTTGTCCTAAATCAAATTTTTGCGATGAAGTAATGAAATCTTTGAGTTGATTCTTTTTTAATGCAAATTTTCGTGTTTTCATTGTTTGATTCATTCCAAAAGTGTTCTTATGCTCATATATTTCTTCTAAATACTGTTTTGCCGTCGTTGAATTAAGAGTTAGTTCATTAGACTTCGAAAGCTTTTCATTTTCAGTCATATTGTAAATTTTCTATGTTTGATATAATTGAATTCTTTTTTATCGTAAATTTCAAACGTTGATTCTTTGAAAAAATTATAGTTCATTCTAAAGCTTTTGGAACAGGGGAATCTATGTTATTACTTAAAGCAAATCTAACGGAATGATTTTCATCAGTAGCATGGAACCAAAGGAAAATAATATCATTAATGCTTAGTATGCTACATTTATGTTGTGTTTGATCGGAGATTACAAGCTCTTACACTTGTTTCACAATAATTTCATTGTGAAAATTTGCCAAAATAAAGTATTATGAAATCGCTTTATAAGGAATGTGTTATAATTAATGAGTTATTCTAGAATATGTTGTTTGTTAATCGCTTTTCAGGTGGAAGATTTTCGCTTCATTTTGCCGTTGACACATTTTTCTGCTCAATTCAAAATTTGACACAGGTAAAAAATGGAGTTTTTTGAAGAAGTCAAAACAGCGATCAACTCTGATCAGAACGATATTCTGACGAAAACTCTCATTTCCTGCTACACCAAAGTAAACTATGAGACGTTCGCAAAACTCGAAGCAGAAGATTGTAAAGCAAAATTCGAACAATTATTCGATTTATTTTCATATTGCGGCGGAAATGAAAACGAAAACATCAGATTAATGGCATATCGAGCGTGCGCATTCTTTCTGGTTAAATGCGGAACATATTTTTTACCATATCTCCTAGAAATGTTTTATAAATTTTCTGAAAAGCCAATCAAAAACGAAAAGTCGTCGATTATAAATATATCTGTATTTGCATTCTTTTCTGAATATCTTCCTTGTCATCAAATTCTGGAATTAATTTCGAAAGTAAACATAATAGACTTGTTTAATACATCGGATCCAGTCATACTAAGCTATATACCTAACATAGTTAAGCATTTTCGTTATCTTGGAACTCAATTTCACAAAAATTTGCTGTTGAAACTCATAGAAAAATGGGGAGATGCAGAGAATATGTATTACTTCCAGTGTGTCCACTGGTTACTGACGTTTTCAGGAGAAGAAATCGCGAAAATAATCCTTGAAAAAACAAAAAACATCGGATTGATCAATTTTGTGTACCCTATCGCTGGAAAATACCTACAAACCGCTAAAATCATAGAATTATCCATTAATATTTTACAAAATGAAAAATCATCGATCGGAGATTTGGATTGCGCTCTACAACTACTGTCATCGCACTTAACTAGTGCTAATATTCAAAATCAAAAACTTCTTTTTTCGATTTCAGAAAAAAATTACGAATTTCCTTTGGATAAAATTACAAAATGCCCTTCATTATACAGATTACCGCTTCCTATTGACCAACTAAAACAAACCGAAAACGATTCAGGCAAAATTTTTGAGTCGAAATTCAATTCAATCGGAAAATTAGCGAAAAATGACGTGAAACACGTACAAATATTCATTGATTCATTATCTAAACCATATAATAACGATACTACCTTCATTTTGCAAGCTCTTTCTCAAACAATTAAAGATATTCCATATTCTGATCAATTAGCATTGTTATTACAGCAATTACTATATTCCAAACATGCCAATTGGTATAATACAGTTGATATTCTATCAGTAATTGCATCAATTAAAGACGAATTACTAATAAAATATTTTGGATACAAAGGATTGCTTTCTATTATGGAAAAATGTGTCGGATGTGTTTGTAGTAGAGCAGATAGTTTAGTAAATATAGCTACAACAGTTGCTACGAAGATTTCTTCGTATTATAAAGAATATTTTCAACAATTTACAAGTTTAGTTGCCAAAGTCCTTGATTACACAGATGATTCGAACTTGGGATCCCAACTAGACTTACTCACAGCCATTATAAACTCAAATAAACAAGGAGATAGAGAAAATTTATTATTTGTTGTTGAAATTCTATTGGAAAACTACGAAATGTTCACAGACAACCTTGTATTGGTTAGTTCTATCTTCAGATTCATCTCAAAGTTCCCTGTTTCGAACTTAAAACGCGCATTTCTCAAACAACTGTTTCTCGACGCCGTAGTTGTTGTTGTATCATGTTACAGACATTTCTCAGGCAATATGTGGCAACCACAAGTCCCTTCCGACAGAGTTGCCCATAAATATGACCTTTTTTCTCAATTTATCAACTCTCAAAATGTTGATGTCACTTTTATTCCAACCGTTAACGATATTTTCAAACCGTTTGAGAGTGCAGTTAGTTTAGTATTGGCATTTAATGTTACTGACTTTGGAACGAGTTTTTTGTTTGATTTGATCGACAGATTGTATCCAATTTTTCCAAGTGAAGTGATCAATTTTATTTACCAAAATTTTCCGAATTTAGATGTTTATTCACAAGTCCACATGTTGCAGGACATCTCCTACATCAGCTGGTCAATAAAAGAAAAGGAAGTCTTCAAAATGACACTGATGTTTAACGAGGCAAATTCATCTAAATTTTCAGAAAATTTTGTAAATTTGAGACAAACCGTTTTGCCAGTAATTGACGCCCATTTGCCATATAAACTGAAAACCAAATACCTTGCCGCAATATTCTTGTTTAAGAACAGAGATATATCAGTTCTCTCTGAAAAGGCTCAAGATGAAGTCAGAGAAATCGCTGCAAATTTGGAACAAAATTATAATAAAAGAAAACAAAAAATACCAAAAAGTGACATAAAAATTTTCAGTCCTGTTGAAAATAATATGTCAAAAATCATAAAGGGTGATAAGAAATTAATTGACAGTGAAACAACAAAATCTTTCATTCAAAATGATTTGTTTAATTTAAGGTTATTGTCAAAATATTCTGATCATGATTTACAAAAACCGTTTTATATATTTGATGGTGCGAAAGACATTTATGAACGCAAAGCAAGTATAGAAGAGATTGTTGATAAGATATTAAAGGCTGAAAGACCGAAGAAAAAAGATGTTTTGGCTTTGACAAAAATTTTGTCAGAAAAAGAAGAAACTGAAGCTGAAACAGGCCTAAAAATCTTCGACAAGATGTTATCAGACAAAGAAGAAGTCAATAGAATAAGAGTTGGTCTTTTATTCGCTTACAAATTCGCAATTATTTCTACAAAAGCAGGTGTTGACACTTTACAATTAATTTTTGACACTGCACGTCAGAATTATTTACCTGACGAAGTTTATTACTATAACAGACTGTTTTCCGCATTAGTTTCAAGAGGAGTTACCGGAGAAACTCCTTTGAGTTACACTCCATTTCCAGGAGTATTAGTTTTTGAAGAGAAAATCAAAATATTCCAGTTGCAAAGAGGAATTCCTTACACAGGAGTTTTCCCTGCGCGTTGTTTCAATGAACAATTGCCAAGTAACTACATGTGCGCGTTGAGAGTTGTTATTTACGCATCGAGTTACTTGAGTAGATCAACTGCTTTCGGTTGTCTAAAAGACGGATTCAATTCTTGTCTGAAAACACTGCAAAGACATAAAAAAGTGTATTGCGGTGGAGATTTGTTGTGTTCTGCATTGAGTTCTATGTTTAATTACACGGAATTAAGTGACGCATTCGTTTGGAAAATTCCTAAACTCGAGATATCAACAAATGAAGCAATATTTAGTGATTTATGCGAATGTTTTCCATTGTTATTCGCAAGTCGATTACCAGGAGCGAAAGATTACGAGATCATCTCCGGATTGTGCAACAAAATGCTCTTCAGTCCGCCTTGCAAGACATTGTTTGACGCGTATATTTCATCAATAAACGCGAGAGTTGACATAACAAGTAATCCGAGTGTGAGAGATACAATTGTTTCTGATCCTTTGTTGACGACATTGAGGAATTTCGAGTTGTACGATTGTTACTGGTGCTCAGAGTTCTTGTTCGAATGGTTAAGAATGATTGTAAGGACATCAGGAATTGTTCAAACAATGTCAATGTTGACAATTCAGTTTGTCAAATACGTTCCAAGATTTGCAAATGTTTTTGTCGCTGGAGTGATGCTGCTGAATGAAAAATGGCCAATTATGACTGATGAAGAGATTGAACAGGCCACAGCAATGCTCAATTCAGCAAGAGTGGCAATTCCATGCAAATGTCATGCGGCTGCTTTTGTTTTGTTAGGAAAAAGAGAAAATATGAAATTAGCTATTAAATTGGCATCAGCAGATAGGGACACAGAAGAAACAGATAAGATTGTCGTCCCTATATTAGATGCTGCCAATTAGCTTATATATATTTATTTATTTTTTAAAAAACTATTTATTTTTAATAACATATATTTAATTTTTTAGAAAACAACTCTATACTTTGGAGAATGTAATACAAGGAAGTTTATAGATAAAGAATATACGTATGAGACATCAAATCACTCTTATAAATTTTATTCAAGATTTGATTCAAATTGAATAAATGAATTAAATCAATTTTCGTATAAAAACATATATAAATATATAGAAATATCAGTTTGGTGATGACCTTGTACCAAGTATGATGTTATTTTTTCCTGCATGGAAATAATTTTTCAAAATTGTTGGATTTTTTTCCACAAATTTTTAATTTCAATTTTTTGAAAGGACATATAGAATTTTGATAGAAAATTGCATTTACCATAGTTTCGACTTTACCAACAAGTCATCAGTAAATTGTTCTTTAATTTATGACATAATTTTTACATTGATTGTAAAAAATAATTAAAATTAAAAAAGTAATTACAATTAAAATTAGAATTTGTTTATTCTATTATTACAAACAAATTTATTTCTATTTGTTTTGTTATAATTTAGAGATCAAATGAATCAAATACTGGAGCACATTCATTTTCTTCCATTAAATAAGTTCCATCTGGCATTAATACAGCCTCTTCATAATCATCCGTAGTAAGAACTGGGCAATGCTCTATTGGATCATAATAATCTTTTGGTTTATTTAACAAATAAAGATTTTTGATCTTGCCAAAGTTATTTGCGATCTCTTTTTCACTAAATATTTCAATGAATAGATCAAGAAAATAGTTCCATCTCATTGAATATAATGCCTTAACATTGAGTTCTTCAACACATTGTACCCTGAATTTGATGGATTCTAAGAAATCTAATATATCTAATACTGTAACTGTTTTATCCTTCATTTTTGACTCTACAAAATTTCTGACCATAACTGGTTCTTGAAGATCGGCACCGCTTTGGATGAATGCTGATACAACATTAAGAAGTTGATGTAATGATTCGACTTCATGACAAACAGACATAACGAAAAATGTTGTAAAATTTCCATAATTGTTTAATTTTTTAGGCAAATTTTCCTTTCAGAAAAAAATTCAATAAATACATTTCTCCATAATTTTTAGGTTTAAAAATGTATTTATAAGTGTGTATTTTATATGTTATGATGTTGGAATATCATTTGTGAAATTTGAGATATTTTAATTTTCCAAACAAAAAAAGGAGAGAGGGTCAAAGTTGCTATTTGTCACTTTTCCACAAGAATATAATGGGGAAAAAGTTATCATATAGTTGATCTCATTCACTGAGGTGAGAGATGCATGTAGTGTAATGTGATAAACAGTGGTATTGCTGCTCTAAGTCCTAGGTTCGAGACACATTGGCTTCATTTTTCTCTTTTTTATTGACGTAAACTATTCAATTTTTGTGTTCTCCATTCAAATTTCAGAATTTTTTTTGCAGATTTCACGCTACATTCGAAGTTACCTTTTGTAACAACCACCACCGCCTACGAAAGACGAAAGTGTGTCACGATTTCACCCGGAAATCCGACGGTTGTTTAAGAGTATGCACTTTTGTCACCTACTCACAAAAAAAGTGGTTGGTAAAACAATTTACTCAATATTAATATGTGCTGCAGGATACTTATATGAAGCTTACTGTGGAATAAAGAGAGATGAAAAAATGTGAATTTAGCTTCTTTTAATGGATCACTGGGTAAGTTTACCAAAATGTACGTTATTTACTTTTTTGAATCTTCTTCCAGATGTAATGCATGAAAATTCGGTTCACTTCATTTTTGACACTTTACATATCGGATGTATTATCTAAGAATTATATTATAAAATAATAATTTTGTGTTTTATAAGTTTATTTGTATAAATTGATTCAAAAAAATGGAAAGACAAGAAGTGGATCTGCCAAATGAAAATCAGATTTATAGTTTTAGAGAGTTACATACATGAAATATGAAAATTGAACTTTGTATAAGGAATTGTTGGCTATGATGTACTGATCATGAATCAGTACATCATAGCCAACAATTCCTTCGCAAACAGCGGGAAACTTTGTCTGAATAGTTTAACATTCAGACAAAGTTTCCCTGTCAGGGAGGGAATTAGAGGGTAAGAGGTATATATTCATAATGTATACCTCTTACCCTTTCATTCCCTCGAGAAAGTTCAAAAACTTGGGTGCAATCAGTTCTGATTGCACCCAAGTTTTTGAACTTTGTATACGGAATTGTTGGCTATGATGTACTGATCATGAATCAGTACATCATAGCCAACAATTCCTTCGCAAACAGCGGGAAACTTTGTCTGAATAGTTTAACATTCAGACAAAGTTTCCCGCTGTCAGGGAGGGAATTAGAGGGTAAGAGGTATATATTCATAATGTATACTCTTACCCTTTCATTCCCTCGAGAAAGTTCAAAAACTTGGGTGCAATCAGTTCTGATTGCACCCAAGTTTTTGAACTTTGTATACGGAATTGTTGGCTATGATGTACTGATCATGAATCAGTACATCATAGCCAACAATTCCTTCGCAAACAGCGGGAAACTTTGTCTGAATAGTTTAACATTCAGACAAAGTTTCCCGCTGTCAGGGAGGGAATTAGAGGGTAAGAGGTATATATTCATAATGTATACCTCTTACCCTTTCATTCCTCGAGAAAGTTCAAAAACTTGGGTGCAATCAGTTCTGATTGCACCCAAGTTTTTGAACTTTGTATACGGAATTGTTGGCTATGATGTACTGATCATGAATCAGTACATCATAGCCAACAATTCCTTCCCAAACAACCCGAAATTTGTCTGATTCCACACTAATTTTATTAATTTATCTAAACTTTTATCTCTTGTTCTAGATAAATTATCATCAATAATAATCTCTTGTTCTATTTCACTATTATATATATATATATTTATATGATTTGATTTAAAAAAAATAAATAAATAAATTAATAAATCATTTACTCAAATATATCAAAAGTTTTATTTTTATATATAAAGATAACTACTTTTAAAAAAAAATACCCTATATATTTTTGCCATGTAAACTTGTCACTTTTGTCAGAAGTGAAGTGAACCGAATTTTCATGCACAACAGAATCTTCTTCCAGAGATATTTTTTAGATATTGAAATGGTGAAAAGAATGGATGTGATCAATGTATGCTATATTTATGTTTATTCATAAGCATTTCAATTCAATCATAGGGGAAAAGTGTCTTTAAGTTTTAAAATTGAATAGTTGTAAACTAAATGCTCCCTTAATATAAATTACAAGGCCAAATTAGTCCATGGAGAAGGAGTTTCAATAAAATCAAGATTTGTTATAACAAAATGTTATAATAATTTAACCATATAAACTTGAAATAATATTCTTAGCGTGAAAATCTTTCAATCCCAGTGTCAGATGTAAAGTATATGATTTTAAGTTTTCATTTTCTAAGGCTCGATTAGGAAAATCCCAAATGGATGTCTATAAAATAGGAGCTTTGGATCTGATTGAGCAGGAAAAGACAATTCACATTTTGCCATTCAATTTTTCTGATTCTGTCAATTCTTTCAGTGGGCATTTAATTATTTTTGATTGCATGCGATAAAAGTGGATTAATTTAGTTATTGTTTATGATATTATTTGTAATAGTAGAATTATAACAGACTATTATTATTGGACAAGTATGCGCCAATAAAAAACGTTGCAAAAATTTAAATTTGATTATTATCTTTTGAAATTCAAAATTTTCGGCTCTCAATACTCATATACATATAATAAACAATGCATATAAATATACCATCATAGAAAAACACATGAATACTCCTAAGTCATGTTAGCGAAATAAAAATAAAACCAAAAATGGAGATGGGGAGAATCGAACCCCCGGCCTCAACTATGCTAAAGTCGCACTCTACCACTGAGCCACACCCCCTTCACATAAATCCTTCAAACATACTAAACTATAGTGTTATTTTAGTTCTTGATAACAATGTCTTAAACGGTTATTATCAGTACTTCATAATTTCATATGATTTGAATTTCAAATGATAAAATATTTCAATGATTTCTTAAGGGTGCGCCCGGGAGGATCATGTAAACTTCAGAATTTAGAACCTTAATTTTTAAGCAATAACTTGGTACCTAAATAGGTAGGAAAACTCTAAAAATATCAAAAAATACAACTTGGCTCCATAATAATCCTGTCATGGTGGCTGTTTGTATCCCCTAGTATTTTCCTCTTGAATCTCTTTTTCTGTCGAAATTAAATTCAAATCTCAGAAGTAGAAGTGAATAATCGACTTATTACTGCTATTATACGAATAAATAAATTCATTATATTATTTTTATTTACATAATATCTGTTTGAAGTTCATAATTCTATAAATTTTTCTTCAAAAACATTACAATCTTGATAGTTTTGATACTGTTTAATAGGTTTTTGGCACCTTATTTAGTATTTACTACGTATAGAGTCGATCTGAACTTAATTTTCGGAAATTTAAAATATTTATTATAAGTAAAATCTGATTTGAAATTTATGTTTAACTACTCATATCTTGCATTATCCTGAGTAGCTTTTGTAAAAATTCATCAAAAAAGATTTTAACGTGCTTTAATTTTTATTTTTTTAAAATAATGCATATTATTATATAACTAGCATATTTCCAAATTTTAGTGCTTTCAAAAATTTAATCCTCCTCCTCTCAAATAAACGTACATCCGGGTGGCCTGTTTTTTGCAAAAAAATAAAATTTCATTTTTTATGCTTAAAAAGTCAGAATTTTTATTTGCTTCTGGGATATATGATGGCTATATCAGATGCCCATTCTTTTTGATACTCAACATTAAACATAAAACTTAGCCGTTAAGGCTCTTCTGAAAATATTTTTTTTCCGAAAAATTTTCGAAAAAAATCAAAAAATTTAAAAATCCCCGAATCTGCAGGGATTTTAAAAAATTCTTTTTAGTAAAACTTAAGGATATTGTATCAGATATATTGGTATGGGCAAATTCAATTTTAATCCAATATTCATCGAGATATTAAGTTAACGAAGCTTTCAAAATTGAGAGGGTAATCCTCCTCCTCTCAAATAAACGTACATGCGGGTGCACCCTTAAAAACAATATAATTTGACATATATTGAATAAATTAATTATCAATTAGACAGTATAAACATTCAAATTCTAGCTCTATATTTCTATCCAATAAACATTGGAAGTTCATTCCCCAAAAATTGTTGCTCATTCTAAATTAAGAAAAATATAACATTTAATACCTAACAATAATATCTATAAGTTAATTTAGAGGAACAACCTGTGCGTATTTCCATAGAACTTGGAAAATTTTGTGAACTGCAGCAAATCTTTTTTCATTTTTGAGTTTTTTGGCACCTATTACTTGTTCACTAATATCCGGACATCCAATCATTGCCAAGAAAGGAGAGAGGATTGTTGGAATCAATTCAATTGGCATCTTCAAAATCATTTCAATAGAAGCTTCCTGAGTAACCATAATTCCGTTTAGAAGTGGGCTGTATTCTTCTGAAAGGACAAAAGAAAATATTATTTTGCCATATTCATTAGTTAAATTTTCATCAAAAATGAAAATTTCTTTTAACAATAAAATAAGGAATCTTGTGACTTGGAATGAGTTGAAAGCTAACTGTAATGCCTTAGCTACCCAGTTATTTAGTTCTATAGCTATCTCTTGAGGAATTTCTATGTGTAAATTTTTAGTTTTCTTAATTCTTTGAAGAAGAGGAATGAATTTTCGAAGAACTTTAACCATTTCCTCTTCTGGAACCATTCCTCCAATAAAACATTCGAAAATTCTTTGGATAATCTGAATTAATATTTCTAATGACTGAAGAAGTAAAGAAGCGAACATCTCTCTGTGATCTTCGGGTGGTATATATCCGGTTAGTGTTGATTGCATCGCATCTACTGATTTAATCCATTGAATTAATCTAAATCTTTCAGGAAGAGTTTCAAAATAGGAATTTGCATCAAGATTGTAGGAAACGTACATCGATAAAGAATTAATTTCATCATCTTCGCAGAATTGTTCTGTTTCAGCAACAATTTCTTTGATTTTTGGTTGAATTTCGGAAGAAATTTTATCGCAGAAAGAAGAGATGAATTTAAGAAGCAATTTGGCTATCTCATGTGGTTGGTCATCACAATCATTGATAGCTTGTAAAATGATTTCAATAATTTTTATTTGAAGCTCATTATCAATCATATTCATTGCAAACAGTGCTGCAATGCATATTCTTGTTATTGACATCTTGGAGAGTACTGTTCCTAGGATTTCTTCGTTAAATGTGATTTGATTTAGATTATTTGCTTTTACGTATTCTAAAAAGACATCTTCGAACTTATCAAGGATCTCCTGGTCTAAATCTTCCAAAGAAATCAACTCCAAGTACTTTTCAACAAATTGATTTCGATATTTTCCAAAATGCAATGGATAAATGCCTCCTAATTCATAAATCGTCCATAAAAGGACTAAATGTGGCATACTTGTAACAAGTTCGGCGGCTTCAATAGCAAAAAGTGTGAAAATTTTGTCAAGATAATCATCCATTTCTTTAAATGTGCATTTTCCATTAAAAACAAATCGGACAATAAGGTTCATTTGTGCCAAAGCCAGTTGTGGTTGGTTAACTGGGTCAATCTCTGCATAAATTTCTTCTGATAGTACTTTGAAAATTTCTTCGTTGTTTACGGTATAAGCAGTGTATGCAATGTTTTCTGGATCACATATAGACTTCTGGTAATTCATTATGTTTGATAAATTCAAGTCAGAAGCTGATGCTAAATTAAAAAGCGATGTCCAACCAATTGAGAACATTTCTAGAGCGTTTTCTGGATTTTTAGCTAAAGAAATAAATATTTGTAGCAAAACTGGTGCAGCAGCTGGGAAATTTGGAGAAATTTGTTTTGCATAATCAGCAAATAAATTTTTTGTTTCAACATTATCACAAATTGCAAATAGATAACAAATATATTCTGCAAATGCTACTTGAGTCGCTGCAGTATTGAATTTTTGTAATAAATTTGGAATTTCTTCAAAATTTGAGTAAATATTTACAAAATCGAGAATGTTTTCCTGTGGAATTCTCATAATTGCATGAGAATACAGCTTTAATATGTAAGGAAACGTTTCTGGGTTTTGCATTTGAGAAAGAATGACCGTTTTGATGTTTTCGTCGAAGATAAATGATGTATCAATCCATTTAGATAATGCTGCAAGTATTGCGAAGTTAATCGGAGAGTTTTGTTGATTTTGTGAAAACGTTTTATTCAAGAATTGGTCTTTTAAGCCTGAAGATATAAAGTGTTCTTTAACTGAAGCCGTATTTTGAGAAAATAATGGTGAACTATTATTGAATTTTCTTGATAATGCGAGATAAAACATTAATTGGATGCTTTCTGATGTTTCATTTATCCATTGTGTGAATCCTTCCCATGTGCTAAATACGTTAAAGTAGAAACTAACTTGTGTACGAGCAATTTGATAATGTATTTTTTCAAACTTTGTGTAATTTTCAATTAACGTTCCAAACAGAACAGAATGTATTAAATCTGCAAGTTGTGCTTCAACGATAGAATTCCATTTATAATCACACCAATATTCAACGATTTTTAAGTAATAAGATGAATTTATGTCCATTTCTCCCTTCTTAAGTTCTTGTAACATAGCTGATAAGCTATTAATATCAAGGTAATATTCTTGAGAAGGACTTATTTGCGTAATTTCTTCCGTCATAATAAAAAAAAAAATAAAAAATAAAAAAAAAACTTTAAAAAGGGAGAATTTATAAATTAAAAAGGGATTTCATATTTTCAAAAAAAAATTAAATGGATACAATTATTTTTTCACCAAGAGAGCAAAATCAAAAGGAATCACAAGCGATAACAAACAATCCTGTGACAAGAGGAAGTAAATGGTATAACTATATTCCTTCAGGCGTGATTTTGATATTTCGTAGGCTTTCTGTTTGGTTTTATGTCATTGCTTTCTGCATGCAATGCTTCATTGAAACATCCATAGACTTTTCTTATACGTTAGTTCCATTAATTCTTACTATTTTGACAACAATTACAATTGATTTGATTCAAAATGCAAGAAAAAAGAAAACAATCAAGCGTATCAATAATCTTAGTTGTACAGTATACCGAAACAATGAATGGATTGAAACAACATGGGGAACATTGAAAACAGGCGAAATAGTTAAGATGCAAAACAACGATGTAGCACCTGCTGACTTAATATTATTGTTTACATCCGATGGACAGCCAATTTCCGTTGAAACTCACATCATTGACGGTTCAACTCAATTAAGTCCGAGATATGGACCTGAACTCTCCGAATTACTGCATGAAAACTCATTACTAAACTCCACATTTACAGTTCGTGACATAAACAGAGTGAAATACGAAGAACCAAACACTGCAAAGTCACAATTGACTTCTAAGTACAATTTTTTCGCAAAAATCGATTTGGGATCAAAACAATACGACTTAACTAACAAGAATTTCATTGAAAGATACTCTTATACCTATCACAGCGGTTACATTTTGTGCGGAGTTGTATTTACAGGCGAAGACTGCTGGACAGTAAAGAATACACCAATAATACATAAATTCTCGTTATTAGAGAACATCCTGAACGATTCTAGCCTTTTATTGATCGGAATTTCGATTTTATTTTCAATAATTGCGGCTTCCTTTTCTCTTTTATTCACGAAGAAGGTGAAGTCGTGGCCATTCGAACTAGACCTCAAAACATCCGATTTCTTCCTCCAAAACTTGTGGAATTATTTAATTTTGTTAATTCCGATTTCTCCTCTTGAAATCTATCCTCTATTAGACTTTATATTTATTGTTAACTCATTCCTCATCATGATGAGTCATAAAAAGTCCACAATTCCGAACATCAGAGTTCTTGACGAAATTTCCCATGTCGATACCGTTATAACCTCCAAATCCATGCTTCTCGAGCACAAGCCAACACTCAAGAGGATCTATTTGAATGGAAAATCATATGGAATGGACGTAACAACGCGACAGCTTTCCCAGAACATCGAAAACGACCTTTTGCAAAACAGAACTATGATGTCCCAGTTCTACGATTCGAGTCTGAAGGCTGATGAGTCAAACCATATGTTTTTTGTCTCATTAACTTTATGTCATTCAGCATCTATCGTTGGAACATCGGATAAGTTCAATTACATATCGAGATTCCCTGATGATGAGCATTTGCTGAGGCTGGCGGCCCTTAACGGCTACATTTTGATGGGAAGAAACGAAAATGAGTCAATTGTAAGGATAAACGGCAAAACTAGGCGGTACAAGACGAAGAGAATTATTCACTCATCGCTCAGACACCCGAGAATCTCGATTATCGTAGAAGATGAAGAAGGAACAATTATCTTATTTACAAGAGGCGTTTACAAGACAATGATAAACATAGTAGACGACAATGAGAAATGCGTTCCGATTTACGATACGTACCACGAAGAAGGCTTGCACGTAGAGACAGCGAGTTATCAGTACATTACTCCTTTACAGTATCAGCAATTCGAACAGAAGATGGCTGAGTTCGGCGAAGGTAATGTTGATTTCGAGTTTTCTGTGGTCGAATCTTTAGAAAAACACTCAGTTTTGCTTGCAATGTTCGGATTTGAAGATCAGCCAAGAGACGGCGCCCTGATTTTCCTTGCAAGAGTGAAGAATGGCTGTAACCAAATAGTTTTGTCCAGCCAATCTAAAGGAACTTCCTTGATTATCACTGGAATTGCGTTAGGTCTCATTAATTTAGGTCCAGTAGTCGGAACGATTAAAGGACCGATCATAGAAGATGTCGAGATTTCGATTTCTTATGTTCTTGAGCAGAGTCATTACGATGTTTTGATTATTTCGGGTCAATCTGTTGAATTTTTGCTACAAAGCGAGTACGCATATGAAGTTGCCCAGCTGATCTTGAACACAAAGGTGATCATTCTCCAGAGAAGTGACCAATTACAGGCAAGTCAGTTCATTGAATATTTACAAAACGTGACAAACCAAGTAGTTATGGCTGTTGGTCATTCTGTATATGATTCTGTTTATATGGCTCAGGCGAATGTTTCATGTGCTGTTAGATCTAATGAAATACAGCCTTGTTCTGTGACAAGTGACATTGTTGTGAATAATTTTGAAAATTTATGCGATGTTATCTTCCTTCATGGAGTTTACTTGAGGGAAAGAGTGAGAACATTCATAAACTACATAATTCCACGCAATATGGTCACTTGTTTCGCAGTTTTTTGGTATGGAATTTTTAATTGTTTCTCAGGAACACCATTATTCAGAGAAGCTGACTATTTCAGCATGATGTACTTCTTTACATTAGTTCCTGTCATCTCCCGCTCGATTTTTAACATCAAAGAGCATATGTACAACTTATTGAGTGATCCTTCCATATATAAGAACGAAAACGAGCCGATACTGACAAGAAAGAGAATATTGGTGTCGTTTGCTGCATCTCTTCTGTTGAGTTTTGCCTTAATTTTCGTTTCAAAAGTTGTTTTGTCTGATTCTGGTGCATTTATGAGCACGATTTCGATTCCTCATTATTCGCATGCTATAATGGGATGTATTGTATACGGATCTTTGGGATTTGTCCTTCCTACATTCGATACTTGGAATTTAATTCATCATTTGCTTGTTTGGGGTTCGCAAATATTGTACTACACATCTTATAGAGTTGCTACTGAACTGGAAATCAGCAAAAGAATATACGGAGTCACTCATCAAGTTTTTATTAAGCCAAATTCAATTTTGATGATGGTTTTATCACTGTTTTTGGGAATGTTCTTCTCGGCATCATTCCAGATGTTCAAGAAATACATGAAAAAGAAGAGAGAAATTGCATCTCAATAATTTATTTTTTTATTTTGTTTTGTTGATTATATAGGGTGTCCAAAGGTGTGTTTAGCACAAACCTGAATACTGCGAATAGAAATAAACAAGTTACATATATATAAAGTTTATTTAAATATAATCACCATTGGATTCAATCACGCGTTCGCAGCGATCGATCCAGGCTTGAAAGACACGCTTTAAATCATCATGAGAAAATTGCTCAAATTGCTCTCTTACAAAATTTTCAAGATCATCTGGACTCGCGAATTCGCGTCCTTCAGCTCTCTTTTTTAGCGTGCCGAATAAATAAAAGTCAGAGGGTGCAATATCAGGTGAATAAATTGGGTTTGGAACAACTTTGACATTGTTTTCCAACAAGTAATTCATTACCTTATGACTTTTGTGAACTCTTGAATTATCAAAATGAATTGCAAACTTTTGTTTTTGTTGTTTGGATTTCTCAAACTCATCAGAATTGATAATTTGAGTAAGAACATTGTCAATTAGATACTGAGCATTCATCGTATTAGGTTTTTGAAGAATATCAATTGCGATGATGCCATTCACGCCCCAAAAAACCGACAACATCATCATTGGTGTGTCAATTTTTTTCTTCGGGAATGTTTGCGGATTTTCATCCTTCGGGATCCACATGATTTTGGCTTCTGTTGCATATTGAAACCAAGACTCGTCCCCTGTTACTAAAAAGCGAAACTTCTTGGATTGATACGCACGCAATATAGAGAGGAGCTCTTTCGAAGATTGGACTCTGGATTTTTTTTGAACTGAATTAAGGTTGTGCGGAACCCAACGTGTATACGCTAGTTTGTAGTTCAAATAATTGTACAGATAATAACTGACTGTTGTACGTGGTATCTTTGTCATCTCCTCTATCCTTCTGAGTGATGCTCTTGGGTCTTCATCTAGCGCTCGAAAAATTGCTTTGATTTTTCTTTGATCCGGCGATTTTTTGTCAATTTTTATGATGGGCGCCTTTTTGTTCATGAAGTGATACATCCTAACATGATACGTTACAGTGGAATAGCTAGGAGCATCCATACCGAAGCATTTTACCAATGTCTCGTAGATTTTTTACAGTCTTTGCATTTTTTTGCAAGAGCGAGGATGTTTTCTTTATGATTCATTAAAAAAATGAAAAAAATCCCGCCAAAATTTCCCGCGAAACCGCCTCTTGTCTCAAAATTCATTTTATATCCCGGCATGGCGCCAAAATACAACTTACTCATCATATACATATATTCATATTTTTATTATATATTTATAATCAGCATATATCTCCTTTAATAGTCTCATATAGAGCGCTGTGCTAAACACACCTTTGGACACCCTATATTATAGATTATTTTTTAGTTCAGTTTTTTATGTAAATGTATATTATTCAGTCAAATTACTATTTTTTAGCAATATAATTAGTGTAGTTGAACTTCTTCTCCCGCAAGGAGCAAATCAGTGAAAAAGATAAAGATGGACAAACACCACTTCATGAAGCAGCAATTTATAATAATTAAGGAATAGCTGAACTTCTTATTTCACATGGAGCAAACATCAGTGAAAAAGATAAAGATGGACAAACACCACTTCATGAAGCAGCAATTTATAATAATTAAGGAATAGCTGAACTTCTTATTTCACATGGAGCAAACATCAGTGAAAAAGATAAAGATGGACAAACACCACTTCATGAAGCAGCAATTTATAATAATTAAGGAATAGCTGAACTTCTTATTTCACATGGAGCAAACATCAGTGAAAAAGATAAAGATGGACAAACACCACTTCATGAAGCAGCACGTAATAATGGTAAGGAAAAAGTTCAGCTCCTTATTTCGCATGGTGCAAATATCTATGAAAGATCTAAATTTGATATAACACCTATTCAGGATGCGGTATTTAATAACAATAAAGAAATAGGTGAAATTCTTTTTTTCACATGTGGTCAATATCAATGAAAATTAAGAAACGGCTGTAAGGCTAAAACTTTTCAAAACATGGATTTTTAACATAGTATACATAATAAAATTTACTTTTGAACAATAAATAATAACATTTAAAATATGTTGACTTTGATTTTCGTCGTTTTTTATTTTTCGTCAGCTTTTTTCTTATTTTTCTTCTTCTTTGTAACTTCTGGGGCTAAACTTTCGCATCCATCGAAAATATATGATAAAATCTCATATTTTCGAAGCTTATTTCGTTTTGATGTTTCGAAATTGTCAATTAACTCTTTCCATTTCATTGCACGCTTAATGTCTGTCACTATTCTTTGATTTTCCAGCATTTTCATAGCTTTTCCAACAACATTAAATATCTTCCGATTATTATCTCTCAAAACATTCAAACAAGCCAATGCCAAGTTCCTTGCATCGCCATCCCAATGTATTTTCGCGCATTCGTAGAGCGAAGGGATCAATGATGGGTAAACATCTCCAGGAACTTCAGTCATGAGCCATACAAAGTCATTAATATCAAATAAAGCTAATGCTCGTTTAGATGACCATGCATTTACACCAACAATTGTGCGACAATATTGAGGAAGTAAAATTTTTGTTACTTTTGAAGTTTCTTCATCAGGAACGAAAGAAGCGAGGATACCAATCTCATCAATAAAGTCTAATTGCTTTGTTGTGCACATTCTTGGCCACACATTGACGATAAATTCGTAAGTAGGAAATACCAAATTTGGTTCTTTATCAAGAAAGGCCGTAACTGTTGAAACTAAGTCCTGCCAGAAGTAGTGAGAATGTTTGTGCTTATGGAGTGGCAAAATAACATCGAGATAAAAAATTTGGTGAACTTTTTTCAAAGGAGTATGAAATCCTTCAGCATGTGAACGCATGACTTGCAAAAGAGGTTTAGTAGCTATGAAATTTTCATCACTAAAGGCTATACGTGCTAAAGCTGAGTTTGTAACGTTAATTGCAAAACTTCGAAATTCTCCAAGTTTTGGTATCATACAAACATATAATTCTGTAAGTTTACGCTGTTCTTCTTTGTTTGGAGTGCGCATTAAGTAAACAACTAGTTTAAATAAGTCTGTAGCAAGTAATTTGCATTTTTCTATATTAAAATCACTTCTCTTAAAGAGAGCAATTGCTGTATCGTATATTATAACTCTATGCGGCCATTGTGGGTCAGAAAATGTATCCATTTCAAAATAATAATCATCATGAACTGAATTCCATAAATCTGGAAGAATTGTAACTGTTCTGAAAATATGAAATGCTACCAATGATATAATTGCTGAGTAAACATCTGGATCCTGTGGTAAATTGAAATTTTTATCTTGTAAAGTTTCTAAAATATCAAATAAATAACCTTCTTTGCCTGTTGCATATACTGCTAAGTCTTGTCTTGATAAATCTACGTTCTGTTTTGCAATTTTACATTTTGATACAATTAAATCTTTAACTTCATTCTCTTTAACTGATCTAATTAACTTTGCAGGTGGAAATGATAGTTTCGATGGCTTTTCTTGTGGTTTAAGATTGCTTAATTCCTTTAAAGGGTCTTTTGATCGGCTAGAAAGCGAACTTCCGGATTTTGAAGTAGCAGAAGGTGCACGTGGTGAAAAACTTGGCTTTAAAATCTTAGGTTTCTCTTTTGCTAATGTTAATACTGACTTCTTTTGCATGAAATTAAATTTTAAAAATCGTTTTTTTATAATTTTATTTTTACAAAAATGCTATTTATTGTTTTCTGGTTGATTATGATATCGAAAAATCAATTTTTTGAGAGCAAGATTTCATTTTTTTGAAATTTTTTTGATTTCATGGATGAGAAAACTCTTTATTTAGCCTTATCACAAATCAATATGGATCAAGAACTGCTTATTGGTAGTACTTGGATCGATGTTGAAGTCAATGCAGGTCAGAAATCGAAAGTTTTTTTAGTCATCACCGAATTCAACTTATATCTTTTCAATAAACAAGAAGGCAAAGAAGGGTTAGATATAATCGGCATTTATTCCTTTTTCGACATTAAAAGTCTCGAATTTATTCATGCAAACTGTTTTACTTTATCTTTTGCAGATAAGAACTTCAAATTCTTTGGAGATGATATAGGATATATTCCAGATTTGATATCAAAACAGATCCATCTGATTTTGTTACCAATAGAAATTCCAATTATTAAAGGAAAGAAAGCAATGACAAGCCAAGGCAAACGAACCACACTTAGCAAGTCATCTGTACTCATAAGACTTAGAGGCAAACTGAAGCTTGCCAACCGTTATCCGCCTCAACAATTTATTGATGATATGCAAGCATATCTGAAAACAGATCCGTCCGAATTCGAGTTCAACAATTTCAAAGACATTGATAATTACATTGATAATATTCTCGAAGCTGTCGAAATTGAACCAAAAATCGAAACTTTGAATTTTACAGGGAAACAAGTACTCAATCATTGGAATAACTTATCTATATTTATTCGAAATAATACTACAATTCAGAAAATTGTGATTTCAGAAGAAATTAACCGAGGATTTATCGATTTTTGCTCATCTTTAGCAAAAAACGCCAATTCGAAGCTTAAAAAGATTGAATTCAAAGAAGTCACTTTTAATACAGAGCATATTGAGGCTCTAGACCGAGCAATTCAAAAACATCCCTTTATTTACCTTTCTTTTGACAAATGCAACTTTTCGGAGTCAGCTGGGAAGTTATCGAATTTAATCATCAACAATACAGAGAATTCCGTCAACTTAAATTCGATTTTTATGTCATCAATAAATTTAAGTAAATCGGACATCCAAACTGCCGTTCACAGATTGAACTACGTATCATTACGAGGTTGCTGCTTAGAATTGGCTTCACTTTTTGAAAATTTCAAAAATTCAAATTTAATAATGGCTGATTTCTCATCAAATCGATGCACTGTACCAATCAACACATCAGTCTCATTCCCAGCATCACTGAAACACCTCTGTGTTAACGATATAATGTGGTCAAGTTCGAGTTTGACTTCAATTTTCTTGGCAACGACGGATTGTGATGAATATTTATCGTTATCGGTAGCTAATTGCCAAATGTTGGAAGACGATTGGAATTCATTCTTCAGTTCCATTGAATTTTGTGGAGAATCAAAAATTACTTCGTTATGCTGGGCAAACAACCCGTTACATTACAAATTATTCAAGTTTATAAGTAATTCTAGGAATATAGAGTATGTTTCTTTCTCAGGATGCCAAATTCCTTCGGATGGCTCGATTCAAAAATTTATTTCAACCTGCAACAGCCTGAAATACTTAGATCTACACGGATCTGCTAACTACAAGTTAGGATATGAAGCATTTTCATTGTTGCAGAGGATTTTGAAATCAAAATTAGAATATATTGATTTTTCAAATAATAATTTGGATTCTAGGTTCATTCCATTGATAACAAAGCTATTAGAATCTAATACAATCAAGTTCTTCCTATTTGACGCTGCAAATTTCGATCAAAATTTCATATCAGATTTAATGAAGCAATATAAGAATAAAATACAGCGATCAAATCTGAAAGAGATTGATTTTGATGCGTTCTTGAGGACTTCCACTAAGCTATTCTCAATTGATGGCTGTAATTTCGATATTCAACTTTATTTTTCGGATTCTGACCTAGAAATTCCGAAAGATTCTCAGTACAATAATGCCCCTGCAGCATATCTACAAGGTTCTGACTACTGGGATGTTCTAAAAATCGACCAACTCCAGAAAAGATATTCGAACTCAGAAAAACAAGTAATTTCATGGGAATTCAACTTACCAGAGATGAAAGACTTCGACATTCAGTCATTTACTAAGGAAATGGAAATTTCTTTCGAATTAGAAACACTTAGTAATAAATTAATGGATTATTGGTAAAGAATAAAAACCTGTTTGTATATTTTAGTAAATGTAAGAACTTTTTTATCTATTTTCGAAACAAAATCCAAAAATACTTTTTTATAATTTGCTAATGTAATTAAACAAACTTCACCATATGACGTATATTCGAAAATATTCAATATGTTTACGCTAATACGCTTACATTTTGAGGAAATTGGTTCATCTATAAAAATGATCAAATAAATATGTTAATACATGAACAAATATTATTGTATTCTATTTAATTCTATTCAAGAAATGTAGTTGTAGTTTCATTTATATTCTTTCTATGGTTCATAATTTTTTATATTATTAGATGAAGATGCCAGAAGGAGTAGGTGACAAAAGTGCATACTCTTAAATTAACCTTAAATGTTGATTTTTCAATATTTTCGGTATTAACCTTATTGTAAATTTTTCCGGTGATAAATTTATCACACTGAGGTTATTTTTCCGGTGAGATTTTTAACCTTGATTTAATGAAATTAATATATATAAATTTTATTATTTTTAATTTCGAATGAGTATAATAAAATATTTTTTATGTGTTTTTGTTTTTGATGTGATTTGAATTTTGTTAACTCTTTTCAAAATCACTTCATTTTTATGATTTCGGTGGACTTAGAGGAGCTTATTGCTTTTGGTATTAAACAGGAAGTCAAGGGCGGTGTCCCATACAGAAGAAGAACGGGATCTCCAAAGCAATATGTCACTTATTCATGTTCGTATCCCCTATGCAAGGCAAAATTTAGGGTTGAAGAACAAAATGGAGTGTTTACTATAAGCAAAGTTAATGAAGAACATTGCCATCATATAGGAGTTGAAATGGGTTCACATTACGCGAGTAAATTTTATCAAAAATGGATCGAACTTTATATTAAAAACGGTGGAAAGCAATTTCTTGCTCAAAAAGCATTTTTTGATAAGTTCGGAATTGATACGAATAACAAAGAAACGATGAAACTTTTCGCGCAGTCTACTGATGCTTTAAAGCACAAATTTTATCGCCTTGATGAGATTATTGCACAAAGATTATCAAACGATCCTTACACTTCTTTGGAAGCATTTTTGAATAATTTACAGGAAGAGTGCCCAGATGATCTCGTTCAATTTGATTACAATGGAGATTTTTCCGAGTTTACAATCATATATGCACCTTTTGCTGCAAAAGAATTGGTGCATAGCATTGATAACCCTCTCCACGTCGATTCCACTCATTCTTTAATTAAAGGAAAGATCCAATTGTTTGCAGTAACAATGAAAACAAGTCAAAACACAATTTTCCCCTTTTGCTATTTTTTAGTGAACCCTCAGACATCTGAAAAAATTCAAGAATGTTTGGTGAAATTCTGTGAGTTTGCGCACCTGGATCCACAGCATTGGAGCGCTGACTGTGCGCTAAACATTGCTCGCGCAATTGAGGACGGATTTCCTCTTGCGCAGCTCAGTTGGTGCGCTGTGCATGTTTTACGCGCATGTGCAAAAGTTGGAAGCTATTTTGACAATCCACAGAATTTTGAGAACTTCTATTTAGCAATGGACTTTTTGACATTACGTGCAGATGCAACGAATGCAGAAAAGCTGGCTGAAGAGTCTGATGAAACATATGAGTTCTTGACAACAATGTTAGAAGAAGAAGAACCGCGCGCTTTGAAGTATTTCGATAAACAATGGAGAAGAACCAAAGAACATTGGATGATGTTATATCGTGGAGAAGGTGATTCCACGAATAACATTGCGGAATCACACTTTCATCAATTAAAGCAAACATTTTTCTTGGGTAAGAAAAATGAGCGCATTGATGACATCGTCATAACTCTCATCACTGTTGTGATTCCAAATGCGATTATTAAGGTTCAAGTCGCTAATGTTTTGAATGAAGAAAGAGCAGTAAGAATTCTTACAAGGGCAGGTAATCAGATTGTTGAGCAAAGAGCTTCAAAACACGATGAATGTTTGAAATTAATTCAACACATTTTGGAAATTGTCGAAAGCCGAAGGATTGAACCTAATGTCCTTATTCCATCTTTGAAGGCAATATTAAATTTGGCACAAAGAAGTTTAAAGGAAGAGTAAGCAAGATTAGATAATTTGGACTTTTTTTAAAATTAATGAATAAACAGTATATTTTTGAAGTGTAAGCTTATTTACCTGAAGCTATATTACTTAATATAACATTCAAAGTATTATTGCTATTTATTGGAGAACAAATTTATGTAATTTTCACATGAAAATTGATAAATTTGTATTTCCTTATGATCAATTTTTGTATTTGTAGAGAGTCTCCCTGCATGATATCAAGACTTGGCTATAGTCTTTATCCATTTTTGAAAATTGTATTGTAAATTGTAAGAATTTCTGAATACTACTACTATAAAATATAATTGCTTATCTATGTATATTCTCCCTGCATGATATCAAGACTTGGCTATAAGTCTTTATCCATTTTTGAAAATTGTATTGTAAATTGTAAGAATTTCTGAATACTACTACTATAAAATATAATTGCTTATCAATGTATATTCTCCCTGCATGATATCAAGACTTGGCTATTAGTCTTTATCCATTTTTGAAAATTGTATTGTAAATTGTAAGAATTTCTGAATACTACTACTATAAAATATAATTGCTTATCAATGTATATTCTCCCTGCATGATATCAAGACTTGGCTATAGTCTTTATCCATTTTTGAAAATTGTATTGTAAATTGTAAGAATTTCTGAATACTACTACTATAAAATATAATTGCTTATCTATGTATATTCTCCCTGCATGATATCAAGACTTGGCTATAAGTCTTTATCCATTTTTGAAAATTGTATTGTAAATTGTAAGAATTTCTGAATACTACTACTATAAAATATAATTGCTTATCAATGTATATTCTCCCTGCATGATATCAAGACTTGGCTATTAGTCTTTATCCATTTTTGAAAATTGTATTGTAAATTGTAAGAATTTCTGAATACTACTACTATAAAATATAATTGCTTATCTATGTATATTCTCCCTGCATGATATCAAGACTTGGCTATAAGTCTTTATCCATTTTTGAAAATTGTATTGTAAATTGTAAGAATTTCTGAATACTACTACTATAAAATATAATTGCTTATCAATGTATATTCTCCCTGCATGATATCAAGACTTGGCTATTAGTCTTTATCCATTTTTGAAAATTGTATTGTAAATTGTAAGAATTTCTGAATACTACTACTATAAAATATAATTGCTTATCTATGTATATTCTCCCTGCATGATATCAAGACTTGGCTATTAGTCTTTATCCATTTTTGAAAATTGTATTGTAAATTGTAAGAATTTCTGAATACTACTACTATAAAATATAATTGCTTATCAATGTATATTCTCCCTGCATGATATCAAGACTTGGCTATTAGTCTTTATCCATTTTTGAAAATTGTATTGTAAATTGTAAGAATTTCTGAATACTACTACTATAAAATATAATTGCTTATCTATGTATATTCTCCCTGCATGATATCAAGACTTGGCTATAAGTCTTTATCCATTTTTGAAAATTGTATTGTAAATTGTAAGAATTTCTGAATACTACTACTATAAAATATAATTGCTTATCTATGTATATTCTCCCTGCATGATATCAAGACTTGGCTATAAGTCTCTATTCATTATGAGTATGACCCCATTTTTTTTTACAAAAAGTGCCGAATTGCAACTTTGTCCCAATCTCATGCCAGAAGCTCACTTTGTATATACATATGTTCTGAAATTCATTTTTTGGTTTAAAGAAACGTAATAAAATGTAAAAGAAAAGTTAATTAAATTTTATCTACAATTGCTTTGAAAAGTCTGACGACAACAGGGATTAACTTGTCATTGAAGTCAAAGTCAGCACTGTGAAGTGATGGGTGATTCTCTCCAGCACCAATCCATATCAAAGCGCCTTTTGTTTTCCTCAAATAGTATCCGAAATCTTCGGAAGCCCTGATTGGTTCTTTCATTTCATGGACTTCGAAATTTTCTTCTTTAGCAAGTTTCCTCAAGAAATCAACACTCTCATCATGGTTAACAGTTGCAGGGAATGGTTCACTGTATGAGTAATCAACAGTTAAACCATATTCTTCAGCGTTCTTTTCACAAAATTCTTTAACTTTATTTTCTAATTCTTCGTACTCATTTTCATGCTCACCTCTCAATGTGTAAAGCAATTCACCCTCAAAGGCAGACACTCCGAAAGTCCTCTCACCGACTTTGATCTGAATAACTGTGGCTAACGTTATTCCTTTGAAGTTTCTCTCTCGCAAAAAATTATCAACTTCTAAAACAGTTTTGCCGATGGCAAAAGAAGGATTTCTTCCTTTCTCTGGCTCACTTGCGTGAGAAGGAATGCCATGGAATTTGATGATCAAGCCTTTGGAAGCACAATTAACTGTTCCGTTGATCAAACCTAAATTTCCAAATTTAATTCCTGGACAATTGTGAACAGCGAAGACATTCTGGATCCTTTTTTCTTCTAATAGCATGGATGCTGGTTCTCCACCTTCTCCTGTCTCTTCCGCGTTCTGGAAAATGAAATAGATATCTTTATCTGATCCCTCTTGGGAAATTACACGTGCAAACGCAGCAAGAGTGCTACTGTGTCCATCATGTCCGCATTTATGTGCAGCTTCTGGATTCTTTGAGCAATATGGAAGATTTGTTTTTTCAGTGACTCCAATTGCATCAAAATCGGCTCTGAAAGCAATGGATCCTTTAGGATTTTGTGCTTTATATACAGCATAGAACCAAAATCCACGGTCAACTATTTCTAAATTAGTTTTTTGTGACAAGAATTCCATTAATCTCTTCTTCGTTTTGACTTCTTTGCCAGAAAGTTCAGGCATAGTATGGAGTTCGTGTCTGAGCTCAATTGCATCATTCAAGATCTCTGCATTCATTTTTTTTTCTAGAAAAAAAAAGATAAAAATCAAAAAGTGACAATTTTACGATAAATAATTCAATTTCTTTCTTCATTCATTCTTTACATTGGAGGAGTACAAAGCATTACTCTGAAGAATCTAGAGTTGAATCGTAGCGTAAATTGCGGAGATGTTTCATTTAACATGGAAAACGACAAGATAATCAAAATTTTCGAATACTTGAAGTCTTAAATGATTAGAGCCGAATTCCCAATTGGACCTTTAGTTTTCTAACAGATACGTTGAATCTATCTCTTTCGTGTTTTATCAATGACTTCCCGAAATTTTATCATATTTTTATTTTACAATAATGAAATCTGAGGATGAGAAAAGCAAGACAATTCTATTTCTCAGAATCAGAATAATGAAAAAAATCTTTGAAAGCAAATTTAAGTTTAGATATTTATTAATTTATTTGATTTCTTTATTTTATTTTGACACAACCACTCTTTATACAAAGTTATTGGCTATAATTGCTATTTAGGTCATTATAATTTTACTTGTATTGCCTAAGAATCTTTTGGTAGAGAGTAACATTTATCAACACCCAAAACTGTTATTGGAAGTTCGTGATTTAATGTTGATCCTTGAACTGCATCCATTGGTCCGCATTCTTTACATTCAAGTAACTTTGCCGCAACATTTTCATAAAAGTAGCTTTGAATGAAGGTTATTTTTCCTGATTTGGCCAATATCAATGGATCTTTTGATTTAGCATTTTGTACATTTTTCAAGAAACTACAATAAACAAATGACAGAGTTGGAGCTCCTTCGTATAAAATCAAAATACTCTTCTCTTGCGTGTTATTTGCGAATGTGGTATACAAGAATTCGCTTGGTAATTCCATGGCTTTTATGTACATGCCAGAGAACTCGTAACATCTATTGTTTGATATATTTGAGTGTTGGAACTTTGTCACAGAGTTGCCAAAATATATTGTACTGTTATTTTCATCAATCTTCGTTCCGCAGTCAAAAACAGCTATTGAATCGACATGATTGAACCCATCTGTGCTTGTTCTGACATAGAAGGCAACACCTCCATAACCTTTCGAGTTTAAGAAGCAATTTTTAATCATCACGCAGCTTCCTGAATCCCCGAAGTATAATGAGCCTCCAAATGTATATAAATTAGAGCAATTTATGAATGTGCATGATTCAGTGTAGACATGTGTGCTATCCATTGTGTAAATGAATTCTAGAGCATGATTTTCGATCCCAATATATTCGCATCTATAAATTTGATAATTTAATGGGTACCAAAGTTCTTGCCTTGTTTCATTAAGTTCAATAGATATTCTATTAATCGAATCATAGTAATCTTCCCATGTTGAAGCTAAAGATAAAGCGATTTCAAGCATATATTGAAAAAGGAAATATAATATGTTGAAAAAAAGTCGCTATATTTTAGTATTAACATTTAAAATTCATATTGATGAGATTTATATTTATATTAATATTTTATTCTAAGTAAATTGACATGACTGTAGGAGTGGAATCCGAATCATTGTTGATGTGTTTGAATATGTAAATAGATAACTAGGTAACCATTGTCTTAAGGGGTTCAAGTCTAGAAAGTAGTCAATATTTTATATACACTTTGTCATTTTAAAGTGGAAATTTGCCTATGTATAGGCTTGCAAAATGGAAGCTTTTCTGTGAGCTTCACTATTGAACAATGGTTCACAAATTTAGAGAAATGTTTTTTTCAAAGCAATGATCCTCTTTGTTTGTATACTTTCTCAAAATATTTGAGATTTTTGCCGGTTTAATTGACATGTATTAGATAATGTTATATTTTATGAAAATATTTTAAAGAACGTGTAAAATTAATGTAATCATTTCAATATTCAATTATATATTATTTGGGCATAATATATTATTATAAATATTATTGTTATTCATTTGCCATATCATATATTATCCAATTTCCCTCCTTGAAGTGTAAAATCTTATTTAATATAATTACTATATTTAATGCTGTTATACTTTCAGATTTCGTTTATATTGAATGTGTATATATAGTTCTCAGAAATTCTTTCAATTTCATCTATAGATATTTCAAACATGTCATAATTCTTTTTATCTAATTGATCTGAACTTGATTTTAAGATTTCTCATTTAAAGGTATCACTTTCTACTGTTCTTTTACACATAAATCATATTCTTTTTTATTGAATATTTTATACCTCAGATAGAAATGTTAGTTTTTTGGTTTCTCATGCTATATTTGGCTAAATATTCAGAATATGTGAATGCAGTATATACTCATTTTATCAAATAAAGAAAATTATTTAATATATGCTTTCAAAGTTCATTACAAAAAAATAAAGCAGTATTATAGTATAAGTGAATGTATGTATATTCGAATTTGAAAAATTAAAAATAAAGTAATTATATTCGGAAGTTAGTGAATGATCTGTAAATATATTGAGATGACAACGATGTTACAGTGATTCTAGAATGGTGTTAGGTTTTATAGGTCAGATGAATAACTTGAAATTTTCAAATAAATTCTTATAAATGAAATAATCAAGAAGACAAAGTAGGTTTTGAACACAAAGCTTATTTGTGATAGGGGATTTTGAATAGAAACTAATATTATATACGAATTCTAAATGTAACGTAACAACTGGAATTGTATTAATTAAATCTTCTAAAATTCAGCCCTAAGTGTATGTTTGCGTACTTGAGGTTATTCAACTATTTAAAAGTTGATGAAAAATTATTAATTTAATAAAATCTATCGCAATGAGGTTTATGTAGTCTGGAAATAGTAATTATGTTCAACAATTTGTGATAATCTTATATAGTTGAGATAATGATGAAAATAAAATTGCAAATTGGGCAAATTGGGAATTTGTTGAGTCGGAAACTGATGAGGATCAGAGCTAGATCCTATTCATCTTGTTTTGAATTTTCAAAATTCTTTCTGATTTAAAGAAAGCATTGATGAATTCGTTGAAATTCAGAATATTTTTCAGATTTTCAAATTTTTTTGGAAAAAAAGAACTTTGATTCGAGTTCATTTACTCAAATCTGGCGAAAAAAGAAGTTTAATAGATATTTAAAATGGTAAAATTGTTATATTTTTAATATATTACACATAAAATTCTAAATTATAGTTAGATGTCATTGATAATTTCTTGAAACACATTATCTTTCATATTCAACAAAATTATATTTCGGTTTTAGATTTTCATAAGATAGAGCACATAAATCCATATTGAAAAATAGGCACTGGGGCAAACATAACGATAATTTTTTCAACTTTGTCAAAAAATATTATTATGAAACCCTCCTCAATTCAGAAGGAGGAGAACGATGTAAGTTCGGATAATATGGTTGCTGTTGAAATAAATGATGGTTATGTTCCAGAATATCTCATGAATCTCGATAAAGTTAACCATAAAGACGATATTATCATGTTCTTACTGTTTCTATCTTTTATAATAGTTAATATATTAGTTGGAATTCTTGCTCCATCAACAACAAACACACTTTCAAAGTCGTATCCTGTTATTGTTGATTCACATGATTCATATTCGATTTATTCGATGGGAATAGAATCGATTTCGCCAATGAATTCATATATTAAAATGCGAGTAGGATACAGATCAGAAGGTTTTACTAATAAATCAGCAAAAGTTCTCCTTAACGTTTCAATGAAATACACAAATCCGAAATCCGACCATACAAAGAGAGCATTCAAGAGTTCGAATGTTACTTTTTCAACACTTCCTGAACAATATAACACCAACTGGCATCTAATTTATTTCGAAAGAATTGTCGATTTTACACAAGTCACTGCCGAAATAGTTGTTTCAGGATCTGAGCTCGGATTCAATACATTCGTATGCGAAGCCATCATATGCTCTTATTCTGACTCTCTTGTACAGATTTGGATAAGAATTGTTTATTCAATCGTTTTATTCGTCGTTTTGAGGACATTTAATGCGAAATTAAAGACAGTAGATGTCAGACATGAGCAATCACTATCATCTGGCCTTTTATTTACTACGATTTTCTTAAATGATCCAGCAGTTATCGCAAATTACATCAGACCTACACTCGGAGTTACAGTTTTTGATTCAATCATGAGGTCGTTTTACACAGGCTACTTGGCACTCTTTGTTTTCGTTGTTTTGGGCCACTGCGGCATCAAAGAGAAAATGATGGGTGATTTCATCACAAATCGTTTATCAATAGCTGCTGTAGTTGGTCTAGTAACAATAACAAGAGAGTTTTTGCTTGATTTGGCTCAAATTTATAACCCAATGATGCAAATCGTGAATGCTGATTATTATTTGAAAATTGTAGAGTATATAATACTGGCAGGTTGCGCAGTTGGCATTGTAATAGAAACTGTTCGTTCTTCGCGAAGAATTGACGAAATTGAGAAATTCAGACTTGTCATTTACGTCATCGCTTCATCGTTAGCTTTATTTATTTTGACATCAGTTATGGGCTTGATTGGTGAAAAAACTACTCTTAAATTCCTTGCAACGTTTGGATCTGCAAATGCTCTTGCATTTGCAATGACTTATGCTCACTATCCATTCAGTATCGATAATATTGAATATAAGGATGCTAAAAATGCTGATATTGCTTCGTTATCAGATAATGAAAATGTTGGGTTGTTGGATAACGAAAATGAGCATGAATTCCTTGGAAAGGAAGAGACAGAACTTAATGTTGAAGATATAGAAGCTCAAAACAATGTTCCTGAAGAGGAGGAAAAATAATTATTTATATTCTCTCTGATTTGTTTAATTTTGTTATATAAAATTTGCAGTTATACAATTTTACTCCCCGTACTCCTATAATTTACAAAACTATATTCAAATTTGCGAATGAAGGGATTATTATGGTGAGAATGTTGCATGCTAAGTTCGGTCAACGATAGAAATTGAGTGGAAATTAATCATCGAGGAAGTACGATTATGTAAAGTAAAAAAAAATGTTGTGGGATTTTTAATATTATATATTATTTTATAATAAAATTTTTTTGAGTCATTTTAAGAAGCACATATAATTTTTTGAATTTAAAAATTAAAGTAGTGTCAAACGAATTTATCACTTAATTTAATACTCAGATTTCTTAAAATTAATGAAAAAGGGTTTTCTGAGAACTTTTGAGAATTGTTTTCAAATTCCATTATTGAAAATATATAGGTATTGTATGAAATTCAAACTCTATATTTATTAAAATTCTAAATTTTTAATAAAATAACTTTTCAGAGGAATATGATTTTGAATGGTTGATTAATAAGTATAAAAATGTCTACGATTTTAAGGAGGGAATTGTTCCTTATGAGGTATACATCATAACTATATACCTCATAAGGAACAATTCCCTCTTGATATCCTGGATATTTTTGAATATATTTTTTTAATTAAAGTTCTCAAAAGTATTATCAAAAGTGATTTTTAAAAAATATCTCCAATTAATTAACTAATTAAAAGTATTATATTTTTAAAATTAAATAGTTTTTTCAATTTTTTTGAAGGAATTGAGATACTTCCCACGACAATAAAATTGAGAGGTTTACATTATGACTGATCTTAGCATGCAACAAGAATCGTATCATAATGTTTACTGGTGCTCTCAAATTATCGTGATGTATTGTAATTGACAAGCTTGGATAAATCGAATCTGAATTATTTATCAAAACTCGATTTTGAATGAGATCTTCTATTATGGTGAAATAGAAGATCTTTATTGATCGTTATCGACTAGCAGAAATGATTGAATCTATTCAAATTTCGATTGCAATAAAATGTAAATCGGATTACTTTTGAAATTAAGAATACTAGAAAGGGCAAGCTTTATTATATGATCTAGATTCAATTTTTCAAACCGATATAACCGTTATATCAAATCAATATCCACCTAAAATGACATGAAATGAAAATATATCTTTTTTTATTGCAGAAACATTTGATATAAACCGAAAATGTTTACGACAAATTTCTGAGGTCACAAAATAGTCTTGTTGTGAAATTGCCAGAATGAAACAAATTTTAAAAATTTTAAAATCCTTTTCAAATCATAATTGAATAGACTAATTATGTCAGATTTTTCATTTAAATATAACAAGAAAATGACCTCAAACATAATCAAGAATTCCTGTTTAGCGATTGTAGATTCAATAATATCATATCCATCATGCATTTATTGGCTTGCAACGCTATCAATTCTTATTCTTTATCTCTATTCGTTCAGTACCTTCTTACGTAGAAGTCCGATTTTAAAATTTCCGTTTATTTTCGATCTCATGGTTTTCAGCGTTACAAAAATTAACTTTAGAATTCAAGCTTATCTCTCAACTATTTTAACTATTTTCAACTTTTTCTATTTACAGAAATACTATCGTCTTTCACATAACCACTCAAGCTCCGAAATCAAGCAGAGGCTAAATGCGTATTTAATCGTTTTAGCCGTTTCCGATATTGTATATATGGTCTCGTTTTACTTCATGTGCTTCATCGACATTAAGCAGCATCCAATCTACCAAGGCGTTTTTTCAATACTATTCTTCTTAACTCACCCATTTATCCATTTAATTCCAAAAGGAATCGTCAGATTAAGACATGTTAATCGATCTTTGTACGGGTATTCTCTCATTAATACTGCAATCCTATTAACAATTATTGGCTCTCCAATTTTAATTTACGCAAGATTTTTCAACAAAAAAGACTCAATCTCATGGGTAGTATCCGGCGCTTTATTTACTTTTGCTTATTTACTTAATGGCTTAAGTTTCATATTTGACGCCATAACTGTCCTTGGACACAGATTTATCCGCTTTTACTTGTACTTCCCTCAAGAAAAGGCAAAACATACTCGTCGTGTTGTTGTTGTTTAGAGTAAACTTGTTTGTTATTTTTTCGGTTTTAAAATGATCAATAACTTTTTTAAATTGCTTAAAGAGATCGACAATCAACAAATAATAGTCTACCTTCTTCTTTTTCTTCTGAAATTAGACTATTAAAAAGAATTATTATAAGTGAAAAGTCTCAACACTCTTTTAAAAAACTGTTTAAAAATGGACTTTATATTGAAATAGTGAGGAGACTAAAAATCACCACAGACTATTTCAGAGGATTGAGTTGTCACTCAATCCTCTGAAAAGTCTGAGATAATTTACAAAATTATTCTTTAGAGTTATCGAATAAAATATCAAAAATCATATTACCTTGCATTGCAGATGCAAGTTTCGAAGTTGGATTCACGAGGCATTACAACGTAAACTATTCATTTTTAATATGAGACTGTTTATTTTTGAGAAGTTTACATATATTTTTGAGAAATTTATGGTGTCACGCTTTTCGTAACGCCAGGCCTTTGAATTTTTTTTTCATGACACCGTAAACTTCTCAAAAATCAAAGTAAATATTGCAATAATTCCTGGTTGTTATTTGATGAGGGGGTACATCCATCTTTGTCTTTAGCATTGATATCTGCTCCATTTGAAATAAGAATTTCGGTTGTTTCTTTGCTACCATCTATGGCTGCCCAATGAAGAGGGGTGGATCCATCTTTGTTTTTAGCATTGATATCTGCTCCATTTGAAATAAGAATTTCGGCTGTTTCTTTGTTATTATTCCCAGCTGCATAATGAAGAGGGGTACATCCATCTTCGTCTTTAGCATTGATATCTGCGCCTTTTGAAATAAGATATTCTAAAAGTGATGAAAGATGGAAACTGGGGGAATAAACAAAACATGTGTTGATATCATATGTTTGGTCCAAATAAACTAAAAATGATTGGAGATTATTGTATTGAGAGCACAATTCTAAATCAATTTTTATGTTGTGTTCATTCATCAAAAACGTGACAAAATCAATATTGTGTGATATAATTGCATATTTCATGCATTTGTTATCTGGTATTTGTACTTTCAAGCATTCATTCATAATGTCTGGATTTCCACCCAAAAACGAATATCTAAGACAATTTGGAGTTATTATTGATTGAAATTTCGTTCTTAAAAACTGAAAATATTCATAAGATCCATGATAACAACATAGTTCAAGTAACGAAATACCTCCTTTTGAAAATGGATATAAATCACTATCTAATTTTTGTTTTTTATCAAATCCTTCTCTTTCTGTAAAGGTTATCAATGATATTTTGTCATCATCCATAATAGATCTGTGAATTGTTTTTTGTTCGTGAATATCAGCTGTATAATGAGAATCTTCAAAATCGTTAAAATTTTTTCCCCGTTTTCATCTAATACTATACTGTATTCTTTGTAGAAAAAGTAATTAAAAACTTTGTTGATTTCGTTGACCTGACTTAGATGGTATTCGTCAACAATTTATTTGGCAATCGCTAAATATGACTTCATGTAGCGGTTTTTATAAATTGAAACTTGGGATATTTTATTGACAATTTCACCAGGCGAAATATGATAAGAGTCAATCAGGTTTTGTTTGATTTTTTTGTAAATTGCGTTTAATTTTTCTTCGTCATTTGTTTTCAGCCTGTACAAAGCATTGTAGACATCATTGTATCCTGTTAAAATCTCCATCAAATTGTCATAATGAGTTTGGTTAATTTCTCCCTTGGACATCAACCAAAAATTTTAAATGTCGTACTTTTACATAAATGAGTGCGGGACAAATTTGCCAAGTGTCACTTTTCAATAACCCTAAATTACGCTTTTCTAATTTTTTTTAAAAATAACCTTAAATTATATTTGAAGAAATTATGTCTATGATATATGTTTTATGCTAGAATCTTGGAGTTTTCATGCACTACACAAGAGCTCCAAGGTTCCAAAAGTGAATGCTCAATAGCAATTATAGAGATGTACCTTTTCAAAATGACTTTTACTGATTAAATTTAATCAATAGAAGACATTTTGAAAAGGTACCTCTACAATTAGATATACAAGAGATTCAAAGCTTCATTTCAGATAGATTTGAAACTTTGAAACTCTTGGTAGATTTTGAGTGAATGCTGACAATCATCTTTGAGAAGGTTTTCTTAAAGAAAACCTTCTCAAAGAGGTTTCTCAGGAGCTCTGAGGCTCCCTTTCGTAATGATTGGGAGCCTTGGGGCTCCTGAGACGAAGAATGGCTTCGCCGAATCTTTGATCAGCAGAGGCCAAATGAAAAGGCCTCTGCTGATTGATTCTCAGGAGCCCTGAGGCTCCCTTTCGTAATGATTGGGAGCCTTGGGGCCCCTGCAGCAGAGTATCGCTCCGCTCCATTAATTTTTTTTAAAAAAAGTGCCGTGTGGCAAATTTGTCCTGTTCCCTTACATAAATTTCGTTTTCAAAAGAAGAACTATATTCTAATAATGGTTTGTTTCATCAACGGTTACTCCACAGATACTATGAAATTTTGCTGAATTCTTTTTTCCATTCATGGGTTAGTTTAATCACTTCTTTAAATAGTTATTAAGTTCTTCGTCTTTCTTTCGTTTTGAAGCTTTGGAGATCTTTTTAGCGGATTTTAAGGTATAATTTGTCATGAACACTCTATTTTCTGCAATCATATTTTCAATCGTCCTTACTTGATCTTTAAGACATCGATTTTCTCACATTAATTTATTTATGTTATCATCATCTTGAGTTTGAACTAAATTTTGAGCACTTGGAGCTGGTTTGAGGATTATTGACTTAATAGATTCCTTATTAGAATTAAATGCAGATTTTTTCATTAAACTTTCATACGATTTGTATTCTTTTCTTTCAGTATTTTGTCATGTTTTCAATTAACAAATACATTTACTGTATGATGCACAATCTATGCAAGCATTATTATATTCTATTTTTTTACCATTCAAAAATTAGATTTAACATGAATAAACACAATATTTAGTATTACAAACAATAATATGCATAAATTAGCCAAAGTATTCTTCTACAGAACGTATAATTCTCGTTAAATTTTTATCATTTTTCTGAAGTTGGTTTGATAAAAGGACACAACACTGATATGCAGCTGCTTCGCACTTTTCAGTGTTTTCACATAGTTTTTCATAGCTATCTATCAAAGAAGCAGCAATTCTAAGCACAATTTCGAAATCAAATGATTTGCAATGAGAAACGATGGTCAGCATTGAAATGGCAACCGTTTCTCTATCGTTTTCATCGTCACTTTGGGAATAAACTTCGAAAAGAGGTAAAAGTTCATCAATTTTTTTTGGATCAAAAATTGAAAGAATTGACCAAATTCTGACGGAGTAAATATGATCATCAAATGGGAATATTGCTTTAACTCTCTCTACAATATCATTTGAAACGATATCTCTGAATTCTAACAAAATATTATATAATTTTTCTGAAATTTTGTTGAAAAGTTTGTTTTTCTTTGGTTTATCTTCATCAAACTTGATAAAGTTCTCACACACCGTAACAAACAAACCTAAAAATTCAGGATTTTTCTGATTTTTCGCAATTTTTTCCAAAACACGTAATAAATCCTTTTGACATAGTCTGGAAGCACATGTTTGATATACAGTCTCTCTAAAGAAATTGCAAATTAAGTCAATTTCTCCATATTTCGTTAGAGATTTCAAAATTTGAGTTCCTAAAGAGTTTAAATCCTTAAAGAATGATTTCATTGCATTAACAGCAACAGTCATGACTGATTCAACATCGTAAATAGTCTTATCTTTTTTGATAATAATTTTGAAAATTTTCAGAGCGGAAAGAATGTCATTTTTCAGATCTTCATCATACTCAAATGCGAGTCCATCAGATTCTAAGATGATTTTATTCTTTGCAACATCATTTTCGCCAAGAGGCAACAAATTTGTTCCTGCAACCTTCAAAATGAAGTTATAATATGGAGAACTATCTTCTACATAATCAGATAGAACATTCATTTCTACTGCTGCATTGATTATTTCAAGAATTTCAGCTCTAGTGAATTCATCAAAATTAATTGAGTTAAAAGAATCAACAAACGTATCCATTATAGGCACTGCTTTGCAATACTTATAAATATCAAGTATAATCTGAGTTCCATCATTGAAAAATTCAGAATTTTGTAAAGATCCAATAATAATGCTTTCAAATTCATTAAAAACATCCAGAAAATTCGCTTTTAGGTTCTTAACAATCTTATCAATGAGATTCAAAGCCGGATGAACCAGAATTTGGTATTGAATTGCATTTTGAATTAAAGAAGTCAGTTCTGCTATTGTGGGGACAGATGGATTGCCTGTTTGTGATATTTGTACTTTAACAGCGTCGAGAGTGTTAATTAAAACTTCTTCATCTTGAATTGTTGAAGAAAACTGAATTAGAAGGTCGAGAAATGCTTCTGAATAACTACTGATTTTCTTGTTCTCTATTTGAAGGAATTCCAAAGCAGCATTTTGTAAAAATTTGTTATCTGTTGATAAAGCACTAGAAATTACATCGAAAATCACTTCTATATTATCTTCAATGCATTTTGCTTCATTTACACTAAGTTCCGTCAAAAGGGAAATTCCCAAAAAGTGACACACAGGTTCACTTTTTTGTAAATTTTTTTCTACTTCAGAATAAATTGAAGAATTTAACTCTTCATCAGCCGCATAGCATATTATATCTGATATCAACAATATGCAGTCTTGTATAAGCTCACTTTCGTCCGGATTTGGCTCAGTTAAAATTGTATTTATCGAGATAATTATCAAATCTTGTTCAAAAACTCTTATACTATCTAAATCTCTATATATAATCGATTGAATGAAGATGCATGCAGTTGATCTGACACCATAATCTAATGTTTGGTTGCTTAATACCTGAGTTAAGAAAGAAATTAAATTTGGAAAGAACTCTGAAAAAATTTCTGGTCCTTCTAGATATATATCATTTATGTAAGATATAAATGACTTCAGTTTGTCAATTGGAATAGTGTTAATTTGCGAAATAATTGTGTTTGAAAATTGAATCAAATCTTCATTGTGAGTTTTACCCCATATGATCTGTAACAGATATAGGGTTCCTTCGTAGGCATAATCGTATGGTTGAACTATGTATTCTGAAATGATTTCACAAGCAGTTGAATAAAATTGGTTAATTTCGATTTTATCAAGCTTGATTGCCCATGAAAGAGTAATTAATATTGTTTTTACTGCTCTTTTATTATCATTCTGTAGAAAACTGAGAAGATATTGGATAGGATTGTCCAATGAATCGACTAAATAGTAAACAAATATCCGAGAAAATATATGCAGTGGTAAGTCATCATAATTATTGATAATATTTGGGGTATTGATGATAATTGATGAAATTTGTGAAAATATATTATTTAAATCTGAAATCTTTTCTTTGTAAATAGCTGCGTTTTTATGTGATATTAGAGATGATATTAACGTTAAGCTTCCTTTCTGATATGATTTATCCGATAACATAGAATTCAGATATTCGAAGCACAAAATCGGGTTATTCAAAGCAAAATCATGAAATTCTGCTTCACATTTCTCTCTATCCTGAAAATTTCCAAGCATATTATTAAAAATGTGCTGAAAATAATCGAAATTCATACAAGAAACAAATCCGTGAAGAGAAAAATATTTTTTTCCATTCCACACAAAATGGCCGAGTGCAATTTACAGTATACTTGAATCTTTACACATCTGCATTGAGCTTTCATGTTCCAAATGGTCAATCATCATATACATTGAGATATTATTTTTAGTTTTTCAATTCTTATAACCCATTATTACTAATCCCGATGCTTTCAGGAAATAAAACAACACAGCTATTAGATCTGGGCGACATTTCATAAACCTAATATTGACTCACTTTAATCTTGATTTATTTCTCAGAATATTAAGAATACAAATGAACAAATAGTTATACATTAATGTTATGATATTACATATATGAATTGGAAAATGCGACTATGAAAAATGTAAGACTCAATTACCAACATTCTGAACAATTTGTTATACTTTCATTACAGAATCGTTTTCTATGTATTTGTAAATCAATACCTCTTGTTTCCCAAAGATCTAAGTTTTTTTCCATTTGTGATCTATCGACTACACTATTTAGTAATGTCATCATGAGTATGCTATTTTACTAATAAATAAACTGACAACGAAATGGACATATTACAAAAATGTCGATTCTAAGAAAAAAGTCTAAATGCATCAACGACTAACTTTTTTCCCCATTTTCAGAACAAAAATTTAACATTATTTTCAATAACAATACTATTCATTCATATCATATTTGGTAAATTGTCAATATTTTTCAAAACTTTTTTTTTGCCTAAAAATTATAAACATTATTTCATTACATTTACTATAAGTTATTATCACTTTATTTTATTTTCTATAAATGTTTCAATTTAAGGCTATTAAATTTGTGAAGGAGTCGTATGTTTATTTTCAGAAATGATTAACCCTTCGAAGGGTGAAGCGCCATTTCCTTTCAGACAAAGATAAGGAAATCATTGATATATTGTATGAAAGAAAAATGGATCCTTCAGCAATTGCAGAGGCAATAAGTCACACACCTAGACAAATCAAAGATTATATAAAATGTAAAAAGGAAAGTATAGAAAACAAGTTTTCATTTGAAGAAGATCAAAAACTTATAGAGTTATACCAAAAGAATATTAGGAAAGCAGGCGAATTAGTAAAATATTTCCCCAATAAAGCGAGTTGGATGATCAGAAACAGAATAAAGTTGTTATTTCGAAGAAACCAGATAGGTCCAAACGCAACAACGATCACTTTTCGAATCGATAAAGAAAAAATTGAATCATCTATTATTCCTTTAGCAATTCCACAATTGCTAATTTTAGATACTTCACACGTTAATTTGGAAGAGAAACCCAGCCAAAAGTTTTATTTTCCCTCATTGAATATGCCACAAAATCACGAAAATGAGAAACAATTCTCAATAACATATTCAACTAATGTAATTCCAAAATTTGAGTTGCCTGGAACAGATAAATAAAAAATTTTCATGAATATTAATAAAATATTAGATTTGTATTTCATAATTAATATTTATTTTCATAGGAATTTCGCGAAAAATTTTTGTACCCAGAAATTGAGATGCAGTTTTTGGATTTTTTAAATTGTGTACTTATGAAAATTGAGAGCTTTTTTGAAAAAGTGGAAATTCAAATAACTTTTTGTTTATAATAATGTACGCTCACAAAATAAGACAAACGATCTTGGCAATCTAAATTTTATCATCTGATGAGTCATATATTCTGGTTCATTTTATTCTTCATAAGTGAATGACTTTTTTTTTGCAAAATATATTAGAGAAATTAAATGTCTTATCTTTTCTCGCCTTTTACAACTGTGATGTCCAATTTTTCTGACTTTGGACTAACTGTTCATCAAAATTCATTTTCAAAATATACTTTTAATCATATTTTCCATAGTTTTTAAATTAAGAATCGGAGCCACTACTTGCTTTGCATATGAAATAAAGTGAAAAAACGAAGCGACCATAAATTATTTTGTAAATTTCGAAAAAAATAAAAAAATTTTAAATAAATAGTCTTTATATAAAAAAATATAAGTTCTCTAAATACTTGCAAATTGTTGAGCAACACGAACAACATTTGAAAAAACATCATCAGAAATCAAAAGTTTTGACTTTCCTCTCTGATCCAAACTAGCGCAATGCACGAATATTTGTGCCAATCTTTCCTTTGTTTCTTGGTCGCTTTGGTTAAATGCGGTTAAAAGTGTTGAATAAGCGACAGAAGAGCAATCATCGAAGCCAATCTCGAGAGGGAATGCCTCTATTATTATTGGCAATGCCTCGGATAGTTCTATCATTCCATTTTGAACTAATGAACAAATAAATGCTACCGCGGCGGTTTTTGTCTGGAAATAGTACGCCTGACCTTGGTTATCACTCTGTACAAAAGACGATGAGTCATCAAACAGCTTTGACAAGTGTTTTTCGAGAATTTGAGGGTTAGAATTTACAATTGTCCTTGCAGAGACTAAAACATACGGTGTAGTGTTGCCGTCAATCTCTCCTATTGCTGTTACAATGAGTTTTACGGCTTCACTTCTTGCAATTGTATGTAATTTGTCTCCACAGTACTTAAACAAGGCAGCAATGACCTGAGAGCATGCGGATGCCTCATTCGAGTCACTCTTAACGCATGACTTGCATGCTTGGACAATTTCTGTTGGGTTAATTTCATTTGGATATTTTGATATGATGTCTATACATAATTTATAGACATTCGGCATCAACTTGGCCTCAAACTTTGTTTCTTGTTCTAAATTAGCTGGTGCATCTTCGTCATCTCCTTCAAATGGAAGATCATCTTCATCATCATCGTTTCCTGGGCCATCAACCTGTTGTATAGGTAGCTTATGCTTCAAGGCCGTCATTGTTTCAGCGAACAAACCTTCATCTGGTCTAAAAACGAAATCTTGAGAAAGAGTGTTCGTATTAAAGAGCAAATCAGCAGCCTGGAAGAATATTCCAGCTAATTCAGCGTTAGGAACTGTTGTTAGCTCGGAAGCATTCTCCAAAAGCTCTTCTGCGTTTAATTGGTATTTAATTGTCATTGAAACAGCAGTTTCCAGTGAACATCTTGCCAGCATTGGGTCGAGGTTGAACACAGAGAAGTAAGAAGTGAGTATATTCATGAATTCATCAACATCTTCCCTGTTTAATGAATTTGGATAAATTTCAACAATGGATTTAAGCAAAGTAAAGCATTGGTTTAGTGTATTTATAGCATCCATGGCTTTACTAGACTTCCTATTGTCTCCATCGTCGTTCATATCCTCTTCTTCTCCGATATCATTCATTTTTACAAGAGTTGTAAGGATATCGCCGTTGCAGATCGACTTAACAAGGTTCAGACCAAGAGGAACAAGCTCTTCTATGCCTTGTACTGGCTCTGCAATGATGCATGACATAGCAGATACACTTGCGCATTGTAGATCGAAGTCATCGCTTTGGGCAGCCTCGATAATTGTCTGTAACAAGTTGGGCTCTTGCATTAATGAGTTGTCAGCTGCAAGCAAATGCCCTAAAGCGATAATCGCGTTTCCTCGAATTAATTGGTCGGCGGTTTGGTCGACCTCCATTGCGTCGCTGATGATGGATATGATCTCTTGGTATATGCTTGAGAGCTCCTTTCCGCCTAAAGTTATGAAAATCTGGAGACATTCAAGGGAAAGAGAGACCAAATTACTGATCTGTATGGATGTCTTGATCACATCCCATATGAATTCGTAGTTTTCGGCTGGCGTTGGAAGGTTTTCCATACATTCCATCAAACAATAGATAATTTCGCGGCGGAGATCATCGGAAATGCCTTCAATCTGAAGATTAGCAACAATTAAGTTGTAGATGTCCTCAGAATAGGCATCTAAACTATGATTTGATTCTGAAATGAAATTCGTCAACGCGGAGAAGGCTGCTTCCCTAACAGCCATGCAGAACTCTTCATTTGAAAGGATTGATGCTAAGAATCCCATGATTGTTGAAAGATTATTTAGTGCAACATAAGGATCGTGCATAATAAAGGTATCTAAGATCAAAATGATGGTAAATGCTGATCCTTGGCCTTCGTAAACGAACAATTCATGGATCATTTCCCATAATCTTGTTGCATTTATTTCGGCAAAGATTATTTCAAAGAGATCTCTGCAATCTGACTGTTCGTATGCACTTACATTTGTATCAAATTGAAGATCAGAGTATTTAATAATGGATTCAATGAACTGTGGTATCATTTCTCTCATATCTCTTGGAAATGTCATGAAACACTTGGAAATTGGCAAGAAAAGAGTGTAAATATTACCTGGACTGATGGATGGAGTAAGAATTTGAAGTAGATTCTGTGTTAATTCCATTGGATTCATAACTCCCGCTTGTGTGATTGATCTTTCAAGGGAATCACATATGTGTCTTGCAATTGGGGTTGCATTGGAAAGGTTTTCTTGTAGTATTCTTAATAAATTGTCTAATGAAGGGCGAATTGTTTCTGGAAATTCTTCATTTAGCTTGCAAATAGTGTTGGCGAAGAGAAGACCAGCGGATTTTACGAGCTCGACGTTGTTATTAAAAGATAAAGCGTTTACAATCATTTGGTTGATTTCTGGAACTAATCCACTTAAATCTTCAGGTTCAATATGAAATTCTGCAATAGAAAGTAAGCTAGTAGCAATAAATAGACTCTGCTGCGTTCCAAGACCAGCGCATTCGATAGAATAAGGAATTAATTCTGGCCATTGTCCATTTGCGATACAGGTGAGTAATTCAATTGAAGCAATGAGTAAATTTTGAATGATTTGATCTGTTTCTGAATGTAATATTTCGAAAAACAATTGTTTGACCTGTGGTTGAATTTGGCTGTTCAGAAAGTCTTGTTTATGAATCTTTGACATTATTTTCAATGATGTGGCTGCAAATTTTCGTAGGTGTAACGAATTTTCATGATTTGAAATTAATTGCAAAACTAAAGGGTAAAATGAAATATCTTTTTGCACATTTAGAACCTCGGTTGTGATTTGATCATAACCATCATATGAACCTTGGGAAGAGGCTGCTTGAAATAATGCTACAAGTTGATCCATTTTTAGAAAGGACGATAGAAGATTTTAGGGAGAAAAATCGTGTCTTGAATAAATAATATGATGAAAAATATTCAGTGACAATTTTTATTAATAAATACAGAATTCTTAAATTGAATTTTGTAAATTTAAGGTTATTCAATATATTTGGTATGCGGTCTGGAAACTTCTTTCCCTAAGTTATCAAATTATATATATTTGGAGATAGAAGTGGGACTCATTGTTATGGAGTTATAATCCATATTCTAACCATCTAATATTGTGGATAGATATTAGTGGGAACAGGACAAATTTGCCACACGGCACTTTTTTTAAAAAAAATTAATGGAGCGGAGCGATACTCTGCTGCAGGAGCCCCAAGGCTCCCAATCATTACGAAAGGGAGCCTCAGGGCTCCTGAGAATCCATCAGCAGAGGCCTTTTCATTTGGCCTCTGCTGATCAAAGATTCGGCGAAGCCATTCTTCGTCTCAGGAGCCCCAAGGCTCCCAATCATTACGAAAGGGAGCCTCAGGGCTCCTGAGAAACCTCTTTGAGAAGGTTTTCTTAAAGAAAACCTTCTCAAAGATGATTGTCAGCATTCACTCAAAATCTACCAAGAGTTTCAAAGTTTCAAATCTATCTGAAATGAAGCTTTGAATCTCTTGTATATCTAATTGTAGAGGTACCTTTTCAAAATGTCTTCTATTGATTAAATTTAATCAGTAAAAGTCATTTTGAAAAGGTACATCTCTATAATTGCTATTGAGCATTCACTCTTGGAACCTTGGAGCTCTTGTGTAGTGCATGAAAACTCCAAGATTCTAGCATAAAACATATATCATAGACATAATTTCTTTAAATATAATTTAAGGTTATTTTTTAAAATAAGAAAGTGTAATTTAAGGTTATTGAAAAGTGACAGTTGGCAAATTTGTCCCGCACTCAGATATTAGTCAATTAATAATTTCTATATGAAGTAAACACTCATTTTACATTATGAAATTGTTGTAATAATAAATAATTAAGGCAGTAGCAATGAATATTATCGATAATTCAAGAAATAGTTTCCTTTTTGAATATGATCTTGTCTTATCATACAATTCTGCTTGATAAGAAATGATAGCATTCATATTATCATATCTTTTGAACTTTCTTGCAAATCCCAATGCATCGCGGTTGTTTGGACCAAATGCATATATATCCGGTTTATGTGAGAGAATTAATTCAACAATTTCTGGTGTCGACCGAAAAGCTGCTGATTGTAAAGAAGATTCATCGTCACGATTTCCATTCGAGATTTCTACTCCATGCGAAAAAAGAAATTGAACCATATCTTTTTGGTAGTTTTTGATAGCTAGGTATAAACATTCTTTTGAAATGCGTTTTGATAAAACTGCACCTTTGTTTAAAAACAAGTCAACAACCTCTATGTTTCCTGACTTAACTGCTAATTCAAGAGATGAATGCCTATTTTCTGTGAACTTAGCACCTTTTGATAAAAGAAATTTTGCAGTTTCTAAACATCCATATTTTGCTGCATTTTGAAGAGCTTCATCTCCATATTTCGTAAGAATATCAGGTGATTGTTCAATGAAATATTTGCAAAGACTAGGCATATTAAAGCTTGCTGAATAAATAAAGCTCTTAACCATATCATTAGTTTGATCCATATAAACAAATAATGCTTCAAGATTATTTGCTTTGCAACAATCTACCAAATTCATGTCAATTCCATGTTCATTCTTTAAGAAGGTAATATAGGGTGTCCAAAGGTGCGTTTAGCACAGCGCTCTATATGAGACTATTAAAGGAGATATATGCTGATTATAAATATATAATAAAAAATATGAATATATGTATATGATGAGTATGTTGTATTTTGGCGCCATGCCGGGATATAAAATGAATTTTGAGACAAGAGGCGGTTTCGCGGGAAATTTTGGCGGGATTTTTTTCATTTTTTTAATGAATCATAAAGAAAACATCCTCGCTCTTGCAAAAAAATGCAAAGACTGTAAAAAAATCTACGAGACATTGGTAAAATGCTTCGGTATGGATGCTCCTAGCTATTCCACTGTAACGTATCATGTTAGGATGTATCACTTCATGAACAAAAAGGCGCCCATCATAAAAATTGACAAAAAATCGCCGGATCAAAGAAAAATCAAAGCAATTCTTCAAGCGCTAGATGAAGACCCAAGAGCATCACTCAGAAGGATAGAGGAGATGACAAAGATACCACGTACAACAGTCAGTTATTATCTGCACAATTATTTGAACTACAAACTAGCGTATACACGTTGGGTTCCGCACAACCTTAATTCAGTTCAAAAAAAATCTAGAGTCCAATCTTCGAAAGAGCTCCTCTCTATATTGGGTGCGTATCAATCCAAGAAGTTTCGCTTTTTAGTAACAGGGGACGAGTCTTGGTTTCAATATGCAACAGAAGCCAAAATCATGTGGATCCAGAAGGTGAAAATCCGCAAACATTCCCGAAGAAAAAAATTGACACACCAATGATGATGTTGTCGGTTTTTTGGGGCGTGAATGGCATCATCGCAATTGATATTCTTCAAAAACCTAATACGATGAATGCTCAGTATCTAATTGACAATGTTCTTACTCAAATTATCAATTCTGATGAGTTTGAGAAATCCAAACAACAAAAACAAAAGTTTGCAATTCATTTTGATAATTCAAGAGTTCACAAAAGTCATAAGGTAATGAATTACTTGGTGGAAAACAATGTCAAAGTTGTTCCAAACCCAATTTATTCACCTGATATTGCACCCTCTGACTTTTATTTATTCGGCACGCTAAAAAAGAGAGCTGAAGGACGCGAATTCGCGAGTCCAGATGATCTTGAAAATTTTGTAAGAGAGCAATTTGAGCAATTTTCTCATGATGATTTAAAGCGTGTCTTTCAAGCCTGGATCGATCGCTGCGAACGCGTGATTGAATCCAATGGTGATTATATTTAAATAAACTTTATATATATGTAACTTGTTTATTTCTATTCGCAGTATTCAGGTTTGTGCTAAACACACCTTTGGACACCCTATAAAATCAATGTTATGCGATTTGACTGCATGCATCATGTATCGATAATCAGGCGTTTGATATTTCAAACACTCATTCATTATGTCAGGAATTCCACTTCTAAATGAATATTCAAGACAGAATTGGGAAATTCTTGGATGGTATTTTGTGATTAGGAGCTTAAAACAGTTAACTGCTCCATGATAGCAGACCAGTTCAAATAAGAAACCTGGAAGCAGTGGATTTGGATTTAATATTGATTTAATAAATTTTCTAGAATCAAATCCTTCATTATCAATTATGCTTGACATTAGTTTGGCATCATCTTCAATAATCGCTTTGTATAATTCGCTTTCTTTGTAAGTACTAATTTTATATTTATTTTTTTCACTAAAAATGATACCATGTTCTTTGAAAACAAAGTAATCGAAATATATAGGAACTTTGACAATACTTGTAGGATGATATTCATTAAAGAATTTGATTGCAAGCGAAATGTAGCTTTGTTTAAAGCGTGAATTATAGCAACATGCATTGCTAATGATTTTAATCACTCTTGAAGGTGTAATGATATTGGTTTCAATCAAATTTGCTTTAATTTTGGAATAAATATCTGAGATTTTTTCTTCTTCATTGGTATTGAGCTTATATAATGAATCTATTGTATCAATATAATCTTTGTATTGTGTCATGAGCTCATCATATTGCTTAGTGCTCTTTGCAGTAACCAACATTTGAAAAAATGAAGTTATTTTTCAAAATTTTCAAAAAAATCGTCATGCATTCAAAATGAATACATAATAAGCGATTATTAAATCTAGCTAAAATCAGAATTGAGAAGCTTCTCAATTTTTGTTACAAAAAATTTCGCTCAACATTGAGATGAAAATGAGTAGCAATATGGCTCGTTACATTTTGTTCTTATTGTTTGATAGCCACACCAATATTTGATTGTACTCTAGCCAAAAATTAATGTTGTAAAACCAGAATTTGAAATTCATATTTGCATCTTATTTTTTCACCCTTTTTGAATATAAGTTCATCTATCTTCGAGAACATATAGGCCTACATGGTATATGTCATCTATTGGTGGTATTTCTTACATGACCTCTAATTTTATAAAAACTGTTTGCATGACCTATAACTTTTAGTACCCTCCATCAAATACACACTAAAATTTGAAGATTATTTCAACTATCAAGATAAAATTTCTCTTACTCAAAAGAATCATTTTTCATACGAATTTCACTATATTTTCATGTATTTTTTTGTCCTAATGAGTGGGAAAAAGTTATGCGATCTAAAGTGAGAAGATATAAACATACCACCTATTCTGTGTATGAAATTATCGTTGTTTTAAGTTTTATAAAATGGCTGTATTATTACAATATAAAAATGTTTAATCCGATTACAAGAAAACAATTATTCAATTTTAATAATAGAATCGCTTGAAGATAAATACAACTATCATGGAAACAATAATAGTTGCATAAAGTTCGCGAATTAAGCTTCTTTTTGAACCCGACATTAAGTTTTCATATTGATTTGCTTGTTCAGAAATCATAACTCTTATAATTTCATCTCTCCCAGATGAAATTGCTTCATCGAATGGAGTCTTTCCATCAAAATATTCTTTCTTATTGATATCAGCTCCATATGAAATAAGCAATTCAACTATTTCTGGTGAAGAACTTCTAATTGCTTCATTGAAATAATCTTGAAATTTTGCTCCATGTGAACAAAGTAATTTTACCATATCATATTGGCAACTGGTAATAGCTGGATATACAGTTAAAATATCATCTTTTTCGAGCTCACATCCTTGATTAATAAGAAATTCTACGATTTCTATGCTTCCATTTTTTACTGCACTGCTCAGAGCCAAAGTCATAGTTCCATCAGGTATTTCTTCATCTTCATGCTCAAATATATATTTCACTGTTTCAAAACATCCGTTTTCTGCAGCATTTCCTAGTGCGCTAGCAAATCTCATGGTTTCATGTGTTAATTCTGGAGTATGTTCAAGCATATAATCACAAAGACTAGGCATATTAAAACCTGCAGAATATTCAAAACTCAGGACCCAATCATTTGTATGATCCAAGTAAACAAAAAGTGCTCTAAGATTGTTGTATTTCGCACATCCATATAAAGACATCCACATTTCGGGATCTTTTAATAAAGAGTTAACAAGATCAATGTTGTGTGAGGCAATAGCATAATCCATTGTCTTATAGTCTGGTTTCTGAACTTTCAAACACTTATTCATTATTTCAGGTTTTCCGCTTACATATGAGAAATCTAGACAATTTTTGGTGATTTCCGGTTTGAATCTGGTTGTTAGGAAGTTAAAACAATTAACAGAGCCATAAAAACAGCAAAGCTCAAGTAAAGACAAAGAAGCAATGTAACCTGGAAGAAAAATAGATTCAATTTTGAGATTTGGATTGAAATTTTGGCTTCTAGCAAAAGAAGCTAGAGTATCTTTGTCGTCATTCATAATTACCATGTACATTGGATTTTCTTGATATTTAACTAATTTGTATTTATTGTTTTCGGAAAAAATGATACCATGCTCTTTGGAAACAAAGTAATCGAAAAATACAGGAACACCGATAATATTTTTTGGATGATATTCATTAAAGATTGTAAATGCAAGTGAAATATATCCTTTTCTAAAATGTGGATTATAGCCACAAGCTTTGCCAATGATTTTAATCATTTTTGAAGGTTTAACGATATTGGTTTCAATCAAATACTTTTTGATTTGGGAATATAACTCTGAGATTTTTTCTTCTTCATTGGTATTGAGCTTATACAATGAATCAAATGTATCAATATAATCTTTGTATTGTTCCATGAGCTCATCATATGGCTTGATAGGGTTCGAAACAATCATTCAATAAAATTTATAAATTTGCCAAACTTTAAAACAATATCTATTTCAAGCAGTTTTCATATCTATCTTTAATCGAAATTGAGAATTTTCTCAGTTTTTATTAAATTCAAAATATTTCTATTGTCAACAAAGATAAAACATTTCCTTTAAGCACTTCATGTAAAACAATGGTTCGATACTTCACACATGAGCTCTCTACATATGTATATACTGTATTGCCAGAGCCATAATGGATAATTTCAATTTATCTACATATTGTGGGTGTTTACCATACTCTAAGAGTCTGAATATGCTATACAGAACCATTTCTCAAAATTATTCCAAAATCAAAATCTAGGAAAAATTCTGACATTCTTTATTAGATACCAGAACGCCTTTTTCTCCTAATAAATTATAGAAATATATAATCTGATAAAATATAAAATATTAAATTTTTTAGTCTGATCAAATAATTATTCAAAATAAATACAGTGAATTGAGAAGCATTTATCAATACCACATCGATTTATATAACACATTGTATCAGTTAAAAACCGAGAATGAAGAAGAATTAATCTCGATTTACATCATGATCAAAACAAAGTTGATAGATTCCGAAAACTACCTCCCTATAAATATTATAAAAGACATTTTAAAAATGATTCCGTATAATAACTACTATACAAAGTCATATTTGAAACTCATCGAACTCATATCTAATGAATATCAAGTTAAAGGTATTAATCATATTCCAAAACTGATATTTTGTGATAAGTTGGATTCATACGGATTAATAAAAAAGAGTTGGGAAAATCCAGTTTTTCATACAGATACAATTTACAGAGCGATTATGGATAATGACAAAGAAAGATTTATATCATTCACTGAAAGAGAAGGATTTGATGAAGATCAAAGTTTAACAAGCAAATTATTTCCACAATCAAATTACACGGAATTGTCATTACTTGAATTATGTTGTTACTACGGAGCAGTTGACTGTTTCAAGTTATTGAGAACAAAGTTTAAATCAGAAATAACACGAAGATGCCTAGAATTTTCATTTTTAGGAAGAAATCAAGAGATCTTGAGTGAATGCTTGAAATATCAAAACCCAAGTTTGACCTGCAAGTTTTATGCAATTATTTCACACAATATCGATATTGTTACATTCTTGATGAATGAGTACGAGAAATGTATTAATTTACATTTTTGCATGCAGTATAATAATCTTGAATCATTTTTTGTAGATTTCGATCAAACAAATAATTCTAACAGTTGTTTCATAAATTCAGCAATCTTCGATATTCCATCCATTTGTGAATATTTTCTTTCAAATGGTGCAAACGTCAATGCAGAATCTTTATTTGGGGCTCTTTGCATTGCAGTAGATAATAATTGTAAAAATGTAGCCGAGTTTCTTATTTCACGTGGAGCAAATGTCAACCAAAAAGATGGTGCCCATGGAATAACCGCTCTTCATATTGCAGCAGAAAATAATAGTAAAGAAACAGCCGAAGTTCTTATTTCACATGGTGCAAATATCAACCAAAAAGATGATAATGGAAAATCAGCTCTTCATATTGCAGCAAAAAATAATTGTAAAGAAACAGCAGAACTTCTACTTGTTCATGGGGCAAATGTCAATGAAAAAGATAAATATGGAGAAACCGCTCTTCATCACGCAATAGGCAGATCGGAAACAATCGAACTTCTACTTGTTCATGGGGCAAATGTCAATGAAAAAGATAATAATGGAAGAACAGCTCTTCTTAAAGCAGCAGGACGCAATAAGAAGAAGATTGTCGAACTTCTGCTTTTACATGGTGCAAATATCAATGAAAAAGATGAAGAAGGAAATACAGTTCTTCATGAAGCAGCAGCGGGACTCGGTAGCAAGGAGATAATTGAATTTCTGCTTGTTCATGGGGCAAATGTCAATGAAAGAAATGAAGAAGGAAGAACAGTTCTTCATTTAGCAGCAAGATTCGATTATAAGGAGCTGGCCGAGCTTCTGATTTTACATGGCGCAAATATCAATGAAAAAGATAAAAACGGAAAAACAGCTCTTCATGAAGCGGCAAATATAACCAGAAATAAAACTGATGAACTTCTGATCTCATATGGTGCAAGTTATTAGAATAAATAAATAAATAAGTAAAAAAAAAAAATCGTCAATATCAAAATAACTCAAATCAATTTTAACAAGGTCAAACAAAGATGCTTGTATATCAGTGTGTCGTTCTTCGATCAAATTTTTAGGAATAAATCGTGGTCTAAAATTTGCGGTTTTGACAAGTATGGCCTTTTCTAATGGAATCAACCCAGGAGCAGGTTAAGTTAGCTGTTGTCAAGCAGGTCATCGGCCGCACAGGCTCACGTGGTGGTGTTACACAAGTTCGCGTTGAATTCCTTGATGACTCCAACCGCTCCCTTGTTCGCAATGTTAAGGGTGCTGTTCGCGAGGGCGACATCCTTTCACTTCTCGAAACAGAGCGTGAAGCCCGCCGTCTTAGATAAATTATTCTAAAAATACACTTACAAAAACTTGATAAATATTATTACTATACTTCAAATTTTTAAAAATACCCAATTTCGAAATCATATACACATTTCCACACACAACCCCTGTAAATATGATTACTGTCACCAATACTTTCTATTGTCATCTTCTTCATATTCTTTTCCATTCATGGGTTATGTGTATATATGGTCTAGGTGGAGATATTGCGGACCTTCGATTCGCAATGTTTGAACCCCCAAATTTATATAAAAAATTATGTTATTTTATGGGAAAAGTTCGAGATTTCGAACTCAAATTTATATGTGAAAAATTTAGATTAAAAATTATGTTATTATATGGGAAAAAGTTCTTTCAATTACATTGAAAGTGAGGAAAAGTGACATCTGCGATCAAATGGAAAATTTTACACAATACATTCCAAAGCTTACATTTAACAAGTATAAAGGATATGGAGGAAAAGTTGCTGTGGTAGGTGGATGCTTTGAGTACACTGGCGCACCATTTTTTGCAGCACATTCAATCCTTCGCGCTGGTGGTGATTTATCACATATCTTTTGCATGAAATCGGCAGCAACAGCCATTAAATCATATGCTCCTGAAACAATTGTTCATCCTGCATTACCAGAACCTGATGAATTTGATTATATTCCTAAAGCTCTGGAAAACGTAACAAAATGGTATTCAGCTGTTGATTCCTTTGTCATTGGCCCCGGACTTGGCCGAAATGAAGCAACAATGAAATTCACAACTGAACTTATTTCGTTTTTGAAGACTAGTCAGCCTACAAAACCAGTCATCTTAGATGGCGATGCATTGTTCCTCGTTTCAACTAATCCAGGATTCGTTTCTGGTTGCAAACATTTCATATTAACTCCAAACGGTGGTGAATACATCCGTCTTTGCAATGGAGTTAACATTCCTAAGGACTCCCCTGTACTTACTTTATCAGAAAAGCTTGGTGGAGTCAATATCTTCGCCAAAGGTCTAATTGATCGCTTTACTGATGGAGTGAAAGTAGAAGAATTCAAATTCCAAAGTTCTCCTCGTCGTGTTGGTGGCCAGGGCGATCTTACGGCCGGAATTTGGGGATTATTTGCATCATACTCTCCAAATAACTTATTTGAAGCAGCAGGAGCTGTATCAGAGATTGTGAAGAAAGCAGCTCTCTTCGCCTTCAATAAACACAAACGATCTACAATAACAACCGACATATTAAATGAAATCGAGAATGTTATACCAGAATCATGGTATGCAGTTAGCGAGTCTATGTAAACTACTTCTTAAAAATAAAAATTGATTGTTAAAATAAAAGAATAAAGATTTAAAAATCTTTATTTGGAAAATTTACCAATAACGTCTGAATTGCTTGACATTAACCCAGTAGTTAGAGATTCTAACGACATCGCCTGAATGTGGGGCATGGATGTAATTTCCAACACCATCGCAAATGCCGACATGGGAGCATGGCTCATAGAAGCAGCAAATATCGCCACGCATGCCGTTTGTTTCGAAACCACCACGAACCTGGTCGTATGTGACTCTTGGAATATTGATTCCGACCTGGCGGTGAGCCCACTGTGTAAGGCCAGAGCAGTCGAATTGATTTGGACCTGTGGCACCCCAAACATATGGGCAGCCAAGTCTGGAGCAAGCAACGTTCCAGATATCATCACCGCGTGTGTTGGCGACTGGCTTCTCTTCAACATTGCGATGGCGGTGTCTTCCGCATTCTGCGACGGAGAATAAGATGGTGAACATCAAGATTAATTTGTCAAAACCGTCTATTCAACCAATAATTTTGCTCAATCAATGCAATTTTAAGAAACAATGTAAATAATGCAATGTTATTTTCAGTGCTTTAAGTCATCTGACGTCAGAATCCCCTCAAAATCCCCAGCTTCTCAATTTTTAAAAAAGTTTCGGATTCTCAGAAATGAATTTACAATGTATGAAAATGCTATTTTCATGAAAATTCGTCAAGGACAAAAACTATAGAAATGTAAACTTATCAACGATAAAAATTCTGGTGATCCAATGATCCGATCTGTTATAATCAACCAATGAATTTTGAATAAATAATTTAAGTTATTTTCGTTGAAAATAATAACGTTTAGAGCCAATTGATGGAATTTAATTTCCAATGAGAAAACTCTTTTATTATTGCTTTATTAGATAAATATTCCAAAGATATTCATTATTTCTAATCAGTTCAAGCCAACTGTAGCAATAATATTTTGAAGAAAAAATTTGGGCATTCTCATGAATTTCAATAATAAAATTAAGCAATCCCATCAACAAGATAATACGGCAAATCACAAAACAGTTTTCAGAGTCGAATATGAAATATCACAAATAAAAGACAAGATATACCACTGCAGAATTTTACACAGACAGTTCTTTACAAACGCTATAGTAAGTTCTATAATGATGACACAACAATTTTTTATTCGATTATTATTCCTTCTCTGCTTAATTATTCGATCGACTTAATATCTTGCTCAGTTGAAGTTACCAACCGTGTCGATGATATAGTAGGAAAAATATGACAATATAGCATGATTTTTTAGAACCGCAAAATATCTTCTTGTTTAAACAAGATTTTGAAAAATTTCATGACTCTCTTTATGAGATCTTTCAGATATTTATAACTATATTCTTGTTTTTATTCATTTTTAAAATTAAATGTCTTCATTTTTGTTACCCAACAATGTGTAATAATCTACTATATGATTTACATATTGAAATACATGTGAGGGATCTAGACAACTCAAATGATAGCACCAGATGAGAAATTTATCTGGTTGAACAATAAACTGTTAATCAGATTGATATTTTTCAATTTTCTCCATGTTGGTATATATTTCTATAGGAAGTTTCTTATAAATCTTTTAAGATGACCAGATAATGGCCTTTTAATTTCAACGATAGAGATGTAACAAAAAAAAATCATGAGTTCTGACTATTCAAAGCAATATGTAGACTTTATAGAGACGTTTGAAAAGCTCTTCCGCATAAAACATAAAGAATCTATTGAAGAAATGGGCAATACAATTACAAATATTTTGATTAAGAAATATCAACTTTCCATCAAGCGACTTACAAAGATTATTCTTATGGCAATTCAATACAATTATGCATCTGGAGAGGATTACATCAAAATACTTAAGCATATCGGTTCTAACGTTAAGAAAATTTCGAAATTAAAATTTCCATTGGAGGATTCAATCGAATATATAATTATGCATGACCAAATTGATAAGTTCAAAGAATATATTTCTCAAAATGGACTAGAATTTAGTAGTATTTTTCTTGAAATTCCCGATTTGATACAGCAAATAGTATTCGAAAATAATAAAAATGATGAAGAATTTGATCAATATAAATATTCTTTTGTAGAGTTATCATTAATTGAAGCATGTGCCTATTTTGGATCTGTTAACATTTTCCAGTTCATACTTTCAAATCAAATCAGTACAAAAACAAAAAAATGTCTTCGCTACTCTATCATTGGACGAAATGTAGACATTATCAATGAATGTCTGAAAGATAATAAAATGATTTCTGATTGTATGGGAGACATTATAATAGCACATAATAATGAATTTCTTGAATATATTCTAGAAAATAAAGAATTTGATGTTGAAAAGTGGATTTCGCGCGTCAAATCCTATGAATGTAAAGATATTATCAGATATAAAAATTTAAAGGCGGTGTTTTTGCTTTTCGAGAGAGATAAAAATTCCATCTTTCCATGGTGTGCTGCATTTCCACAAACAACAGATATTATCAGAAATAATAATGTTCCCGATGAACTTGGTTTCCTTGGAAGGAATATTTTACATTTTGCATGTAAATCGCAAAATCTTGATATTTGCAGATCATTACTCAACTCATCTAATCAATTTAAAGTCAATAGTGGAGATAAAAGGGATATGTCTCCACTCCATTCTGCAGCAGAACGGAATAACATAGAAATAGTTGAGCTCCTTATTTCACATGGCGCATATATCAATATTAGAAATGGAGAGGGAAAAACCGCTCTTCATATTGCAACAATAAATAAAAGTAAAGAGGCAGTGGAGCATCTTCTTTTACTTGGTGCAAAGGTCAATAAAGGGGATTGCTATAAGAATATCGCTCTCCATTTTGCAACACAAAATGAAAGCAAAGAAATAATTGAGCTTCTTATATCACATGGGGCGAACATTAATAAAATAGCTGACAGCGGAAAAACACCTCTTCTTGAGGCAGTATCACACGATAATAAAGAAATAGTTGAACTACTTATTTCACATGGCGCAAACCTCAATAAAATAGGTGACTTCAGAAAAACACCTCTTCTTGAGGCAGTATCACATGATAATAAAGAAATAGTTGAGCTTCTTCTCTTACATGGTGCAAATGTCAATGAAAAGGGTACCTATGGGGAAACGCCTCTTCATACCGCAGTGCATACTAAAAATAAAGAATTAATTGAACTTTTTATTTCAAATGGTGCAAACATCAATGAAAAAGATAAAAATGGAAAAACAGCTCTTTATTTAGCAGTTCAATTCAAAAATAAAGATATTATTGATACTCTTCTTTTACATGGCGCAAAAACCGATGAAAAAGATGAGAATGGAAAAACAGCTCTCCATGAAGCAGTATTGAATTATAGTGAAGAAATTGCTGAGCTTCTCCTTTTGAACAGCGCAAATATTAATGAAAAAGATAATGAAGGAGAAACCGCTCTTCATATAGTGTTACATAATAATAGAAAAGAAATGGTTGAAATTCTTCTCATATATGGTGCAAATATCAATGAAAAAGATAAAAACGGAGATACACCTCTCCATATCGCAGCATATAATAAAAGTACAGAAATGGTTGCATTTCTTCTTCTACAAGGTGCAAATGTCAATGAAAAAGGTAATCATGGAAGAACAGCTCTTCATATTGCAGCGCGTAATAAAAGTAAAGATATGGTTGAAGTCCTTATTTCATATGGTGCAAATATCAACGAAAGAACTAAAAATAGAAAAACAGCTATCGATTTTGCAACACATTATAACTGCACAGATATCGTTGAGCTTCTTCTATCACACGGTGCCAAAATCAATGATAAAGTTAAAAAATGAGAGATTATTATTCATAAATATTGCAAGGCTAGATATCGAAAAATGTTAAAATAGCAATTCTTTGAGCGGAAATAATATTTACCACTTTATATATAATTTTCAAATAAAATATAACTTTACATGAATGTATTTAGTTTAGTTTATTCAGATATTACGCCTATTGACACTATGTTCACTACAGAACTTGAAATGAAAATTCCAAAATTAAAGAGCGAAACACTCACTTTCTTCAATGAGAGATATGGCTAATATTACCAGTAGGACATACAAAACTTCATAATTATTAACTGGTTCGCTTCTCTAAAAATATGTACGTTTAAAGATTTTAGGATGAATAACACTTCTTTTCTAAGTACTAAGAATAGATATAAGGAGAAGAAGTTGAACGAACTTCAAGAAATTGTTGAGCTTCAAAATGAAGAGATCATTCGCTTGAAAAATGAGTACAAACAATTGATTAATACAATAAATCAAACGGAAAGTGCGAGTTCTCAGACAGATATTATACTAAAGAAAAAGATTGCTTCCCTTCAAAGTGAATTGAAGAATTTAGATACAAGAACTACAATATTAAAATCACATTCTTCTGTTGCACATTCAAGAATGATTAATGAATTACAAACAGAGCATCAAGATAACATAATTAAAACGAGAATTAAATATGAATCAAAAATTGCTGAACTTCAACTTCAAAATAAAAATAATACTCCTGTAGCAGATATATTATCAAAAATAGATACAACTAGATCAAAAATATCCGAGTCTCTCAAGGAAAAAATGGATCAAAATGAAAAGCAGATTCAAAATGAGCTTGCTTCATTAAGTGATAAGACAAAAGATTTAGAACAGTATTGTACACAACTTGAGCAGAAAATAAAACAAAAACGAAACTTAATTCAAGAAGAAACAGATAAATTCAAAAATTATATCACAAAATCAGAAGAATTACATAAGAGACGAACCATTGCAATAGATGAATCAGAAGCAAGCATAAAAGAACAGTACGAAATGTTCGAAAAATCTCAACTTGCCGAAATTAATTCAATTCGTGATAAAAACAACTCAAGCTTAGAAAAGATTAGAGGAAAGATTGCAGAACAGAGAAATAAGGTATTTAAAATGAAGCAATCAATAGCCTCTGGCCGCACAGATATATCAACATCTGTAGATGAAGCTCAACGAGAAAAAACCAAATTATCAAAGCAACTTGATGATCAAATTTATAGTTCCTATACTGATGGTGAAAAATCGATGATGAAAGTAATTAAGCGAGAATATGTAGATCGACAGTATTTGATGAAGAGGTTAGCTGCCTACAAAGAACAGATGAATGAAATAAAGAAGTCGAGGAATGAAATACTTACAGAAGTTAAAAGATTAGACTTCATGTTATACGGAAAGGGTGGAAAATATCAAAGAAAGAAATGATAATCCAAAAGCTCATATTCACGCTTTTGATTAATATGATTTACGAATATTGTTTAATCGCGAATCAATGATATTGTTTGTTTGTTTTTATTTGTTTTTAAAAAAACTTTTTGTTATTTTTCAAACAAAATCACAACAATTTTAGTAAGTCTCTTATTCTTTAAGAGTGTACTTATATTATAGGCAGATATAGAATAAAATGATGATTTTACTTTTCAGTTTATTCTTGAATGAGATCTACTTCATCATTTAGAAAGCATCAAAATATTGATAGATTGCTAAATGTATCGTTTATCTTTAAACAAAAGAAGTCGATGAATAAAAGCTTTATTGTTTACTAATATAAATAATAATTATAAGTTAATTTTCAAAATCTTCTTCATAAGATTCATTATATTCATCATCTATTTCAGCGATATTATCCAATTCAGATGTATCTGCGCCTTTATCAGTTAAGAATTTCAACATTTTATGCTTTTTATATCTTTTGGCAAACATAATTGGAGTATGTCCACTGTAATCTGCCTTCTCGATATCTGCACCGTTTTGTAAGAGGACTTCTGCTGATTTAACATTATCTGCTAAAACAGCTTTAATTAATGACGTTTCTCCGTTGTAATTTTCAATATTAACATCGGCTCCTTTATCAATAAGTAACTTACAGACTTTGTAATTATCAACAGCATGATGAAGAGGAGCATCACCATATGAATCACTTTGTAAGTTTACATCAACATCATATTGAAGAAGTAATTGAACAATATTCCAGTATCCTTGTGCTGCTGCAATAAAAAGAGGTGTCTCTCCAGAATCTGAAGCTTTGTTTGGATCTAATCCCAGTTCAATAAGTTTCTTAATAAATGCTTTTCTATTGTGATAAACAGCTGTGTGAATCAAATTTTCTCCATGGAAATCCATTTTTACACTTGCCTTTAATGATACCAAGAAATCAAAGAATTCAACATGATTTCCAATGATGACAGAATAAAAACAATTTCTGTGGAACATGTCTGCAACATTTACATCTACCCCTTTTTCAACTAAAAATTTTGCTGCTTCTAATGAGTTATTTTTTGCAGCAAAAAGAAGAGGAGTTTCTCCACCTCTGTTTTTAGAATCAACTACTGCACCGTTTTTAACAAGTAATTCACATATTTTCACGAAATTAAAATTAGCGGCATAATGAAGAGGAGTATTTCCTGTAATATCTTGAAAATTAACTTGTGCACCATTTTGAATAAGATATTCTGTGATTTCGTAGTTTCCATTTTGACATGCAAAAGATAATTCACTATGCCCTAAAATAGTGATTTGCTGATTTGCTTTATAACCATGTTCAATCAAAAGTTTGACCAATTCAAAATTATTATTTTCGATTGCAAAATGAAGAGGAGTTTTAAATGACAATTTTTCTTTAATATCTACATCGCATCCTTTTTCAATAAAGTACTTAGCCAAAATATTGTTTCCCATGAACTCCGAAATATATAATAAACCTGATGAACAAAGTTTAAAAGTGTCAATAAACAACAAAAAACTTTGCAAATTGTTGTAGTTATAACAAATTCTTAAATCGACGTCGAAAGTATAGTTATTTAGCAAATAAGTAACAAATTCAATGTTATGCGATGCAACAGCAAAATTCATTGAATAATTGTCTGGTTTCACATTTTGTAAACATTCTTTTACGATGTCACTTTTTTGACTTAAAAAACTCAAAGATAAACTAGTTTTTCCTAATGGAGCGTTGAATTTTGATCTCATATACTTGAAGCAGTTGACAGAGCCGTAGTAGCAACACCAATCTATGATGGAATATATTTCGAGTTGAAGATAATGATGAATTAACTTATTCTTATGGAATTTTGGTTGTTCTGTAAAAGGAATGAACGACTGAAGATCATCATTCATTATAGCATGTAATATGGTGCCTGGTGAATGAATTTCAAAGATATCTCTGTTTAAAAGTTGTGTGATTATTTTTGCGTCACTTGAAGTCTCTGAAAATGTTTTAATGCCGTACTCTTTAAAAACTAATGCTTTAAATGGAATGAATAATTCATTTACGTCGATTTTTGGAGAATATTTATCGTAAACTTTTTTGAATAAAGCCCAATACGATTTTAAGTACTTGTGATGATATTTGCATGCTGTTGATATGCTCTTCAAAACTTTGCTAGGGTCTAACTTGTATTTTTCAATGATAATTGTTTGAATTTCTTGAAAAATTTCTTCTATTTCGCTATCAATGAATGTTTCTAGCTGATATAGATGATTGAAAGCCTGAATATAATCGTTAACCTTCTCTATTGCATCATGGTAAATGCCATCATTTAAATTAACGGACGACATTATAAAAATATGATTTTTACTATCAGGAAAGGAAAAACCCGGCTATTTAAGAACATATATTATTGGGAAAAAATCTGCAAAGACATTCATTTTCAAATATGTTTTATGAACAGCTAGTATTAAGATATGTAGGCGTGTTATTGTTACAGATATCTGTGTTAAAAGGATTTCATGGCTTTGCATTAAATATAAAAAAATTATCTCAAAAAATTTTAAGTATTCTATTACAAAATGGTTTAAAATTTCGCATCTTTCAAATAGTTCTTAACAATATCCTTATGTGCTGATATAATAACTTCAGGCTTGAAAATGTTTCCAACGTAATCTTCAGGATTTGTAAAGATTCTATAGCTCTGAAATTCTTTATTCAATAATTGGAGAAGATTCTTGAGCTTTTCTTGCTCATCTTTATTATTTTGACTTAAAAGGAATTCCACAGCATTTTTAAGTTCGGAAATAATCGTGAGAACAACAGCAGACATCTCTTCATCGAATTCCATTTCTTTTAGGGTTGCATATTCTGGTTTGCTTTTAGCATTTTCAAGAGATTTTGTAAATTTATCATAATTATCTGGTACAATATAAAAACTAATAGGTAATTCGAAGTTTATATCGGCCATTTTCTTCAAACAGCATTCATCTTTGATTAAAATTGAATAATAAGTAACATTTAATTGTTTGGCCAGTTCTTCTACATAAAACCTCAGTGTTTTGTCATTAATGAATTTGAATTCATAAGATTCTCCCTTTGCTGATAAAAACGTCACTGATTTTTTAAAAATTGTAATCAAAGAATTTTGGCCTTCAATGACCTCATAAATGAGTTGATTTTGATCCACCACATGGCCATTGTATTCAATTTTGTTCACAAAGTTCGGATCAATCTGATAAAAGTTAAGAAATCCTTGGAATGTATAGTTACAAGGTATCTCGACATTTTCTGAATTAGATGTATTACTATATTTGTATCTAAATCTGATATTTGTAAATGAAATATGAATAACATTATTTTGATAATTCATAACTTTCTGCGTTATGTCCTCTGACTCATTTCGCAAAACAAACTTAAGTTTTTGATTTAAATTGAACTTGGTTCGAATTGCTTCTATAATTTTGCTTGGAGTAGCTGTTTTCTCGATTTTTAGTGGAAACTCAAGCATGTACAATGCATCCCCTTGAAAAGAATCAAAAACAAAGTTGAATTCTGTTAATAATTCTTCATATCGTTGAGGTTCGGGGTTTTTTTGCAGTTTAATGGCATTAAAATAGAATTCTATTTCATCGCTTTTGAGTTCAGATAACTTTTTCTTTGAATCTAGAATTTCTTTTCCAGAAATAAAGATAATTGGAAGTTTTTCAAGTCCGTATTTTTCTGATACTACTTTGAAAGCTTCTTCTATTGAAGGATCTTCTGATGAATCATATTTACAACTATGTTTTATGATATCATTGGTAAAAGCAATAGATTTTTCAGATATTGGCTCCTTATCAAGCACAATAAAAACTTTGCCTGTGATTGTATCGACTGTTCTATATCTTGAAACCTTTCTACCTTTAGACAAAAATTTAAAATTCTTTTCTTGAAGATATGGGAATAAATCTTTGATGACTTCTTTGCAGGTTTCAAAGTTCATGTCATTTGGTAATATAAGCTTGAAATTAAGAGATTTTGTTAAAGCTTTGTTTTCAAATTCAACGAGTTTTTCGTTTTTGAGTTCCTTTTTGGGCAATAGCACCATTTCAAAAGCATCTTCATCGTTTTCAGCCTTCTGATTTATATTTTTACGATTATAAATTTCAAAATCTGGGAAATACTCTGCTGCTGCATCTGAATCCGACGATTTTAGGAATATACTGATAGGATATTGAATATTGTTGCTCATTATTATCTCAGGAACTACGACTTTTATTTATGGGAAAAAATGGCAAATTTTAAAAATCATAAGGGGGAGACACTTGATCAATTAAAATCTAAAAAAAAAGACAAAATGTTTTTAACAAAAATTAGAGGAAGACAAAGAATTTTACTTGAAACACCATTCTATGGGGCATGCTTTATTGCAATATACTTCTTAATATCAACATTATTCATTCCAAAACAAGGAATATCAAAAGATATATTTACTTTTGAGATGGAATTTAAAGATAGCAATCTGATCAACCCAAAGGAACCAAAGTTGGTTGAAAACAAATTTCCAAATGTAGTTTTTCAAAAAATTATTTCAACTCCGATTGATATACCAGTAATCCATCCATTTCAGACATTTGGTGATCTAGGATCAGATGCTGTTATACCTACTGAAAATGAAATACGTGATTTCGCAAAAGGTTCTACTCAATCTTTAGTGCAAATGAAAAATGTTTTTGTAACAAACGAAGGAATCATGTATTCAAATAATGTATTTTATCCTGATCAATGCGATTGCCATTGGAGAGTATGTAAAGACTTTAAAGAAAATATATATCCTAATTTAAAAGTTTCCGAAAGAATTCCTAAAGCAGTTGTTATCATGCATGAATACGGATGGTTCTATGCACATTGGTTATGTGATTTTTTACCAAGATTGCTTCTTCTTCCTTCAGATGTTTTGAAAGATGCAAAATTAATTGTTACAAATTACGCTTCATTCGGATATGAATGCGTAAAAATAGCGGGAATCCCTAAAAAGAACCTTCTTGCTCCACCAGCCGATACAGCTGTTTTTGTAGAAAATTTATACACAATCACTCCATTATACTGCTCGCACTTTGTTCCATTCTTATTTATTAACATGAGAAAAATAATTGCGCAGAAAGCTGAGCTTGATCAGACTCCTCCAACAAAATATATATTTTATAACCGCGAAGGATCAGAATTTAGAAAGATTGATAACTATAATGATGTTTTAAACTATATAAAGAGTGTTGTACCTGAAGTTATGTGGGAAAACTGCCATATTCCAAATTCAATTATTGATCAAGCAAAATTATTTAATTCATTCAAAGTTTTCTTTGCTATGCATGGAGCTGCTTTTGCAAACACTCTTTTCATGCAGCCAGATACTTGTGTTGTTGAAATTCAAGTTGATCGATGGGTTGACAATTATCTTTGGGTCACAGCATTTGCCCAAGTTCACCACTTTATCACTCGTAATTCAAAAATTCAATGGAGAGACTTTGGATCGAAGAATTACCTCGAAGCCAACGATATGGCAATTATAGCTCAGAAAGCTGTAGATACTGTCAAAAAAGGTAAATGGAAATAAAACCGTTTGTTTGTCTTTTGTAATTGTTTGTAAATATAAAACAAAAAATCTTATTTTTTTTTTTTTAATTGAGCGTTTTTAAAAAAACATTTTGGCTGAGAATTGGAGGGTGTGAGTACTATTGTAGGTAATAGTATCTCACACCCTCCAATTCTTCCTATGGCGTCGAGAAAATTTTGGTGAAATGCGACGACATTTCACCAAAATTTTCTCGACGCCATATAGAGAACTATAGTCTGTGAGGTACTGATTCTATCTATGCACCTCACAAACTATAATTCTCAGCCAAAATGGCTAAAAATTTGGTGCAATGTCAACAATTGCAATGAATATTGAAGACGGAACCTACATGTGGGACATGGTCAAATACTGGAAGCATCCATCGAAGGCCACACCAATTGGCACAGTCATGACAATACCTGCAACAGGTTCAGAGTGGAACAACGGCGCTGTCATCTCTCACAGATCGACGAAAGAGAAACTTCCACTCATCAACAACTTGTCCTCTGTAAATCAACATACATGCATGTTATATACATTAGAGTTCCATTGGCTTGACATTATAATATTACTACTATGTGAGATACAAACAGGAAATATTCTATTCTTTGAATCAAAAACATTCTTGTTGAATCAAATATCGATCTGTTATGCCCATGTATACATCACAATGACAAATGATAGAGATTATATTTTATTCTAATATATCCTACATTGGAAAATAGAAAATAAGCTAAATATATCTTTTTATATATAGAATTGAGGGTTACATGAGGTGGTTCAGATTCATATTATAATAATGGTATTAAAAAATATCCAAGCATTGTTTGAATTAATGAATTTCATATGAATGCTGAAAACAAAGCCATGGTAATTGGTGAAAAAATTAATAAGAAAGAAGTAATTCCGTATATAAAGTATTTAAGTATAATTTCAAACAAATTTGTAAAATTAAAATGGTTTTTCTCCAAATTTTGAAGTAATTTCTACTAGCTGCTTAACTATTTCTGGAGGGCCTGCGACAATACCTAGGCGTGGAATATGAAGATTTTTACGTGAAAATTCGACTCCATCGTAATTAACAATAACAGCACCAGCTTCTTCGATAATAGGCCATGCTCCAGCAAGATCCCATGCGTGTGGACCGTATCCGTAGAATCCAGGCAATCGTCCAGCAGCAATATTACAAAGATCAGAAGCGCAGCTGCCAGATTCGCGGAAATCTTTGGCAACTTTAAGTACAGTGGAAAGTTCTGATAAGTAATATTCAGAGTAATTAGCTAATAAAATGGTTGTAATAACTTGATTTTTAATATCTGTTGCTTTGCTACAATGCAGTTGCCTTTTCGTTCCATTATGTATAAGGTATGCACCTTTACCTTTTGCTCCGATGAATAATTCGTCTCTTGTAGGATGATAAACAACACCGGCGATTGGTTTGTGGTTTTTATCTAAAACGCCTATTGATACGCAGAAATTAGGGAAATAACTTGCAAAATTTGCAGTGCCATCAAGAGGGTCTGCGCAAAACCAAATTTCATCCATATCGCACTTTGTAGGCTGTTTATTTTCGCCTTCTTCTGTAATGATTCCTGCATTTGGATATAATTTGTCTATTTGGCTACGAATATATGCATCGGATTCTAAATCAGCCTTTGTTAAAATGTCGCAAAATGAAGTTTTTGTAGTGAAATCGATATGGTCGACATTGTAGTATTTCATGTGTATTTTACCGCATTCTAAAGCTATGTTTTGTAAATCTTCGAGGATTTTGTCAACATTCATAATTTCAAAATGTTTACAAAAAATCAATTGCATCGATTTCATCTTGATTTGAACCAACAATGAACTTAAATATTTCATCTATAGTAAGCTCACTATATAGAAATGCTTGCTTATGATTCCTTTTTAAGTTTGCTTTACTGTAAAATCAATTTTGAGTCTCCATGTGTATTCTTTTTTTCAATTTCGATGTGCATTTCTATCATGCAACCCGAAGAGTTTGAGATGAAAACGTCTATAGCACAATATACACACCAAGACCGGTTAATAAAGTTAATACATTTTCATTGACTGAAAGCATTATTGAAATTTAGTTCCCTCATAATATGTGACAACGAATCCTTAATAACTGATAAGTTCAATGTTGTATAGCCATAGAGAATTAGTTTTCATGTTATAAATATGAATCATTGAAGTTGAAGATAAGAAAAAAATGATTAGAATGAGAAAAACTAATCTTTGTTTTTTTATTACAAAAAAAGATAAAATAATCACTCTGTGAAAGTATCTGGGTTTTCAAAGAATTGTATTGATGAAGCCAAGAAGTCATCGAATGCATCCTTCTGTCTCATTCCATGGCCATTTCCATCGTACTGAAGGAAGGTGACCTTCTTTCCTGCTCTCTTCAATGCCTGGTAAAATTCAACTGATTGTTGGAATGGAACTCTTCTGTCGAGGTTTCCGTGTCCGAGTAAGACAGGAACAGTGACACCGTCGACAAACTTGAGAGGAGACATTTCCCAGAGCTTTGTCATGACTTTTGGTGTCATAGCGATTTCTCCATCGCATTCATCAGAAAGTCCAGCTTCAACAAGTGACCAATCAGGGATATCGCATGTGAAGAAGCTGGAAACCAAGTTGATGACAGGTGCTCCAATGACGGCGAAGTTGATTTCCTTTGAGAATTTGCATGCCATGTGTGCAGAAAGGAATCCGCCATGAGACCAGCCCCAAACACCGACTTTTTCGGCTCCAAATTTCTTCTTGCACATTCTGACTGTTTCTACAACATCGTTCAAGTCCTTTGTGCCTGCATTTCCGAAGATCTTCTTGATCTGCTTGATTGGATATCCTGTAGAGCCAACATAGTTAGGACGAGCTGTTGCCCAGCCTGCAAGGGCAAAGATAAGGGCCTGTCTGTTGAATTCTGTACTTGACATTCCATGTGGTCCGCCATGTGGAAAGACAACGAACTTCTTTGAGCCCTCAGGGACGAGCATGATTACACTAGCATTGTCACCGCATGTCTCAATTGAAGCTGTGAGGCCTGCAAATGTATGTTCTTCAGTCAAATAATTTTGTTTGCCATCTTTAACAACAACAATGCAAGGAATTGATGTTGGTGTGGATTGAATAAGAAGGAAATTGTCGTTTAAGTAGTCGCAAAGGACGGCAGATTGAATTCCTTCTCTGGCTCCTGGAATTTCGGAACGAGCAAAGTTATTGGCAAGATCAAGAATAACAGGGATCATAAGTCCTTGGCGTTCTTCTGTAAAAGCGACTTTATCTGGAGATATGAACAAATTATTTGGAATTGTTCCAAGAGAGATCTCTTCGGTAGATGTCTTTGTATCTGTAATGGTTAAATCTGCGAGGTTAAGTGTCGATACTTCTGGGTAAAGAGGTCCACGATGGCCACCGAATTTTTCTGGGAATTTGAAGGCGAAGATCTTAGCATTATTCTCATCAACTTGAATAGCATCGAACTCAACTCTCTTTGGCTGTAGAAGGAGCTTGAATGATGGTTCTTCATTAACGCGTACAGCAAAGAGCGAATAATATCTATTTGTGTATGCGTTGATGCCAAGCTGTATTGGAGAGCTAATCTTCATTGCTTGGACAATAAGTACATCATTAGAAGCGAAGGAAGATTTGCAAACGCCATGGCCTTCTGGAGCTCCAAATAACTTGGCTTCCTTCTTTTCGATATCGAATACGGCAAGTGATGTTTGGAAGATGTTTGTGCAGTTCTCACCGTAATCTTTGTAATTTGCCATTTTTGTGGAGTATCCTAAGGCAGATTTCCTTTCAAACTTGGCTGGATCGGCGACAGTCCATGCAATGTACTTGTTATCTGGTGAGAAAACGATTCCGTTTGTTAAGTTTGGATGTGTTGTTGGTTTGCCAACTTTATCTGAAAGGATTTGTCTTACAACGAGTTTTTGTCCGTCCATAATTTCAAGGACAGCGACATTTTCTTCGACTTTCTGTGTAGACGGAGGCATGTTTTTGGCAAATGGAATGTGTCTGATTGAAGCTCTGAGTTTTCCGTCTTTGGAAAAGCCGGCAATAACTTCTGTATCGTTGAATTGACGATATACTTCTGGTTTTTCTTCCAATGTGCAAAGGATTGAATAAGTTGTGGCAGCTTGACCGAGTTCGCTAAATGTTTCGGAAAACTTTGCATGAACAAGTTGCTCAGTTATGAATTTTGCACCGATTGGAATTGCAAATTGATCGGCTTCCTGAAAGATCTTTGGAATTTCCATAAAAAATGAAATGACTTTATTTTTATTCAATACATTGAACTGAAATTTGACACTTGGAATATATTGTTATTATTCTAACCAATTCTTTGAAATATTCATAAAAAACAAGATTGTCTGGCCAAATAAAATATTTTTATTCTCTAATCTCCTTGATTCTGACTCATTTAATGCATTAAAATCTGTCTCTGTTCTCACAATGGAAAATTGGTAGACAATATTCATTCTATTTTCCGAAAATACCACTCATTCTTGGATAAATTTTGTTGATTTCAAGCCGTGTACAGTTTCGACTATACCACACTATTGTTACCCTTGTTAAAATATTGAAATTAACTTAGTTAATGTCCATTAACAACCAAGCAAAATGCTTCTATAACCTGAGTCTAAAATCAAAGAACCTGATTTGAATTCTATGCTATCCTAAGCTTTTATGCGATTTTCTCAGTTGTGTAATCCGAAATCAATCAATTTCGAATTCAGATTATCAGAAAAAGAAGATACAAGGCATAATTTCAAGATTTCTATTAATTAAATGACCAAAAAGTAAATAAAATATTAAGAACTGCTACTATTCGAACGATTCCTTTTTGATTGAGTTGATGTTATTGATCGTCATTTCCGATTGTGCAGATTGCTTTTGCTTATAATGTAAAGGTTTAATATTAAGAAATAACGACATTTTTTCATAATTTCACGTCTTTCCCAACAAAAAATATGGAGTTTGGATTATCGATTGGAGCAATATTGCTGCACAAATAAAACTTAGCTATTTGGTAAATATTAGAGCAATTTCTACGTGTCAAAAAAAATGAAATTTCTCAGGATGGATGGAAACGGACAAACAAACGTAATATGACAACCTAATATAAATTGTAATTCAAATCTACGAAGCAAGAACCCTTTTGTATGGAAGGAACAATCAGAATGATTTCAAACGGTAATGGCAAACGGAGAAGTTAAAACAGGAAGCTGGTTATGTCACAAGCAATCTATAGAACTCGGAAAAAATAGATATAGCGGTATTTCTTTCAAATATCAGAGTTTGGCGGGATATTTTGGCGGGATTTTTGGCTGGCAAGTTTGGCGAGGAATTTTATTTTTTGAGACGATGCTAAACGTATTCAATTTTTTTATCCATGTAGATGCAATAAGCATGTAATATAAAATCATTTTAAATGATTTTAAAATAAATGTAGTGGTCGGTGAGGTCAATTTGAATCATTGCAAGATAAATAATATTTTGTTCAAATGTTAATTGTTGCTATGCATAGAATTCTCCTATAAAAACCCCGCCAGACTATTATTTTTGAAATGATTTTGGCGGTTGTTCTTTGGAAATCGATAAACGTAAACCTCTTAAAAGGTCCGTTTATTTCATTCATAACAAAATGTCTGAGGATAAGCAGCCAGTGTTTGTTCACGAAGAGGGACACGAATGGACACAAGGCGAAAAGATTTATGTATTAGACAGGAACAAATTCGATATCTATGAGGCTGAAATCAAGGAAATCAAGCAGATTAAGAATAAAAATGAGTATTCCATCCATTATCCAGAGTATCCAGATGATGACTTCGTAGCCAAGACAACAACACGCTTCCTTGTCCAGAACGAGGCTAACAAGAAGATCTTCGAGGAGCAAGAAGCTGTCCGCCGTAAGAAGGATGAGGAAGAGGAGGAAGCTGCCGAAGAGGAGAAGAAGGAAGAGGCTAAGCCAGAAGAAAAGAAGGAAGAAGAGAAGAAAGAGGAAGAAAAGAAGGAATAGATATTGATGAATAAATTTAATAGGAATTAAATCTGACTTTTAAACATTAACATTTTTCGGTTTTGCTTCACTATATCTAAAAAAATAAAACATTATTTAGTAACTATACTTTAGGATTTTCATTGATTGCCTATCAGGGCTTCAAAAATACTTCGAATTTGAATTAATACAACAAAGAGAATCTATATTTAAACAGAAAACAAAAATTACAAGAAAAGTGGCTAAACAGCCTGGTTCAAGGTTTCGATTGGAGCCCTTGGAGCAAGGCTGTTCTCTGGTAGCTCCATATCAAGGAGCTTTTTGATTTTTTTGTTGATGCGCTCAACTTTGAATTTTATGAGATCGTTTTCGGTTCGCGGGACCCTTGAAAACATTTTTGTACACTTCTTTTCTAATACTTCGCATATAACATATAATAATGTACGGGGACCGTTAAATTCCTTTCCGTTTGCCCATATTTGGAATATATCTTGTTTCCATTCATCTAAGTTTCCGTAGTATTGTTGTTCTAAATTGGACTTCACAGTAGAAAGATCCATCGGTTTTTTAATTATTGAGAAATATGCTTCAGACCATGTTTCATTACGGGATATTGGGTTTGTAAATTCTATACATAATGGATTTTCTAGTAGTTTGTCGGTACATTTTACAGCAAATTCATATTCATAGCTATTCATGCAAATTATTATATCACATGTCAGTGCCACTTTTTATGGAGCCTACAGCATTTTCATTTTCAGGATTGCCCAAGGAATATTCTTTAGATGCTTTGAAATCACTATTTGCATCACAAGGTGATATTAGAACAATGATTATTTCGGCTTCACATGAAAATGGTTACGTTATTTATCAGACAGAAGCACAACTTCAGCGCGCATTTAATGAATTGAATAGAATGGAGTTTCCTCCAGGATCAGGGTACTGTTTAAACATGATTAAATGTTCAATTGAAGAAATTAATTTTTACATTAGACTTTCGGATTCTTCCTATTCCAGAATAGATCTTAATGAACCACAAACTAGTTCCGATCTTTATAATGTTACAAGAACCGAACCACCTGTTTTTTGGCGTGAAAAACTTTAATTGGGCTACCTAATCTATTTGTTTTCTTATTAGATTGATACATCTTGTCATGCCCAATGTTTACAAGAATTGTTTACATAATACAGAAAAAATTTATTTTCAAATTTAGCCTGTTTCAATAATGAACAGTCCAATATGCTTTATATAAAATGTATGTTTAAATTTCTTTATCATAAGTGCATAATATTTTTAAATTTTGATCTGAATTTTTTTCAAATTTATTATATTATTTCAATCATATTAAATTCATGAATTCATGAGCAAAGCAGTGAAGTCTAAGTTAAAAGACATAATATATATAATTTATTCAAACAAAAATAAAAGTTAAAAAGAAAAGCATGAAACTCATCTTAATGGCGGTAAATTAGCTCTGCACATTGGGCAAACAAGTTCTTCCTCCATCCATCTTTGAAGGCATTCTGCATGAAAAGCGTGTTCGCAAGGGGTAACCATTACTTCGTCATCAATTTCTATTGGAGAAAAGCAAATTGGGCAGACTTCTCCTTCTTGAATTTCATGAGGTTGATAATAGTCATATGATTCAGCAAATAAGAAATCTGGGAAGCAAAGATGGCTTCCAAATTGATTTTGCAATATAACAAGCATAGCTTGGAAGACTAGTAATCCAAAAGCGATTGATGCTTCGCGAGGATAAATTTTTTTGTAAATATGGTTTGAAATGAATCCATAATAAAGAATTATAATGGATTTCGATATCAACTCATTGATTATGAAAACGTTATCCTTCTTTCTTGCATTAGAATTGAAAAATGTGTAAATAATTTGTGGCAAGAAAGGAGAAGAAATTGTAATGAATGATAGTAATGGATATTGAGATAGATTCTCAAGTATATAGTAATGAGTTGCTATAAAACATGAATGTAAAGCGATAATTGAAAGAAATCTGATCCAAAATGGAATTGTTGTTTGATCAACGGTGTGTATTGCATGTATTCTTACAGAAAATGTATTTTCAAAGAATACATATACCAGCATTCCTGCTGAAACAACAAAAATTAAATATAAGTATGATTCTGAGCTTGTGGCAGGTATTTTGAAGGTAACAAACACGGTATGTGCAAAATCAAATGTTGCATGTAATGATATACTAAGCGGTGAAAGCTGCAGAGATGGTTGCATGGAAGTAAATAAAGAATTAATACTTTTCCATCCATAATAGTTAAATATTACGGAAAATGCTAGTATAACTGTAAAAATCTTTATTAACTTTTGAATTTTCGTTGGATCAACCAATGTTGATAAAAACGTAACATTTTTGGAACTAAAAAGCTCTCTGCCTACTAATCCAGGAACACCATTTATGTCTTTGACAGTGGCATTAAATGAGATCAAGAATGGTGCAATAAACTTTGTAGTTAAGATATAATCAACAATTGTTTTATGAATGTCTTCGAATGTGAAATTTTTAGTATTGAAAGATTGGATTACTGCATTCATAAATAAAACTGAGTCGTTAAATGTTCTAAAAGAAGGAGATAAAAAATATATGTAATAAGCATTAAATTCAGGGAAAAATATTGATTTCGCTGGGAAATATTGTGAGCTCCACGTAAAATTTTTTGCTGCTAGAAAGCTTAATGAACAATTGGAATAATTTCTGCCTTGAAAATTAAAATAATTGTCTATCTCCAAATGAAAGGGAGCAGTTTCTGTAAAAGAAATGCCATTCTTTAGCGTTGTAACTACAGACCATGATCCTTCATATTCAAGAGAGCGGCTATACAAAATCAGAAAGAAAAACATTAAAATTTTATTAAAATTTTTGCCAATATTTGATATGGGCATAATGGCTATTATGCAATGATTTAAATTAAATTCTTTTTGTTTTGCAATAAGGTTATTTTCTCGATGACTCACAAATTTTCTGGCCGAGCCATCTTCTCGAAATGAATAAGTTAAGGTTCTGTTGCATTTGATACAGAAATGATGAATTAAATAAGCTATGGACTCGATTAGCAGATATAAAGTCAAGCATTTGAATATTCATGGCTATAATAGCAAGGTAAGCTTCACTGACTGATTATTTATTAGGGAAACTCTATTCCTAAGATGTCTCTGGATTCATATTTATGTGTTTATTGTTTACAGATATTTCTGTTGTTTTTTGTTGAACTTCTGATACCGGGATTTTGAAGATGGTATTTATTGATTTTGATGTATTTATAAGGTAGTTTCTATCTAACGGCATATATAAGTAAAGGTTTTCATAAAACAAAAAAAATTAATTTTTAAAAATGTAATTTTAAAAACAACTATGAACATAATGTAGAAATATATTGATTCTAGAGCAAAATAGTTCTACACTAATGCGTCTAGATTTGATAGAATCTGACCGAGATCAAAAAAATTACTTTTTTGGTCAATCAGATTAAATGAAAATAAGGGCAAAAAGATAAAATAATAATCTATATCACCGAAATTTGGGAATTTCGGAAATTACAGTTAGGTGGTTGAGTGGAAACAAAAGAAACTGTGGTCAATAATATATATAAATCTGGAAATAGATGAATCGAATAGCAAGAGAATGAAAAAATTAATTGTCATTATCTTCATTTGTCCAAAATCTTGGAAGCGGAGCTGAACTGATATGCTCGGGTGCATCTGGTTCAAATAATGGTGTGTCTTCAAAGTCATATATCTGTTTTGGTTTTGAAATGTTATGATATCGCTTTAAAACTTTGCGATAATACCTTGATGTGCCTTCAACCTTCTTAAACAGAACATCTTTAAGCCTTTCCGATTCTAATTTGATCGAATTGACTCTCTTATCAGACGCCATTTTTTGCATCTCAAATTGCTGTATGAGATATTGATGACGGCAAAGTCGAGTTCGACTAACAGCATAGATATGTGCTCCATTTGAGATCTGATATGTTGACAAACTGATTGTTTTGGCTAAAATACGATTATCGCAGCAGAACTCTAAAGGTGTTGGTTTTTTAAGTCTTTCTTCTATCATCTGTAGTGTGTCTTCTTGTGAAAATGGCAAGCTGATGATTTGGTTATCTTCTGTGTGTATATATAACTCCATCGGATTGAATGAAATTTATGGCAAATACCGAGAATTTCGACAAAAGTGCAAAAATGTTGAAAGGCTAAATTCAATAGTGATTTATAATTTAAATATATTATATATTAGGTGATCTATATATTTTAGCGACCTTTCGAATTTGAGGAATTATTTTTTCAGATCCCTTTTATATATTGAATAAGTTTTTTTATATAAGATAATATTTGGAATGTATATTTGATCTGAATTTGAAACTTTTTAATTGAATTAGATTTGTATGCTCAACGTTTTTCATTGAAATTGATTGTTGATCGATAGTTTTTTGAATGGATGTTAGTTGTTGATAGGATTTGGATTAACTTAATATAATAATGATGTATATTCTAAAAACTTATCTAATCAGCAAAATACATCTACCTTTCAAATTTTTTTTATGAAGAAACTGTCATTCAATTTTCAGAAGGCAAAAAAATCGTATTTTTTCTAGATTACATGTATATAGTATTTTATGAATAGTTGACCGAATGACGATAATATTCTGATATTTTGCAAACCTTACAACGAAAAATGCAATAATATTCTTTATAATAGATCGAAAAACATATATCTGATCATTAAACATTTATATTTTAAAATAAGCCAATCAAACGAGTAATATTAATTTCCTTACTGGTTTATGTCTCGAAATCTCTCATCGACACGTAGCAGTAAAAAAGCACCTGATTATGATCAAAAGAAGACTGCTAGTAAAAAGAGAGGTTCGCTTCAAAGTCACTTTGAGGTCGGTCAAGAATCCAATCAGGTTACACAAGTACGTAAACTCGATCAAAAATCAAAAAACAAGCTAGCAAAGGACTTGACAGCCATATGTTCTAAGGATTTAACTGCTGCCGATTTTGATAAAAAATTACGATCTAATGCAGATAATAAGAGACTAATAAATGATAATAACCACTCTTCCGAAACTCATGTTAAGCCAGTTGATGTTGCTCCGAAAGAAATTAATTTAGACAATGAGAATGAATCTCCTCCACAAGAACCAATGGATGAAGAAATGCAAAGTTATCTTGACTATCTTGTCGAAATCAACTCCAACCTTTTATCGTAGTTTTTAATCGATTACAAATTCCATATAATACTTGTTGATTTCCGATTATATACCTTACCGTTTGTTAAATCTGATATGCTTCAAGCGTATATCATCGTATCATTGCTTTATGTTGAACGATCTTAATATTACGTTCTTGATTACGATGTATTTTTAATGATCAGTTCTTCCGAATGACAGCAATTTGGAATATTAACATTAATTCCATGATTTATCTATATATGTAAATTAATTCTAAAACAAAACACTCCGATCACTATTCTCGGAGTTGTACGTCATCACGAAACTATCTTAAACTTCGTAAAAATGTTTTATTCTAAATTAAGAATCTGTTTACTTATAATCGCAGGATTAAATCAAAATTATATCTCATGATCAGTTTCGGGGAGTAAATTCCTTATGTTTATATAAAATATTTTCATAGTATTCAATGTTTGCCTTTTATTGAGAATCCCTAATGTTGAATAGATTTGATTGCTCTAATATCTATTTACAAATGAATGTAAAAACTACAAGTGCAATAATATGAGCAATCGGCATATTAATTCCTTTGCTGTTCAATAATTTGTAAAATTGAATGAATAATGTTTCAATATTCTGACGCATTGCATTAAATTTTCACATTTACACAACTTTATGATATGAAACTTAAACTCTTGCCACAATAGAATTAATTTTGTATTCATTCAATATTTGAACAAATCCTTTCGAGTACAAGGCAGCATGAAATTAAATATTCAAATGGCTTGTCATTATTATGTTGCAATATATCATGATCAAACTATAATAAAATAATTGAAATATAAATTTTTCAACGCAATGTGTAGTTTTGAATGGGCACCTGATCCTAAAGATACCAAACAATAAGATATTCACCCAATAAACTATGACATATCATATAGTTCAGATTAAAGTCTGTTGTTTTCATTCAAATATATTACTTCAGATAATAGCATTCAAGTCTTCAATACTTACAATTATGCAGGCCATTCATATGTATTCCCGTTACATGAAAAGTAATTTGTGAATGTAACATTAACAGAATCAATTAAACCGTGTTTGTTTTACTGACTCTTTAGAATCAGTTAAGAATTAAAAAAATTGATTTGAACAATTATGAAAAATGTTTGACTTTTATTCAGTAATTTAGAAGTCGAACATATCACCAAGGTCAAGTGGAGCAGCAGCTTCCTCTTCCTTAGCCTCCTCCTTTGGAGCTTCACCAGCGGCAGCAGCTGGAGCAGCAGCGGCGGCGGCCTTAGCGGCAGCGGCGAGGGCTTCTGGATCGGAAAGGAGCTTCTGGAGATCCTCGATCTGCTTCATGTTGTGCTCGATAGCAATAGCAATGGCAGCAATGTCCTTGAAAGCAGAGCCGACAAGGTGTGGAGCAGAAGCAGCGCATGGGTAGCCGACAGCGAGGGCGAGGCCTGTAACGTTGCGGAGACCTGTGCGGAACTTCTCGCCGAGGACTTCCTCTGTGATAGCAAGGATGGATGGGTCGTACATGTTGCCATGATCGTAGAGAGCCTCGATCTTGAGTGTGTACTTGAATGGCATGATGCCGAGGATGTTAAGGATGTTAGCTTCAGAGGCACCAACCTTTTGGCCTTCCCAGATGAGTTGCTTTTCACCTGTGATTTCGATTGTGCCCTTGAAAATCTTACACTGGATGTTAAGAGCGTGGAGGATCTTGATATCGTTTGGTGACATGGATGTGCGCTGTGGCTGAAGAATGACATCACATGGAGCGATGGCACCAACCTTAGCAGCGGAACCAAGGCAGTTAGCATCGATAACGTCCTTGATAGCCTTGAAGTTGCCATTTGTGAAGATAAGGCCAGCACCGTGGTAAAGGTGTTCTTCGAGCTGTCTGATGCCTGGAAGTTCTTCCTTGAGCTGATCAACAGCACGGCGCATAAGGGAGTTCTTACCGAAGAGAACCTCGCAGCCGTGTTCAGCAAGGCCAGCACGGATGTTGAGGAGCTGGTTGGCTGTAACGTTCATGGATGTAACAACGACAACCTTGTGGTACTTGCGGAAGAGAGCATGGAGCTTTGTGACGTAGTCTAACTTCTTCTGTGGGATATGCTTCTCGTGATGCATTCAGATAAAAGGAAAACCAAACAAACTTCTCAATTTCTTTGGAAAGGCCAAAGCTTTCAATTTACTCAATTAATAATCTTGCCGTAATCAAAAAATAATTGAATGCTTTTGCTCGGGGTAACGTCATATATAATGGAAACTATCAGAACTATCATTCTTCTATTTTATTTTATTATTGTTAATACAAAATATCCAGTATCTCTAGTTCAATCATCAAAATAATGCTATTTTGAATTGGAAACTTAATTTTTTTGATATCACATAACAGATGGCTTTTGAATAGCTTATAACGCTGTCAAAATACATTTTTGTTGCAAAATAACTCAATATCAACTTCAATTTATTGAAAGATATTTTTATTTTCAATAAAAAATCACTAAAGGCTGTTAGCAGTTATGAATTCTTGAAAACTTGTTTATTTTCAAAAACGTGATGAATAAATATGGAATAACAAACAAATAAAAATGAAATAAATTAGTCTGTGAAAGGAGGAATGATTGTATTAGTACCATCGTTGAATACAATTCGAATCTTCTTTCTTTGAGTAGTAAAAATTGAAGCATTTTCATGAATCCAGAAAAAGCAGCCCTTCATAGTACGGTAATATTCTCTTTGAAAGTCTAATTCATATAATGAAGCTAAGCACGAGCAAATTGCGCGGATTTCGCTATGTGTAAATTTATCTCCAAGGAATCTTTTAATCCAGTTATGTTCTGGAGTTCTCTTATAGGAATATTCCTGATTTTTCATCTTTTCTTTAATTAGGTGCTCGAGCTATGTTTCTCCATAAATCTTAGACTTGATTAGATTCATTTTAAAATAATGAAATCATTCAAGTCAAAAAAAAAAAAAACGAGTTTATCTTAAGGGTGCACTTACGCCCCTATGACATGGCATTCAATGCAGATTTTTAAGATTGATTTTCAATGACGCTTCACATCAATTGTCAAAATTTTGAATTAAAGTCAGAGTCCAATGACAAAAAGTGCAAATAAATATATAAATATTTGAAATGTGATCGAATAACAACTGGTGTGAAGGAAAGCGATGTGACCGAATAACAAAAAGTACGAATAACTACACAAATACTTTGGCTTAACTAAAAAATGTAGATAAATAAGTATCCACTACAAAGTTTTAATAGTCTGAGTTATATAATTTTTCCCAAGATATATCAAACGTATGGCAAGACAAAAAAAGTTATCTTTCACTTCACTTTCCTGCGCTCCAAAGATTTGAATAATTTTGTGTCTAACTATAATGATGTACAATTGAAATGCTTCCAGTAGGCAGTACACCGCTTTTCAAATCTCGAGGTTGATACTGTTTGGGGGTATTTAGACGACAATGCGAATTTTCGAATAATAGAATTTTTAGCCAGATAAAGAACTATTAGATATATCTTGCGTGTTTGTACACTATATACATAGATGGAATTGATGTTCTTCCTTTATTTAGGTGCCAAAACATGCTTGCAAAATCCCTTTTTTAGACGACATTGATAGTTTTGTCAATTTTCCCCGACGAAAATAAAACATCCTCTACTGTTTGGATAGAATCAGTTTAAAAGTTACTAAAAATTATTTAGAAAGCAATTGTCAACAATATCAAAGAGGAATTCGATTCTCCTTTCTTCATTGCATCTTCAAAGATTGGATGATAAGTTGCTCAAAACATCTAATTCTTGACGAAGAAAATCCATGATGTTTTCCAAGACAGTATTACAAGCGAATTGTAATTCCACAAAAAATGAGTTATTTAGCTGCCAATGTGGAAGAATTTCAATTTTGTGATAATTGTCATTTTTCCACTATCTAATTAACGATTAAATGTTATAAACTATTTAAATACAAAATGAATACTTAACAAATAGCATCCATGCAAAATAGAAAAGAAACAGCAGAAATTCTTATTTCAAATGGTGCAGATATCAATGCTAGAGATAAACATGGACAAACTCCACTTCATAATGCAGCAACCAAAAACACTAAAGAAACGGCAGAAATTCTTATTTCACATGATGCAGATATCAACACTAAAACTAAAAATGGATCCACCTCTCTTCAAATAGCATCCATTGATAAATGCAAAGTCAAAATAAGGAGTCTCCTGTTATATTCTATGCAAATAAACTTGATAGGAAAGTTCATTCAACATTACTTACACAGTGTTTTAGTAATTGAGTCCTTATTCTCGAAACATAAAGTAAACTTGATCGGAATATTCCTTCAATCTGTTTCACTCCTTGTGCTTTTCTAAACATTCTCTTTTATACAAATTGATTTTATAACCTAACTGTTCAGTAACATCTTTAAAGTGACGTAAAAATTATTTTTACAAAAAATCATATATTTAATGAAAGTATATTATTTTAATCAGCACTAAAAATAATTTATACAATGTATTTTTAAGAGCAGTTTATCAAATAAATTGATTATTAAGTTCTTCGTCTTTCTTTCGTTTTGAAGCTTTGTAGATCTTTTTAGCGGATTTTAAGGTATAATTTGTCATGAATACTCTATTTTCTTCAATCATATTTTCAATTGTCCTTACTTGATCTTTAAGATATCGATTTTCTCCCATTAATTTATTTATGTTATCATCATCTTGAGTTTGAACTAAATTTTGAGTACTTGGAGCTGGTTTGAGGATTATTGGCTTAATAGATTCCTTATTAGAATTAAATGTAGATTTTTTCATTAAACTTTCATACGATTTGTATTCTTTTCGTTCATTATTTTGTCTTGTCTGTTCAGCCTGTAGAGTAGCTGTTAATTCAATAATCTCTTTATTCATATTCTTGATTTGTTTTTCAATGTCAGCTGTTTCGAGTTGAAGTCGCACAATTTCGTCGTATTTTGTATCAGTTAAAGAGAAGAAGTTATAATCTTCTTCTTCATCTAGATTTTCAAGTTCATATATAATCTTTTTTAGAATATTTCGATGCTGTGGGCTTTCGTCTGCTATTTTATCAAGAATTTCTAATGCAGAAGGATTGTCAGAATCTATCCAATATTGTAAATCCATTTCTTTCATTCTTTGGCTATTTGCTAATAGTGAATGAATAGGTATAGATGCTGAAATTATTTCATGTTTACGTGGATTAGCAACCGTAGATGGTCGAAAACTATTTGAAAGTTCAACTCGTGGTGTTTTAATGCGAGGTGAAAATTCCATTTGTTCTCTGAATGTAGTTTTGGCTGTTTGCGGCATTCTAATTGTGGGTGTCGCAAAAAGATTCTCAAAACTCATTCAAAATTATCTTACAAACGAATTTAGAGAATTTTTACGCCTGTATGATTTACATAAAAATAAATAGGGGTGCAGATCCATATATAGTGAGAAGTCATTATATATGGTTAAGTGAGATTATTACAGTCATATTTTTTCCTGGTAAAGGTCAGGAAATGGCGAATGCTCAATAATCTATTTTTCACCATTTGTTTTATTTTTGACACTACATCATTTAAATAAATTACTTAGCTCCCCTCTTTTTATTCTGGAATGGCTAATAAAATTTTTGTTTAATATTTTCCTCAAATATCATAATTTCATATACAATTTCTTATATACTCGCCAAATCTACTTCAAAATCTTCAAAATTGAATTCACCCTCCATTTATTCTTCTTCAAAGTCTGTATCTAAAGCATCCTTTTGGAGAGTCTCAAGATTGATTTATTTTTGTGCATAATAAACTGGAGTATATCCATATCTATCTCATGAATTTCTATCGATTTTAGGGGCAGTCAGAAAATATTTGATTATAATATCTTCATTCCTTTCAAATGCTCTTTGAAGTGGTGTCTGATTTCTATAATTTCTTGGATTTGGACCTGCACCACAATTAACAAAATTGCGAATAAGTGATAAATTTCCTCGTTTGACTGCTTCATGCATAATATGATTATCGAAATTATTCAAAATTGCATAACTAATTAAATAATAATCCTTTTCATAACTACAATCTTTAAATGTTTCATAAACTTCACCAATATCTTGTTTGTCAACGTCAAGATTGTTGATGTTTCCATCAGTTGTAGAAACTTTATTGAATTGAAATTGCTTGCTACTTGATGTCATTAAATTTTCAATCAATTGCATGGGCATTTATGTTTCTTAATTCATTTCCAAAGATACTTCCGTTAATGAATTGTTTATGAAATTAGAAATTGTTTCGCCTGTGCATAATTCAAATTTTATATATTGCGCAAATGTATCGATTTCCGGTGCTGATTTGCAAAAAGACATGACAAGCTCACAAACATCATCTTTGGTGTAAACAATGAGTAATTTGTTGCTCAAAATAGCTGTTACAAAGTCTGCAATTATTTCGTCTTGCTTTTTCGAAAAATATTTTCATCAATTGAGTTAAAAACAGAATGAATCAATGATGAACAATTTTAAGGTCCAATTGATGATAAATGAGATGCAATGTAAGAAGGAACCTCAGAAAAAATCACTAGTCTTCAAATTATATCTAATGAATGATTCGATATTTTCGTTGTTAATTATTTATGAAGCTGCGAAATCTTTGTATTGGGTGATGAAATCTTTATTTTTAATGCAAAATCGGATGTCATAATGGCATTCGCTTGTTGAGAAATCGATTTTCTCGTTGATGAATCCCGGTCTGAGGAATGTTGAAAATAAATTTAGAGCTTTATTTAGAGATTCTTTTTCAGGAATCCTTATTTCAATTTCAGATGAACTTTTATCTGTCATTAAAATGACACTGGCTGCTTCACTTATATCTGAAGCGTGCAACTGTGTTGTGACAAACCTGTGTTTATTGATTACAAAGGAATACTCTGTACAGTATTTTTCTAAAGATGAATTGTTTCAATAATCAGAATCGACTATGAAAACGTAGTCCATTTTTCAAAGTTTAGACTGACACTTTTGTATTTTTGCCATCATGTTATATATATGTTAATGCTCCTCTTATCCACTACTAGTTTATACAAACAACAACTAAGATATTTTCACAAATTTCTAATGTAATATCTAATCAAATTACGATTAATCGATTGATGTCTATATATTATTGATTTATCCAAAGACAAGAACAAATGGTATCTTGTCATCTTCTAAATGAAAGTTATTTCTTATGAATTCAATTAATGATTCATTCCTAAATTTGTAACTTCCTGAGTTTTAAAAATCGTAGTTGGGAATAAAAATGTAAGATTTCCCAACTTTTATTTCATATCTGAAAGAATTATCAATGTAAATTCAAAGTTCATCAATTTCACATAATTGGCATTATAATATATTTCTAGTAATGTAAGGATATTTAATTAAATTTGCATATAAATGAATCTTGAAAATCCAATAACTTTGAAATTGAGGATTTGAGTATGCGAAATCACTAAACATCCTAAATGTATTTCAATTACGAATGAAATTAGAGCATTTATCACTTCGTAAAATAAAAAAATGCGCTATCGTTCTCGATTCTTCATTCTTTGATAAAAACAATTTAAATGACTGATACATTAGGTGTCGGCTTTGCCGTTCCAGCAGCTGATATCGAATCCATGGTAACATTCGAAGAGGATGTCTGGGTTGGCACAAACAAAGGCCAAATCATCCAAACAACAAAAGATCAAGCGGAGAATCATATTATTTCATGGCCAAATCCCACAACAGGATTACCTGATCTAGGAATTGAAAAAACATCGAAAGTTAAAAGTCTCTTCGCTCTTTCTACGCCAGGAAAAGATGCAAAACCAGGTGACAAAGAAGGAGAAAATCTCGTTAACATATTAGTTTCGCACATCGTCCCAGCTGGATCTCAGTCTGGTAGAGTTTGCATTGTTCAAAAAGAAGAGCCATACCTTACTGAAATTTACAAAACAGCTAAATTAATAGACGCCGTCAAAGTCAAATCAGAAAAGACTACATACCCGCTTGTAGTTTCAGACGGTCCAAAGATTTTTATTTTCAAATATGAGCAAGGAAAATTAGTTCTTCACAGTTCAAGCTACACAGCAGAAGCAGAGATCACAGCTCTCTCAATTAACCATGTCGGTGTTGCTTTCTATGCAGGAAGCAAGTATTGCTATACATTATTCAAGAATTTCGGTACAGTCTCTATAGTTACGACCTCATTTGTCCTCAAGCCACTCATTATTCCCTTCGACCAAGCCTCTTTCATCTACTGCTTGCCAGGAAACTTCATGATCAAATCAGAAACTCAAGTTTCTCAACAATTTGTATATAACAGAGGTGTTGCAAATGCTCAGAACGAACGTCCAGACTTCATGGTCATCTACCAAGAGAAATTGATGAACTTTTACCCAGCAATGATGTTATCTGCCCGTATTACATACAAACATCAAGAGAATTTCTCGATGAAACCAATCGGACATGTCAGAATTATCGCTAGCCATGGCGAATCCCTCTATCTTGTCACAGATGCAGAAGTTAGGAAATATGGTGGTCAAACAAAAGGTACAGAGTGCGGTTTCAAGGTCAAAAATCAGAATATCGATGCCGGTATGAACATGTTCAACGCTCTTCCAAAGGAAACTCAGCCACAAGAGTTAATTGACTTCTTTAAGTGCCTTTGGAAGGAAGGAATGTGCAAAGAGGCCCTTAATATCCTTACCCTTGTCATGTGGCCCCATGATATCAGAGAAGTTCTTTCTCTTTTCTCTCCAGTTTACATCGAATTGCCAACAAAGCTCGAAGCTCGTATTCTGCTCCAGGGAACTAAGACTATTACAGCAGAGAAGCTCAATAAGGACGTCAAACAAGCCCTAGGTAACTTCCTTGAATTTACTCGTAACGCATACTCCGATTCCAACAATTCTTCGTTGACATCTCAGTTGCTTACAATCGACTCGTGCTTATTCCAGTTCTACGCGCTCAACCATTTAACCCGCCACCTCGATAAGTTCCTTATGTCCTCTCCAACTTACGATATGCAGCTTATCGCAAGGTTCTTGAACGAGAAAGTCAAGAAACTCCACTTGCACCCTGCATTCGCCATCTACCAAGCAGCTGTTTGCTCAAAAGATAATAATAATGGTGTCAAAACCGCCATGAAAGTCTGGGAACAGCTCAACGAAGCAGATAAAAAATCCGTGAGATGGTCTGAAGAAGCTTCATACACAATCAGGCGCATTAAACCAGCAAATGGCTACAATGACCCAGAAAACATCTACAAACGCTCCCAATTAGACTGGATCCTTGCCAAATCCCCGAGATCCGCCGTCAACGCCTTCATGTACTCCTCAGTTAGGCAAGACGAGCACGATTTCTTCGAATCCTGGGTCAAAGGTGTTGCTCCTCGCTACCAGACAGGTCTCAGACTGAAGTACTACATGTACATAACCTCAGCCGAGGCAGAGAAGTCATCTTCAGTCAACGCAGACTATAAAACAGGCATCGAGCATTTTATTGACTTTTTGTTGAAGCTTGACAACCAACCAGAGAACGCCATGGAGAAGTACAATGTCGATGATCCACAGTCCATCACGAAATATGACCTAATTTTCTATGATGACGAATGTGAAATGGTCGACACCCCTTCAAGCGAAGAAGAGATCATGCAAGCGAAGGAGAAAACCATAGAGAAGATCCAGGAGCTCACAGAAGCCTTCATTGCCGAGTCAATGAAACCGGATGTTGTCAAAGAGAAAGATTTGATGAAAAGAAAGGCTCTCGTTGAAGACAGGATGAAAGAGAAGCGAAACATGTTGGTCAATTCACTCAGAGACATGTTGACACGCTTAAATCCAAGATACATCACGAAATTAACACCGGAATTCGAGATTCCTCAACCGGATTACACTCTCCCATACGCAAGAAGCGAACCCCTCCTTCTCTTCTTCTTCCAGAAGGCTGAATTATACGCTCATGGCGCGAATCAGCTCATTTCCACCGTCGGAGCCTTTGCTCGAGGTGCTGTTGAGCAGTTCTGCCGTGGTGCGCCATCCCCTGAAGTCGCCTTCATGGTCTGTCTCCAAAAGATCATGAATCCTTTGTTATTCATCGAATTGATACCTCGAAGTGACGATCCACAGCAAAGCGCCATCCAGCAGAGGGACAGAAAGAAGTCTCTCGAGGCAGGAGCTCTCCACGTCAACGAGGCACACATGAGGGAAGGCTCTGAATACATGAACTTGCTCATGGACAACTTGGAATGGATCGATGTCGCACAATTGATTCACAGAGAACCATCTGAGGACACAGTTCTTCCTGTCAAAGTTCCAAAGGCATACGAGAACGCGTCGAAGCTCCCGAGCGAACTCTTCAACCCTCAGTTGGATCCACTCAGATACTACGAGGACAAGTTCATCGACTTGATTCCTGACGACGGAGATATGGAATTGTACGGACCAGTACTAAGGAGAGCTTCAGCTGTTTTGCTCGAGAAGGAGAGACTAACAAGAATTAAGTTGGATGTCGTAAGAAATCTCGAGTTGGATGCAGCGTACAGACTTGTTTTGGCACAGAAGAGAAACTGCGAGATACAGCACTCTACTCTCTGCAAGACATGCGGAAGACAGGTAGGAAATGGCTGGCTATCAATATCTCCAACAAACGAGGTCTACCATATTGCTTGTGTGAAGAAAGAAGACCAGAAGAATGACGCTCAGCCAATGTATCTCTAAAAAAATAAAAATATTTTATTTTTATCATTTTTTTCATTAAAAAAACAAATAATATTTTTTTTCTCCCCCTTGTATTTAAATGTTATTTTATCTTCTTCTTAAAATGGTTTTTCTTGGATGTATAACATGGGTTTCTCGAATTGAATTATCGATTGTTTTGTAGTCTAAACAAAACGAAGTATTTATTTGTTGGGTCATTGTTGTTTCTAAATTGCCTCCATTATCACTGGCACCATAAATTCCATCATGATATGAATTTGAAACAATAATGGAGCCATCATCTATTACCTGAAAATTATATTGTTTTTGATTATTTATGACTGCACATTTATCAACATTAATGACGCCGTTAATTTCTTGAATAACAACATTACCCTGACAATTATTATTGATAATATTTGTTTTTAGAATATAAGTTTCCCGGTTTCTTTGTGTCCTAATAAGATATCCATCTGAATTTGTATTATCTGCAAAATTGCAAAATCTAATTTTAGGATTAGTATCAGGAGAGTTAATTGATAATGCAGCTCCTGAAATGGCATTTATCTTTGATATATTTACTCCCTTAATAATTATGGCGCCATCTTCTAAATTTAGAGTATTTTGACCTTGATTATATTGTCCGCATTGTGCAATCGAAGTACATTTAATAAAATTATTACTTGATGCAGTATCAGATGGAGAAACATAGCAATGATGTCCATAATAACTACCTTTCACCTGGCACTGAGTTATATAATTCATAATCTGAACAACGCTTCCATCATTAAATAGATATATTGCAGCTCCATATTGATCAGAAGCAATACAGGAAAAGAAGGTACACATGTATACAAGAAGCTTTGTATCTGCGTCGACCTGAGAAAATCTTATTGTTCCATTTGGTGATAAATTTTTGAAATTAGTACATGTGACAAAATATTTTTGGTTCTTTTTGTCTACATATAAAAAAGAGGGCTCTTTGTATATGGTTTTTTCTTCATTCCCATAGAATTTGTTCCATGGATCAAAGGCAACTGTTGTGAAAAGAATTGGATTCATATCTATCAGTAAATGGCATTTTTTGTCTTATTACAATTCAAAATCGAAAAAAATTCAATGAAATCTGATACCGTACCTTGAATAACCGGCGAACCATTCAATTGGTCATAGACCAATTTGAGATACCCTTTTCAGAGGAATCTAAAATGTTGTTTATATGGTTATTTATATATTATTTAATCATTTTCTTAAATAAAAATCATAAGTTCTCAATTTTTCTTCATAACGATTCTTATAAATTTTAATGTTTTTACTATGAGTGCTGTTGTAAACAGAAATTCATCAAAAGTGACACCTCAGAAAAGCTAAAATATTGAATTTTTGGAACTTTTGATAGAGCACGTTTTTAAATATTAATTAAAGTAAATGTATATTTTGTAAAGATTCTTTTTAATAAAAAAATAAAATTTTGAAGAAGAACACAAAATCTTCTGAAAAATAATATCACATAAACTCATATTATTTTCTAATATATAACTATTTTATATAAAAATCAAATTCAATGATCTTAAAAGCGAAGGATAAACCACAAAATTTACGAATATAATGAGTGGGAATATAATGCTTATCTATCATAAAACCATATGAAATATCAATTTTTGCTTTACGCCTAATTTTTGACGACAATTAGCAAAAAATGTTAAATGTTAACACTCAGTCCATTTGAATATGAAAAATAAAATTGACTTTGATTAAATGTTTTTATTTATCATGCAATTCTTCTTGCGACCAAAGATTTGAATAAAAGTTCAAAAAATAAGATAGCTTAAAAAATAATATACGGTAGTGTTTACTAATAGATGAATAGTATATAAATTCTATTAAAATGGATTTGATCCAAAAAAAATATAAAACCAAAAATAATTGTTATATATTTAAATGAAGAAGTAATTTAAAACGATTTTATTTATGATCAAATTTTATATATTTTTTTGGATCAAATTCATTTTAATAGAATTTATATACTATTCATCTATTAGTAAACACTACCGTATATTATTTTTAAGCTATCTTATTTTTTTGAAATTTTATTCAAATCTTTGGTCGCAAGAAGAATTGCATGATAAATAAAAACATTTAACATTTTTTGCTAATTGTCGTCAAAAATTAGGCGTAAAGCAAAAATTGATATTTCATATGGTTTTATGATAGATAAGCATTATATTCCCACTCATTATATTCGTAAATTTTGTGGTTTATCCTTCGCTTTTAAGGGTATAGTCCACTAAAAATTTTTAAGTTTTGACAATGAAAATAAGCTCTGTGACCATGTAAATATATATCTATGTAAAACGAGAGGTTATGCCATAATTTTTTTAGTTATCAAATTTTCCTTTTTTTGAGAGAAGTCTCTCAATAATTTGAGAAGAATCTTTGATATAAAGAGATACACATTTGTAGAACGAAGTAAGTGTTTTCCAAACATTTTATATGTTCATCCTGTATAACAATATAAAGCTGCATAGTGCCATCTTGTGCGTTTGCTATTTTATGTACTTTTCATTGAGATAATCCCTCTTCTCGGGTGATTTTAACAGTCAACTCAATTTTAAAATAAAGATTTCATCAAAATGATTTCGAAATTCGGATATTGATTATATAAATAGCACTGTTAACATATTTTGGATGAGTAAAAAATACCTTGTTTTGTATGCATTTAGTACACCTTTATTTTTGATTAAAACTATAAAATTTTTATTCCTTATATAATAAATAGTATATGTTACATAAACATGAAATTCAATAGCATTCAATTTTGGATTTTTTAGATTTGGTAAATTTTAGAAGAAATAAAATCAGCAATCAAAATAAAGAAACTTTTTTGTATCTTCTATGATTACCTTTTGGTACTAAATTTTGCATTAATAAGTAAATTATCTGTATTATTCTGTGAGCACAAGCCCTCAGTTATGCTGGTAGTGAATGAGGAATCGTCATTTTGCGAAGAGAACGCGATTATTAAGGTAATTTTGAGAATTGTCTTGAATTATTTAAAATTAAAGTTAATTGAATAGGTAGGATAACTAGCCTTTGCTAAATTTGTATAATTTGACCTTATTCTAGTTGGATCTGAGAATGTTTTGCTGAAATAATAAATTATATCGCCGATTTATGAAAATTTCTCTGATGGGACCGACTCGCTGAAACGTATTAGTGTTAATGGTAACTTGTCTGAATTTTCAAATTTTTTTCGAAATCCAAAAAATCACAAACAAAAGCATCAAAATTAAATTTGAATTTAAAGTTTTCATTTTTTTTTTGGAAAATAAAAATATTTTTCCCCAATAAAGTTTGTTTTTACTTTTGAGAGGAATAGAAACGTTATTTTGGAATTTTGAAACGACAGAAATGTTCCATTTTTAATGTAGATTCTAAAATGGGGTCAAATTTTTGATTGAACCGTTATCCATTGAAAAACCTCGATTTTAAAATGTTATTCCAAAATATTCATCTAATGATATAGTATATATTTATTAATTATTACTTTTTATTCAATTTTCACTTTTGGCGGGATTTCATTTTTTTGTTGTTGTATGGGCCATATTGTTCACCCAAAACGGAAAACAAAGGCAATGCATAACATTTTACTCCACGAACGTCGTCGACTCTCAGCGCGACAGATGCTTGGTGCTTGCATAATGACCGGAATGCCATATACAAAAGGTGCTCGCTTTCTTTCTCTTTGTGGAACTAAGCCCCCTGTGAAGAGTGGTGTCATGAGACAACAGAGATTTTGTGACGATAAGATTAGAAGACTTAAAAGTATTTCCCTAATGCTGTCGAGAAAGTCCTTCAGTGGTTACTTATCCATTGATGCAAGATGGACGCACAGGCGAAACTCGCCAAGTTGTACAGTAACTGCGCTCGATGCTGTCACAAAAAGAGTTCTTGCATGCGTGAACATCAACCATATTGGTGGAAACAGACAGCATGCTCAGTATTCCGGAGCTTCCAACAATATGGAAAGTGCTGGAACTCGAATCATCTTGAAGCAATTAAAGAAATACAATATCTTGAAAGATGTTAAAGAGATTATTAAAGACCGAGATAACAAAAGTGTCTCTGTCTTTAAAGAATTTGGCGTCTCTCATCTTGAAAGATTCGATCCAGGTCATGTATCAAAAAATATCTCAAAAGATTTTACAAAGTTCTCAGCCTCTCATAAGACAGTTGAAGTTTTCAACGACAAGACTCAGAAGATTGAAAAAATAGAGAGACCTTTCTGGGGTCTGAATGCAAGCCTAAGTATGTGGCTTTGGTCATGTTTTGCCGAAGAAAATATTGACAAACGTACGAAAATGTGGGAGAATTGTGTCTACCATTACGTAGGCAATCATTCTTTTTGCGAACCGCACAATTACAAATGCTTTGAATGGCAAAAAGGTGTCAATTTGATCCAACTTCAATTCATGCTCTATGACTGGGTTCACAAATGGACACCCATAGTTTCCAAAGTTTCTTCCAAAATTGCATGCTATTTGGACAAATCAAGAGCCTGGAAGAACATTAACATTAGAGTTAACGTTGCAATCTTAGAATGGAATGATCCAGAGCATTTTCTCGGAGATATACAAAAAGCATTACATCTTCCCCCACTTCCAGAAGATTGTGTCAAATCATTTGAAGAGAATTGTTACTCCAAAATGATATTGAAACAAAAAACTGTTACAAAAGGTTCTAAAAAACAGAACAAATACAAAAAATCCATTCAGAGTGTACCAGGAGGAGATTATCAAGTTTTCAAGTCCGAATGGGAATCAGAAGACGAAGACATTGATGACTTTGATTAACGAAAATTACATTTTATTTATTGTTTTTGTTTTTAATTAAATTATTATTATGCTCATTTTCTTATTTTGATTTTTTCTCATTATGATATAAATAATTTATTAATGCATTTATCCAATAATTATGCTATGATATTTTTATGCCTTATTTCATTTCTCTTATATTTGATAATCTGGTAAAATATAGTTCAGACTATAATCATTTTAGATTATTGATATATTTATATAGGTTAGAATAAATTAGTTTCATTTTCTACTTTTATTTTGAATTAATAATTTATAATATCAAATATTATGGCGTAACCTCTCCTTTAAAATATAGATATATATAGGCCTATAGAGTTTATTGGCACTCTCAAAACTCTAGAATTTTGAGTTTACTATACCCTTAAGATCATTGAATTTGATTTTTATATAAAATAGTTATATATTAGAAAATAATATGAGTTTATGTGATATTATTTTTCAGAAGATTTCATTCTATATGCCTATGAAAAGTACTCTCAAAACTAACTTTTTCCTAATTATAATTAAATCTAGAATATTGTATTATGCTTAGTATTATTTCATTTTTCTCATTCAATTTAGAATTTACAAATGTCAAAAAATTGAGAGCTGTCACTTTTGATGAATTTCTGTTTATTACAGTGCTAAATATTATTAATTACTAAATGATTTTAAAAAGAAAAAACATGTTTTTACTTTGTACGTTAACATACGTTAATATCACTTCGGCTATGGATAGAGGCCAACAGCGCCTTATTAATGAGAAAAACATTAGCCTCTTATCAATGAGATGGAAGTGTATTCGTGGATTACAATTGTGAATTCAGATACACTTCCATCTCAAAAAATGCAATCAAATTTGTATTGAATTGCATTTTTTGAATACATGCTATTGGCAGTTGGGTTTTTAGTGCATTTATATTATATTGGTACTCAGGCTTTTGGAAAATTTACAAAATAAATTTAATATTTTGTAAATGTTATCGGTTCTTACGCTTTTGGAAGGAGGGATGGTATTTTTGGAGCATTTATATTACATTGGTACTCAGGCTTTTGGAAAATTTACAAAATAAATTTAATATTTTGTAAATGTTATCGGTTCTTACGCTTTTGGAAGGAGGGATGGTATTTTTGGAGCATTTATATTACATTGGTACTCAGGCTTTTGGAAAATTTACAAAATAAATTTAATATTTTGTAAATGTTATCGGTTCTTACGCTTTTGGAAGGAGGGATGGTATTTTTGGAGCATTTATATTACATTAGTACTCAGGCTTTTGGAAAATTTACAAAATAAATTTAATATTTTGTAAATGTTATCGGTTCTTACGCTTCCTCTCTTCATCAAGATGCTTCCTCACTCCATCATGCATCCATCATGCAGCTTCCTCTCTTCATCAAGGTGCTTCCTCTCTTGATCAAGATGCTTCCTCTCTTCATCAAGATGCTTCCTCTCTTCAACAAAGTGATTCCTCTCTTCTTCAAAGTACTTCCTCTCTTGATCAAGATGCTTCCTCACTCCATCATGCAGCTTCCTCTCTTGATCAAGGTGCTTCCTCTCTTGATCAAGATGCTTCCTCTCTTCTTCAAAGTACTTCCTCTCTTCATCAAGGTGCTTCCTCTCTTCAACAAAGTACTTCCTCTCTTGATCAAGGTGCTTCCTCTCTTCAACAAAGTGCTTCCTCTCTTGATCAAGATGCTTCCTCTCTTCAACAAAGTGCTTCCTCTCTTGCTCAAGATGCAGCTTCCTCTCTTCAACAAAGTGCTTCCTCTCTTCATCAAGGTGCTTCCTCTCTTCATCAAGGTGCTTCCTCTCTTCATCAAGGTGCTTCCTCTCTTCAACAAGATGCTTCCTCTCTTCTTCAAAGTACTTCCTCTCTTGATCAAGGTGCTTCCTCTCTTCACAAGATGCTTCCTCTCTTCTTCAAAGTACTTCCTCTCTTCACAAGATGCTTCCTCTCTTCTTCAAAGTACTTCCTCTCTTCATCAAGGTGCTTCCTCTCTTCAACAAAGTACTTCCTCTCTTGATCAAGATGCTTCCTCTCTTCAACAAAGTGCTTCCTCTCTTGATCAAGATGCTTCCTCTCTTGATCAAGATGCTTCCTCTCTTGATCAAGATGCTTCCTCTCTTCAACAAGATGCTTCCTCTCTTGATCAAGGTGCTTCCTCTCTTCATCAAAGTGCTTCCTCTCTTGATCAAGATGCTTCCTCTCTTCATCAAGTGCTTCCTCTCTTCAAAGTGCTTCCTCTCTTCAACAAAGTGCTTCCTCTCTTGATCAAGATGCTTCCTCTCTTGATCAAGATGCTTCCTCTCTTCAACAAAGTGCTTCCTCTCTTCATCAAGATGCTTCCTCTCTTGATCAAGTGCTTCCTCTCTTCATCAAGATGCTTCCTCTCTTCAACAAAGTGCTTCCTCTCTTGCTCAAGATGCTTCCTCTCTTCAACAAAGTGCTTCCTCTCTTCATCAAGTGCTTCCTCTCTTCATCAAGATGCTTCCTCTCTTCACAAGATGCTTCCTCTCTTCTTCAAAGTACTTCCTCTCTTCATCAAGGTGCTTCCTCTCTTCAACAAAGTACTTCCTCTCTTGATCAAGGTGCTTCCTCTCTTCAACAAAGTGCTTCCTCTCTTGATCAAGATGCTTCCTCTCTTGATCAATGTGCTTCCTCTCTTGATCAAGGTGCTTCCTCTCTTCAACAAAGTACTTCCTCTCTTGATCAAGATGCTTCCTCTCTTGATCAAGATGCTTCCTCTCTTCAACAAGATGCTTCCTCTCTTCTTAAAAGTACTTCCTCTCTTGATCAAGATGCTTCCTCTCTTGATCAAGGTGCTTCCTCTCTTCAACAAAGTGCTTCCTCTCTTGATCAAGATGCAGCTTCCTCTCTTCAACAAAGTGCTTCCTCTCTTCATCAAGTGCTTCCTCTCTTCATCAAGATGCTTCCTCTCTTCATCAAGTGCTTCCTCTCTTCATCAAGATGCTTCCTCTCTTGATCAAGATGCTTCCTCTCTTCATCAAGATGCTTCCTCTCTTCTTAAAAGTACTTCCTCTCTTGATCAAGGTGCTTCCTCTCTTCTTCAAAGTACTTCCTCTCTTCATCAAGATGCTTCCTCTCTTCATCAAGTGCTTCCTCTCTTCATCAAGTGCTTCCTCTCTTCAAAGATGCTTCCTCTCTTCTTCAAAGTACTTCCTCTCTTTCAAAGTACTTCCTCTCTTCATCAAGTGCTTCCTCTCTTCATCAAGTGCTTCCTCTCTTCATCAAGATGCAGCTTCCTCTCTTCAACAAAGTGCTTCCTCTCTTCATCAAGGTGCTTCCTCTCTTCATCAAGATGCTTCCTCTCTTCAACAAAGTGCTTCCTCTCTTCAACAAAGTGCTTCCTCTCTTGATCAAGATGCTTCCTCTCTTGATCAAGATGCTTCCTCTCTTCAACAAAGTGCTTCCTCTCTTGATCAAGATGCTTCCTCTCTTGATCAAGATGCTTCCTCTCTTGATCAAGATGCTTCCTCTCTTCATCAAGATGCTTCCTCTCTTCTTAAAAGTACTTCCTCTCTTGATCAAGTGCTTCCTCTCTCTGATCAAGTGCTTCCTCTCTTCATCAAGATGCTTCCTCTCTTGATCAAGATGCTTCCTCTCTTCAACAAGATGCTTCCTCTCTTCTTCAAAGTACTTCCTCTCTTCATCAAGGTGCTTCCTCTCTTCATCAAGATGCTTCCTCTCTTCATCAAGGTGCTTCCTCTCTTCATCAAGATGCTTCCTCTCTTCAACAAGATGCTTCCTCTCTTCTTCAAAGTACTTCCTCTCTTCTTCAAAGTACTTCCTCTCTTCATCAAGGTGCTTCCTCTCTTCATCAAGGTGCTTCCTCTCTTGATCAAGATGCTTCCTCTCTTCCAAAGTGCTTCCTCTCTTCAACAAAGTGCTTCCTCTCTTGATCAAATGCTTCCTCTCTTGATCAAGATGCTTCCTCTCTTCAACAAAGTGCTTCCTCTCTTCAACAAAGTGCTTCCTCTCTTGATCAAGATGCTTCCTCTCTTGATCAAGATGCTTCCTCTCTTCACAAGTGCTTCCTCTCTTGATCAAGATGCTTCCTCTCTTCATCAAGATGCTTCCTCTCTTGATCAAGATGCTTCCTCTCTTCATCAAGATGCTTCCTCTCTTCATCAAGATGCTTCCTCTCTTCAACAAGATGCTTCCTCTCTTCAAAAGTACTTCCTCTCTTGATCAAGTGCTTCCTCTCTTCTTCAAAGTACTTCCTCTCTTCTTAAAAGTACTTCCTCTCTTGATCAAGTGCTTCCTCTCTTCTTCAAAGTACTTCCTCTCTTCATCAAGATGCTTCCTCTCTTCTTCAAAGTACTTCCTCTCTTCATCAAGATGCTTCCTCTCTTCATCAAGTGCTTCCTCTCTTCATCAAGGTGCTTCCTCTCTTCATCAAGATGCTTCCTCTTCTTCAAAGTACTTCCTCTCTTCATCAAGTGCTTCCTCTCTTCATCAAGTGCTTCCTCTCTTCATCAAGTGCTTCCTCTCTTCATCAAGATGCTTCCTCTCTTCAACAAAGTGCTTCCTCTCTTCATCAAGGTGCTTCCTCTCTTCATCAAGATGCTTCCTCTCTTCAACAAAGTGCTTCCTCTCTTCAACAAAGTGCTTCCTCTCTTGATCAAGTGCTTCCTCTCTTGATCAAGATGCTTCCTCTCTTCAACAAAGTGCTTCCTCTCTTGATCAAGATGCTTCCTCTCTTGATCAAGTGCTTCCTCTCTTCATCAAGATGCTTCCTCTCTTCATCAAGATGCTTCCTCTCTTCATCAAGATGCTTCCTCTCTTCAACAAGTGCTTCCTCTCTTCTTCAAAGTACTTCCTCTCTTCATCAAGTGCTTCCTCTCTTCATCAAGTGCTTCCTCTCTTCTTCAAAGTACTTCCTCTCTTGATGAAGATGCAGCTTCCTCTCTTCAACAAAGTGCTTCCTCTCTTCATCAAGTGCTTCCTCTCTTCATCAAGATGCTTCCTCTCTTCAACAAGATGCTTCCTCTCTTCTTCAAGTACTTCCTCTCTTCATCAAGTGCTTCCTCTCTTCATCAAGTGCTTCCTCTCTTCTTCAAAGTACTTCCTCTCTTGATCAAGTGCTTCCTCTCTTCAACAAAGTGCTTCCTCTCTTCATCAAGATGCTTCCTCTCTTGATCAAGATGCTTCCTCTCTTGATCAAGTGCTTCCTCTCTTCAACAAAGTGCTTCCTCTCTTGATCAAGATGCTTCCTCTCTCTTCAAAGTACTTCCTCTCTTCATCAAGGTGCTTCCTCTCTTCACAAAGTACTTCCTCTCTTGATCAAGATGCTTCCTCTCTTCACAAAGTGCTTCCTCTCTTCATCAAGATGCTTCCTCTCTTCAACAAAGTGCTTCCTCTCTTCATCAAGATGCTTCCTCTCTTCAACAAGATGCTTCCTCTCTTCTTCAAAGTACTTCCTCTCTTGATCAAGATGCTTCCTCTCTTCATCAAGGTGCTTCCTCTCTTCTTCAAAGTACTTCCTCTCTTGATCAAGGTGCTTCCTCTCTTCAACAAAGTACTTCCTCTCTTGATCAAGGTGCTTCCTCTCTTGATCAAGATGCTTCCTCTCTTCATCAAGGTGCTTCCTCTCTTCATCAAGATGCTTCCTCTCTTCATCAAGATGCTTCCTCTCTTCATCAAGGTGCTTCCTCTCTTCATCAAGATGCTTCCTCTCTTCAACAAGATGCTTCCTCTCTTCTTCAAAGTACTTCCTCTCTTCATCAAAGTACTTCCTCTCTTCTTCAAAGTACTTCCTCTCTTGATCAAGGTGCTTCCTCTCTTCAACAAAGTACTTCCTCTCTTGATCAAGGTGCTTCCTCTCTTCATCAAGATGCTTCCTCTCTTCAACAAAGTGATTCCTCTCTTCTTCAAAGTACTTCCTCTCTTGATCAAGATGCTTCCTCTCTTCAACAAGATGCTTCCTCTCTTCAACAAAGTACTTCCTCTCTTCATCAAGTGCTTCCTCTCTTCACAAAGTACTTCCTCTCTTGATCAAGGTGCTTCCTCTCTTCAACAAAGTGCTTCCTCTCTTCATCAAGATGCTTCCTCTCTTGATCAAGATGCTTCCTCTCTTCACAAAGTGCTTCCTCTCTTGATCAAGATGCTTCCTCTCTTCATCAAGATGCTTCCTCTCTTCAACAAAGTGCTTCCTCTCTTCATCAAGATGATGCTTCCTCTCTTCACAAAGTGCTTCCTCTCTTCATCAAGTGCTTCCTCTCTTCATCAAGATGCTTCCTCTCTTCAACAAGATGCTTCCTCTCTTCTTCAAAGTACTTCCTCTCTTCATCAAGTGCTTCCTCTCTTCAACAAAGTACTTCCTCTCTTGATCAAGGTGCTTCCTCTCTTCAACAAAGTGCTTCCTCTCTTGATCAAGATGCTTCCTCTCTTCATCAAGTGCTTCCTCTCTTGATCAAGTGCTTCCTCTCTTCAACAAAGTGCTTCCTCTCTTGATCAAGATGCTTCCTCTCTTCATCAAGTGCTTCCTCTCTTCAACAAAGTGCTTCCTCTCTTGATCAAGATGCTTCCTCTCTTCAACAAAGTGCTTCCTCTCTTCATCAAGTGCTTCCTCTCTTCATCAAGATGCTTCCTCTCTTCATCAAGTGCTTCCTCTCTTCATCAAGATGCTTCCTCTCTTGATCAAGATGCTTCCTCTCTTGATCAAGTGCTTCCTCTCTTGATAAGATGCTTCCTCTCTTCATCAAGGTGCTTCCTCTCTTCAACAAAGTGCTTCCTCTCTTGATCAAGTGCTTCCTCTCTTCAACAAAGTGCTTCCTCTCTTGATCAAGATGCTTCCTCTCTTCATCAAGTGCTTCCTCTCTTCAACAAAGTGCTTCCTCTCTTGATCAAGATGCTTCCTCTCTTGATCAAGATGCTTCCTCTCTTCATCAAGATGCTTCCTCTCTTCATCAAGATGCTTCCTCTCTCTTCAAAGTACTTCCTCTCTTGATCAAGTGCTTCCTCTCTTCATCAAGATGCTTCCTCTCTTCATCAAGTGCTTCCTCTCTTCAACAAAGTGCTTCCTCTCTTGATCAAGTGCTTCCTCTCTTCAACAAAGTGCTTCCTCTCTTGATCAAGATGCTTCCTCTCTTCATCAAGTGCTTCCTCTCTTCAACAAAGTGCTTCCTCTCTTGATCAAGATGCTTCCTCTCTTCATCAAGATGCTTCCTCTCTTGATCAAGATGCTTCCTCTCTTCAACAAGATGCTTCCTCTCTTCTTCAAAGTACTTCCTCTCTTGATCAAGGTGCTTCCTCTCTTCAACAAAGTGCTTCCTCTCTTGATCAAGATGCTTCCTCTCTTGATCAAGATGCTTCCTCTCTTCAACAAGATGCTTCCTCTCTTCTTCAAAGTACTTCCTCTCTTCATCAAGGTGCTTCCTCTCTTCATCAAGGTGCTTCCTCTCTTCTTCAAAGTACTTCCTCTCTTGATGAAGATGCAGCTTCCTCTCTTCAACAAAGTGCTTCCTCTCTTCATCAAGGTGCTTCCTCTCTTCATCAAGATGCTTCCTCTCTTCAACAAGATGCTTCCTCTCTTCTTCAAAGTACTTCCTCTCTTCATCAAGGTGCTTCCTCTCTTCATCAAGTGCTTCCTCTTCTTCAAAGTACTTCCTCTCTTGATCAAGTGCTTCCTCTCTTCAACAAAGTGCTTCCTCTCTTGATCAAGATGCTTCCTCTCTTGATCAAGATGCTTCCTCTCTTGATCAAGGTGCTTCCTCTCTTCAACAAAGTGCTTCCTCTCTTGATCAAGATGCTTCCTCTCTTGATCAAGATGCTTCCTCTCTTGATCAAGGTGCTTCCTCTCTTCAACAAAGTACTTCCTCTCTTGATCAAGGTGCTTCCTCTCTTCAACAAAGTGCTTCCTCTCTTGCTCAAGATGCAGCTTCCTCTCTTCAACAAAGTGCTTCCTCTCTTCATCAAGGTGCTTCCTCTCTTCATCAAGATGCTTCCTCTCTTCATCAAGGTGCTTCCTCTCTTCATCAAGATGCTTCCTCTCTTCAACAAGATGCTTCCTCTCTTCTTCAAAGTACTTCCTCTCTTGATCAAGGTGCTTCCTCTCTTCAACAAAGTACTTCCTCTCTTGATCAAGGTGCTTCCTCTCTTCAACAAAGTACTTCCTCTCTTGATCAAGGTGCTTCCTCTCTTCATCAAGATGCTTCCTCTCTTCAACAAAGTGATTCCTCTCTTCTTCAAAGTACTTCCTCTCTTGATCAAGATGCTTCCTCTCTTCAACAAGATGCTTCCTCTCTTCTTCAAAGTACTTCCTCTCTTCATCAAGGTGCTTCCTCTCTTCAACAAAGTACTTCCTCTCTTGATCAAGGTGCTTCCTCTCTTCAACAAAGTGCTTCCTCTCTTGATCAAGATGCTTCCTCTCTTGATCAAGATGCTTCCTCTCTTCAACAAAGTGCTTCCTCTCTTGATCAAGATGCTTCCTCTCTTGATCAAGATGCTTCCTCTCTTGATCAAGATGCTTCCTCTCTTCAACAAAGTGCTTCCTCTCTTGCTCAAGATGCAGCTTCCTCTCTTCAACAAAGTGCTTCCTCTCTTCATCAAGGTGCTTCCTCTCTTCATCAAGATGCTTCCTCTCTTCAACAAGATGCTTCCTCTCTTCTTCAAAGTACTTCCTCTCTTCATCAAGGTGCTTCCTCTCTTCAACAAAGTACTTCCTCTCTTGATCAAGGTGCTTCCTCTCTTCAACAAAGTGCTTCCTCTCTTGATCAAGATGCTTCCTCTCTTCAACAAAGTGATTCCTCTCTTCTTCAAAGTACTTCCTCTCTTGATCAAGATGCTTCCTCAGTTAGTATGACTATCTTGGGTACGGCGGCACTGCGCGCCTCCTTACCCATGATAACGGTTTGACACTTTACGAAACCGGCAACGTATATTTTACAACACAACCATAACACCAACTTAACCTTAAATATTTGCAAAACCGTCTGACACATAAACGAATTCACTACCGTCCTCACTAAATAAAAAATAACCTTATTTTATTTATTTTCCAACTTTTTTATTTCATTGTAAAGACATGTCTGACTACATTTACTATGACTCTTTCCCAGAACGTTTCCATGAGCTGTTTAAAACCCAAGTAAAACTGAGAAACATGCATTTTAACAAAGACAGACCCATTGACGATGAAAGAAACCCTGAATATATTACAATCCCATATGACGCAAAGTTCATTGCATACATTCCTTATGGTCGCAGAGGAACGAAAACTATTTCAACAAAGAACAAAAATTATTTCTGGAGCGATGAAGAAAATTGCCTTATCTACATAAATGCATACTTAAATAAAGCTACATATTGTACAAAAGAAGGTTGGACTGGATTTGAGCTCTACATATACGACGACGATGGAAACAGACGCTGTGTATACCCATACGATAATATGTACCATTGTTTTCATCAAGCATTAAACGAATACATAGTCAGTAAGGGTCTCATTCCTGCTGAGTAGAAATGTTATATTTTTGTTCTGTCATTTATATAAAAATAAACTTAAAAATAAATGATATCACCACCCTCACACGTATGAAAACATAGCGCAAAAATAAATTTAGGGTAGATGGGTATATCTAACCCGATTTCTAACCTCATTTCTATCCTGTTGAATTCATTGCTTTATAACTCTCTTCCTTGGTTTCTTTTTAGTTGCTTTCTTAACATCTGTCTCCAACTTGACTGTCTTTCTTCTTCGTCCGTAATGATACCAATTACTTCCACCAGTCAATGGGTCAAATGGTCGTTCATAAGGGTTTCCATACATTCCATAAGGACCATACGGAAGAACTGCTGGTGGAAGTTGTGGAGAAGAAACATTTTCTTTAGTTCCATCGACTCTATTTAAATGCATTGTTTCACCTTTCATCTGGTCATTAAAGTCTTTTGCGTGTTTTGCAAACACATCGTCCTTTCCTAAAGCATTTTCTGACTCAGTCGCAACCAAATTGGATGCTTTATTTATGAGCCCTATTTTATTTAATCTTAACTTCTTTGCAACCCAGCCTCCAATCTTTCCTTTATTTGCATCTAATGTCTTCGAAACCCTTCCTCCACTCATTTTATTTACTGCGTCATAAGCTCCAAGTGCTTTTGCTCCAAATGCTAATGCTTTTGTTCCCATTGCGCCTAAAGCTGCCCAAGCTACCATTTACACCATATTAAAATCATCTCTCTTCAATATTATCTCATAAAAGTTCTCGTTACTGGAGAAAGTCAATGAAACATAAACGTTCTCACGGGCTTCGCCCTCACCGCTTTGCGGTCTATCTAACTTATTTCTTATATCATCTATACGCTTCAAAATGTCTGAACAATTGCTAACATCTTCTACAACAATTATTTCATCATGAATGACCTTCAAAAACAAACTCATTTAATATGCTATTAAAATCATCTCAATAATGAGTCCATCCTTTCCGTCTTTAGGTAGCACAACATCTTTCATTGAAGAAGGTTCGACAAGTCTTATGTTAAACTTACTGACAAAGTTTGTTATACTATAATGCTTCGGTGGCGAATACATATAGTTTGAAAGACATAATATAGATTCTTCAGCAAATTCACTTATACTGGATTTTATAACAATGTTCTCACGAGACCAAATACCACCAATTGACAATCTTGTAAGCAATCCTGCTGAACCTTCTACTGTAAACGTCGATGGTAACATTCCACGAAGGTCATCTATTAACATCTTTGAGTCACTGAATTTAAATATTTTCTTAAAGCAATCGTCATTATCTAACCATGCAATAGCTTTGAAGTTTTCATTCGAATATACATCTGCTTCATTAAATGTAAAACCTGACTTCTTTGCAGAGACGACTTTAAAATCTATTGAGTTTGTTTCAAAATTATATGCTATGGTAACTTCTGAAGGTAATGGATGTCCTTCCGCAGTAAGTTGTTCTCTCACTACCGTTTGAAGCTTTGTGTTAAAAACTTTCATGTCATCTCCTGTGTCTAGGTTCACATACACAGCAACAGGAAAACTATCTTGCTTCTTTGTTTCATCATTATACCTCAAAACATTAAAGTTCTTCAATAATATTGTTCTTCCTGCTGGAATACTTCTAACTTGTCTTATTTCAATAGCTTTCTCACCTCCTACATACTCTACCCAGTGTCTTGGATATTCATAAGTATACTGACTTTCTTGAATTTTGGTAGGTTTCATCATAACGTGTTCATAGTATATCTTTATACTCTTGTCAGTTAGACTCGGTGCTATGTTCTGAATATTTCTGACTTGCATTTTTAATAAGATTAAAATGAAGCATTTAATACATGATGTAGATGAAGACATGAATGAAACTACAGACAAACTTAACTCTTCTCTTATTCTTCCTTTCAGCAAAGATTATGAATTCTGTTCAAATGGTGTGTATTTCTATTGTGGAAAGATGGGTTCAAGTAAGACATTTAACCTCATTCGTCATATACTCATAACAGAGCGTTTAGGAAACGACTCTTACTATGACCAAATCATTATATCAGCAACTTCAGACTCTATGGATTCAACAGCGAAAACATTTATGTCAAAAGTTCAAGCCTCTGTCGTTAAAGTTCCAGACAGTGAACTCATTGAATTTCTTCAACGTTACATTCGACGTAAGAGAAAATATTATGCCATCGTAGAGTTCATACAGTCAGGAATGCAAAAGACTTCTGAGGAGATGGAAAGAATTATTGACAAACACCACTTACGTCAGTACTCAGGAGTTTACGATATGAAACGACTGACAAACTACATTCTATCAAAACTTTCAAAATACCCCTTCAAAAAATATCCTTCAAACACTCTGCTCGTTTGCGACGACTTCGCCGGAAAAGGTTTAGTTTCAAAGCCTGACTCACCATTAGCTAACATCATAACTAAATTCAGACGTTACCATTTAACTGTAGCAATACTTATGCAAACATGGAGGTTTTTAGCTTTAAACATAAAACGTCTCATAACTGACTTCGTTATCTTTCAAGGTTTCTCATGTTATGATATTGAACTCATTTGGAAACAGTCAGGTATAACATTACCTTTTGAAGAAATTTGGGAAGCATATAAGTCTCTCATCTCTCCTCGTTCATACCTTGAGATTCATATCATGACTAATACCATTAAAGTCAAAAATATTCCATGGGAACGACCAACATTGTTTTAAAGTTTAACCTTCAATTGACTGATGGTAAACAAATTCCATGCATCTCTGTCGCCATTTCTGTTAATATTTTGCTGTCATTCATATCATCCACTTTCTCCATCCGTTAACTTTTGAGGATATGTGTTAGAATAGCTGTTCTTAAATTAAGGCTTTTCACCTTTGAGAGCATAAACTCTATAACTTTCTGCATACTTTATGTTTGAACCTCCTGAGCCATCATTGACATAAATTTTTATAGGCTTCACCCTTTGTTCATGTTCCTGCTTCTTCCCTTAGCTCTTTTGTTCAGTAGTTCTACATCTTTATACACAGCACCTGTCTCAGTGAATTCAACAATATTTTCATTCATTAGCTTTACATTCAAACCCTTGTCGAGTATATTGTTCATTTCATACATATAAAAGGTTTTTATTCTATATGAAATGAGAAGTAAGTCCATCTTAGCTGGTGCTGTTAATGTTCCAATTGAACCAACATCAAATGTTGACTCACGA